ACGGGTCCAAGTGGCTCTTTTTGTCTTAAAGGTTGCAGACCCCTGGGTTAGACTAATACACTTCACGATGAACTCAGCGCTGACAGCAGGGAGCCCATCTATTACGGGAAATAATTTGAAGGATCAGAGAGCGGCTTGTTAAAAGCAGTCAAATGTTGGCAGAACTATCAATGGTTATTGGCATTTTTATTGTCTCAGAGGTAAAACAGGCAAATTAATGAATGCAGCATGAAATATTATTTCTATTACCAGTGCGTTTAGTTAAGCCATAATAAACAGGAAGGAATCGAGGCTGTGGGCAAGGGGGGAGGAATTTCTTCCTTCAGGAATGACCGCTCCCCACATTAAATGGGGGGGGGGGATTTGCCCATGCAGACCATTAGCACAGGCTTGGCTTCGCTTTCCCCAGGTGGGATACCTGGAGGTCTCCGCCTACCTCAGTCAGTTGCCCAATCCCGCCTGGGGAGGCGTTGCCAAGGTGATCAGGCCAGGTAGGGGGAGGGACTACCTGCCCACACAATAGAGGGAGGATCTTACCTGGGAATCGTCAGTTGGCTCCAGAGCTTCTCCCACCCTACCCACCCTCAGTTAAGACTTCTTTTGCAGGTTAACCTCTTCTCCACAGGTACGCGGGCGCTGCTACGTCAAGGTCGCTGTTGAAGGGCCGGAAAGGAATTCTTCTGCATTGGCAGGTTTGCCTTTCCCATAGCAAAACGTCACAACTTTGGCGGTATCAGGCCTTGGGCGGAATCCTTTAGTCTATTTTCCCTAAATTGGGGGTGGGCGTGTAGCCATGACTCACCACCCCCTTCTCTTTGCAGCAGTGATCCCAGGGTTCCCCGTTAAAGGGGTTGTTTGAGGGGAGGCTTTGGCCGTACGCCTAGAGGTTGTCATTGCTCTCCCCTGTGATGGCGGCGTAACGGGGATGGGCTCTCTCTGCTTGAACATATGTTCTCCAGAGCCAGCCCACCCACCCCACACACTCTGGATAACCCTGATGTTCCCCAGATCCCTGGCGGGGGACTGGGAGGGATAAACGCCCAATGCCTGAGCCAAGGTCTACCTACATCTGAAACATAATAAAGTTGTGGCCAATTTTAATCCCATAGCACGTTGTCTTGAGTCCTTATTGCACACGGGGACCGCCCAGGGTTTTGGGGGACTCCACCTGTCCACGCAATTAAAAGGCAGGCACATTACAGCTGTTGAATGGAGCAGTCACAGAGAAGCAAGCTATTCCCCTTCCGAGTATCAGGCAGGTGAGGTATCAGCCGCAGGGAACCATCACTTCTTTTGTTGTCCTAATGGTGGCCCTCAAGTGGCAGCTACGGCCATTCTCTCACAAAGAAGCTCACCTGACTAATTCTGCAATGGAATCCTCTGTTAGATTTTTAACCCTTGCTGGATCCAGGAGTGCAGGAATTAGAAGGGATTCATCATACAGACTGATCCCCCTCCCCAAAAAACTGACAACAGTTATTATTGGGGTTGGAGGATATACTTTTGGTTGGCTTGTAAGCCTCCATGCAGTTCAGCTGAGGTTTATCACCCCCTCTCTGCTCATCTGATGCTCAGGGAAGGCATGATTTGAATCCCTATTAGAAGGGCCTTTTTTTCAGCTGGAACCCATCGGAACTCAGTGTTAGGATATTTCCGTTCCACCTTAAAAGGGAGCAGGCTTTGTGAGTCAGAGTCTGCGCATGTCCTGTTCACAGGATGTTTATGTTTGCTACTGCTTTCGTTTCTCTCTGTGTCGTAGACACTAAAGCAGGCAGTCATGTTTTTCTGTGTTCTGATCAACGCTGAATAAACTTGTAAATAATGCTCTCCTGAGTGCAACTTTTGGCTGTGCATTATCTGCTGATTGAGTGTGCATGAGCTCTGGAATGTGGCAAGATATTTTCTAGAAACTCGTGTCGCTGCGTGCCTACGGGAGGTCGATGGATCGTCCGGCAGACGGCTTGGGGGCCTTGATGGACTTTATCTCCCTGGCAGTATCCCAACACTCAGTTCTGGCACCTCTCAGGTGGGCGCCATTGCCATTATATAAGAGAACAAGGGAGGCGTTCATGGCGAATTCCAGCACCTCTTTTTCTAGAAAAATAGCACTATTAGGGCTCTGAATGAACTCCAGGGATGTGTTTACTATAAACTTTCCCCCCTTTTTGCTGTTGCTTCCAAAATAAGTGAGATCTTGTGGGGAGGACCAGCTCCCCAACTGGGGATGGCCACCCCGATCTAAATTTTGCAACACTTGCCATGGCGAGTGCCGAGTCCCGTATGTGGGGGACACATTACTGATTCAGAGCATCTCCTTAAAACCCAGAACACCAAGCCAGAGAGATACCGTATTTTTCGCTCTATAAGACGCACCCGACCATAAGACACACCTAGTTTTAGAGAACAAGAAAAAAAAATTCTCTCCCTCTCTGTACAGTGCCCCTTCAGTGCAGCGGCAGGAGAAACGGAGCCCCTTCCATTTCTCCTCCCGCTTCGCTGAAGGGGCTCTGCGCAGAGAGGGAAAGCTGCGCAGCGCCTCTCCAGCAAGGCGAAGCCAGGAGAGGAGGGATCGGTGCACACCGATCCCTCTTGCTCTCCTGGCTTCAGGGATAGCCGCCCGAAGCCTCCGGAGCGCAAACAGGTGTCCACATCAGGCAATACTGATGGACTTCTTAAATTCAATTATTCGCATTTTTCATTGCAATCTGAGATACATATTTTTTAAATCGTCATTAGAATTTGTAGGCATCCGGTGCAAAATTCTCTAAATAGAAACACCTTTGTTTGCAATTTTGACTAATGTCCACATTAGGAGAGGGTCTCTCTTTTTTCCTTCTTCTTTTATTCTCAAGGCAAGCTGTGAAGGTAGCTAGGTTGGAAAGAATTTGTCTGCGTTAAAGGAATATGCATGAGGCCTGCGTGGAGATTTGCTTGCGCACCGATCCCTCTTGCTCTCCTGGCTTCAGGGATAGCCGCCCGAAGCCTCCGGAGGCTTCGTGTTGCTTCCGCTGAAGCCATGGAGCCTGCATTCGCTCCATAAGACACACACACATTTCCCATTACTTTTTAGGAGGGGAAAAGTGCGTCTTATAGAGCGAAAAATACGGTAATTTTGCATTAGTCTTAGGCAGGGAACATCTGTTCTCGACATAGGTTTCGAAATGGCGTCTAGCAGGTCCTCTAAATTTGGAAGCCCGTCAGTCCTGCCAGGACGCATTGCCAGGAACAATAGTTCAAGCGAGGTTCCCGAACAGCTGCAGGCACAGTGGATTGAGAGCTAATTGGCCTATTTATTGCAGATAATTATGCATATCGTTATAATTGAAGGAGCATCACTTTTATGGCTGCTGTGCGGCATCCTGGGCTTTTCAGGTCGATTGTAGTAGGCTTCTTTTTGAAAATGCACGTGGCAGATGCACAGTGTGGTCTGTGTGTTAATTGTGCATATGCTTGTGGCATCTGAAGTTTTCCAGCTAATCTCCAGAGATGGAGAACATAATTATTTATACCCAGCCTCTTACCTTCCTCCAAAATACCGTACTTGACTGCTGTGCAGATCCACCTGCTCTGGAGAGAGGGGACAGGAAGCAATTTAAATGAGAGACTCAAATGGGAATTCTGCTTATATAGACACAGAGAACCTGACTCTCCAGGGGTCAATCTTTTGGTCGCGGAAATGGCACCACCTACAGACAAAAGGGAGGTGGCAGCAGGTTTGGGGGACTCTGAAAGACGCGGGTGGCGCTGCGGGTTAAACCACAGAGCCTAGGACTTGCCAATCAGGTCGGTGGTTTGAATCCCCGCGACGGGGTGAGCTCCCGTTGCTCAGTCCCTGCTCCTGCCAACCTAGCAGTTCGAAAGCACGTCAAAGTGCAAGTAGATAAATAGGTACTGCTCTGGCGGGAAGGTAAACGGTGTTTCCATGCGCTGCTCTGGTTCGCCAGAAGCGGCTTAGTCATGCTGGCCACATGACCCAGAAGCTGTATGCCGGCTCCCTCAGCCAGTAAAGCGAGATTAGCGTCGCCACCCCAGAGTCGGTCATGACTGGACCTAATGGTCAGGTCCATTTACCTTTACCTTACAGACAAAAGGCAGCAGGTTTGGAGGACTCCGAAAGTTTACAGAACTAGAAGAAAAAAATAAGGAGGAACCCACACTGCTCAATGGAGGCAGTGCAAACTTGGCAGACTTGGTGGTTGCTAGCTCCCTGTTAGAGAGAAGGGGAACAGAAAATCAGGGGAATGGAATGGAGTCTCCTGGCACAGGACTTGGCTGGCTAAAACCCGGTCTCACTTGTCCTCTCTATTTCTGATGTTCAGGATGGGAGTGCCATTCCTTATATAGCCAAAATGGAACTACAAAGATTCTGCTTTGAGTTCCACAATGGACAAAAGGAAGGATCCAAATGACAAGCAAATCTCCACGCAGGGCTCATGCACATTCCTTTAACACGGACAAATTCTTTCCAACCTAGCTACATTCACAGCTTGTCTTGAGAATAAAAGAAGAAGGAAAAAAGAGAGACCCTCTCCTAATGTGGACATTAGTCAAAATTGCAAACAAAGGTGTTTCTATTTGGAGAAATTTGCACCGAATGCCTACAAATTCTAATGACGATTTAAAAAATATGTATCTCAGATTGCAATGGAAAATGCGAATAACTGAATTTAAGAAGTCCATCAGTATTGCCTGATGTGGACACCAGTTTGAGCGCAGCAAAAATATTAACTGGGTCAGCAGAAAGCATTATTCTCAGATAGAGTTAACATTACAGGCTAAAACTAACTGGAAGCAAAATGTTTATAATGAGTAAAACCCCACAAAAACCTTAAGTTATTTTGAAATTTCTATTACAATTTTTTTTTTTTGCAATAACCCAATCAGTTCTACTTTTTTTCAGCAATTTCCAAACGTGTGTGGTGTTTCTTCACAGCCACAACAAGGTGTTTTTTTTAAAAAAAGTATACGCTTCAAGAAGAATCACACACAACACAGAAAATAAAAGATAAATTGTATTTTCAAAATCATTTTTTCTTAGTTTCCTCTAGATCAAACTTTCTTGCTGTTCATAATTTACAAAGCTCAAAACAGAAATAAGAGTAGCCAAATCAAAGTAGCGACATGAGGCGCCAACCATTTGTTTCAAAACAATGTCAACCATCCTTTTGAAGCTAAAAACAAAGAATTTTTAAAAACAAAAAATCAAGGGAAAAACAACATCTGGAGTTTTTTTTACCAAATCCAGCTTATCAAGCACATCTGGAAACACCCAGTTTCCTCAAAATACACTACATTGAACTTACAGGTGAAAAGGAATGAAAATTCTCTCTGGAAAATGGGGGAAGCGTCAGAAGGGCACTGAGAGAGCCTGCGCTACAAGATTGTGGACACTTGTGGACCAATAATCACCAAGCAGAGGGCTGAAAACCTTAGTTATTGCAAAAAAGGGAAATGGCAGGGTTGGATACGGACATTAGCTCAAGGCCACAGGCACATTAGGAGCACAGTTTACTAGGAAGTGATGGCCTAGCCTCGCAGTGAAGCAGAGTCACACAGCTCCTGTCTGCTCTGGTAGGCCTTGCACAGGACAACCTCCCAGGGGATGCTAGTTTAAGGTATTTGTTTGGCAGTTGTGCAGAAGATACAACTTCTCAGGTGGAAAGGCTGCATGCAGCTTTCATAACAGCACTGGGAGTTTCAGCCAGCTGAATGCTCTTGCTGGTTGACAGGTACTCAATAGCTGCTTGTTATTCACATGCTAACACTGCCTGAACAGCCCCTTGCTGGCCAATGTTCTTCCAGACCAGCTGCTCACAGCGTGGTTAAGATCCAATCCTGTAGCTCTGAGCCATCACAACACACTCATTACGCCGGAATGAGGAAAGGGTGAACTGAAACCATGAAAAATGGAAAAATACGTCCAAGATTCACACTATCCCACATTAAACAGGCAGTTCCCAAACCAAAATAATGCCAGAATTCCATTTCTCTTGTATTGCAAAGGGGAGGCGGAAGAAGAACAAAGGCCCGCCTTTGTCTGACAGAAAGTAAGAGTCTACAGGGACTTTCCTGATGACTCAATCTTGTGGCTTTTATGTTTATAACAGAAGCTCTTCCTGCACATTCACCTGAGTTCTGTCCCTGCTATGACCCTGGGGTCTGTTCTTAGAGAAACGCAGAAGGGTAATCCAGGATGGGAGTGGAAAGGCCTTGCAGAACTGGGAAAGTGGGTAAATGTTTTATCGTAAGATCACATATGCTGAAACACTCAACAGCACTGAATAGGCACAATTAGGTTCACAGTTAAAAGGCGGGGGAGAGAAAGGGATAAGAGTGTTTGAAGCACATATACAAAACCCAGGTGAGTCTAGTGGAAGGGATGCCTTTAATTTCTAATACCACCATAGAAGCACCTGTCTATATGCAGCCACAGAGTCAGATGCATGAACCAGCCAAGCAGGTAGGGGTCTTTATCAAGTGATATCAGGTGGAGCAACTCTGTCAAATGGGTCATTATTATTATTGCTGCTTTCCACAAAGGGCAACGATCAGTTGAGAAAGACTCAGGTGATTTGCTCTGTGCATGCAGCCACACAATGAGCATACACGTCCCAGCTATGTACTGCTCCTATTCACCTGAAGGCACCTTTAATGGAAGCCAGTGCCACTTCTGAAGAAGCACTAAGCTAGGCAGATTTGGTCCCAACTTATAAGTCAGAGTTAGGCATAGAAAAGGACTCTTTTTTCCATTACAGCTGTGGCTCCTGTATAAGAAAATTTCCCCAGGGCCTCACAAGTTGTATATAAACGGAGAATAAAGCAGCAGGATAGTAAAGTACAAAGGACAGCAGATATCTCAAAATATCATATATTTAAAAAGGGTTCCCTATGGTTTAAAAAGAAACATTTTTTCCCCAGCAGATAGGTGAAAAAAGGGGTGGCAACTTGCTGCTTTGAACTAAAAATCATGTCATTTGCTGTTGCTCGATTTGGACAATCAAATGCAGCTGTCTCTTTGCAATGGCGGTATTTAGGTCCCACAGAAACTCCAGCAACTGCCCCTTTAGAAGGTTTTCCATAGGCACAAACTGCAAGACTTGCTGCGGGGAGTCCGAGTCAAGCAGTACCCCCATGAGCTTCCTTAGCTGCTGCAGGTATTGGAAAACCGGATCTGGAAGACCTTGGTAGCCAGCACAAAGCAGTACAGCGCTGGCCCCTAAGAGATGAGATGAGGTTGGGCAAGCAAATGAGATGTTCTGGAAACAACTGTGCAGTATGAAAACTAAGCCAGCAGTGAAGCGCGTAAAACAAGAAAGAATGGGCAGGAGCAAAGCGTCCCCTTCCTGAAGCTCTGGGAACGAACGCAAAAGACACTCCAGGAGCTGCTGCTGGTATTTTGGTTCCCCATCGTGAAGCAACGAACAGCCGAACGTTGAGAGTGATGCAGACTCCAAGCGTTTAACTTCCAAGCCAGATGGGCTGTTGGCATCACAAAGCAATGGGAAGCCTACAGTCAAGCACTTTCTTTGGCCGACGCGACCTTCATTTGGAACCTCCATAAGTTCAGACAATTCAGACAATATCAGTGACTCTGTAAGAACATTGCAAGATTGGCACTCTTGCTGTGTCAGGCTTCTGAGGGCACCAACGCTTGCCCTGCCAACGAAAGATTTCTCAAGAGCTTCATTGAGGCTCTTCAGGACCTCACCATCACAGAAGGGAGAACACTTCACTCTCGGCAACCTCCGCCCCTCCAAGATGTACCATAACTGACACTCCAGGCTGCAAGAAGCCCCTTCCAAGATGCATTTTTTCCCGACGTTACCGAGGGAATGTTCTTCAGCCCATTGATTAAGACAGCCCTTGGCCACTTTCTCCTCCCATGTCAGAGACTCCAGAATCTTCCTCTCATTGTACGTGCAAAAGTATTTGTTCCTCTGCCCGCACCATTTGGAGTTCATGCTACAGCCCCCACGGGGCTTCTTCACAAGCCAGTTATTTCTGGCGATAGGCTTCATCTGGAACCGGTTCAAGAAGAACGCGACGCAACAATCCCGTAAAGCGTTCAGCCTCGCCTGCTCCACCTTGCCCATGCGCTCAAAGAGTCGGAGGTTCTCAGCAATAGTCTCGATTTGGTGCCTGTGGAAGAACGAACAGCACTCTTCGTGGACTTTAAGGAAAGATTCCGGAATGGAGTGTTGGGGGAAGAGGGCCTTCTCGACCATGTCCGTCCCAAAGTTCTGCATCATCTTGGACAAGAGCAAGTGAATGGCCTCCCTGCCCAAATAGTGAAGGCAGACCACATACACCTCAGAGTTCCCAGCTTTACTAGTGGCTGGTTTAAACACGTGAACCTCTTCGAAAGAGCAGTTCAGCAGATACAGCAAGCTAACGGAACAATGTTCAAACAGAGTGAACATCTTCAGAACGAAGGAGCCCCCGAGGCCAAGGGTCATTAAAGCAGTGACCGTTTCACAGTAATGCAAAGAGGAAACCAGGGCTTCTTGCTCGCCTGGATTTCCTTGGCAATCAAAGCTCCCGTCAGATGTGACCAGGTGAACGGTGGCCATGTTGCTGATGAACTGCTGCAGTCCCGTGAGATGTTTGAGCGTCATCACATCCCCTGTGTTCTCAGGGCCAAAATACCACCAGGGCAGAGTGTTTGCGATAAGCCTGTCATCCATAATCATCATAAGGGTATCGTTTGCTTCATAGTACGGGTTCAATGTATTAGCTACCCAATTCCAGTCGCAAGGGATGCGGTGAGACTTGAGGTAATGATTGAGGCTGGCTATGAAGGCGCCAGGAGCCTCACAGAGATGGACAGAGTTGAGTTCCCCATTTTGAAGAGCATCGCTTGGGAGGAGAGGGAAGCTGCCCAGGATCTCATGGAATTTGCACCATGCTTGGGTACACAACTCAGCATTTACAGCTTGCTTGATGTGAGCAATGATCTTCCCTGCTTTGTTGGTGAAGGATGTGTGCTGATGCCACTCATCTAATTTCTTGTCGCTCAGCTGGTTCTTGACTTCATTCAGGGAATCCTTCAAGGAGGCAAGGGAACTGAACTCTTTGTGATTGCAGCTAAAAGCCTGGTTAGGATCCGGCAGCTGCCATTCGTTGTTGGGTGGTTTGATGTATGAGAACTTCTTCCCAAAGAGCTTCTCAATTTCAGCAATGATATCAGAACCAAACTTGTCAAGGGTTGTGGTCTGCTCAGCATATGCTGCCTTCTTCTGCTTGTTCATTCTCAGGCCGAGGCAAACCTTGGAGAAAAGAGGAGAAACCCAAATGAGGAGGGAAAGGACTCAGGGGAAGATCACCTGCTTTGCATGCAGATGATCCCAGGTTCAATCCCCAGACTCTCCGGGTAGGGCTGTGAATGTCTCCTGTCTGAAATTTAGAGGAGTCACTGTCAGTGTCAGTATGAACCAGGGGTGAGGAACCTTTTTCTTCCTTTTTTTCAATTTTTTAAAATTAATTTTCCACATTTATAACAAATATAACATATAAAAGACACAAAACAAAACACATTACAATACTAAAAATAAAAAATAAAAATAAAAACTTATTACTTCTAAAATCCAAATTAACTTTCATTGTTATCTGATTTCCTCAAATCCCCCCTAACTGAATTTCATTGTGACACCTTTGTGACAGTTCTCCAATATCATCTTTCTAATACATTTACCTTCCATTTACTATCTTCATCTCTTTTCTTATTAATTTAAATCCATATTACTATACAACATTCTTATTCTAATCCTAGGCCTATTTGATACTTTCAAGTACCTTCTAATTATCTGTGAGGAACATTTTTCAGCCCAAGGACCACATTATTTTCTGGGCAACTTTTGGAGGGCCCCATGGGTGTGGTGGGTAGGACCAGAGGCGGAAGTAGACAGTGCATCAAAAGTAAACTTTACCTTTGTACTGTAAGCTGGTTTCTGCTCTATCTTCCACCCAATAGCAGACAATCAGACAATATCAGACAAGGAGGCAATATCAGACTTCAAGACCACATTCCAGGCAAAAAAACCTAGGGTGTGAAGTGAGCGGTGTGGCCTGGGGAAAGCTCTGAGGATCAAATAAAGGTGTGGGGGGTGGGGGTTGCATTTGGCCCCCAGGCCTGAAGCCCCTCCTGGTATAGACAGTGCTGACCTAGATGGGCATTGTAAAGCAGCTATACGGGAGAGGGTTCTCGAGAGAGGGGGACGCTTAGTGATGGTTGATAAGCTCTGCTGACAGGCCGTTCCGCTGGCGTGTGATGGGAGCTGTAGCCCAGGAACTAGAGAGCCAGAAAGTCAAGGCATAGCAATAACAGGCTCTACCAATAGCCCATGGACTGCAAGAAGATAAAACCAACCATTCTGAAGGAAATCAGCCCTGAGTTAGATCTGGAAGGACAGATCCTGAAGCTGAGACTCCAGTACTTTGGCCACCTCATGAGAAGAGAAGATTCCCTGGAAAAGACCCTGATGTGCTGGAGAAGACTCTTGAGAAGTCCCATGGACTGCAAGAAGATAAAACCGATCAATTCTGAAGGAAATCAGCCCTGAGTGCTCACTGGAAGGGCAGATCCTGAAGCTGAGGCTCCAGTACCTTGGCCACCTCATGAGAAGAGAAGATTCCCTGGAAAAGACCCTGTTGTTGGGAAAGATTGGGGGCACAAGGAGACGACAGAGGATGAGATGGTTGGACAGTGTTCTCGAAGCTATGAGTTTGACCAAACTGCGGGAGGCAGTGGAATACAGGACTGCTTGGCATGCTGTGGTCCATAGGGTCACGAAGAGTCGGACACGACTAAACGACTAAACAACAACAACCAATAGTCCAAATCTGCACCCCAGTTTTGGCAAAACACCCCCTGCATGATTTCTGTGACAAACACTCAGGGCCCATGTAACTACACGACACAATTCCCAAAGGCAAATCAAGTTTTTTTTTAAAAGCCACTGAAGCAAGAAGTCAGGTATGCATCACATTCCCAAGGAGTACACGCTTCTTGTAATTCGCACGTTAATTTAACGACAGCAAAGTATGCGTGTACATTCATTAACGCGGACAACACCTCGACCCCGCCCCTTCCGCTACAACCATGAATTCAAAGAGGATCTCCTTTTGATCTCCAATCAATACCCATGACGAATGGTGGGGAGACACACCAAACCATTATCCGTGTAATTAAAAGTATTCACCCCCTACGCTGAAAACCCTCTCCAACAGCTGCGCATGCGTGCTTCCCTTTATGCGTGAGGCCGGGAGAACGCGCCTTCCATTTCCGCGCAGGCGCACTTCGAGGCTCTAATCTCCCTTTCGGGTCCGCACTGTGAAACCGCCTCTCCCCTCGCCTTTTCCGGACCAGCCGCGCACGCGCAGAACGCTTTCCTCCCACCACCCTGTCGCGAGAGCCCGCCCGGTTTCCCGCGCGGCTTGGGCGGTTTCCACCCACCGTCCAATCGGAGAAGGCATGTGGGGGGCGGGGCGGAAAGGCGGTTTGGGCCGGCGGATGTGACGTCGACAGCGGCGACCAGAGGCGGAAACTCTTGTGAGGGGGGCGAGGCTGTTCGAGGAGTCCGTTTTAATGAAGAACCTCGCGGGCGGCGTTAAGGCCAGCGTAGGTATCGAGGCGTAAGCCGCTTTGTGAGGCCTTCCCGAAAAGTAATATATAAATATTGTAGAGAAATGGCAATAAATTGAATAAATAAGCTTTCATGAGCTATAGGCCACTTTTTATGAGAAACATGAAGTGATGTATCCGAGTGTGTAGGTGCGTGTTTACGGCTAGCATAACAAGAGCAGTTGGGAATCTGCTGAGGGGATCGGTTCACCTCTTCCTCTACCCTCTTTGGCCCAATATGAATCGGCACATTGTAATCAACTACACGTCCGCCACGTTAGGTGACTAACTTTAAGTACCTGGCAAAGTAGGTTGTGACCCATGGAAGCTTATTGGAGGAATCTGCACAGGAGCGAAGAGGAGGAGATCTCAAAAGCACGTTCAGGAAATTACAGTGAAGCCCAATTTCATTTTTAAGTAGCAGGACTTACTCAGAGGTAAGAATTCGCCCCTCTCCTTGTACATTTCTTTTGGGGCAGAGATCCTGACTTTGTCTTAAACTGAAGTTCCCTATTACAAAAAGAAGAAAAGACCAACTAAGTTTTTTATTGGTATGAGCTTTCACGTTCACGCACACTTCTTCTGATACAGTGGTACCTCTAGATACGAATGGGATCCGTTCCGGAGCCCCGTTCCTATCTAGAAGTAAACGTAACTAGCGACGGCACGTCTGTGCACGCACGCGTCGCTTTTCGCCGCTTCTGCGCATGTGCGTGATGTCATTTTGAGCGTCTGTGCATGCGTAAGCAGCAAAACCCGGAAGTAACGCACGCCGTTACTTCCGGGTTGCCGAGGAGCGCAACTCAAACGTGCTCAACTCGAAGCATCTTCAACCCGAGGTATGACTGTACACTGAAACAGAAGTCAGAAGACCCTTATATATAGTGAGAGGGTGGGAAGGGGTATTACTCAGAAGGGTGGTGGGAGTGGGTGATTATGTTCAAACCCTGTTTTGTGTCAAATAATCTGCTTATTATCCTGGTTAGTTAACCAACATTATGCTGGTTTGTGTGCCGCCGGAAATTCTGCTTTAAAACAAGCCCTGTGAGGGAGAGGAGTGTGGCGGGGTGTGGGAAGGAATATACCAGCTCAGAATTGGTTTCCAGCTTCATAAACTGGTTTGTGGGATGTACATCTGAACAAAGCCATTCAATCAAATGCCCCTCAAGAAGAACCATACTATTCTAAATGCATTAGTACTTAATGCACTGTTTTTAGGGCACCTTGGGAGTCTTTACTTCTCTTTATTTAAACAGTAGCATATATTGTATCTCGATAAACTTGCTAATTTTTAAGGTACCATAAGACTTGTTAATACATGTAGGAATTCACGTTAAATCTTAGTATACTCGGAGAAGAGTATACTAAGTGAACAGTTTCTTCAACAGTTTTCAATATGTGTAGCATTATTCCGTAATATAGGGACACGGGTGGCGCTGTGGGATAAACTAGAGAGCCTAGGACTTGCCAATCAGAAGGTCGGCGGTTTGAATCCCCGTGATGGGGTGAGCTCCCATTGCTCAGTCACTGCTCCTGCCAACCTAGCAGTTCGAAAGCATGTCAAAGTGCAAGTAGATAAATAGGTACCGCTCCGGCAGGAAGGTAAACGGTGTTTCCGTGCACTGCTCTGGTTCGCCAGAAGTGGCTTAGTCATGCTGGCCACATGACCGAGCTGTATGCCGGCTCCCTCGGCCAATAAAGCGAGATGAATGCCACAACCCCAGAGTCGGTCACGCCTGGACCTAATGGTCAGGGGTCCCTTTACCTTTACTATTGCGTAATATATGTGAATTAGCTTTTAGAATGCTTCAGATTTGATATAGATGCTAAATGTTAATTTGCTATTCTTTGCTTATTTTGCCCTCACAAAAACCTCAGTTTGAGAGGGAATAGCTTTTCCAAGGATGCTTGGCTAATAGCAATGAGAGAAAATAGTTTTCTCACTTCATTTTAAAGACTTACAAGGATTCATCACTAATAACTGATTTGCAGCTCATGAGGAATTCAGATTTGCTGTATGTACACCAGTGTTAGTTGCCTGTAAATACTTTCATACATGTGCCATAAACTGTGATTGTGTTGTATAGTGTAGGGCGTGTGTCATGCTTTCTTGCTTTATGGCATGAATAAGACAAGGCAAACTGTTCCCACATGTCAGAAACGAATTGGGCCTTTTGGGTTGTGGTGCCAAGCCTCTGAAATACCCTTTCTCTTTCCGTCTGGGGGGGGGGGCTATGCCTTATGACCTTTGGAAAGAGGTTGAAAACATTGTTCTCCAAAGCTTTTAATGAAACCGAGCACTGTTTCTTACTCTGACATCGTTCGTTGTTTCTTTCAATTGTTAATTGTTTTAACTGTTCTTACCTTGCTTTTTGTGATTTTATGAGGCAAGATCAAAATACTTCAAATCAGGATTAGGGATCAGCTGGTCAGCCCCAATCACCATGGCCAATGGTTACGGATAAGGGAGTTCTAGACCAAGAACATTTCGGCAGACATAGGCTTTCCTCATTCCTGCTTTAGATCAATAACATACATTTGTTGCAACATTGTGAATTAGCCTTGAGCATGATTTTTAAACTGGGGTTCCTGAATCCAATCTTAGAATCATAGAGTTGAAAGAGACCACAAGGGCCATCGAGTCCAACCCCCTGCCAAGCAGGAAACACCATCAGAGCCCTCCTGACATATGGTGGTCAAGCCTCTGCTTAAAGACCTCCAAAGAAGGAGACTCCACCACACTCCCTGGCAGCAAATTCCACTGTCGAACAGCTCTTACTGTCAGGAAGTTCTTCCTAATGTTTAGGTGGAATCTTCTTTCTTGTAGTTTGGATCCATTGCTCCGTGTCCGCTTCTCTGGAGCAGCAGAAAACAACCTTTCTCCCTCCTCTATGTGACATCCTTTTATATATTTGAACATGGCTATCATATCACCCCTTAACCTCCTCTTCTCCAGGCTAAACATGCCCAGCTCCCTTAGCCGTTCCTCATAAGGCATCGGTTTCCAGGCCTTTGACCATTTTGGTTGCCCTCCTCTGGACACGTTCCAGTTTGTCAGTGTCCTTCTTGAACTGTGGTGCCCAGGACTGGACACAGTACTCCAGGTGAGGTCTGACCAGAGCAGAATACAGTGGCACTATTACTTCCCTTGATCTAGATGCTATACTCCTATTGATGCAGCCCAGAATTGCATTGGCTTTTTAGCTGCCACGTCACCCTGTTGGCTCATGTCAAGTTTGTGGTCAACCAAGACTCCTAGATCCTTTTCACATGTACTGCTCTCAAGCCAGGTGTCCCCCATCTTGTATTTGTGCCTCTCATTATTTTTGCCCAAGTGCAATACTTTACATGTCTCCCTGTTAAAATTCATCTTGTTTGTTTTGGCCCAGTTCTCTAATCTGTCAAGGTCGTTTTGAAGTGTGATCCTGTCCTCTGGGGTGTTAGCCACCCCTCCCAGTTTGGTGTCATCTGCAAATTTGATCAGGATTTACTGGTGTCCCAACTATATCTTGATGTTGATTCCAGGGCTGATATAGAATTGGTTCCTGTTCAGCAAGGAAATTAATTTTAGTTAAAAATAAGCATGCACACCACAAATATGTTGTGCAATCCTATGCTTTTTATTTAGAAGTATGTCACCCTGAACTAATCAGGGCTTACTTTCTAGCAAGTTTGTTGAGGATTGCATTATTAGTTCTCTTAAGCTAAGGTCCTTTCACTGTGAACATGTTTAAATATGCTCTCCCTCCTCCCCAACTGTGTTTTCTTTGAACCGTTTTCCATGTTATAGAAGATGCTCTGTGAGTTTCTACAGTGTAAGTGACTTTTGACTGTTTACCCTTCATAGCACTGGGTGGGCTTTGGAAACGCTGGGGTCTGATGTGACTGCTGTTCTCAGAATAGCAACATGCCCCAAGGCAGCAAACAGGTTTCTCTTCGTTTTATAAGCAACAGCTAATTTTGCATGAATATGATTAAGTGTTAGTAAGGGCAGGTTAACTGTCAATGCGTGGGGTTTTTGTCATTTATTTTGGAGCCTTAGGGCAGTAAAACAAAAAGTTATTTTGCCTCAAGCCACTGTAGTCAGAGAAGACTTAAGTTCTGGAGAATCCTCGTTGTATTGATATTTGTCACTTCAATGCAAATGTCTGCTTTTCATTTTTCTTTCTTTCTTTTTTAAATAGTTAAAATTCTTTTTTTTACACAAGGTTAGAGAGCTCCCAAGACAGTCTTGTTTGAACATACCACAGGTAAAAGATGCATTAAGGAAGATCTTAAGATTTTGCTTGTTGGTTAAACTTTATGAAATTCTACCCACTGGAGGCCTTATGAACCCTCAGTGGTGCTTTTCTTTTGAAGCAGCTTGTGCAATACACTTTTGCTTTTGAAAAATGTAAGCTGGATCCTGTGCCCATTTATCCACCAGAGTAATTACGTATCTGTGTGAGTTCTGAAGTATGGAGGGCATATGCCCCAAAGGCAGCGTGACCTTGAGGTGCTTTCATATTGCTTGTTATATTTTCAGCTCTCCAGGAAAGCTTTAGCTCAGTTCTTCAGAACAGCATTTTGATTGCGGTGAGAAATTTGAAAACAAGATGACAGTGTGTCTGAAAAGCATGGTGACAAGTAATCAAACCCCATTCATTTTACTTTCTCTTCCTTTTAATTTTGTGCACACTTCATTACTTTTAAAAGCATTCCATTTGAAAGGGTGCAAGTAGTCTTTATTCGTGAAATGAATGGGGTGTTGTGCTTGCAGAAGGATGTACGGCTAAAATGTTCAGCATTTGCTTAGAAGATTGTATGTCATATTGAAGAGGGCTAAATATGTATTGGGTAAAAAAAAAGAACTAGAATTTAATTTCATTGATGGCTGTAGAGAAATGGCTCAAAACTAATGTTGGTCCATTCTTACGACTTGCACATTGTTCTTGTTAATTATAGTCAGGTGGTGCCAATGCCAGATAGTGTTCTCCACTACCCGCAATAAAGTTATTTGGATTGGTTTGGATTGGTAGATGGAGGAAGGCAGGTATGCCTACAGAAGGGTAGCTGATTAATCTCAGTCTCGTTTCCTGCCCATGCTGTTGGCTTACCTGAACATAATTATCGTTGCCGTGAGAATAAGCTTTTTGGTTCCTGTTGCAGACACCTGTTAATTTTGTGCTTTATCTTCACTAAGTTAGAGTGAAACGAAGTTTATTCCTGTTGTATTTTGTTTTGCTAATGCAGAATAGAACATTACACGTCTGCAAAGATGAAAAGAAAAGTGGCCAAAGCTGTGGGACTTAGACTTAGTCCTAATGAAGAAGCTCAGCTGCTGAAAGAAGAACATGAAAGGAGAAGGAAATTAAGGTTACAGCAGGTGTGTTTGCATTGTTGGGAATGGTTTTCCTTTAGGCCAGAGTTTCCCAAGCTTGGGTTTCCAGACTACAGGTCCCATCATCTTTGACCACTGGTCCTGCTAGCTGGGGATGATGGGAGTTGTAGTCCCAACAACAGCTGGAGACTGTTGAGAGAAGAGCTGTCCGTTGTGTCACCAAGACACCAGAGCACTTCAGCCACATATACTTTCCCACTCAGGAGCAAAAAAGGGTAGAGGGAACTTGACTACAGTGTTGCTGAGGTGTCAGCTACACAAGGTCAAATTAGCTAGGGATGATAGGAGTTGTAGTTCCAAAACATCTGGAGGGCCGAGTTTGCCTATGCCTGTTCTATTTCCTTGTTGCTGGCCCTCATTTCACAGGTGCCCTATTTGTCAAGAAGCAGATAGCGGTCTAGCATAGTAAAGCAAGTGGGTTTAAGTAAGGTGAACAAAGAATTCAAGTAAAATAACAATTTAAAAAGAAGTCTGCAGTCCTCTACAAAATATAAAATCATCAACAAATATATTTTTCCCTCCAGGTTAGAGAGCAGGAGAAGAATATTGCTTTGCAGATAAGGCAAGATGTTAAGCAGAGAAGAGATGAGCAGCTGCATCATTTGGCAGAAGAACTGAAAGCAGAGTGGCAAAGAGCACAAGATGAAAAGATTCATGCCTTGGAAAAGCTTTATCTGTCAAGCTTAAGAGCTATAGGAGAAGGGCATAGACAAGCAAAGGAAAATGTAGGTAAATTATGGCTGTGATACTATAGCAACCAAGACTTTCTGCAAATATCTACTCAACTGACTGAAATTAGAAAAGCTGTATATTTTACTAATATATATGTAATCGTGTACTAATAAAACAAGTTGGCAGGTGTTTCTATTTTCTTACATCTGTATATGTGAAGGAAGACATATGGAAATTTAGACTCTATGAATTTATGTGCCATACATTTAAACATGCAAATGGAGCAAAATAAGGCAAATAGTTAAATGTTGGGCAGGTGTAAAAAGATGGTAGTACACAGCTGTGCTGCAGGCTTCAGTTTTGTTTGTCAAGGGGGGGTGGCACTACTTAATCTGTTGATAATCGAAGTATGTTAAATCCTAGGATAAGTGGAGCTGTGAAATTGTTCAACTTGTATATTGAAGAGGCAGCTAATGACAAATTAGTGGATTTGAAATTTATAATGATCATTGGAACCTTTGAAAGTGAATGAATGGGGAAATGGTGTGGAACGCTGATATTTACAAAGATGCTCCCATACTGAGAATAAACCTTGCCCTTTTATCAGTGCAAAATATTAATGCCATCAGCATTTTGATCATTAAACGTCCACTTAAAGTGAAGCAAGTACTTAACATAGCACCATCTATAGAGACAAAGAAAAGGTATTAGAGTAAAATTCCAAAACTTTCAATGGAATTAGAAAATTCCATTTTACTCATAAGTTGATACAGTAGCTTTACTCTGGTGGGTCCTGCTTCAGTAGCAATGAGTATAGACCCAGTCCTGGTGGAAAGGCAGCCATTAGAGCTAACACTAGCTCCACAGCACATTTTGATGGCAAAATTATTCCTTAGATTGAGCCCCTGCAAACATTTTCTCTTAAAAGCTGGCACAAAGACAGGTCATGACATCTGCACAAAAGGGAAGTTTACCTGACGTCTTAGATACACTTTAAAGCTGTTTGAATTAAAATTCTGATGTTAATTTGTTTCTATGACAATCGTTCAACATATACATTTAATCTCAAAGGAACCGGATTTGGAGGCTCTGGCCAAGCTGGCAAAGGAAAGGAAACAAAGAGCAGAAAAGAGGCATAAGGAAGCGCTAAAGGAGCAGAAAAATAAAAAAGAGAAGTTGCTGAGGGAGCAAACAAGGTAAATTGTACATAAAATGAACCTTCACTGCTTTAATGTCCCAAAGTCTCTTGCATGTGTGCATACGTAGGGTTGCACCTGGGTTCATGCGTTCAAGCTTTCTAGCCCCCTGCACAGCCCAATAGTGTCTCTTGAGTTGGGGCTGCAGCAGAAGGCTGAATTGTTAAAGGGGGAGGGCATGGGGCTGCCTTGTTTTAGCATGTGCCTTTCTGCTTACTCGTACTTTTGGCAGAACTTCTCAGTAATTATTAGGAATTGCATTTTCTGAAGAATATTACGGCTGTTGTTTTTGGAGGGTTTTTTTTTGGTTTTTTTTTGCATTTCTGATAGATTTCAACACAAGAAAAAAACAAAACATAAACCCCCAAAAGTAATAGGGAGGAAAAATTACATATTACATATTCTATTACATTAAAAAACAACAACGATCATTGATGGACTTCCCTTCCTGTCCTTCCATGGTTCCTTTTAACTTCCGCTTCCTGAGATACTCCTTATAGCCCAATCCTATGTGTTTTCATTCTGCATTATGACTTGCTGAATTCATTGACGCTTGCGTGCAGTTGTGCATGGAATTACCATCCTAACAGCATTGGATTTCTGTTTTGGTCTAAGGACTGCAGTAGCTGTGCATTTATTTATTGCATTTATTTTCCCCACCTTTTGTCATAGAGCTCAATTGGTGTACATAGGTTCCCTCCTGCCCATTTTATCCCCGTAACAACCCTGTGAGATAGGTTAGGCTGAGAGTGAGTGACTGGCCCAAGGTCACACAGTGAGCTTCATGGCTGAGTGAGGACTTGAAACCTGGTCTCCTAGGTTCTAGTCTGACACTCTAACCATTACTGGCTCTTGTCTACAGACTAGCCTTCCCCAACCTGGTGCCCTTCAGATGTTTGTGACTACAACTTCCATAATTTCTGTTGGCCATGTTGGTGGGGGTTGTAGCCCAAAGCATGTGGCATAGACTAGCCTATTCCTTTTTGTGGGAATTGGAAGGACAACGTAACAAAGGGAACTGAGTCAAAATAACCTGCAGGGCATTGTGGGAAGTTGCATTCTGCCCTCTGGTTCTCACCCTTTTTAAAAACACTTGTCACTGAGTTGGATAACAGCCTACTGCCTCTTAGTTTTATTCTTGAAATTCAGTATATAGCCAACTAATAAAAATATTGATGTTTTACTATTTGTTTGATTTAACCATGCACAAAATCTGATTTGAATGTCTTATTTCTTGCTTTCCCCCTTCTAAACAAGGAGAGCAAACGCACGGAAGAATGCATTGGATGTAGAAAAAGAGAGAGCTGCTAAAATTGCAAGCCTACCGCCTCCTCCTCCTCCCCCCTTTGAAGTGAGTATTCTTTTCAGAAACTTTAAAAGATGTTGGAGCCTAGCTGATTAAAAGTCTCATCATAGGGACTAATGCATTCCTTTTTTTAAAAAAAAAAGTGTTTTTTTTTTTAAGTTTAAGAGGCCTAGAAGTTGGTTTATACAAGAACAACAGATAGCATGTGTTGAATGGCATGACCCCCTACGCTTCCCCCAAGTCTGTTATGGAGGGTCAGGATTGACCCAGAACAGCGTGCAGTGAAAGGACAAGAGGGGTGGGGAGTTGCCATCTGGCAATCAGAAATGCTTGTACTGCCATCAGAAGAGTGCAGTGTTGAATTCCTCCCATCGTTCTTCCTGCCTCTGAAAATTACATGCTGGAGTTAATCTCGTGATAGATTTCTTTTTCTGGTTAATATGTTACCTTTTGAAATACACTGATGTAGCATGTCGGCTAAGAGAGTGAACTATAATGGAGAGCCCACAATTAAATATTGCCTAAACTGTACATGCACTGAGCAATTTTTGGCAGTCATTATTTCTTGGCCTCCACCTATGATCTGCACTATAGGGATGGCAAGCAGTCGTTGGCGGAGCAATAGCCGCCTATTAGCCACACCCTTATGAGGGGGATGCATTGATGGAGCTGATCAGTAGATTTGTACAGCACCTTACCCATCTCCCTCCAGGTGAAGGGAGATCAGAAAACCCCCAGTGCCCTGTTAACCTCCTGGGTGGTCGTACTGTCTCCTCTTACTGAGTGGGTTTCGTAAGGGTCATTGGTATATTGCATGCACAGTGCTTTTAGTTCATTGAAGAGGTATTTGTTAGGGATATGTATGTTCCCCAAGATTTGCCTTGTACTTGAAAAATAATAATTTGTTTATAAACAGATCATTTTTAATCTGTTTCCGAATTGCTCTGTTCTCTCTCCACTTCGATCTGCGTTTTGGGTTCACTATAATTGGGAATCTAAAAATGCCTATAACATTTTGCCCCTTTAGACCAAAGTGGATGAAATTTTCAGGCACAGGGACCCTTCCAAAGTGGATTAAGCCTGCCACACTGCAGACAAATATGTCCAGGGCTTCGGTAGGGGAAGTGAAATGGATTCACTTTTCTCCATAATCGCTAGGGGATAGGGAGTTTGTCTCTTTTTCTTATTGTAAAATAATTAAGAGGTGACCAGGTGGTGTTTGTTTTTACTTGTACACTTTTAAAAACTCTGCAGCTTCACACTGTCTTTTCATTTTTGGTGCTTTCTGCTCTGGTATGCCTGGCATGTATTCAATAGGCCTGACAATACAGTGGTACCTCGGGTTACATACACTTCAGATTACAGACTCCGCTAACCCAGAAATAATACCTCGGGTTAAGAACTTTGCTTCAGGATGAGAACAATAATCATGCTCCAGTGGCGCGGTGGCACCAGGAGGCCCCATTAGCTAAAGTGGTGCTTCAGGTTAAGAACAGTTTCAGGTTAAGTACGGACCTCCGGAACAAATTAAGTACCGGTACTTAACCTGAGGTACCACTGTATGAGGTTAGCTCTGTTTATCCATGCCCCCCCCCGCCCAACAAAACAATGTAGGGTTTTGTTTTTTGTTTTTTAAGAAGGTACATGAAGCTTTTAACTAAAAAAAATTCCTTCACTGCTGTGTTTTTTATATTGCCTTTCTCTATTGTGAACTGCCCTGAGATCTAGGGATGAAGGGCGGCATACATATTTAATTAATAATACAGTCATATCTCATGTTACGGCCGCTTCAGGTTACGCGTTTGTGGGTTGTGGACTGTGGGAAACCCGGAAGTACCAGAACGGGTTACTTCCGGGTTTCGCCGCATGCGCAGAAGTGCTAAATCGCGCTTCACGCATGTGCAGAAGCACCAAATCACGCCAGCACAGACGCGGCACTTCAGGATGCAAATGCTGCGGGTTGCGGACGTGCCTCCGTCACGGATTACGTCCACAATCCGAGGTTCCACTGTAATAACAAAAACAATCCCGAGCTCTTCAGTGCTCCACAGACAACATTTTGGATAGCCTTATTTCTGCAAAGCTCAGGGTTTAAAAAAGGATGAAGACTCTAGGAAAATAGAGAGGTATACGGAATAGATGTGATACAGTGACAAAGGCTTTGCTGGGATCCTGATTTGACCCAGGGTTATTGACATGTTGCTTTGACTTGGGATGGGGAGAACTCCTGAATCACCTATATTTGTCTTCTTATTTGACCTTCCTACAGAACTATGCACACTTCTAGTATTTATTGTGCTGATCTCTAGCTACGCTGCACTTCCAATTTTTTGGGGGGGGAAACCCCCAAACATTAGTATAGTAATAATGACACATATATATTCACACAATCTTAAACCCTCATATATGGGAAAATGTGAAGTTCTTACAGACATGCCTAAATCTCTCACTTTGGTCAGTTTTGGTGGGAGTTTGGAGACATCTGTCTTTAGATGGGTTTTACATTGTTTGTAATGGGTGACCTTGTACTGTTCATGTTCTTGGTTGTTTAGCACAGCCATCCTATTAAAACAGTTTTATTCTTCAAACTTTTCAGAATATTGAGTTGAAGAGTGTTTCTACAGTGAAAGTCTGTGATACTGACACTTTTTCGATTACTCGCCATCATCTCTGTGATCTTCACCATCATCTCTGTGAACCATATGTAGATAGAGAAATGAACATAGACCAGGTGACTGATTTTTACTTTGCATGTGGCATACTTTGTGTAACAGCAGTAGCAGTATTCCAGAAGCACTTGCTGATTTTTTGCTGTCTGTTGTGGAAAATTGACAATCGGCATTAAGCATTGGGAAGCACAAATATTTGCCTTTCTGTTGTTCAACAGTTGGAATCCCAGTGTCCTTCTGGATTATAGCCACTTTTTTTCTTGTGGGTATGGAATTCGTAAGTGGAATACTTGAAATTAACGTATGTCATTCCTGCAAAAACAAGTATTAAAACTGGAGCTTTTCTTACTGAAAACCTGTAAAAGTTTGAGACTGTTGATGCCTTACTTGCAAAAGAAAATGAAGACAATTTTTGGTCATGCTGTTTATGTTCGTCTATATCAGGCATAGGCAAACTCTGGCCCTCCAGATGTTTGGGACTACACTTCCCATCATCCCTAGCTAACAGGACCAGTGGTCAGGGATGATGGGAATTGTAGTCCCAAACATCTGGAGGGCCAGAGTTTGCCTATGCCTGGGCTATATCATAGAACCTAAATAGCAAGTCCTTAAATAAGTTTGTTTCACCCAATTTTCCTTGTTACCATGCATGTCTGTGGGAAATGGAACTTACCTTCTGCATGAAAGCAGATGCTCTACTGCTGAACTGCAACCCCTTCCCTCATTAAATGAAGTGGAATATTTGAAAATTCAGGACACACAAAAGGAAGCACCACTTCAACATGGTATTCAACTGGGGGGAGTGCTGCTTCCATTTGGTTGGCCATTGCACAAACAGGGTCCTGGACAAGATGGGTCTTTGGCCTAATTCAGCAGGCTCTTCTTAAGTTCATGTGTTCTCTGCCTCTCATTGTTTCCTTCTTCCCACTATTTTGTGTTTAACTCTAGCAGCAGTTTCTCATTTGATTAAACCAGAAGCAGGGACGTCATGCTCTTATAGCAGGCTCTTATGGGGTCCTTCGGAGGTCCCCAATATATTCTGCTGCAGTCCTCCCACACCTCACACAATTTACTGAATTATTTTCCATTCTGCAGAGCTGTTGCCCTTAGTAGGGCACACAGTTGCTGCTCTGTTAGGCTGTGCCACTGAATCAGTTGCCAGACTGAACAGTACATTATTTCCTTATAGTTTACTGTCTAATTGAGGTTGAAATCACAGAGACTTGACATATTGTTTGAGGGCCACCCTTGGGTAGTTGGGTGGGGAAGTTAGTCCCAAATGTATTTGGGTTCAATACCTTTTACCTGGGGACACGGGTGGCGCTGTGGGTTAAACCACAGAGCCTAGGACTTGCCGATCAGAAGGTCGGCGGTTCGAATCCCTACGACGGAGTGAGCTCCCATTGCTCGGTCCCTGCTTCTGCCAACCTAGCAGTTTGAAAGCACGCCAAAGTGCAAGTAGATAAATAGGTACCGCTCCGGCGGGAAGGTAAACGGTGTTTCCGTGCGCTGCTCTGGTTCACCAGAAGCGGCTTAGTCATGCTGGCCACATGAGCTGTACGCCGGCTCCCTCGGCCAATAAAGCGAGATGAGCGCCACAACCCCAGAGTCACAACCCTAATGGTCAGGGGTCCCTTTACCTTTACCTTTTACCTACAAAACTATACTTATGGGTATAGTCTTTTGAGGCACCGTAGAACTTGTAATTCCTAACTTGTTGCTGGTTGACTCCCAGCCAGATGCTCGGTTAGTAGCCAAGGTGGAAGCCAAACGGAAGGAAGGACTGCAAAGCAATGAAGAGAGAGAGAGGAGAGAACAGCAAGAAAAAGCTCGCCTAAGAGGGAAGCATGCCTTGAAGATGGTCCGTCTTGCACGGGTAAGCAAAGTAGAAACATTCTCCCAACATCAGATGAGTAATAATAGCAAATTGGGCACTGTATATTTAATGAATTCAAAGTACAATCACCTAACCTTTCTCCAGAAAGATTCTGAAATAATGGATTGTTTAAAGTTCAAGCCCTTAAAGCGTTCGTAGTGCTTATCCTCAGTTTCTAGGTTCACGGTGTGCAATGTTCTTTCCACTGTCAAAGATGAAATATAGTTGAACATTTAGAAAGCCACGCTGAAGTAATTCAGGCCTCAGGGTAGGTAAGGTTTGGCATTTGTGGGCGTAAGATTGATGAAACGCAAAGCATTCTAATATATGGGAGAAGAGGGTTGTTGTTTTTAACTGCATTGTGCAGGTACTTCAGAGTTGAACTTCAATACAGCTAGAATTCTTTTCAGCATGACCTACTTTCACAGAATGTAGCTACCTATTCAGGTGTAGTTACACAAAGATATAAAGGAGCGGATCCTGAGTTCAGTCAGTGGAAGGAAGCTTGCAGAAGGAGTTCATTCTTGCTTCTTCCATAAAAGCCCTCCTGAAAGGTGCCTCTACTCAGTTTTCAGCAGTTCCCCTGTCTGCCAACTCAGCACCCAAGCATAATAAAAAAGTGTACCGTGTTGAAAATCACAATGGAATTAAGTCTATTAAAGAAATGAAGGCTTTAAAGCTAATGTAAAAAGCAGGTAAAATCAATGCACTTGTTTCCAGTGTTTCACTTACTTGGGGGTTGTCCTGTAGGTCTGACTTCTAGTGGGTACTAAGAGGTGACATATTAAAAAGCCCAACCCTTGTTCTCTCTGCTCTATAACTTCAGCTTCCTGCATTTGAGATTTATTTCTCGTGGCTGTATTAATTCAGCAGATGCACTAGAAAGCTAGGATATTAAGGGGGAATAATGTGGGCTTGTCTTCACAGAATATTTAATGGAATTTTAATGCACCTGATGTGGAGAAAGGAAACAGTATTTCATTTTAAGTGGTAATTAACAAAATATGCCTTCTGAAATTATACACTTAATATCTTCAAATGAAGCTGACGTTTGATAATGAAGTATGACTAATAAATGTCTGCATTTAATCTATAAATCATGTGCAGTAGATTACTGTTCCCCTTTTTAAAGGAATTGCAGGTTGCTTTTAAAGTGGTATATTTAGCAGAAAACTCAACAACATCATTTGTACTTATTGAAATGGATAGCTTCCATTTCCCTGCCTACTGTTTGTGTGTGCGTGCATGCATATATTCAAACTTGTCTGTCCAGCAGAGTGTAATTTGCATGAATAAATGCCGCTCCTCTAAAATTAATTTTATGACCTGCTAACTGAGAGTCTTCAGAAAGTACCCAACATTAAGCAATCATCATCAGAGCTTTAAAAGTATCTTCACTCTGTCAAATAAACTGGCTTGGTTTGTGTGACAGCTTATTAATAGGACATTTTTTTCTGCTGTTAAAGGACAGGGAAAAGCTAATGAAAGAGCTCGAACATATGCAGAATATGGACCTTGCACGCAGAAGACAGATTGTTGCCCAGATGCCACCTCAGTTGTTTCAGCCGCCCTACAAGCGTGTGGAAATCAGGGAAGAATGGCAGAGAGAGCTGGAGTGTGCCTTCGAAGACATGTATACTGGAGACAGGAGTAAGTATTTATAAGTGACTTTTGGACTGTTATGGGGAACCCAGAGATTCCTTTGCCGCTTATTGGAGATTGGAGTAATGTCAGGCAGTCTTCCCTGAAAGACACAAGCTTGCCCACCGTTATGTTTTACATTGGCTGAGCATATTCTGTATTGCACAGTCATTTTCCAAAGGGCAGTGGTGAAGCCCAGCAGGCCTGGCCAGTGCATCCCATAATCTGAATGCCTATTTTGGCATACACACAATGCTGTTTATTGGTTTCTCTGTGGCAGATTTCAGGGGGGACTTCACTAGACAAATTGATTAGGAGAAACAGGAAATTAGAAAACCACTGCTTTGGAAAGATCAATGATATAATCTTCTGTGTAGTCCCTAGCCAGTTCCATTGGTTTTTCACAGAAGCTCATCTTCCATTGAAAACTCCACACCAGCACAGATTGGGGGAATATAGTGGTACCTCAGGTTACATACGCTTCAGGTTACAGACTCTACTAACCCAAAAATAGTGCTTCAGGTTAAGAACTTTGCTTCAGGATAAGAACAGAAATCGTGCTCCGGCAGCGCAGCGGCAGCAGGAGGCCCCATTAGCTAAAGTGGTGCTTCAGGTTAAGAACAGTTTCAGGTTAAGAACGGACCTCCGGAACGAATTAAGTACTTAACCTGAGGTACCACAGTACTACTTTAGGCCTACAGCAGGGTTGGGGAACCTGTGACCCTCCAGTTTAGGTTGGATTCCAAAGTTCCTTCAGTCCCAACCAGTACAGTGGTACCTCCAGTTACGAACTTAATTCGTTCTGGAGGTCTGTTCATAACCGGAAATCGTTCTTATCCTGAGGCGCACTTTCGTGAATGGGGCCTCCCACTGCCTGCACGCCTCTGGTGCGCGATTTCTGCTCGCATCCCAGGGCAAAGTTCGCTACCAGGAGCAGCTACGTCCGGGTTAGCGGAGCTCGTAACCCGAAGCGTTCGCAAGGAGGACGGTTCGCAACCAGAGGTATTACTGTACAACTAATGGTCAGGGCTGACAGTCCATCGACACCTGCAGGGTCACAGATTCTCAATTTTTGGCCTACAGTTGAATATTCTCAGTTACTAGGATTATTTTAGGGCTGCTCTGGAATCGCCATATTGCAGCTTGCGCCCCCCAGTGAACTAATTTTCACATATATAATACAGGACTTTTTTGGACAGAGCATCCCAGATAACTTATTTATTTTCCCTACCATAGGTAGTGTAGTTTGTTTGTAATGTACTGGTTTAAACTCAAAAACCATTTCAATTTGGGGATCTCTAAGGATTCTTAGATGGGCAACACTTTTGCGTTTTTATTACAAATGTGATATTTACAATGAATTCTGGCATCCATATTGCCCATGTTGCAACTTGTTATTGACTGAAGTTTCATTACATGTTGCTTCACTACAATATAAATTTATGTTAAGGGATAGTCATTAGTGGTAAGAGAAATAGTTGTTCTTCTGAATTGGTCTTTAGTGTAATTGAATATCTTGCTTCATAGCTTCACTTTCCTTGGCACTGTGTGATTAAAAAAACATTATTAAATGTCTACTGCTCACCTCCTCTGTAGTTGGAATTTTCAGTAGAGAATGTTGTGTGTTGGTTTCATATGGTCTAATTTCTTTACACAGAAATGAAAGGAGACCTTATTTTGCACCTTGACCCACAGCCCTTGCCAAGTAGATCTCAAGATGATGAGCTGGAACTTTCCCAGGAGCCAGGTTCTGTGTTTGAGGTGCCACCAAGTTTGTCGGATGAGGTGAAGGACAGTGAGCCAAGTAGTAAGAGAAAACTTGATTCTTATTAATTAATATTCACTTAGAAAACAAGTATGGCCTATCAGTTATATTCACTACTGGATATAAGATGGTATAAAGCAGCTGTCAAATGATAAGGATAGAAATAAACATTGATGCATATCTTGCCAAACACTGGCATATGACTCTTGGGTGATACAAAATGCTAGTCATACTTGGAGTAGCCCTATTTGAATCAGTAAACTTGATAAATTTCAGTGGGTTGAGTTGGATCCTGCTCAGTGGTTTCAGAATTGTCTTGTTAACCATGTGACCTTGGGGAGGAATGTGCAGTTTGGTGGCACTGCAAAGTCTAAGGTTATACGTGCCAGAGATTAAGAGTGCATGTGGCAGGGTAGAGTACTGAAACATTTCATATTTGTAACAAGAAATAACGATTGACCTGGGTTGGCAAACTTCAGCCCGTTTCATGAGTTTGTAATCTGTTCAAAATTCAGAACCTCGGAACTGTAGAACTGGAACTTTGGAACTGTAAGGGACCCCAAAGGGTCATCTAGTCCAACCCCATGTGATGCAGGGATCACAGCTAAATAATCCCTAACAGATGGCCATCCAGTCTCTGCTTAAAAGCCTTCCATCATGCAGAGTACACCACCTTGCAAAGCAGTCTGTTTCCACTGCCAAACAGCTATTACTATAAGAAAGTTCTTCCCTATGCCTAGTCGGAACATCTTTTCTTACCATTTGAATCCATTGGTTTGGGTCCTACCCTCTGGAGCAGTAGAAAACAAGCTTGCTCCATCTTCCATGTAACAGCCCAGAGGTATTTGAAGATGGCTATCATATTACCCTCTCAGTCTCCTCTTTTCCCTCAACCGTCCTATATTCGTCACTTGAAAGTGACTCTGGCCTATGCAGGTCCTGTCCAGTGATGCCAGGCCTTAACATATTGACCGCATATGAATGTCACACCAAACCATGAGTTTCATGGGTTACTCTCTTATAAGAACAGCTTCCTTAGTTTTCTTGCTCATGCGTGTACTGTTTGTTTAATTTAGGTAGTGAAGTTGAAAAGCCACGTGAGCCTCAGTCAAAATTGGCTCTTAAAAAATTGCTAAACAAGATCAGGAACCAAAAAGACCATTGGACAACAGGAAGTGAACCAGAAATTACAAGTGAAATTGAATCAATTGAATCTGGAACAATTTCTAGTAGAGAAAGAAGATTATACGACTCCGAATCTGAGCCTGAACCAAAGAGTGATCCTGTCTCTGAAGCCAGGGGTATGTTCGTGTGGGGGTTTTTTGCACTTAGGAATTAAAACTGACCATGATGATGAGCAGGATTCAAAGAACTGTGAAACTAATTTGTGAGCCAAAGGGGCAAACAACAACCACCACCACCACCACCACCACCACCCATCTGGCTGAGTTTCCCCAGCCACACTGGGCGGCTCCCAATCGAGTGTTAAAAACAATACAGCATTAAATTAAATATTAAAAACTTCCCTAAACAGGGCTGCCTTCAGATGTCTTTTAAAAATAGGATAGCTGCTTATTTCCTTGACATCTGATGGGAGGATGTTCCACAGGGCAGGCGCCACTACCGAGAAGGCCTTCTGCCTGGTTCCTTGTAACCTCACTTCTCGCAGTGAGGGAACCGCCAGAAGACCCTCGGTGCTGGACCTCAGTGTCCGGGCTGAACGATGGGGGTGGAGATGCTCCTTCAGGTATACAGGACCGAGGCCATTTAGGGCTTTAAAGGTCAGCACCAACACTTTGAATTGTGCTTGGAAACGTACTGGGAGCCAGTGCAGATCTCTCAGGACCGGTGTTATATGGTCTCGGCGGCCACTCCCAGTCACCAGTCTAGCTGCCACATTCTGGATTAATTGCAGTTTCGGGGTCACCTTCAAAGGTAGCCCCACGTAGAGCGCATTGCAGTAGTCCAAGCGGGAGATAACCAGAGCATTCACACTCTGGCAAGACAGTCCACAGGCAGGTAGGATCTCAGCCTGCGTACCAGGTGGAGCTGGTAGACAGCTGCCCTGGACACAGAATTACTCCTACACCCCTTCAAATAACTGTTTTTCCTGCCAGGAGGAAAAAAAAAAGCTAGATTAGGGGACAGGGTGAGGGCACAAACCCCTTCTGTGAGCTGAAACACCTCTTTGGAAGCTGACCAGCAGTGGTGGCATCAGTATGACTGTCATAAATTATAAGAGGACTTTATATTTAATTTGTTATCACAAGAACTAAGTCTATGCTGTATTTTTTGTGTTTTTATATTGTAAACTGCCCTGTGATCTCAGATGAAGGGTGGCATAGAAATTAAAAGAATAAATTATATAAAATGATGCAGGGTCTAACATGAGTAACTATCCTTAATCTACTATATAGTCATGTTATATGTGTGTCTACTTAGAACTGCCGCAGACACTGGACCAAAGTATTGTTGCTGGAAATGTAGTTCTAGATCACCCACAAGAACAAGCAACTAAACTCAGAAAGGAAGCAGAAAGACAAAACCAGGTATAACTGTTTTTCAGTCTACAGCAGTGGGGCAGTTCCATTCTGATATGCCCGTGTTGTCCTTCCCTCTGGGGTTGTGTGAATAATGAAGAGCAGAATATGAATTAACACCAATAAGATGGGGCACTTAAGTCACTAGTGTTTCGATTTCAAATTACAGGAAACTGAATGTCAGAAAACTCATTTCAAGAACAATTAAGGCTAAACGTCAAGATAATGAAAAAGTCTGAAACACAAAAACACCCTGCTGCTTCCCACAGTGACCTGCACAATAGCTTTAACTGTTCTCTACCTACACCTGGGATGGGAAACCCTTTTTGCCTGAGTTTCCACATTCCCTTCTGGACAGCCTTCCAGGGTCAGAGGCAAAAGTGGGTGGAGCAATGAATGCAAATACACCTTTGTAAAGTACCCTAGTTTCTACACAGACACCTCTATCCTCCAGGCAAGCAGTTATCAGAGTTCAAGGGCACATTGCAGCAAGGCAACAACACACAAGTGGATGGTTTGGGAGGGGGTGTAGCCTGCCTCCCCACCCTGCCCTTCCTGAGATTCCTATCCCTGCTCTACTCAGTGGGGTGAGAGGAATGGAAACCTACACAACTGAAAGGGCTCTCTCGTTTCTTTCCTTCTGACAGCCAAGAATAATTGCTAATGTAAGCTTGTACTTGCATGGTTTCAAACTTGTGACAGTCACAATGCCAGGAATGCATAGAAGTCAGTCTTAAATATCCAGTTAACTTCAATTTAATTTCTAGGTTTCACTCTTCCTTTTCTTAGACATCTGTGATCACTACGATATGATTGCAATATCATACAATTCAAAGCTGTATTGTAAAGTTATGGGTGTTATTATTTATTCTCAGTGTTGTTTCCATAGGTTTAATTACAAGGATGCAGTATAGTTTTTACAAGAAACTTTTGATGACTATTTTATGATTCTATATTTTATCCAAATTAATACTTGTGATAAATGTTGTTCTGTCAAAGAATTTATTTAATGGGAGGTTCATTGTGTACCATGGATTCTTTCTGTGACTGACATACAGAATTGCTATTCATTTGACTAGATAGAGCACCAAAAGCAACAGCAGTTGGCATTGCTTCAGCAAATTGAACACCAGAAAAAACGTCTGGAGGCCGATTTTCTGAAGGCTCAGTTGCAGCACCAGGAGCAGGAATTTAAAAAAGAGCAAGAAATGAAAGATCAAGAATCCCAAACGGAACAAGTGGATATTAGGGTCCCCTTTGTACACCAGCAGCAGGAAGTACAACATAAGGTGAAGGAGAAAAGTTGTTTTGTCTGACATAATGCTGGATTTGCTAATTCTGTGGCTGTTCACATCATACTAAGCCATAGATGATGCTTCCGTGTGAAAATGAAGATCACTCCTGCCAGCTCATGAGCAGGAACAACAAACCACAGTTTTCCCCTTGAAATGGTGGATTCTGCTCAAAGAGACCATGATTCATAAGCTTTTGCTTAAGATCGTGGTTTGTTTGGAGCAAAACAAATCATGACCCCCAGTTTGGATGTATTTATAACGGTGGATCCACACCATACATGTAAAGCATATGGCTACCCTCAAAGAAAACCCACCTCAGTAAATACTGTCATATTGTGACCGCTGTTGGCTTTGAAACAGAAACTAACTGTTCCCCACAGAACTGATTCAAATGATTGCTTTTTGCACAGTGCTGATATTTTCTTCATTTAATTTCTCTTTAGCTTGAAAGAGCCGTAGAGCTACAGGAAGCCGGCAGTTCTGTAGAGGGCGATCATACAGAGGACGATCATATACAGATGATTCGCGACTATCAGCAACGCCTTCTAATCCAAAACAGGTATTTTTCTGTCAACACAAGAGATTCCTGGCTACCTGTTTGATGCTATCTTGGCAGTGCTGCTCCTGAAAAGTGTTATCTGCTCAAATATATATATGTCTCTTTTAGGATGCACAGAGTGTCAGTGGAAGAAGCCAGGAAGCATCTGCATGAGTATCAGAACAAGCTGAAACAGAGATACCGCTCAGTTTCTGCGTCATTGTTAGGTCCTGCTAACAGACTTGCACAGCAAGATTCTGTCCCTGACGCGCCATCAAAATTACAAGGATATCGTGGTTTGCAGAGAGTTAATCTAGCAGCGGACCAGCCATTTGGGACTGCTCCTGTACAAGAGTCAGTTGAGCATTCAAAACTGCCTTGGATGTTGGCAGTGCCATCATCAGAGCAGGGGGGAACAGAACAACGGTTTGATGTCGGCAGCGGGCATGTAGGTACTCTGGAGGGTCAAAGGCTTTTTCAGTTGACACAGGCTTACGGTTCACGCCAACAGACAGAAGAACTGGGCGCAGTGGAGACACCTTCAGCACAGTCATTGGAATTTCACAGCATTCCAGAATCATTAACGCTTAAGTCACAGGACACTTCTGTTACAGCTCAGCCGGTGGCTCAAACACAACATGCCCCGTTCACTTTCCCTGTGGGCAGCTCTTCTGTGTCTGCAGAAACACTCTGGTCTGATAAACGGACGTCTCATGCACCTTCAGTGGAGAAGATTCTCCTCCCAGCAACCTTAAAGCACCAGCACATACCTCCCAAAAGTTGGACAAAAACAACCTTGGAGCAATCTAACCTCCCTCCTTTGCGGCCCCTCTCGTCTGTGCTTTCCTTTGTTTCTAGCGAGAGTCAAAAGACCCAGGAATCCTACGCGTTAAAAAATGGAAGTGGATCCATGCCCGGTTATTCTGATATAGTGGAATTAAGGGACAGAATGATGTCTTCCTCTGAGAGCATTCAAGCTCAGCAAGAACACTTGAAAGAACTACAAGAGCAGCTAGATAAGCAAAGGGAAGCTCTTCTTTCTCGGCAGAAGGTACAAGAGGACTTGCTCATGAAAAAACATACTCAGCTGAAACAACAAATGGAACAGCAGCAGGAAGCTTTAAAGGAGTTTATTAAAAAGGTATGCTTTTTACATGGCATGAAAACATTTTGAATGTTTTTCAGTTTAATTCAGAATGAGAACATCTCTTGATTTGTTTTCCTAAACTTTGAGTAGCTGCACTTTCGTTGCCATCATTTCAGTCAACTCTTGTCTAGAGATGTACAATTTCTGGAAATTATGAAGTCTGTTTTTTAGTGGGGTGATCTTTTGGGGAGCACTGAAATGTATCCTAAATATTTCTGTTTTTAAGTATGTGAAGAGTATAATTTACCATATAATTTTGGTATATTAAATTTTAAATGCCTTTGTTTAAACAACTACTGTGGCAGCAGTGTGAGTTGGCTGTAACAATATTTTCAAAGCACAGCTTTTGAAAGTATTTCACTCATAACTTTGGGAGAAAATACCAATTTCCCCTTAAAGTTATGAATGCTTCTATTTCAGGCCTCAGAAAACATTTCTGCTTCTCTCTCTCACCCACACACTTCCCATTAGCTCTATTCTTGCCACAGTTTTAAAGGAAAATGTTCCTCCCTTCTTCAGTGTATTAATGGAAGAGCATTTTTGCAATCATTTTTTAATCTTAGCTTTTTTATTCTGAATCAGCTCTATGAACATAACTGAAAGTCCCTGGAAAAGAGGCAACATGTGCAGTTCAGTGGTGGAGTGCATCCTTTGCAATTTGGAGATCCCAGATTCAAAACTTTTAATATTTAGTTAAAGGATCTAGCCTCTTTCTGGCAGACACACTCCTGGGTAGATGGATTAGTAATAAGGCTGCTCCAGTTCTATGTATAGGTTGCAATTTGGTGCCCATTTACTTGGGAGTAAACCCCATTAAACACAGTAGAACTTATAAGTAAGCAACCATAGAATTGGTCTAAATATCTAATCATCTCTTGGATGTGTGTGATGCCTTATAGTGGGGAAAAAATGCTTGTGTTTAGGTACTCTTCATTTCTACTTATAGGCAGGACAGTCCAGCACATGCAGAGATATGACAGAGCAGCGAGAGACTGATGACTTCCATCTGCTGCCAACACTAGGAGCAAAAGACAGCAACCAAGAAATGGTTCACGTTGCTGATATGAGCAGTCATTCTGAAAAGGACATTTTGTTTCATAGTGTTCGTCCAAATGAACAGATTGGTAAGCACCTTTCGATATGTCAGGTTAACCTGCTTTTGTGTCTTGTTTTGACTTCCCTTCTTCCTTCAAATTGATCTGACTTGGAACAAAATATACTGCACAAGCTTTCGAGCTCTCCAGAACTCTTCATCAGGGATTCTAGGATGAACTGGCTGATCCCATTTTTTAAAAAAAGGAAAGCCTGACTGCTACTCAGACCTATTTCATGCCTTAAGTGAAACACAGGTTTTCAAAAAGGGGGATCAGAATCCCAGGTGTAACCTGATGCCTGCAGGCACCTAGCTAGTAGGGTAATAGTGTTTCCCAGCCATGGAACAAAGGTAAGTATTGTTTTCCTTGGATTGCCGAGAGAATGACATGCCTCAGACTGAGTAGAAGTGAAATGTTAACTGGGGAGCTCTTAGTTTGTAGCTCAGTGTTCCAGCTGCTATATCAGTTGCAGGTCACCTGAACTTACCTTTACTTTACAGAGCGATTTCAAGACACCTGGGGAAGAGAACAGACATGGAGACTTTCAAAGCCGCCTTTGTCAAAAATAAAGCTAGGGCTCGATTTGGAACAGCATGAACTTAGCGTTATACCAGAACTTGACACACCACGGAGTGGCAGACTTTCCTCTACAGGTAAATTGTAAAAGTGTGGTGTTGATCAGAAGTTCTTACATGGTATGGCTCATCCTCTCTTGCTGTAAAATCCCAAAGCTTCTGACCTTTCCTAGACTTGTCAGAAATTGTGGAGCATAATTCCAAGGTAACGATTGGCGAACAAATCCAATATCCTCTCATTAAGTAGTGCTTAGAGCAGAAGGAACCTACAAAAATACGGTATTGCCGCTACAAAATCTGTTAGGGCTGCGCAGCAGCTGAATCAAGCTCTGTCAAAAGGGATCCTTTTTTAATCTTCTAATTGAAATAAGGTATTTTAAAAGTACAGTCAAGTATTGGTCTTTACTTCTAACAATTGGCAACTGACACTTGCAGGCTACAGAGAACCTCTTACTGGAGATACTTGCCTGGCTTCAAGGGCCCATAAGTGGCATTCCAGCATCAGTCCAGATGAAGATCTCCATGAAGAAACAGATTTATTAAGAATTACGGCGGATGGCCAAGAACCAAGTTCTGATGAAAGTGAGATCCAGTTCAGTGAATTATGGTGTGAAAAGTCAGCGATGGAAGCCGGTGGCTTGTGTGACTCGGGTGAGAAGTGTTGCTTTTTGGATGTGTTGGGGGCCCTTTTGGTTTGCAATCTGCCTCGTCAAACCTAATGATGCTAATTTAGCTTGAGCCAAATATTGTGTCTGCTTTATATTAGATCCATGGAAAGCTAATGTGCCATGGCACTGCTTCTGAAGAAGCCCTAAGCTCCAAGGGGAGGCCATTACATCATTGCACAATAGCTCCCATAACAAGTTGATTCAATTTGGTGCATGGGTAATATAGCTGAGAGCTTCCTTTGGTCCCCATTATAGCACCTGATGGCAACACAGTGCCCTTCACTCACCCCTCTTGGTGCCTGTTAGGTCCGCTTGCCCCATCAAAAAAAAAAATCAAGTTTTGTTTTGGTTTTTTTTAAAAGCGCCTTTTAGATTTTTGGATGGGGGGGCATTGTTTTGGGGAAATGGTGTTGCCTGTTTTGTTACCTGTGTTTGTTTTGATATGTGTAAGTGTTTAGTCCAGTTTTAGGAGAGGGGTTCGTCTGTGAAATGGGTTTGTTTTTGTTTCTATTGATTTATTTAACCAATTTGTATCATGTCCTTCCTCATAAAACAGACCATGTTGCAACAGTGGCAGCAGTTTCTTAGTTTTCCAGATGTGCCCCCAGGCCCCCAAAGTTTGGGGACTTCTGATCAACAACATGGCAGATTGTTGAGCCGAAGCCGTTTACTGGCCTGTTATCAAAAGCAGCACCTTGATTTTCACCCCTAAAATCAAACTTATAACGCCATAATGTATTAAATGGTTGTTAGAACATTTTCAGCTCTGAATAAGTTAGGTTTTCTTTCTGTCCTGGTGTGAATCATTCTAAGCCCCTGAGAACACTCCTGTTCTGCAGAGCAGTAGCTGGCATTTCCCATCAAAGTCTATGAAGGACATGCTCTCTGTGTGCAGGTGAGATTGCAACATATGAAACGGGAGCGGAGCATGTACTCTCTGATAGAAGGAAGCAAGCCTGGGCAGAAATGAAGAAGTGGGAATGGCTTATGGAATAAAACCTGTTCAGATTCATAAATGCTTGCTGTTTTCCTACTCTTTGTCATTCTGATTTATTTTATTTTTGTGTGTTCAGCCCACTCCTACGAACTCCGTCTTAGAGATCGAGGCTTACCAAGCTCTGATGATACTGGAAAGATAATAGCTACGTATCCCGATCCTTCATTTAGATCTGATTGTATGGTTAGTCACCACTGGGTTTTAACGTGTAATACAATGCATTTATTTTAAATAAGCTTGCTTCCTTTTCTCTAATCTTTGTGGGGTTTTTTTTAAAAAAAAATTATTAATTGGAACTGTTAATTACAAACTGGCATTCAGATGTGAGCGCTGTTCATTCTTGGTTTTGCTTTAGGGAGCTCTGAAAAGCTCCGCTCTTCTTCTTTAAATTTCATGTCTAGTTTTGTTTTGCAAAAGTTTTCTGGCGACAAAATACTAAATGGAACGCAGCACTGCTGAATATAGCACCAGTTGCGCAGTCTGCCTCCCTTATTTGTGGAGTTAAAATTGTCATTTAATTCTCCTTGACGATTAAAAAAAAATAATCTGGAAAACAAGGCATTATATTTTGAATAGTATTACTTATTTTAAAAACCTGACGTTTACATCTCTTATACTGCATAACATTAGAAAAAGACACAAACCACTTTCCATTAGTAAATAAGCATGACTGTGTCTTGCATTGCTTCACTTTTCCTCTGAGAGCCTCTTAATCGGTGACTCTGTGATGAGAATTAGCCAAATCTGAGCGCCTAAAAGATCAGCTGGTCTGTGCGGTGCATGATTTGTAAACTGTTCTGGGAAGCAATACAAGTCTGAATTGAGAGCATGGTGATTTGTGATGTATGGTTCCTGTTGAACGAATGAGTGAATGGAACGAGTGAATGAGTGAGTGGAATTTGAGTGAACGAATGAATGAATGAATGAGAGAGACAGAGAGACTTTACTGAGCAATGATGAGCCTGATGTGTACTGACAATTGAATACGTGGAGGTTTATACACTTGACCTGAGCTCAGAACAAAATGTGTTGCAATTCCGAGCACTTGGGGTTCTGGAATTCATAATCGTTACATTTCATATGTATTATTGCCTTAGGTAACACTTTCTACGGAATGGTGCCCTTCTTCATTAAGTCCACAGACATCTACACAACAGGTAGCATGTGGCTATTTCGCTTCATCTTCGCTTTCTGCTACCAGCTTCATGGCCAATTCCAATCCTGACGGAAGTCTTGCCAATACAGGTACAATTTCTTACAAACTGTAATACAATAGACTGGGTTTTTCTGTTTACATGGCTGTGTCCAACATGAAAGTGTGCTGTGGAGTAGTCTGAATAAGTTGCACAGTTCTTAATTATGGATCAAAGCATTTATTTTCTTGATTTGCATGGAATTTTTTATGAAGTTGAGCATGGTTGTGCTATGTCTTGCAGAGTCTCATTCAGGCAGGAAACAACCGTGTCATTTCAGTTCTCCTTTGAAAGAGAAAGCAAATACTGCTTTGGGTCCTTCAGTTTCTCTGCTGGGTAAACAGGATGATCCTTCAGAAGCTCCTGGCTCCCATCTGTTTGGAGAAATGTTGCACTCGGATCGACGTAAAATTCAACAGATCATAGACAAATATACAAGAGATTTCAGCTGGTCATCTTTAAGCAACATCTCTTCCCATGGTAATGTTAGTAGAAGGTGAAAAATAGCAAATTCAGAAGTATTCAGAGGGAATGAATTTGTATTTTTTTAAAAAATTAATTTTGTTTCTTGTCCTGTGTGTTGTCGAAGCAACATAATTCTTCTTTATAAGGCTTTATAAGGCTTATAAGATCATAATACTATACCATAGCTTGATAGCATGAGAAATAGGAGGTATATCTGAATTTCACGGAACAAAGACCAGTAGAGTCTGCAACATGTTGATTCAATGAACCTCTTTTTTTGATATAACCTCCCCACCCCCTTCTGCTTCTAGTTCCTTTTTGGATTTCCCATTCTTGTTGCGGTTTGTATTGTTGGTCAACAGTTTTGTAGCTATACTAAAAATACATCTCTCTATACCCATTTCAACCTGGCTTCAGTTCTGGGTTTGGCGCAGAAAACCACCTTGGTCACCCTGATTGGGAGAAATGGGTGGAATGAGGTGCTGACGTGGTTGATTCTCCTTAGTCTTTACACCTTGTAACTTGGAGCCTTGAGAGTTGTGGGGAAAGCCCATAGTCTTGCCAATGACTATAACCCCTATATGAGATATAGGGGCTTACTGGTTGGTTATGGCACTCTGTCTCCTGGAAGTATGGCTGTCTTACTTGTTGACAATTTTCTAGCATCAACTTAAAACACATTTTTTAAATTCAGGCCTTTGAGAGATTGCATAGGGTTGAGTATTATGGCTGTTGCTGCTGTGTACTGATGGAAATGTTTTTGCTGTATAGCAGAATGTGGAACCTGTGGTCCTGCAGATAAAGTTGGACTACAACTCCCAGCAGCCCCACCCAGCATGATTGACAGCCAGTGGTGTGATGAGTGTTTGTACTCCCCACAGCATCTGAAGGGCCACAGGTTCCCCATTCCTGCTGTATAGTTTGGGGTGTTAAGAGTTTTAATAACCATGCCTTGGGGGTCCTACAGGATTAAGGGCGTTGGAAAAGTATGATAAATTAATACATATTTTTAAATGATTGTGACCATTTGGTGCAACCTTTTAATTGTTGAAAGGGACACAGGTAGCGCTGTGGGTTAAACCACAGAGCCTAGGACTTGCTGATAAGAAGGTCGTGGTTCGAATCCCCGTGACGGGGTGAGCACCCGTTGCTCGGTCCCTGCTCCTGCCAACCTAGCAGTTCGAAAGCACGTCAAAGTGCAAGTAGATAAATAGGTATCACTCCAGCGGGAAGGTAAACAGTGTTTCCGTGCGCTGCTCTGGTTCTCCAGAAGCGGCTTAGTCATGCTGGCCACGTGACCCGGAAGCTGTACGCCGGCTCCCTCGGCCAATAAAGTGAGATGAGCACCACAACCCCAGAGTCCATCACGACTGGACCTAATGGTCAGGGGTCCCTTTACCTTTTTAATTGTTGAGACTGCTGGATTGAGTGGAGATTATCCCAGAAGACCATCTTTGAAGGTGTGAAAGCATTAAAGAGGGTTTAGCTGTTGATTTTTAAATGCACGTGCTGCCTCATTGCCAGTGTGTTTGATGTGTGATGTAAAACATTCTGTTTTGGCAACAGTCGATTTTCCTTTTAACCTTTTTAAGATCTGGCGGTCGATACTACTGACCTTGAGAGAAGTTTTCCAAATTTCCACCGTGAGCTTTTTAAGCCTTTGGAACCAAGAGCTGACTTTGATACGCTCTCAACCTTTTCTCAGAACAGCAAGAACCTAAGCAAGGTATTTCAAAAAGTGTTTGTTCCTATACATCACGGGTTATTACAGTTAAGAACTGATTACTATTATTCTCACATAAAACCATTTCTGGTATTTATAGTGTTGAAGCAGTTTGTAATCTTACAAAATTCAGGGGAAGTAGGGGCAAGTCCAGGAGATTTCTTTCCTCCTTACCTGGTGGGTGACAAGCTTTAGCGCACCTTACCCCTAGAGGTTAGATCTTCACATGGCCTTCTTCTGTGGGAATGTGAATTATCTTCAGATTACTGCATAGCCATGTAAGATTCCACAGTGGATGTTATCAGTTGGCTTGTCATTTAACAGATATATTACTTGAAAATATAATTTGAATGTCTCAGTTCTTAAATTTCTCATAACGCACTTGGTCTCTCTCTGCCTGCACACATTTTTCTGTCAGCAGAATTCCACCTTATTGAAGAGCCACGAATTAACAGCTTCCAGCTTGGAAGAAGGAAGCAACAACCTTTCTCTTCTCAGTACAGGAAAACTAAGTGATATTCCACCAACGCAACAGAGTGGCAAAGAGGCAAAGGAGCAGAGGCAAGGTAATTGTTCCGTTTGGTCTTCACAGGACAGAAACTATTCTGGTTGCTGGTTAATAGAATCCGACAAACCAGCAACACCAAAAACTGGCTTATGAATATAAATATTCATAATAGTCGCCTTTGACTGAACTTAACCGTCCAGGGGTCCTTTACCTTTTACCTTTTTACCTTATAATTCAGCAATTAGTCAGAAAGTCAGTCTCTGGCATCTCTAGTCAAAGGTTAAGATAGTAGGTGATGTGAAAGACCCCTCTCTGCCTGAGAACCTAGAAAGCCGCTACCTGCCAGAGTAGACAGTATTTGGCTATATAGTCAAGTAGTCTGACCTTATGCAAAGTCAGACCATATGCCCATCTAGCTCAGTACTGTTGACACCAACAGGCAGCTGCTCTTCAGGGGTTCCGGGAATCTTTCCCAGCCCTACTTGGAAACACCAGGATTTAACCTGCAATCTGTTGCATGCAAATCATGTACAGTATTGTACTAAGCTACAATTAGTATCCTGTGTTTCTAACGAAGAAAGGGGAAAAAAATCACCCCACCTCATCTTGAAATTCAGTTCTGCTTTGATCCAGGTTAGAATTTTTGTTTTTGTTTCTCCATTCCAGGTGCCGAAGAATCGTTTGAACACCTACCTCTGCAATCTTCCTTAAGAGAGTTTCCACAGAGTGGTGATAAGTATGGATCCTTCAGCGCGGAGTCCGAACGAAACCTTGAAATGAGTAAAACTAATGGGAGCAGTATCTATATCGCACCTGAGAGCACACAGTGTGAGGAGCAGGGAAATGATGAGATCACCACCCTTTATTCTTCCATTGAAAATTTCCGTAGTCCAAGCCTAGCAGAAGATGGAGGCTCATTTTATCAGCTAGTTCCAGATAATGGAACAAGGAATAGTGCTCTTGGGGCCACAGAGTCGGAGAAAGAAGGCATGTCAACAAAAGAAGAGAGCCCGTATTTTGCCGAATTACCCACTGCATCAACTGACAGCAAGTGTAATACAGTTACAGAAAAGGCAGCTGTAAATGAGGATTTAGAAATTGATCTCTCTCAGTGTACTTTGCAAACTGTGGGAGATCAGAGTCCTCTAATAACAGAGACGATGCCGAGTTTGACTCCAGAAATGAACTCTAAGCTCTCAGTGAGCCCTGTGCAAAATTCTGTGCAGCAAACTGGCAGAGTGCCAGATGCATTTCAGCAACCAAATTTGACTGCCATGCATGCTGAAAGTTCACGTTCCTCTTTGTCAAGAAACGTACCAGTCTGGGTGAGTGAACTAAAACTATAAGTAGCATGTGGTATCAAGTTGGGGCTTAGTCTGAAACTGTCCAAATCCTGCCTTTCTTAGCATATTGATGAAAGTAGAGCATTGACCTAAATCACAGAGAGCCAGCACAAGGTCTGTGGTTTACCTGTGAGCCTTCTGAAATGCCATCTGCGGCACCTAAGCTTCCGTTGGGGTTTTTGAACTTTCAAACAGGTGTAAAGGAATTGAGCTAAATGTCAAGGTGGCTTGGCATCTCAAGTGCTGCAACAATACTGGCATGTGTGATGTCTGTGCAAATTATATTAAATCATGCACATCCAAAACATAGCATTCTGTCATTCTAATTTCTAGGAAACACATACAGGGCAAGGGATTATGGAAGAACCCGAGTTGACTCTAATAAGCTCCAATGACATCAGCATTGCAGAATCAGATTTGGAATTCTTTGGACAAGCAGAGAGCAGAAAGGAGAAAACCGAAAACTTGTCTTACGTTGATCATTCTGAAGCAATAAGCTGTCCCATGGTAAACATTTTGGTTCTTCCCCCTTCCCAATAGACCCATTTTCTGTGGGTGAGGTTATTGTTGTCTTTACTAGTTTGCAAAAAGGGATAATCCGTGAAATTTAAATTACAGCATGGTTTGAATTTGCAGCATTTATTTTTTTATTAATAAACAAACCGATTGCTTGCCCTTCCTCAACAGGTCCTAGGGTGGGTTACAACATTTTAAAATTCAGGATTAAAAACAGTTAAAACATATTACATTCAGAGATGTGTCCTGAACCACCTGTCTCAGATGCTGAAAGCCGGGGTCAAGAGGTGTGTCTTCTGCATTTGCCAAAAGCTGTATAATAAAGAAGCCAGAAGCACCTCGGTGGGGGTGGAATTTCACAGCTGCCACAGAGACCGTCCTCTCCTCTTCTGGGCCACCGAATCCAAACTTCTGATGGAGGTGGAACTACCAAGAGGGCCCCCTCTGCTGACCTTAAAAACCAGGAGGGTCTGTAGGGAAGGAGACAGTCTATCAGATATTTAGGTTTAACAAGATCCTAGCTAATAAACTGAACTTTGAAAAGGGCATGGAATTATGTGCAACCTGAGCACACATCTAGCATAGCTTTGGAAGCAATGTGGTTTATAATAAAGATGTATGATGGAAGAGAGAGGGAGTGTGCTAGAGAAGTCTTTAGCCTATTGGGTTTTAAGTGTGTGCATGATTGCATAGGTGTGTTCTTGTCCTGTTTAGCAATTTCTTTGAGCTTAGCCTCTCCTTCTTTGGACGTTTCTCACCAGCCCAGCAACAACCCGTGGACAAGTGCACAGAGATGCTTTTGTAGTAATAATAATATCATAAGTTATTATTTATACCCTGCCCATCTGGCTGGGTTTCCCCAACCACTCTGGGTGGCTCCAACTAAATATTAAAAATACAGCTGCCTTCAGATGTCTTCTAAAAGTCAGATAGTTGTTTATTTCCTTGACGCCTGGTGGGAGGGTGTTCCACAGGGTGGGCGCCACTACCATGAAGGCCCTCTGCCTGGTTCCCTGTAACCTCACATCTCGCAGGGAGGGAACCGCCAGAAGGCCCCTGGAGCTGGACTTCAGTGTCTGGGCTGAACGATGGGGGTGGAGATGCTCCTTCAGGTATATAGGATCGAGGCCGTTTCGGGCTTTAAAGGTCAGCACCAACACTTTGAATTGTGCTTGGTAACGTACTGGGAGCCAATGCAGATCCCTCAGGACCAGTGTTATATGGTCCCGGAGGCCACTCCCAGTCACCAGTCTAGCTGCTGTATTCTGGATTAGTTGTACTTTCTGGGTCACCTTCAAAGGTAGCCCCACATAGAGTGCATTACAGTAGTCCAAGCGGGAGATAAGTAGAGCATGCACTACTTTTGCACAGTTGTGTGTATGTAGCCAGCTGCAGGAGTGTGAAAAGTTGGGCCACAGATTCCGGCACTGCTATTCCTTAGGGGGACTTAATTAAAATTAAACAACAGATTGGAATGACAGAGCGAGGGGAGGAGTAGTCATTCCCACCAATTCAGTATGGATCTATGAGAATCCTTTGGAGGGGCATTCAAGCCTTCCGTACTTTTGCTGTTTGTGGGAGTTAAGCTGCTAAGACAAATTCCATCTCGTTGCCCCTTCCTGTGCTTGTGTCTATTCCACCCTTTGAGCCTTTGCTATACAGTGTCCGGTACACACACAATACTTGTGGTGTTTATAGGTTCCCCCAGTAAGTTTTTTCCTCCAGCCAAGCCACTGGAAAGCTACGTCAACTGTGGCTTCTTGTGCCCCTTCTATTCTCTAGCTGTTCTGTACATGCTTGGAGTCCTCTGTGTTAAGAATCATCGCACTGCTTGAGATCGAATTTGTATCTCAAATCCAGTGAATTCCAATTTAAAACACAATTTCTACTTCCATTTGGTTTTTAATTTTTTGCAGTTCCTTTTGTAGCAGTACTTTATTCCTCGTAATGAAGTGACATTAAAGTTTACAATCATCACGTTACTTATTACAGCCAATTTTACTCTCTTAGCAGAGCAGAGAATTTTTACCTTTAAATTCAGAAGTGGACAACTCCATTTGCTCTCAGCCTGACTATCCATTAGCAGCTTGCAGCACCCAAGAGGATTCTTGTCAAAGCTCCAAACAAGAAGGTAGGTGTGCAGTAGCTTCAGCAAAAGGACAAGAGCTGAGGCAGCATATCAGCTTATGTCAAGAAAAGAATGATGAATGCTTAGCTAATGATTTATCCGTCTTTTCAGGAGAGCATCGTTCTCGGCCGTGCAAAGACCAGAAAGGCACAGAGCTGTGCTCTGCAAAGCCTTTATTAGACATGTTCTTGCCTTCTTGTGGGCAATAAAATGTTATTTTTAGTGCATTCTGAATTAACTGATTGTATCCCAATCTAGAAATCTACATGCTTTTGGCTCCTTTGGTTACATTTTCTTCCCTTCTGTAGAAACTGGTTGGTGAGAAAACATGTGTTTTCCCCTTCACTGTTGTGAGTGTCTGAAAGGCATGGCTTATGCTCACCAATGGGCCTCTTAATGTTTCAGTTTAATTATTTTCTTCTTCAATAAGCCGAGATAGAATAATTAGATCTGTGAAAGTTTAAAAGCTGTCGTGGATATGTACTAAAAACCGTACTCCCACATGATATATGGTAAATGAAATAAGGTCTCTCAAATAACTTCATGAGTAGAGGTTTCACCTTCCCTCCCCTACAGCACTGTTGCCAGAGTTCACGTCTGCCACCGAGAGCTTGCAGGAAGCGTTTTTCAGGCGGAAGAAAGATTTCATTGAGAGATCCTGTAAAAGAGTAGAGAAGATCAAAAGTAGAAAGCGAAGTTCTGAAAAGCCTCTGGCTCAGGCATCTCAAGAGAAAGAAGCCCATCTTCATAAACCAAGAGAGAACTTGTCGCCTCCTGGTAATTTTATTAGCAAGCCATTCAAAGCTTTAGACCAGAGATACCAAGCAAGGAATGGAATAAGCCGATATGTTTTCTTCTCATAGTTATTGTTATTAAGGGGCCTTTCCCCCTTGAAATACTCAACTACTTAAGAGATGCTTTACAAAGTATTCTGCTCACCCTGGGTCCTTATAGAACAATCAGTTGCTGGGGAGAGTGTTGGTTGCTTCCCATGGGCATTTGGTCAGCTGCTATGAGAACATGATGTTGGATTTAGATGGGCCATTGGTCAGATCCAGCATGCCGTTGTTATGCCTTCCACACTTTGTTCAGTGTGGGTTAAAAATTCAAACATTGCTGCAGTCCATTTCCTATTCCATTGTGAATGAAAAATATATAGTTGCTCTGGGGAAAAACACTGCCTATTGAATGTGGTCTCATGAACTTTATGTTAAACTTAGTGTGTTCTGGTTAACTCCAAGGTGCAGCACCTGTTCATTTGAAGAAAGTAGAAGACTTTAAAGTGTGTTCCGCAGAGGACAGGAAGGCAGCAGAAGCACAGATGTACCAACGCACTTCAAGGTATTGTGGGAGCCACATTGGGCAGAAACCGAACTAGTTTAGCTGATCAAGCTACTTGATTTTTGCTTGAAGAAGGCCTCCCTTTTATTTTGAGAAATTGACTGATTTCCCCCTCCCCTCCCCTCCTTAAAGCAAAAACATGGGGTGCATTCAAAAAGCATCCAACGTAGCAACAATCCTCAGCTGTCAGTCACAGGTGGGTGAGGCTGCCCATCTGTCAAATACATGGCTTTGCAAGTCTCCAACCACCTCCCCTTTTAAGCTGTGTCTTGGAAATTTAAAATGGGAGGGTCTGGAGACTTGAAAAGCCTCATGCTCCCATTTCAGATTGAAACAATAGCTGCCTTAAAACCCCTCATTATTCATAAAAGTGCCTCATTATTCATAAACACTGAATCTTACTATTTTATTGTCTAATCCTCCTTCTGGAGAGTGTTTTGGGCAGTCCACTGCTAATGTGCACTTTTTATAACCTTTGGGCAGATTGTATAATAATCTAGCTGAAGTGAAAACCAGAAAGCAGGAGAGAGAGCGACGAGAAAACTATGCCAAAAACCGGGAAAGAGCCAAGGCATTTCAAAAGGTAAAATGCTTGCAAACTCCATGTGGTTTTGAAGCAGGGTTTTTTCAACCCGAGGCATGCATTCTCTCATGGACAACCTTTGGGGAGGAGGGAGGGAAATATCAGTGGTAAGCAGGGCAAGAAGTGGGTGGAGCAATAGCTTGCCTTTGTACAGTAGCCTACATTATTGCCACACAAGGATGGTCCCCTGCACTCCCCTCCATCATGGCAAAAGGACATTGGGGTGTGGCCTGGGGAGTCCTGAAGGCTGAATAGAGAAACCATCCAGCCTCCAGGTATTTCTTACCTGCTTATTGCAGGAGTGATCCCAGAGTGCATGACAGCAGAAAATGCAAACAGCATTTAAAATAATCGTAACAGCAAAATCAGCAGATCTCACAATGGCCTGAACAATTGGGAGGGTCTTCAGTTGATGCTGAAAACTCAGCTGTATTCAAAGAGAAAGGGAGTTCCACAATCAGGGCACCTGCCTCAAGAATGCGACATGTACAGAATGTGGCATTCAAGAGGGCCCCATGGAACAGATGGGCAGGTCCATAAGGGAGAAGATATTTAGGGCCTAAGCTGTATGCACCAAAATGAAAAAGCAGCTGCTGCTACATTATTATTCTGTGAAATCTTAAGATTTTTGCAAGCGTATGTATGACTTTTTAAGTTAAAATTGAGAAATATTCTAGAGCTCTTTATTAGGGAAAAGAGCCCATTGATTTATCCTTGAAACCTATTGAGTGGGTTATGTGCATCTTATTTGCTGATTCTCCCTAGCTGACAGTTGACTTCCTCCCATCTCAATACAGAAAACATTGGAAAACCTAAGAGCCAGAAAAACAACAGCGAAAAAATAATGTTCTTCAGAAGGGACTTCCAGGTGGACTAATTCTTCGCTGTAAAGTAAAAAAACGACTCAAGGTCACCTTTGTAAATATATGATGTGCCAGCCTTATATATATTACATTCAATTTGGATAATTTGCCAATATGGCCAAAGCTGTATAGAGTGAATTGCCATATTTTCTACAATTATGACTTTTTAAATCAAGGAATTTTTAAAAAAACTTTACATGCCCCCCTTGCTTTTGTATCACTTTGTTATTTATAATAAAATTTTAACATCTGGGTATTGAGCTTGTTTTAGCAAGGGAAAACTATGTTCAAAGGAAATACTTTTAAAAGTAAGATAAAGAGGACTATGAAACTTAAAACATATTGCACTAATTTAGTGCATTTGTTTTTGTTAAACCACCACCAGAAAGTTACAAGTCATTGGCAGCAGAACAATGAGAGTCACAGCTGTAACTGAAGGGGAGGTGGTAGTCCTTTTAAACTATCTTCTAATTCACTTTGGGCTTTCAGTAATGACCAGCACATGAAATGGGGATTTAACCCAAAAGCAAGCACCAACCACTGTTTAAGAACAGCTCCCATCCTACCTTTTGGAGACAGTGGTACCTCAGGTAAGTACTTAATTCGTTCCGGAGGTCTGTTCTTAACATGAAACTGTTCTTAACCTGAAGACCACTTTAGCTAATGGGGCCTCCCACTGCTGCCGAAGCACGATTTCTGTTCTCATCCTGAAGCAAAGTTCTTAACCTAAGGTACTATTTCTGGGTTAGTGGAGTCTATAACCTGAAGCGTCTAACACTGGAACTGCCACCAGTCAGTCACTGATGACAGGCTGTAAGACAAAGTAGGAACCTGCTTCTGGCATCTTGGGACGGGGTAACCCCAAGCAGCACCTAAACCCAGAATTACTGAAAATGGAAATGAGATTTGGGTTCTTTGGAGCAGCACCATCAGTAGAAATAACCACCTGCCCTTTCATGACACCATACTCTGAAATGAGGGCCTTTTTTGTAAAGGGCTGTACTGGAGCAAGGGCTAGAGACAAAATGGAAACAAAGCTGCCAAGAGGGAGCAGATTAATCTTGCCAGAGCTAAACAGCTCAGTTAAGAAGGTTCACTACTGTACTTGCTTTGGGCTTTAAGCAAAGTATTCACTGTTCACTTGAAGTGCATGTCTTAAGCCCCACTAAGAACACTTGCATGCTGTGGCTCTTAACATGTATGGACTCAAAAGTATTATTATCCTCAGCAGCTTCTGCTCTTTCCTAGGGGCCCACTACAGACAGGGCTTGCTTGGCAAGGTGCTTTATATGCTAGCCCAGGGGTCATCAAACTTTCAGCAGGGGGCTGGTCCACTGTCCCTCAGACCTTGTGGGGGGCCATACTCTTTTGGAGAAAAAAAAAATGAAAGCATTTCTGAGCCCCACAAATAACCCAGAGATGCATTTTAAATAGGACACATTCTACTCATGCAAAAACATGCCGATTCCTGGACTGTCCGCAAGCCGGATTTAAAGGCAATTGGGCTGGATCCAGCCCTTGGGCCTTAGTTTGTCTATCCATGTGCTAGCCCATCAGTCTCCACCTTCTTGGTATAGCTGCAGCAAGGGGAGGGAGGTTGGATACATGTGAGGTTGTGGATTCTCCTTCCTTGGCCATCCCCTTTGCTTAAAAACCTCCATCTGCCATGGACGCTTTGAGCTGAGATTCCGGCATTGCAGGGGGGTTGGACTAAATGACCCTTCCTACAACTCCAGGTAGATAAAGCCAGTTCCAAGCACAGTGGTTATGTTGCTATGTCCAACAGCAGGCCATGTTCAGATAGTTTTACCAGTCCTGCATTGTACATGTAGATCAATAATCTGAGGCAGCTTCTCACTGAGATCCCAGAATCTCATGGAGTGGTCAGATGGATTGTATAGTGTGAGAAAAGTCCAGCGTTTGTAAGGAAAAGGGAGCAGGAACGAACTCAAATAAGCAGAAGCTTCATTGATACAGAAAACCAACACACCATTCCAGCAAGGACTTGTTTATTGAGCAGACATTTTAGAATTCCGTAAGTTTCACTTTTGAAGCTTTAAGAAAAACACCAATTAGTTTCATTTAAAAGCTGTCTGATAAAGAGCACCCCGGCGTGTTCTTCCATTTTCTAGGAAGCTGTTAAGGTACCTAAACGTGTAGAAAAAGAGTGAATACATTATAAAACCAGCGTGGTTTCATTCCCTTCCAACCACCCCATAGTTAATATTGGAGGTGTACTTCCTCCAATTTCAGTGATTTAAGAGTTCATCTCAAATGGGCCTTTCCATAAAACGTCCGTTTGGGGAGGCCAAAATTCAACCAATGCCACCTCCAAATTTCCCTGCAAAGCAGCTGCCTAAAGTGGATTCAAGCACATGTCTCCTCTGGGATAGACCACAGAGTACATATAAAGTACCCCTGACATCCTGCAAAGGATTTCCATATTAGGTCATTGCGTTAAGAGCCGTTTGTTCAACAGCATACAGCCCTCTTTGAAGTGACCTTGCAACAAGCAGTTCAACCAGCACCTATAATATTTACCTTTAGCACCAGACAGAGCTTATTTGCCTAAATTGCAGATTCCTTTTCAGGCTTGTAGATTGTCTAGTAGCACTGGAAAACAAACGTTAGCACAAGATTAGGATTAAGTAGCTCTAGGAAACCCAACTTTGAATTGCAGTGGTGGTTCAAACTATTGGCCACATGCTCCTAGCTTTTGCCAGATGTTTCCAACAGATTTGATGCTACCGTAGCAACAATAAAAAAATCTGGAGGAGTTACTTTATGGTCACGTCCACAGCATACCAGAAATGAGATTTCCTAGCAGCCTTGGTAGAGACCAGGTAATACACCCAAAGAGTTTTTAAAAATTGTGGTATTGTGAAACATGTGTTTCACAAGTGATGGATGATGTCGAAAAATAAGCATTACCTACAGTTCCCAATAGCCTTGTATACAGGCAACTCCCCGTTTACACAGGAATTGCATTTTGGGTCATTGTGCATGTTAGCACTACCTGGATATTATATTTAATATGAAGGAACAGGAGGTTGTCTGTTACTGTGGCTAGCATTTTGTTTAATACAGCTTGGTTACAAATACAATATAGCAAATACTTAAGAGCAACATTACCTTTTCAAGCAGATTTTTCCTAGCTGCATCCTAGGCTTTCAACCAAGTCCATGCCTGTAGACAGACAACACTTCTTAATGCTCAATTTCACACAGTGAGAGCTGCAAGTACTCAATAATTTGCTGTCTTGCAGTTTTATCCCACTAACCTAACATACAGTTTAGTGGGTAAAGCGAAACCACAAGTTTCCTCTGTGAGGTATTTCCAACGATAGGAACCTACGACAAGGTCACATCGGGATAGACCTCAACATTAATAATGTTTTATCTTTTAAATATATGTTGGAAGCCGCCCAGAGTAGTTGGGGCAACCCAGTCAGATGGGCAGGGTACAAATAATAAATTATTACTATTAGGCTGATAAGTGTCACATGTTTCTATCCATTTATTCCCCCCCCCCCCAAAACAACTTATTTTCTTCCCGGAACTTTGCGTTTTAGTTAATACATTGTTGAGATTTACAAATATAATCAAATAACATGTACATTCTGTTACCTTGATTCCAATGCTGCAATGCTAACTTGAGCTATACTGGAAAACCATAAAGTACTTGCATATTGTTGTTTCTGTTATTTATATTCCCTCCTCCCCCAGGGTCAGGGGGCCACATGCCAGAACAAATGTGAATTTTACCTTCGTACTGTGGGCTCCTTTCTACATATTCCCTCCCTATCCTCTATCCAGGCAAGCAAGCATATCAAGAGTTCAAGGACACACTCCAGCCAGCCAGAAACACTCAGGGGAGTGCAAAGAAATGGCTAGTGAGGTGTACAGTCTAGGAAGAGTCTCAAGGGCCAGACAAAGACCTGCACTTGTCCCTGTCCTAGGCCTTATGTTAAGCTAAAATAAGGTCACATACCTCAATGTCCTTCTGTTCCAAACTAGAGCAGCTTCATGCCATTTGAATTTTCTACCTGAAAGAGCCAGCTGCCAGTTTGCAGCCACAAGAGAGCACATGTCAAGCAAAAGCTGTTAGGGTATCCCGACGGTGCTTCAGCAGAATCTGCTTCCTGGAGATTCCTCATGCTATTCACCATACGGTTTGCAAATGAGGGCTTCGTCTTACTTCCAGGCAAGAACTGAGAGCCAGCTACACAGCAGTACATTCATTGGTCAAAGTTCCAGGAAGTCTCATTTGCAAAGAATGTAACAGCCAGCAACCTACGTACTTAATTTGGACTAGCTGTTATTGTTTGTTCAGAATGGCTGTTTATCATTCACTCTTTTCAGAGCAGTTGAACATCTTGCCAATCATCATTAACAATTCTTTACCATAGCTTCTACTATGAAAAGTATGATCACTTTGACACAGATAGTGCCTTTAAAGTTCAGTCTCTTCCAAAGAGATGGAATGGAACATATTTGCATAATTCCTTTTATACAGTGAAGCAGGTTAGGCAAGCAGCAACCAATAATTAAAACATCATCAAGCTGAAATATATCTTCACTAGCCATGTTTATGTTTCAGGCATAATAGTTTCTTACCAATTTGGGTGACAGGTGTTCATTATCTGGATTCCTTTAAAAAAAGAGAGGGTTTTAAAAAAAATCAGCATAGAACTTCATTTATGGGCCAATATATTACCATGAAAGTTTAACACTTCAAGCATGTAGTACACTCTTCAGTGCAAGGTAAAGTTTCATCCGTAGGGAGCCGGTGAGTATACTGTCCTGCTTGGGACAAAATGACTTAATTTTTTCCGCCTCTGAATTCTGTGAACGTGGCCTGCTAATACTGGAATGGATTTTGTCATTAAAGCAGTGGACAATCTTTCTGTGAATGGCTGTGTTTCTTCAGGACTTGTCACTCATTTGCTGTTAGTGGGCAGAGCCTAAAGTCAGAGCCAAATGGACAAAACCACCTCAGGGGAGCCTGCTGGGGAGGAGGTAGGATACTATTCATGGCTGAACTGATTGCTTGAAGAGGGCCACATGAAAACAGGCCAAGGGCCAAGACTGTCCACCCACAATTTAGCAGAGATGTCAGAGCAAGCTTATTACAGGTCTCATTGTCACCAATGCAATTTGTCTTACAAGGATGGAAGCATAACCTGTGTTTTCTGTAGCCTTGTTGCTTACTTCAGGCACAATGAAGTGTGCCTACATTTTGTATACCCAACAAGGCAAAGCATGTTAAATTGGCAAATACCAACCCCCAGCACCATTTCTTAGCATCACATTTAAATGCAAGACACATTACCTTTAGCACAAAGCTGTTGCTTTGATGCACAGACATCACATCTCAATTGGACCATTTCATGATGGTTCAGGATACAAAACATTTTCCAGTGTTTTTCCATGCACTAAATGGCACAAAATTATAATGAATCAGAACCTAAGCTTGTACAGTCAACATGAAGTTATGTGATCGTAATCACATTTCTATGGGGATGTTTAGGATAACCAAATCCGTAATGCCCCCACAAGACCGCTCCAAAGGCATGCAGATTCCTGCTTTCAGCCATCAGTCCCAGTCAAGTATTTTGACAATGTATTCCAGAAGCAAAAATGTCTTTTGTATGTGCTTATGGGAGAACTTTGAAGAACCACCCAGGGAACAAAGAATAAACTAGAATCAAATAACTGCGCACTTTATAAATCCTTCAAATAACATGTAATTTGTTTCAACAAAAATACCAGGTTTAGCAAGCACAGTAGCTTGAGAACCAACGATGCCATATGCTGAATTATTATTGCACTGCTTTTTGAACATGCCATCAGGAACAGACTGCTGGATGCAGATACCATACAGTGCACTTATCAATTTATTCCTCTACCCCCTGATGTATTCCAAACTGGTACACAGCACAATGCAGAACATGAATGGATCTTAACATACCTGTTTTGCAAGCCGGGGTTTTTCTTAATCATCACTGTCTAGAACACTGAAAACAGTAATTGGGAATAGTCTTAGAAATGGATTTTAAACTTTCTTACAAATATTCAAAATAGTAACCAAACACTATTTGACAAGAATTACCACCCCATTGTATCCTAATTGCCTGTGGCCTCTTTGAGATAAAGAGCTTTTATGGGATATCAGAAAAACTATCCTATGCAAAAAGTATAGTATTCCTGGGACTAACAAGTCATGTTCCTTCCTATTAGTAACACAGCCAATACAGATCAACTGTGGGTTGCAAAAAAGGATTTATTCTTAGCACTTGACTCCATGGTTTTTTGTCTATGAGAGTAGCCAAAACCTGAAGCTGTGCTGGTAAGCAAAGTGCTCACAGTAGAAAAAACACTGCATAAATGTCTAAACTTATTGTTACTCTAGGTCATCATCAATTCAGACAAACATCCCACTTCCTTTTCAAACACACATTTCTCCAAACACAAACCTACGATCAGCCAAACCAGCATCCCACCCCCACTTTTCCAGTTGGGATGAAGGCCAAGTGAAAAAGCAATGTTGGTATTTTATGGTGAAACTGCTTCTGGAACATACTGTGCCACTCTAGATGTTGCTTCCAGTAGCCTTTTCACAAGTTTGCAGTTCATGTCAGCAGCAAGGTCCCATTCCCAGTGTCAAGAAAGCATGTGAATGAACAGACCCACATAAGTCTTTAAAATGTGGACACATTTAACACTGAATGGAACATAGTAAATATGCTACCAAGGAACACACCAATGGCACAGCCGCCTCCTTCAGCAAATACAGGGCTCACATTTAAAATTTCTTGCCAAGGCATAATTTTTGGATGGTTCTTTAGATGTACCAACCATGGCTGGTGTATTTGTGCCAGTTAAGAAGTTAAGTGTTGTGCTTTCCTATAGCTCTTGCCACTCTTAAGGAAAAGACCAGTGAAGGAAAAAGGATACCTGGTGAAGCAGAACAAATCCAAGGCTAGTTGCAAACTATAGGAACCAGTGTGGATGAAGTCATCTTCCTTGCTGCCATGGACAAATGCTGCTTCCATATGTTCTCAGAGCCATTGCTTATCATGGCTATTAGTAGCTTCAGTTGCTGGTAGTGCTGGAAGAACACATTTCAAACATACATAAACTTTTAGCTTTGGCTGCATTCTCTTCAACTGCCTCATAAATAGTTTGTTGATTTATCTAGTGCCATCTGCATTGACTAGCAGTGGTTCTTCAGACTGAATTTAAGATCTTTGGCCTTAAGGCGTTACAGGCATCTTCAAATGCCTTTCTGATGCTGTGTGCTGATTTTATCAAATTTTGTTCAGGCAGCTTTTTTTCCTGAAGTTTTTACTAAAAGCATCTCCCCCCGCCCCCCAACCCACCGCCAGATGTACATGCACTCCAGTTGTGTGCTTAAGGCATACCCAAAGCAACTCTCATTCTGCACTCAGTTCTGGTCAGTGTGTTAGGTTTTAGTTCATTTCTGAATCACTCAGCAGTTGAACTTAAAAACAGTCATCACATGAACTATTGTGCAGAATCTAGACTCACTTATGAATGCCACTTTATTGTTACTCAGTCAAGTCCTTGGTTAATATACACATGGTTTGAACACCAACATCCGACTGCCCTCTTTCTCCATTTCATTCCTATTTAGACCCCTTCCCCCCAAAATCTGGTTCTTCTGTTCTATCTTGAATTGCTGCTGTCCCATCTCCTTAACATCTACACCTTATTGCAGCAAAGTCAAAGTACAGGGAAATGAAATATTCACGTGTTCTCCCCCTGCCTAATTTTCCTCCTCCCTCCATTCCCTTGTCTGTTTAAGACTGTATGTTCCTGGGGGCAGGGCTCTGTCATACCTGTTCTTTGCGAAATGCCACCTACACGTACATGGTAATATATTAATAAAATACTACTACTAAAAAAATTCCAATAATAGTACAACCGCACCAAAAATTTAGATCCTACTACCTCATGCCAAAGCACTCATTTCAGGTGATAAAAATAAGATTGCTGGCACTGATGGTACTACTCCAGAACAAATCACTGTTCTAGATTAAAATGAGGTATATGGAATATGATAAATGCTACTACACTGTGCTGAGATCTAGTAACTCATGAAGTTAAGCAATGTTCAGATATGAGCATGTGCATGCTTTAAATATTAAAAGGGGCTGATCAAGTAAGCACTTTGGGGATGGGAAGAGCTTACCAAGAGCAGTACCCAGTTATCACATCTTGCTAGATTAGATGTCCAACTCTAGAAAACTTTTTAGGAAACTTAGAAAGCCCCAAGTAAGCAAAACACACTAAGGTAATACAATAGTTTGATTGCCATGTTCAAGTAATGAGATTTACACAGAAGCTATTTAGCTGTTAAATGGCTCAGGCCACAATCCCATGCACTCTCCTGAAGTCCTAATGGGTTCATAAGAAAAAATACTCCAGCACACACAAGTTCCATTTGAAAAAGAATGTTAGCTAGCACTCCAATAAAGCTGGATTTTGCACCTAGTTAATGGGGCAACATATTTAACAATACACTGATGGCAGCCCCCAGAACGGCAATTTGTCAACTCCCCGTGACAGATTCTTTGCCCACCCTTTCAGCAAGGCAGCTTGCAACTGTAAAAGCTATCCATAAGATCTGCAAGAAAAACCCTGTTGGAATCAAGTCAACAAGGGGATGTACAGTAGTGCTGCTCAAACACCTGCCTCAAAAGCATTTGTTCAAGGGTCCCTTAGCTAAAGGAACGTATGACCACAGCTAATAGCCCGTCTAGAATAACTCCATCACTACCCTCCTACTCTAGTGTAAAGCAGGAAAATCTCACAACTTAAATCTAGGCAAAAGAGGCACCTGTCTTGTGTGCATGCACTCTCCACCTTACTGCAGCAGCAATATCAGAATCTCCAGCTTCCAATTGTAATTTATTTAAAATATGGTTAGTGAGAACAAGCCCAAGTCTGAAGACACGCTATTTTAACATTTTAATTTAAAGGCATCCACTACTGAAGCTTCTTGCTCATTTCCTTCCTTACTTTCTTTGCTATATTCTGTAAATAGGCTCACTTACTTTGACTTCCTCTTGCGTGTCTTCTTTGGAATTTCACTACTTAGTATGAAACAGCTGTTTTCCTATGGCAAAGAAACAGACAAGGTAAATGTAACACACAAACATGTGAATAGAGATCAAATCAACCAAATATACAGAAGTTTCCCGTTACAAAGCCTATTCCTGACACATAATTATAGAACCATACATCCTAGGTGCATGGGGTTTTATTCAAATGAGTCCTGTTCAGAGCAGGCTGACTGAAATAAATTTGAGTTAGTCGTGTCCATTAACTTCAATGGGTCTACACTGAGTAGGACTAGTGTGGAGTACCACCCATGGGGTTTTTTTTTATTTAAAAAATGGCTACCATTGGAGCATGGCATAACAAAACGGCTGCCACATGCAAGAGCGGAAGAAGACAACCATAAAATGGGCGAGGCACCTACATCACTCACCACAACTTGCTTACAAAAAGCTGCTCTCTGGCCTCTCTGTTCAGAAGACAGGAGGGAATGTCCACTGGTTGAAAACCACTGAGTTAAAGTGATTGACTTAAGTCAGCAAAGACTTACCACTATCTTGGCACCCATTTCTTCTTTATCTGCAGAACTCTCAGTCTGGTCATCTCCACTGAAATACAGCAATTGCCCAGTTATCTGTATGTAAGTTGTAAATGAGAATAGTAGAAACATTGAATTCATATAGCGCTTTCTAGCTTTCAAAGTGCTTCCTGTGCATTTCCTAGTTATAATTCTTACAACTCCCCAATACAGAGTGCAAGGTGTCAGTATTATCCCCCCTACAGACTGTTACTGAAACCTTTTCATTTCAGGACTGCATGTTGTAGTAAGTCTGAACTTGGAAGGATTTTATTCCCGTCCACTGAGAAACTCAAGAATTAAGGTGTGTTCCTGTAAAATCTGCAAGAATACATTTGTTAAATAGGAAGCACATTACAACATTGCAATCCTGATATTTCTGAAAGCGTGCCACGCGTCAGACACATTCTCAAGAGATTTATAGGTTTTTATCTGTTTCTCTCAAAGTTTAATTTCCGGGTGTGTCTATAGGAGTATACTTTCTATGGTATAATCTAAGCGGTGAACAATCAACTATTGATACAAGCAAGGGTTGAGGAAGATGGCTTAGCAGGACGTAGATCAGCAGATTCCCATTTTCAACTCTTCCCTTGCATTGAAGTTTCTACTGAGTGCACAGATGTGACGCAGAACTTTAGAAAGCGTAATTATACATACTTTGTCTCCACAATGGGAGAAAGAGGTTCATCCTCATCCACGTATTTGTACTTTCTTGACGCCAGACTTTCATTTTCTAGATCATCCACAGCATTCAACTGCGTCAAAGATTTTTCCATGAGCTTCTCTAATTTCAGCGTTTCAATGTATCTGAAGTATCCATTTAAAGCTGCTTGCTGGGGGAGAAGAAATTTGCTCTATGAACATAAACCAGGACAAAAGACTCTGAAAGCCCACAAATTTGATTATGCACTGTACCAATGAGGCTTTCTTTCAACTGCAAAGCAGTTTTTCCCAATCAAGTTTGTTACTCAGGAAGCAAATTATTAACACTATGCAGTACGAAAGACCAGAGCATTATTGTATATAGTTGCTTTCTCTAAATCAGTGTTTCCCTAAGTACCCAAACTTCATTTTCCAAATAAACACAAATGCAGGTTACCTAAAAAAAGAAATCTACTGCAGATAGCTAACTACAGTGATTGAACAATGCTGCTGACAAAAGTAGATCCAAACATCAATATACTGACAGCAGCGTACTAGGTTCATCCTTCTCATTAGGATTATTTTAAAGGTTGTTCATAATTTTTATTTCATTTCTGTGTATAATGTAAATGTTACTCTGGTTGATTTTAATAATTTTATAATTTCAAGCTTCAAGGTGTCTTATTTTATAACATCATCTTTCTTTACTATGTTGCAGGATGTAGGTAAATATATATATATACATAAAAGAATGCAAATTTGTCAATGAATCTTTGTCTGTTCACTTAAAGAAGGTAAATTTCCAGGGGTGTGTGGAATATTTTTTTTTCCGGAAAAGGGCACGGTAGGCCAAATAAGTTTGGGAACCTCTGCTGTAATTTAACTGCTACTTACCTCATACAGACACACCATTCTAAAGGGAATGCGTTTCACTCCGTACAGTCTCTCCACAAAAGGAAAATTAACAACTTTCTCAGTAAGTTTCTTTTTCCGTTTCTTTCCTGGGACTCTTGGCTGCTGTCTCTTCTCACAAGTTTCTTGCTCCTTGCATTTCAGAGTTTTCCTCTTTGCGACTTTCTTCTTCCTAGCACTTGGCCTCCACTTTCTCCTCTTCAGATGCTGCTTCCTTCTGAAGTAGTCAAAGAGGGCTCTGAGGTCAAGTTTAGGTTTGGGCAACTTAGGCTTTAGAGAGCCATTCTGTGTTTTATTGCCAGATGGACTCTCAGGAGATTGACCAACAAGACTTGCTGGCAGCATACCTTTCATTTTCTTTGAGGGCTTCAGTGAATGCAAACCAGTTAGTCCTGCTGAAACAATGAAAGAAAATGATTGCTCTTTGATGGTATTTTAATCAATCGATTTAGATCAGAGCATACCAGTCTAATACAGAAAATCTTTAGCAGAGTGCATTTACAGCAGTGACCCCTGACCTCCAGAGCCCATGGGGTTGCGTTTCCTACAAGTGCTTAGGAAAGGCTGAAGCCTTCATTTTCAAGAAGCTTACAGGGACAAGGTAGATTCTTCCTAAACTGTTTCTTGTACAGTTTTACAGTCTACTCCTATTTTTGCCAACTTTACATACTGCTGATCTTTTAATTATTTTATCATTTTATTGACTGTTGCACATCTTGTCACCATCAGTCATACTGCACCCACTGGGCAAAAAGGCAAAATATTAAATGAGTATATGGGTGCTATGGAGAAAGCCTTCCCAACTAGGAAAGAGTTTATCATGGGGTCTTACTAAAAGAAGAATGTAGATGGAAATGCATTAACAGAAGTAGCAAAGCCATTATACAGATGAAGGGGGAATTCATTAAAGCTGAAGGACAGTGACTAGGTTTTATCTTTTTCATGTTTTGTGTCTGAAATACAGAAACCATTTAATCAGATGCTAACCTATTTACAATCTGTATCAAGCCTTGGGAAGCATGGCATCTGTATCAAGCCTTGGGAAGCATCACCGATTGTGGTCTTCAGCATTGCTGAACACTCGAGTTTTTGCCTTCAGCAATATCAGCTATATTCTGTTTCTAGTTTGTACTAGGAGTCAAATACGCACATCAACTATTCGCTAAATTATTAAGGCAACTTCAGGACTTCAGTCCCTAAAATCAGTGTGGTTGTATTTTCAAAGAAATCTCACACTATCCATTTGCCCAACACAGGCTTCTTAGCCATTTAAAATGCATTTAATCTAGACTTATTTATCTTTTGCTACCACAAAGTTACCACAACCCAAAGGTGTGAAAAAGCCTTAAGTACCCAAACATCAGTTACTGAAAAGGTGTCCCTAATGATACACATTTAGATGCACATATACCGTTACTTTACTGGTATAATCACAGAGGCTCTTATCAGCATGCTCTGATGAGGTCAAAATGAATCTACCCTAAAATCCAGTGGGATTTTCACAAATCTGCATAGCATCCTCCATAAAATGATAGTAAAACATGTTCATTATCTGCATGTTTGCAATAGATCATACTTTAATTCTAGTAACATTTTCATCTCACCCCGTTTTCAGCCGTTCCTGTTTTATTTTTAAGCTGCCTCAAGTGCACGTCAGGCACTTGTATATTATAAATACACAATAATATAGTACTTTTAATCCTCCACATATTTACCAAGGCATGTTAAGAGGTGGGCCAGCTCAATCCAATGAGTTTGATTAAATCAGCCTGGTGCCGCAGCGAGGTCAGCCCTTTGCATTCAAATCCCCAGCCACACATTCATGGTTAACCCCCATGATTTTGGGCCTGTTACTGATCTCTCCACCTAACCCACCTCGCAGGATTGTTGTGAATATAAAATAATAATAATTTATCATTTATACCCCGTCAAGCTACTCTACGATCACTACCTTGCGCCCTTTAGGGGCAAAGTCAGGAATTAACAGTAAACACGGATCGCCTCTCAAACCCTTTTTATGTGCTAAAGCTATTCTCGAGCATTAACCCTCGGCTCCCCGGTCTACCAACCAGGACTAGCCCAGGCCCAACCTTAACCGCTGAAGGCAACGGAAAAGCGGCCGGGGGGGGGGAACCTGGCCTTTCAATTTTTATAGTTCCCCCTCACCCCACAATATCCTACCCACATCCTACATTAGGCGCCCCTAAACCTTTTCCCAACAGGCCTATCTCATCACAGGACGCCAACCGAGCCGATGCCGAACGATTGCAGCAACCCACCTCCTCCATTTTGCCGGTTCAACAAGGCCGCGCAAGAGCCGCCGGGCCGCTTAAGTACGCTGTTTTTCCCCCCGGATCTCGCGAGAGTTCGGTTTCGGCGCCGATGGGAGGAAGGGACCGGATGCGCTGGAAGGAGCAGCCTCGCGCCGCCATCTTGAGGGCGGCGACGGGCAGAAATGGGCGTGGCTGGGTGCGGCGCTCCAGCTGCGAGGTGATTGGACGAGGGGCAGGTGACGCTGCCATAGGAAAGAGGCAGTCAGAGAAAGGAACTGGAGACGGCAGTAGGGCGCTGAAGTTTGCATTCCTGTAAGTTGAAGCAGCCATGGGGCGAGGTGTGTGTGTGTGTGCCAAGAATTGTTTGCACGGGTTGGGGGGATGCATGCTGAAATGCAATGCATGTTTTGCTCATTGAGACTGCATGAGGAATTGGGCGTGGGTTTGTAAGGCGAGGCTGCAAACCCAGGCGCTTTGCTAACTATTGTCATCATTGCTATTTTTTTAACTTCTTGCCCACCCGAGGTGCCTAGAGAGAGTTGCAGCCATGCAACATGGAACTGGGCCTAAGCAATTTGTTAATTGTTAATTTGGACTAGGATCCCTTAGGATCCCTTCCAACTCTACAACGTTGTGGTTAGCGTTGAAATCCCATTCTCCCTTTGTTGTTGTTGTTTAGTCGTTTAGTCATGTCCGACTCTTCGTGACCCCATGGACCAGAGCACGCCAGGCACTCCTGTCTTCCACTGCCTCCCGCAGTTTGGTCAAACTCATGCTGGTAGCTTCGAGAACACTGTCCAACCATCTCGTCCTCTGTCGTCTCCTCCTCCTTGTGCCCTCCATCTTTCCCAACATCAGGGTCTTTTCCAGGGAGTCTTCTCTTCTCATGAGGTGGCCAAAGTATTGGAGCCTCAGCTTCAGGATCTGTCCTTCCAGTGAGCACCCAGGGCTGATTTCCTTCAGAATGGATAGGTTTGATCTTCTTGCAGTCCATGGGACTCTCAAGAGTCTCCTCCAGCACCATAATTCAAAAGCATCAATTCTTTGGCAATCAGCCTTCTTTATGGTCCAGCTCTCACTTCCCTACATCGCTACTGGGAAAACCATAGCTTTAACTATATGGACCTTTGAGCAAACTCTGTTGAAAACAACGAGGCTTACCTCTGTGTAGACCTATGCAGGTTTGCACTGAACTCAGAGGGACCAGGAGTTCTGAGCAAGCCTTAAGGTTGCACTGCCTCATTGCCTTGTTAATGGATAACTGCAACCTTCGTCCCAGAAACACACTGAGGAAATCACATAAGGCAGTTGTTGGGTGAGTGACGGGAGCATCCAGGTGAGGACGTTGTCCCCTCCATCCCAGGAACCACAACCCCTAGATTACATTAATTATGCTAATTTGTAGAATCTGAGACAAGACAAAATGTCTAGGTGCTATTCTCCTCATTTTTGTGTGTCAGAAATTAGCCTACTGCCCCTACACTTTCAGTGTGAGGCTAAGGCTGCAATCCTAATCCCATTTAGCTGAAAGTAAATCCCATTGAATTTAATAGGATATGCGTCTGAGCAAAGCTGCAAATGGGAGAACATGATAGCGGTTTGTATAAATTAGTGGTTGGAGGAAAATGGTAATTTAGGTGCTAAATGCAAACCCAGCAATGTGTTGTTCTTTTATTGGGTGTATGATTAATGGAACAGTGTCAGGCTGCTGAGTTTCGTAACTGTCTTAGTCAGAGAGAATGGAAAGGGAACAAGATTTCAGAGAGCAGCTGGGAAAAATAGACATGTTGAAAGCTTGGGAAATGTGCAGCTTTGAAAATGGACTATTTGCACAACTAGGTTTCCAGTTACTCAGGATGCAGCCTCACATAACATGAGCGTTGCCTGTATCCCAAACAGTAGCTGAAAAGGTATATTGTAAAAAGCCTGTGCAAACACTCACAGCTTGTATTTAATCACTAAACTTATGTGTTCATTAACAGACCTTGTAAGCTGTTCTGGGGTGTACTCTGATCTCTCCACAGCTTAGCTGTTCAGTTTGCTACATGAAATAAGAAAAAGATGGCCAATGTTGAGATGCTTGCTTTTCATGTACCTAGCCTGGAAGAACTTGTTGGAGGTGAGTAGATATGACTCTTAGATGCTACAGAAATGTCGTGACGTACAAAATGGGAGCGGAAACCTCTGGAGTCTCCAGTGGAAGCGAGTTCCATAGTTTAACAATGAGCTGCATGAAATAGTAGTTTCTTTTCTCTGTCTTGCCTCTTTCAACATGCTGTTTCTTGGGATGTCCAATAGTTCTAGGGAGGGAGAAAAACTTAACTCTATCCACTAGTCCCATATCTATGCCTAATGAGAAGAGGCAATAGATAACTAAGCTCTTTCCTGCACAACTATTGCACCACCCAGAAGGCATTTGAATGCTGGGTGCACATTTTAATGCGATATCCTTGCCTTGCGAAGTTGGTGCTTTTTGTTTCGTTTCATTGCAGAAAGCTTGTCCTAAGTATTTCTAAAGACAACAGTAATAATGCACTCTTTACCTTCTTCTAGTTTTGCAAAATGGACTTAAAGAAAACTTTGCGGATGTTCAGGTTTCTGTAGTGGACTGCCCTGATCTGACTAAAGAACCCTTCACATTTCCTGTTAAAGGTAATTAGTGAAATCTATGAAATGTCTATTTCACAGAGGACTTCTGTTCAAGGTGCCAGCCGGCCGCGTCCTTTTCCAGGATACTCCATTGCGTTCCTCTTCTTCCCCTGCTCCCACTTTTGTCTCCTTATCCTCCTCAAAAAGTTAATCCTCATTGTGTTGAGCATACCTAGTCTCCATCTTGGGCGTAGCCAGCATTTATGTTGTGGGGACAGAACCTCAGTTAAGTAGTTTAATTGTTTTACTTGATTTAGGGAGAGCAGCTGCCCCCCCCCCCAGCAATGTCCATGTTCCCCACTGGGATGTTTTTGAGTGTCCCCACTTTTCTGGGGGGTGGTGGTTCTTTTTTAAAAAGAAATCACTTCCAAAACCCCCCAGGATTCCTCTGAGCCTGCTGAGACTTTCAGGGATAGGGAACCTCAACCCGACCCAAAAAGTTTAAAAAATTACTGGTCTAAATGTAAAGGGACCCCTGACCATTAGGTGCAGTCGTGGCCGACTCTGGGGTTGCGACACTCATGTCGCTTTATTGGCCGAGGGAGCCGGCGAACAACTTCTGAGTCATGTGGCTAGCATGACTAAGCCGCTTCTGGCAAACCAGAGCAGCGCACAGAAACGCCGTTTACCTTCCCGCTGGAGCGGTACCTATTTATCTACTTGCACTTTGACGTGCTTTCGAACTGCTAGGTTGGCAGGAGCAGGGACCAAGCAACGTGAGCTCACCCCGTAGCCGGGATTCGAACCGCCGACCATCTGATCGGCAAGTCCTAGGCTCTGTGGTTTAACCCACAGCGCCACCCGCGTTCCAATTTCTGATCTACAACGCCCATAATTCCTGACTATTGGGTGTTCTTGCTAGGGCTAATGGGAGTTGTAGTGTAACAACACCTTGCGGACCACAAGCTCCCCACTGATCCACATAATGACACTCACAACCTGAAATGGGGGCGGTGGGGATGTTGATATAACATAGGCAGGTCCAATGCTGCAAACATGTCATAAATTCGAGATTCCTTTGGTTATCGTTGTCTCAAAGTTGGGAGAAGATGGAGCCCTTAATGGCTGTGCTTGAAGAAGAAAGCCTCTGTATTTTATACTAGTGATCTGTTTTCTTTACTAAACTAGGTCCAGCAGTCGCTGGCCAAATAATAATAATAATAATTATTATTATTTGTATCCCGCCCTCCCTGGCCAAAGCCGAGCTCAGAGCGGCTGACATCATATAAATAAGACAATATGCGTAATACAGTATACAATACGCAAATAAAATAACATTCAACATTCATTAAAATAATATAGAATAATAGTAAATATGAATAATAGTAAATATCGGCATTTCAAAATTAAACAGAAATCCACTCTTAACAGTTACAATAAGTAATTTCTAAACTCCAATCAATAAAACACAGCAAACCACAGTGCACAACCTAATACAATACAAAATGAGAAGCTGAGACTGGAGGGTGGGGCAAGGCAGGTGGAAGGAGACCTTGCCTGAGGAAGTCTCTCCCCTCACAGTTCTTCCTCCAGGCACAGCTTCCTTATGAGGAGTCCCAGGGCCAGGGGGTGGGACAAGGAAGGTGGAAGGAGGCCTTGCCTGATGGAGTCTCTCCCTGACAAGCAGAGCATAGAGGCAGCGGCCTTCCCTATTATTTGCCCACTGCTGGCTAGTGCAGATTCATAATGGCGCTAAATTGCTGATGGGGAGCATTTTGCCCTCGAGATGTTCTTAGACTCCCCACCATTGGCCCTAGCTTTCTGAAGAAACTAAACTCTTTTGGTCGCCTTACAGGTATTTGCGGCAAGCCTAGAATTGCTGACGTGGGCGGCGTTCCATACCTTTTGCCTCTTGTACAAAAAGAGAAGGTGAGTTGTTACTACTTGTGGCCACATAATAGATCTGCCTGCAAACATGGGATTTGTATCTAATGTGAGTTGTACTCAAGATCCATTGAAATTGTTGGATAATGACTAACTTATGTCCATTAATTTCAGTGCATGGCATCCCAACAAAGCAGACTTCAGCTGTGCAATGGAACTTCCCCTCTCGCTGTGTACTTCCCATGACCCCAGATCTGTTCTGGGGGTTCCCTGAACTCTCCAGAGCAGGGGTCGGCACGGTTTACCTCGTCTGGGCCGGTTCACTCGCTTGGAGATCGCTCCGTGGGCCGGATTGTGTCTGCGCAGACGCAATTTTTGGCGTCTGCGCAGACGCGATTTTAGGTGCCACGGAAGTGAGTTCCTGCTCCGCGCTGTGCCGGTTTAGCGCAGCATACATGGACTCGCCGACTGGGCGGCTCGGTTTGGGGGTGGCTCGGGGGCCGTTTAAATGACCTCTGTGGGCCTCAGGTTTCCGACCCCTGCTCCAGAGCATATTTGGGGAGTGGGAGGGAGCATGGAGAGAGGAGGCGGGGAGGGCAAGTTCCATTGGGCAAGGAGAGATGCTTGTGCTGGTGGATTTACTTTGTTAGATATTACTTTGTTAGATACAGTGGTACCTCAGGTTAAGTACTTAATTCGTTCCAGAGGGCCATTCTTAACCTGAAACTGTTCTTAACCTGAAGCACCACTTTAGCTAATCGGGCCTCCTGCTGCCGCCGTGCCGCAGGAGCATGATTTTTGTTCTCATCCTGAAGCAAAGTTCTTAACCTGAAGCACTATTTCTGGGTTAGCGGAGTCTGTAACCTGAAGCATATCTAACCCGAGGTACCACTGTATGTCCAAGTGGGCTTACTCTTGAGTGGGACTTAGCTCTCCCACTGAGCTTATGGTCCTTCTGTTATGCGCCTTCAAAGCATGTCCCGGGCATAGATTATCCAACGGAGAACAGCAATTCTAGTGAAAAACCCAACACACCTTTCTTGTTTAGGTTTATGACCTGAACACAATTGCAAAGGAAATGCAGCTACCGGGAGCTTTCTTTCTCGGAGCCGGAGCGGCTTCATCCAGAGTTGTCGGAGGCAACGCTGAGGTAGGTAAATATTAGCTCTTAACATGTATGCCAGACTCGATCAAGAGAGCCAGTGTAATGATTGAGAGGGCTCATCTGGAGAGGTCTGGGTTCAGACTCCTGCTCAAGTGACCTTGGGCCAAGGCCAGGCTGTATGTGACGTTAAAAACGTGCCTTCCTTTATTTCTTTAAATGAGCTGTATGTCGGCTGCTTAATAAAGGATAAACAAATCTCTAAGCAGCTTATGTGAAATTGTTTAAAATACCTAATAAAAATGCATTGTAAACTGCTGAGAGACTACTGCGGTAAAGCGCTACATAAATTGTTTAAATAAAAGCAACAAGCTTTAAAAGCAAATAGGCACAATAAAAGGATCAAAATAAGTAGGGTTGTCATATTTTTCAGATTTTCCCAAAGTTTTAGCTGATTTTTAAGGGAAATCAGCTAAAACAACACTGCCATGCACCTGGATTTTCCCTGAATAATTTTGCCGATTTCCACTCAGACACTACTCCAGACTGCAGTATTCCGTGTATGTCCAGGAAATTCCGGGCATATGGCAACCCTAAAATAGAGGGCACAAGGTAAGCTCCCAAGGGTCTTATCCCTTTGGGACTTGAGCCATGTAAGTTGGTACAGTATTTCAACTTAGAATGCTCAAAATCCAGTGGTAAACACTAAATCATCTCGCTACATAGAGCTTCTTTCAGAAGAAAGGCTCCCTTCGTTAACCGGACTCAAATCCTGGTTGCACACTACTTAATTTCAATGGAACCTAGGCTGAAATCCCTGTACCTGCTTATCAGCCGGTCAGCCCCACCCACCCTGAACTTTACATGAATTATTTCTGATTAGACACATATAGGACTGCACGGTTCAGGACCTCCGCCTTCCTCTGAATCGTACATTCTATATTTAAAGAGACCTTAACCTGGAGCGTCAGTGGGTCTTTCTTTTTATTGATCGCGATGCCCGATAAACACAGCAGATCCATTCAGGAAAGTTAATTTTTTCTCTCTCTCTAGCTTATCCCTATCGTTCAAGCTAAAAATGAGAAAAAGCCAGCTGTCAATCGGAGTTACTTGGCCAAGATTAATCCGGAGGATGGTGGGTGCTTGCTGGAACAGTACAGCTCCAAATATAAGGATTGTGAATTTGGGCTGCTGGCCAACTTGTACGCCAGTGAAGGCCTTCCTGGCAAGGTATATGGTCTCATTAACTTGAACGCATACAGTCTTTGCATGTAGTTGCAGGTGGAGAGCACTTGCTGGTTGTCCCAGATCCAGTCCCTAACATCTCCAGGTACAGCTAGGAAAGACCGTACCTGGAACCCTGGAGAAGCCTAGTTTGTGGTGAGTAAAGAAGAATTTGAGCTTGGATTTGATATCCCGCTTTATCACTACCCGATGGAGTCTCAAAGCGGCTAACATTCTCCTTTCCCTTCCTCCCCCACAACAAACACTCTGTGAGGTGAGTGGGGCTGAGAGACTTCAGAGAAGTGTTACTAGCCCAAGGTCACCCAGCAGCTGCACGTGGAGGAGCGGGGAATCGAACCCAGTTCACCAGATTACGAGTCCACTGCTCTTAACCACTACACCACACTGGCTCTCTAGGGACCCCTGACCATTAGGTCCAGTCGTGGCTTACTCTGGGGTTGCGGTGCTCATCTCGCTTTATTGGCCGAGGGAGCCGGCGAACAGCTTCTGGGTCATGTGGCCAGCATGACTAAGCCGCTTCTGGCGAACCAGAGCAGCGCACAGAAACGCCGTTTACCTTCCCGCCAGAGGAAGTATTTATCTACTTGCACTTTGACATGCTTTCGAACTGCTAGGTTGGCAGGAGCAGGGACCGAGCAACGGGAGCTCACCCCGTCGCAGGGATTCGAACCGCCGACCTTCTGATTGGCAAGTCCTAGGCTCTGTGGTTTAACCCACAACGCTACCCTCCTCCCTTTGTGGTGAATAGCCTCCATCATAAATTCATTTGAGTTGTGTTAAAGGAAACTGTTCTCTCTGAGGTTTCAGGCAAATGATAGCACTGCTCTGACTGAATTGCTGTGGGGCAGGTAGTGACAGTACTTGCTGTTTAGGAAAGAAGCTACGAAGCCTTCTTACAATATTTCTGAGAGCTATGCTGTATATTAAAATATGCTGTGTTGCTTTGTTTCAAAACAGGAATTGAAAGTTGCATAATCAACATTTTCGTGCCGACTAGTGCCCATAATATAAACACAGCTTCTCTCCTTTTTTTAAAGGTCATTGAAGTGAAAGCAAATCGAAGAACTGGGGAGCAGAATTTCATATCCTGTATGAGGAAAGCCTTAGAAAAATATTACGGTGACAAACCAGTTGGCATGGGAGGGACATTTGTTATCCAGAAAGGAAAAGCAAAAATTCATATTATGGTAAGTAATAAATAAGTAATGGTTCTCTTCCCTTGTTCTTTAAGAGTATACAACAGCGGTACAACTGCCGTGATAAACAAGGTCTAGGTTTCTGCATAGGAGGAAAAAATGCATGTAGAAAATATTCTGAATTGCAAACTTGTGTTTGCTGTATGCATTTTGAACTTACAGCCACTTGGTGAGTGTCTCAGGCGCCCAAACCAACAGCAGATAAGGAAGGGTGCTGGAGTCGCTTGTTGAAATGAATCAAGGTTTGAAAGTCAACAACAAACCATGGCTTCAGACTGTGGTTTGTTGGCAATAAACAAACCATAGTTACTATGCAGGATGGCCCTGTGTCCTACTTTATAGCCCCCTATTTTCAAAGAGCTGTAAGAAGATAGTCCTCTTTTTAAAGTTGTCCTCTTTTTGAAGGACTGGCCAGTTTAAGTCTGGTTTAAAGTTTTTTAAAAAACCCTCAAGGAGCGGCTGGGGAAACCCTGACAGATGGGCAGGGTATAATAAATTATTATTAGTAGCAGTATTATTAAGAGAGAGACCAGGGGTGTTGAAGTGCCTCATCAACACTTTGCATCTAGAAAGAGAGGTAGGCCGGCTGGGCCCAGTCTTGCCCACTATGGTGAGATGTAGGATATTTTTCTGATGGACATTACCAGGCTGACCTTTGCTCCAACATTCCCAACTTTTCCTTTCCTCAAATATACAGTGGTACCTTGGGTTAAGAACTTAATTCGTTCTGGAGGCCCGTTCTTAACCTGAAACTGTTCTTAACCTGAGGTACCACTTTAGCTAACGGAGCCTCCTGCTGCCGCTGCTGTGCAATTTCTGTTCTCATCCTGAAGCAAAGTTCTTAACCTGAGGTACTATTTCTGGGTTAGCAGAGTCTGTAACCTGAAGCATCTGTAACCCGAGGTACCACTGTAGTTGTGTTTTTCCTACAGCCCTCAGAATTTTCTGCCTGTCCTTTGAAAACGGATGAGGACGTGAACAACTGGCTCAAGTTTTATGAAATGAAGGCTCCGCTAATTTGCCAACCCGTTTTGGTTTCCCATGATCCAGTAAGTCAGTTTGTTGGCATACGGCGTGGGTTCTCTTGGGTGTGCTCTGCGGGGGGGGGGGGGGATGTTGGCTTGTCTAACCACGCAGACATTATTGGGGGTCACAACCAACCCCAGTGGGGGAGCATTCCAGCATATCGCTTTCTGTCTGCAATCTGAATTGTTACAGCGCAGCAACCGGGCAGTTCTACGCCTTGTTTTCTGCTTCTCTTTTCATAAATTCATTATAAGGAAGCATATAACGGAGGGCTGGGCCTGCGGCATGGCCTTGTCCCTGAGCTTGATTTTCCTTCTTCCTGTGTTCCCCAGGGCTTTGATTTGCGCCTCGAGCACACGCACTGCTTCAGCCACCATGGCGAGGGAGGCCACTACCACCAGGACACGACCCCAGAGACCGTCGAGTACCTGGGCTATTTTCAACCCGCCGAGTTTCTCTTCCGAATTGACAAGCCCAAAGAGACGCACATGGTTGGCCGGGATTGAAGCGAGACGGGGTCAGGTTGCAGCGGGAAGCCAGCTCAGCCAAGGAACAGGAAGTCTGGCGAATTGGTAGAAATTCGCCTGAATGAAATGTTGGTCACAAGATGGACTCCAATAACCACAGGAAGATAGCACTTATTTTGCTTGTTCTCGAGGGGGGATGGCATGTAATTAATGGGTGATTGGAAATACAGCTGAATTTAATCTGAGGACAAGGAACACCTGGAGTCAATTACTTAATTGCCGGGAGGGTTGTCTCTACCAGCTGTTTTCTCAACTTCCTTTCTTTCATTAATAACAATTTTTACAAACAGGCCACTGAGTGGAAGGTGAGGAGTTCTTCCCCATTGTTTTTTTTTTGTTGTTGTTTAGTAAGTCCAGCTGCCACAGACACATATACTGCCATTTTGTCCAAAGCCGCTTCAGGAAAGAAAGGGTGATATCTTCTCTTGGAGCAAGCAGCACCTCCAAATGGACCAGTCTGGGCCTGAGGCTGCCGGTTGCCAAACCTCCCTTGCTTTAACATCAACAAATTCAAAAGTGCAAGGTTCCCTCATGATAGTCTCAGCCACACGTCCTTGCAGCCCTATCCCTCAGTAACTCATCCCACGCCTACAAATTTGCTGCATAGAAATGATGTGATCATCCCCTAACAGGATTTGGATGCAGCAGAGAGAATACATGGAGCGGGGATGGACTGGTGTACTTTTTATCTATAATAATAATTTATATAATTATTATTTATACCCCGCCCATCTGGCTGAGTTTCCCCAGTCACATAGAAGAGCACAGCAAACTTCAGTGATTCACACAGAGATCTGAAAAAACACACTTTTTATTATTATTTGGGCAAGTCTCCATCTTACAGCAAAATCCTAACCATCTACTTAAGGCCTATTGAATTCAGTGTGGTTTACTTCCTGGTACATGGGACTTGCGTTGCTGCGTTAGCAAGAGAGCCAAAAGTTGGACTGGAGCACTGAATTTATTCTCAGTTTTCCTCCTGACTTTGGGTTGCAACTAAACCATGCATGTCTCTTACTTACTCAATTGCCCGTTTCACCCATGGGTGCTTCATTTGGGTGTGACGCTTTTTCTTAGCACTTCTTGTCCCAGATGAAACATCTTAAAATTGCACTTGAATCTATTATTTTATCTGTTTTCTTCCAGGCAGGATAGGCAATTTTCTCCCCCCGCCCCCCCCCCCCCCCAATTCACATAAACTAAAAAGCTGGTTGGAAAATGGCAGTTCTGAGTCATCTGCTGCACTTGGTTTGTTTAGACACTTTTCTCCTTGCAAGTAGTGCAGCTTTATGTCCGTAAAAGTTCCTGTTCGGTGTAAGATCCTCTTGCTGTGCTAGTACAGTAAGCCCCTGATGGCACCTCAAAGACTCAAGCAAGTTGTTTTTATATTAAAGTGGAGTGGCTAAGCTTTTTTACCCCCTAGGAGCTGATTAGCAGTGCAAAGTGTGGCCACCCCACACACATGTTCGCAGGACACACAGAGCCCTCCCCATGCAAAACAGCTGTTTCTGCTTATCAAATTATCAATTTGATGGGGAGCCTTTTTTGCTCCTTTTTGCCAACAAGGGGAAGTTTGCTTGGGGGAACCTGACTCAGCCCCCTGGGCTTGGTAGTAACTACATATGACTGAAAGGAACTTTGGGTTGGAGTTTTACAGGACCGACCCCCCAAATTAGCATGCGCAAGGCTTGTAACATACAGCTGCAATATTACAAATACTTGTCTTGGAGCATCTTCTGTAGAATTCAGTGTGGGACTTGCTGCATAATAAACCTTGGTGGGTTTGCACTGCACACCTGCTGCAACCCTGCTTCCAAGGTCTCTGATGAGTCTTGTGGAGCTTGGAGCAGGGATGGGTGGACCTGCGGCCCTCCAGGTGTCGTTGGACTCAACTCCCATCAGCACCAGCCAGAACAGATGATCATCAGATGATAGGCGCTGAAGCCCAACAGCAACAAGGCAGGCAGCTTCCCCATTCCTGACTTGGAGTGTGGAAAACTGAAATATACTCCGAGTCGAGAGTGGATTTCATGCTCTTTATTCAGCTCATAGTGGTGAAGGGGAATGGAAGTTCCCCCAGAATGTCTGCTTTATATACATTATTTACACAATGGGCCCCACGTGATTGGCTAATTCCGGGATTCTCCTGTAGGCCAATCAGGTTGCGGATTCACTTCCACCTGGAGCTGGATTGGGTGGCTCCTGTGGACCAATCAGACTGCTGCATTCTGAATCCTATTGTTCTAGGACCAATCAGACTGCTGCATTTTGGATCCTATTCAACTCAGTACATAACAAAAACCCAGCAAGTACACTGGTACCTCAGGTTAAGTTCTTAATTCGTTCCGGAGGTCCGTACTTAACCTGAAACTGTTCTTAATTATTCTTAATTGTTCTTAAATTAGAAGTAGTAGCAGTAGGAGAGATAGCAGGGGTCTTGAAGTTCCTCATCAACACTTTGCACCTGGGGAGAGAGCCCGGCTGGCTGGGCCCAGTCTTCCCCACTATGGTGAGATGTAGGATATTTTTCTGATGGACATTACCAGGCTGACCTCCAACATTCCCAACTTTTCATTCCTTAAATATACAGTGGTACCTCGGGTTAAGTACTTAATTCGTTCTGGAGGTGTGTTCTTAACCTGAAACTGTTCTTAACCTGAAGCACCACTTTAGCTAATGGGGCCTCCTGCTGCCGCCGCATCCCGATTTCTGTTCTCATCCTGAAGCAAAGTTCTCAACCTGAAGCACTATTTCTGGGTTAGCAGAGTGTGTAACCTGAAGCGTATGTAACCTGAGGTACCACTGTATAATTTTCCGTGCAGACCAAACATGCAAATAAATAAAGATGCATGTAAAAGCTACTCATAAATAACTGCCGCCACACGCTTTAGTTCAGCTTTCCCCAACCCGGTGCCCTCCAGATGCTAAAAACTACAACTCCCAATGAGCCGCGCTGATGGGAGTTGTAGTCTGAAATATCCAGCGGGCGGCAGGTTGGGGAAAGCTGGTTTCGCGGTTCCTCCCCGCCTCCGTTCTATCCCCGCCCCTTTCGAATCCCAAGCTCTTCCGGGAGCAACCTCCGGCGGCCACTAGGGGGAGCCTGAACTCTTTTTTTCTCTTTACGCACGCCGCTTGCTTCAGCCGTGTCCCTCCGCAGGCACCGTAGTCCTTAACGCGCATGCTCGGCAAGGCCTGCCGGGATCTTTCTCACACAAGCAGCTGAGGAGGGAAAGCTGAGTCGCTGCTCTGGCTTGTCCCTCCGCAGGCACCGTAGCTCCTAACGCGCATGCTCGACAAGGCCGGCCGGGATCTTTCTCAAAAACACACAGCCGCTAAGGGAAACCCGAGTCGCTGCTCTGGCTTGTCCCTCCGCAGGCACCGTAGCCCTTAACGCGCATGCTCGGCGAGGCCTTCTCGTACACCTGAACGCAGAGCCTCTGAGGGGAACCCAGGCTGAGGCGAAGATGTCGGGGGTCCCCGCGGTGCGGATCAGCATCGAATCCGCCTGCGAGAAGCATGTTCAGGAGGTGGGCCTGGACGGGAGCGAGACCTACCTGCAGCCGCTCTCCATGTCGCAGAACTTGGCCCGCCTGGCGCAGCGCATCGACTTCAGCCAGGGCAGCTCCGGCTCCGAGGAGGACGAGCCCGCCGCGGCCGCCGGGGGAAGAGAGTGGCCCGGGGCCGCAGGAGGGGAGGACGAGGAGGAGGAAGGTAGGAGCGAGGCCTGTCCGTCGCCACCGCTATCGTAGACTTGGGAAGGGGACCCTTGAGGGTCAGGTAGTCCAACCCCTGCCATGCCCGAACCTGAAGCATTATTATTATTATTATTATTTATTATCATTTATTGCATTTGCATGCCGCCCTTCCTCTGAAGATCGAGGGGCGGTCCACCACATTTTTAAAAAAATTAATTTACACCCACACACACCCCGCCTATACTCGGGGGTCTCAGGGCAGTTCACAGAATAAAATCAAGATATAAAACCACAAAATACATAATAAAAATAAAAAACAACAACCCAATAGGCCTCCCCCCCACAAAAAACACATTTAAAAAGGGCATAAAAATACAAAGCAAGAACACAAATTACGCGATCAAAACGAAAACACTGAGCCGCTTTCAGGCTGCAGGTAGAGAAATCACGTTTTTTTAAGTGTGTTCTCTCCCTTGTAGAAATCACAGGCGAATCCAAATCCAGTGAAGGTGTAGCCAAGCCCCCAACACACTTCCTTCCTAGAAGGTGCTTTTACTATTTGGTTTTAGTTGGGGAGACAATACAAAATGTGACCCCTCTGCCAGCAATCTGGCTTACTTCCTTATTTCTGCTGGAGGGGAGGGTGTTTATGCCAACTTCTTTCTCAGAGTTGTCAGCTTGGATATCTTAAAAAATATCTGATAGCTGTGGGCAACTGAAGAAGGCATTCTGGGAAAGGCCTTGGTGGATTTTGACACATGAGGAGGCTGGGTCTCTAGGGGGAGAAAAAAACCAAGCTTCTCACCTAATTCAAAATGTCTGGTTTATTTTATGAAATATCTGATACCTAAACCTGAGACACAAAATATCAACTGGTGGATGGCAAACTTTTTCTGCACTGGTTTGTTTATTAAGGAATTTCCTACAAGGCTAATGAAGAACTTTGGTGAGTTGCAGAGGATTCTGGGCCATAAACATGCTTTTGTATGCACTCAGTTTCTGCGTTTTGCTACTAAGGATTCCTGGACTTCTGTGTGGCCCCTCCCCAACTCTGTGCATCCTGGAAGATGTTCAGTACACACCTCAGCCACATTGAATCACGGATTAATGAAGTTTTCCAATAATTCATATAATTCAATCCCTGGTTCAGTGGAGGATCTACAATACACAGGCTGCGGCTGCAGCATCCTTGATGGATAGCTATCCAGCCTCTGCTTACATACTTGCAGGCAAAGGAGAACTTAGGCAGTCCGCTCCACTAGCATGTATCTCCTAATCTATAGGTGAAAACTGCTTTCCTGCACACTTTACCAGGATTGATACTCATTTTTTTTATTGGGAAGCTTCTAAAGCTGCCCACCCCCTCTCACTGAGTTGAACAAGGATGGGAAATTGCATTATAAAGACTCAGACCACTGGTTCATCAATTCTCCGGGGTTTCAGGTGGGTCTCTTCCAAGCCTTACCTGGAGCTAGTGAGAAATTGAACATAGGACCTTCTGCGTGCAAAGCAGATACTCTGCCACTGACCTTTGACCCTTCACAAATGGGATGCAACTCCATGGCATGTATCTTTCTATCCATAGTTATAGCAGCACCTGTGTAAAGGAATAGCTTGCTCGATGATTCCAGTAATAGTATATAGACATCCTGTGTTTTTCCTTCATTTGTGTGCTCTAGGTTTGGTAAAGTTCCAGCCTTCGCTCTGGCCCTGGGATTCAGTGAGGAATAACTTGAGAAGCGCTTTGACAGAGATGTGTGTGCTCTATGATGTTCTCAGCATTGTCAAGGATAAAAAATTTATGACTCTGGATCCAGTTGTGCAAGAACCACTTACCCAAAAGCAGGTACAGCACACCTGTTCTGTTCAGACCACTATTGAAATATTGGGAAAGATGAACTGTTCCATTTTGGTTAAACTTCATGACTTGTTTCTGTTTGTATTTATTGTTAACTGTGGGCTACATTGTCAAATATAAAGTAGTTTCCTTTTAAAGAGGGAATTAGAATTTGTCCACACCTGCTTTTAAGCTGAAATTTGATTTGTTGCCTAGAAGACACAATATAAGTTTCCTTTCTGCTTGAGGTTTTGTTTTGTTGTTTTTATAATGTAAAAGGAGAACCAGTGGCTCTGCAGATGGTGGTGGACTCCCAACTCCCACTGGTACCAGCCAGCAACATCTGGAGGGACACAGGTTGCCCCATCCCTGGTGTCGACAGATAAGGTCACATTTAAATAAAACTGCAGTTCTGTTTCCTCATTTCTAGAATCAAGTTTTGCAGCTGATCTCCAAGAAGAAGTCGTTAGCTGGAGCAGCCCAAATTCTTCTGAAGGGAGCAGAAAGGTTATCTAAATCGGTAGCAGAGAGCCAGGAAAATAAGCGACAGAGAGACTTCAACTCTGAGTTACTAAGACTGAGGCAGCACTGGAAGCTGAGGAAGGTCGGGGATAAGATCCTTGGGGACTTGAGCTACAAAAGTGCAGGTATGGTAGGCAAAGGATTGGTCTAAAGTTTGCTGAGTCTAATAATAATGTTTTTGATCACCTCTTCTTCCACACATGATAGAGCTTTGTATCTCCCCCTTCTGAGTTAAAGCAGGACTGCCCAAGACATTTTGCTGCTTGAGGCAAAGAACAAGATGGTGCCTCACCCCCTACATTGCATGTACAGAAACTGCCTGGAGTGGCTGTTGAATCTTTCTTCAACATGAGCAACAGGACAGCATCCTCCGCTGCACTTGAAGGCAGCCGACTAGCTTGGGGGACGTGTGCAACGATGTTCTCTAGCAGAGGGGAATGCGGGGAGCTTGTCAATGACGCCCCCTTCAGATCTGCTGCCTGAGGCAGCTGACTCACTAATAATAGGGCTGGCCCTGCCAAGAAGCATGGAGCGGAAGAGGAAAGTTATATTGGCAACTGAGGAGCTAGGTAGTAGATATGGTTGCCAACCCCTGTATTGTACCAACTACTCCTTAGCTTTGAACTATAACTAAGATAGTGTCCAGTTCAATTCTTGTTTCTGCCAGGAATTTGTTAGGCATGCCACAGTCTCAGCATCATCCACCACCCCCAATCTACAATTTGGGGATAATAGTACTGACCTACTTTGCAAGGTTGTTCTAAGGATTACTGTGAATGAGCAACACTGTACACTCTGTTTCCTTGGGATAATTCAAGTTACTATTTCAGTGAAAATGTTACTATTTCAGTGAAAATACTAGAATGACATAGGGGAAAAAATGCAGTACTCTGAATATTGGTAGCTTGAGATAGCAGTTATTTGTTGCATAGAGTAGTAATATGTTGTCTAAAATGTTACAGATTATAAGTTAGCATGTATGTACTTCATTTGGTCTTACTATTGTGGTATGAACATTGTAAGAAATACCAAAACATTTAAACTATTTTTATTTTTAGGGTCTCTCTTTCCTCATCACGGTACATTTGAGGTCATAAAAAACACAGACATTGATTTGGATAAAAAGATTCCTGAAGATTACTGTCCATTGGATGTTCAAATCCCAAGTGATTTAGAGGGATCTGCCTATATAAAGGTTTGCCCAGTTGTTGTTTTTAACGTTTTGTTAGTGTGTTCTTTGAATACAAAATGACCCTGTTTTCTTCTTCTTGAATATAGGTGTCTATTCAGAAGCAAGCACCTGATATAGGGGATCTTGGTACAGTAAATCTGTTTAAAAGGCCACTTCTGAAATCAAAGCCAGGTATAGTTATGGTCTGTATTTGAATGGTATGTCTCAAAAGACTGTGTAAGCATGAAAACTGAACAGAGCTATTAAAAAATAAACCTACTCTTAAAAAGCCCAATATCTTCACTGATTCAAAATACTCTGCTCAAAGATCTAGACATGAAATTAAATGTGTTATTTTTCGCCCACCCTCACTGAGCTCTGCATAGGTGATATGTATTGTCTTCAACTTGAGTTGTATTAAAAAAATTCAAATTGTGTGCACATTTTATCAGCCATCTTTTTCTCATCATTTAGGTTGTGTAATACTTTGACTGTCCATATAAAAATAAAGCTGCTTCTCTCAACTTTACAATGGTGTTTTTCCCTTCCTCTCCTTCAGGGGCTCTGCATTGGCAAACAAAGCTGGAGACAGCACAGAATGTATTGCTATGTAAAGAAATCTTTGCTCAACTGTCTCGAGAAGCTGTACAAATTAAATCTCAGATTCCCCACATAGTTGTGAAGAACCAAATAATTTCTCAGCCATTTCCAGGTAAGAGTTCCGAGACAAATTAAAATGAAGGATCTGGCAGATTTTTGCATGCGTGTAGAGAGCAGATCTCAAAAGATGTGTCATTTAACCCAGTACCTCTCAATTCATAAGACTCAGGTGCATGGACTGATCTAGCCAAAGCTGCCAGCGTTTTCCTGTTTCTAATGTTTATGTCTTATATTTAAGAAATCAGCAAGTTTATGTGTAGGACAAATGGAGTAAAATATATCTAGATATGTTGTATGTGCTGCTGTGCTCTTATATGTTAAAACCAAGCCATGCTTTCTCTCTGCCCCATTTCATTATGTAGGCTTGCAGCTGTCCATTTCCTTGTGTCACTCTTCAGATGACAAGAAATCCCAGAAATCTGCTTCCGATAAGCAAAGTCCAGAGGATCATCTTTACGTTCTAGAGCATAATTTGCACCAGCTGATTAGAGAGGTAATGTCAGCTTTCTTTGTTCTTCCTGTTAGCTCACTTATAGAAAGCAGCTGTTGTTCTTTTAATTGCCTGCTAAGAGGGTGTGTAATATTTGCATTAAGAGCTGTGGCATTTTCTCTAAATGTTTTCTTTTTGTTTTTGGAAGGGTGGTAGTATCTTGGCTATGTTTACTTTAGGGGCTAATTCTGGGCACCATGGCTTCTTAAAAGCAACAACAACCACCTAGGCTGTGCTGCTTTTTCTCACAGTGCTGCCAGTTAGATAAAACAGTCATCACTATCCAGCGAACATTGTCCCACCCAGTATCATTGAGTGGGACTTGTAGCAGATCTTCTTGCAAGGCCAATTGAAGCGGGGAATGAAAACAAAATGATTGCATGGGATATGTGTCTTTTGATTGCTGGAACCAGCACACAACTAACTCTTCCCTTCCTCTATTGTGGATTCTGTTTTCGGTAGCAGGAACTTTTAGATTGTAAAAAATTAAGAGCATATTCCATTTGCAGAGCAGCTTCTTGATGGGTTCCTGAGAAGCATTTTTATTATCTCAGTGTGCAAGCTGGCAACTTGTGGGTCTGCCTCTAATCATGACAGAATATTGTTCCCTATGGTTTTTATTCCATTAGCCCTCCTTGATCTCCATGTATGGTTGAGAACTTCTCCCCAGAGTACAATTGCAAATGCATTACAGGAAGAATTAGTATCAAAGACTTTGGGGGTGAGGAAAGGCACTGTTACTTTTGCAATACGGAGAGAGAAGTCATGTGATGTGCTTGAGTATCTACGGAGAGCTTTATCATAAGTGCATGAGGATCTAGGAAAGCAAATGGAATTAAAACTACAGATCTCTGGGAAGCAAATATCTTTTAAGCTCTTGTGCTTCCGAGAACGATTTCCTTTGAAGTGTCATTATTTGCTGATAACCTCAAGCTCACCAGTGGGGAACCTACTAATTCTCATCCTTGACCATTGGTCATGCTGGCTGGGTGTGATGGGAGTTGGGAATCCAGTAACATTTGGAGGACTGTAGGCTCCCCAGAGCTGCTCCGGGGTGACATAGCTGATACAGAGCAGGTGCTCCTGCAAACTAGAGAATAGACAGAAGACATTCAGAAACTATAGTGGAGAGCTTTGTTCATAGGTAAGGCAGTGAAGGATTTCAGGACAAGTCTCTGATTGCTAGACCTCCTGATGAGGTTGTATTGGGTTGTATTTGTTTTTATTATGTATTTTTTATTTTTTATATTGTAATTTTTATGTTGAGAACTGTCCTGAGATATATGGGTACAGGGTGGTTATACCAATTTTTATTTTTTACAATATAAAAAATACATAATAAAAACAAATACAACCCAATAATCCCCACTAGGTCATATGTTCACTGCCAGGTGGAAGGGGGGAGACAATCTCTTAATTGTCTCCTTTACATCAAAAAGAGAAGAACTAGGTATTTCTCCTGAGAAATGGCTTTCAGGATCTGTGTCTTCTATCCTGGCCAGTATTCTTGAGCCTTACAAAACCCAGGAGAAATGTTGATTGTTACAAAATCATGGTGTGTTTTTTGCTTTTGTATTTTCTCAATAGTAAAAAAAATGGTTTAATCAAGTTGTGTACAGTTGTTACTCGGCAAACAGTTCTGTTTTGTTGGTCTTTGCACAGTTTCTGACTTGAGACTAGAATTCGCTTGTTCTCTTGGCTTCATTATAGCAACTTTTTTTCCTCCTCAGTTTCACAAGCAGACCCTGAGCTCCACCATGATGCCTCACCCCGCTAGTGCACCTTTTGGCCATAAGAGAATGAGACTAGCGGGGCCTCAGGCTTTTGATAAAAATGAAATCAATTCCTTGCAACCAAGTGAGGGGCTGCTAGAGAAGATTATAAAGCAGGCAAAACACATCTTTCTGAGACGCAGGTATGCGGCTGCATCTTTTGGAGAGCGCTTTGCAAGTTAATTCGCCTGAATGCTTCGCTTGTGCAGCAGGGATTATATCCAATATTTTCTGTCAATTTATGGAAGGAATTCTTCAGAGAAGGGGCGGGGAATCTTTGGCCCTGCAGATGTTGCTGAATAACAGCTCTTGTCAGGAGAAGATTTAGGGGAGAACGGCAGGGTGGGGGGTGTGACGAAAAACCATCCCCCTCCTCCATTCCTCAGATGGATTCTTTTCTTTTTTCTTTTGTCATATCATTTTTATTAATTTTACAATAATGCTTTCCATTACAATCTCTCCTCTTATATTATACGATTTGGCTTTTTAGGGCCATGACTTTCTTCAAACCTCCCTTCTGATTTTCTGTCTTTCATTTCAAATTTCTGCATTTTCACTACTTAACCATTGCTTTCAAATCAAAAACATCAAAGCATCATATTTTCTTATTCTTCTGTGCAGTGATTTTTATACCTTTCCTTACAAAGCTTCTTGCAATTCTACCAATGTGTTTGATTGACTGCAATTGTCTTTCAAATAATTTACAAATTTAGTCCAGTCCTTGATGAACTTCTGGTCCCACTGTTCTCAGATTCTTCCCGTCATTTTGGCCAATTCCACAGATGGATTTCTTTCATCAGCAAACAGAGCATTGACTACACTCCCAGATGATTCCTATAGGAAGCTGTTTATCACAGGCAGAACTTTTAATCCGTTTCTCATAAACATATTAAGTAAGACTGTCCACTGTCTGTACTGGACCACACTGGTTTTTCAGTATGTTTAATATGGAGTGTTACGTATGTGCTATATAGATCAGTGCACAATGATGTCCAAATGATGGCTCTTCTGCTTGGGAGAGCCTTGCTGGTCGATGGCCAGACTGATGTTCCAGGGACAAGATGGAATGAAAATTGAAAAGGAGTGGAGTTGATTCGGGAAAGGGGCTCAGTTCAGGAGAGAATGCAACGAGTAGTGGGTAGCATTTCAATTATGTTGGGTGGTCCAGATATCTCTTCAGGGAAATCTAGACTTAGCCAGTGCGCTTTAGTGGTTAGAATGTCAGACTGCACCCAGGCAGACCCAGCTTCAGATCGCCACACAAGCTGACTGGGGACTAGGAAAAGCTTGTCAGGCTGACTTAACTTGCAGGGTTGTTGTGAAGATATAATGGCTGGGAAGAGAAACACCATCCTGAGCCCCTTGGGGAAAAGGTTAGGATAAAAATAGAATAAAAAACAAAGTGAGGGAGCAAACCTAATATGTTTTACCTGCAAGGTAATGTTACTTCTGGACGCGAGTGGCGCTGTGGGTTAAACCACAGAGCCTAGGACTTGCCGATCAGAAGGTCGGCGGTTCGAATCCCCGCGATGGGGTGAGCTGCCGTTGCTCGGCCCCTGCTCCTGCCAACCTAGCAGTTCGAAAGCACCTCAAAATGCAAGTAGATAAATAGGTACCACTCTGGCGGGAAGGTAAACGGCGTTTCCATGCGCTGCACTGGTTCACCAGAAGTGGCTTAGTCATGCTGGCCACATGACCCGGAAGCTGTACGCCGGCTCCCTTGGCCAATAAAGTGAGATAAGCGCCGCAACCCCAGAGTCAGCCACGACTGGACCTAATGGTCAGGGGTCCCTTTACCTTTTAATGTTACTTCAGGAAAGCTGATTGCAGAAAAGCCCACTTCTTTTTTCTTTCTTTTTTTCAGTGTATGTATGTTTTACTGGTGGTTATTTCTGTCTTCCTTCCAATGCTCTGAGTCTTTTTCCTACATTTATTGTCTTGTTTTGCAAGACGTGCAGCTTCAACCAATCAATGTGCTGAATAATATATGCCTCCTAGTGTCTTCAGGAATACCTATAAAACATTGATGTGCAACGTAAGGTTCGCTTAAAGTTAGGCATCATAGTCTCGGTAGCATTTGAGATGTGTCAGGCTTTAAATATTATCAATATCAATTTATGTTTATGGGCATTGATGTCTAATTTGATCAGGCAGAGCTTATTATTTTTCCTCACCAGTATAAAAATGCAGTGCCTCCAAGTCTTCTGGGATCTTGTTCTTTTTGTTTTCAGAACTGCTCGAACCATCGACAGTCTTGCCAGCCGTATTGAGGATCCACAAATTCAGGCGCACTGGTCAAACATCAATGATGTCTATGAATCAAGTGTCAAAGTCCTGATCACCTCTCAAGGTTATGAGCAGATATGCAAGTGAGTGTGAAAGGCGGGGAAATGTTTGCACCTTGCTCCTTTGGTGGAGGAGATATTTGGATGTCTCTGTAAATACCCAGCTGGGGAGGTCATTCCCCAATACCCAGAACTTAGAGGCTCAAATGCCTTTTTGAAAAAGGGAGTGCTAAGCGTGAACTATTCCCATTGGTGTTTGCAATGCATATTTGTTGAACTGAAAGATCATTTCCCTATTCACAATAGTACTCTACTTCACTCTGCTTTTAAGGATTGCTGCTGTTGAAGGATTGGTTTTTAACTGTGGTGCAGTGCTATGCTTTTGACTTTCTCAGGCAATGGAGGTAACCCCTGTTCCTCCACCCTGAAACTCCAGTTGTGCTCATATCTTATTGCTTTCAAAGGTCCATTCAGCTGCAACTAAATATTGGCGTTGAGCAGATCCGAGTAGTGCATAGAGACGGAAGAGTAATTACGCTATCCCACCAAGAACAAGAGTTACAAGATTTTCTTCTCTCTCAGGTAAAAACCAGGAATCTTGCCTTTCTGTGGTGGGCGTGTGATTGCAGCAGGACCTTGGATGCCTTCTTTTTTAAAATGGAATTCTTGGGATTGCAGATGTAGATTTAATACAGTTGTAGGCGTTTGAAGTTCTCATGCTGCATCTGCAAAATATTGCGCTAGTGGCAAATAGCAAGAACAGGGAAATGATGTCTGTGACTAGGGACCTGTTTTCAGTCCAAAGTTCGCAGTCCGAACTTGTTGAGCCAGCTTGATTCTACCAGTAGTATGCTTAGAAAGTATAAGGGGGGGACCCCCTGATCATTAGGTCCAGTCGTGGCCGACTCTGGGGTTGCGGCGCTCATCTCGCTTTATTGGCCGAGGGAGCCGACATACAGCTTCTGGGTCATGTGGCCAGCATGACTAAGCCGCTTCTGGCGAACCAGAGCAGCGCACGGAAACACCCGTTTACCTTCCCGCCGGAGTGGTACCTATTTATCTACTTGCACTTTGACGTGCTTTCAAACTGCTAGGTTGGCAGGAGCAGGGACCGAGCAACGGGAGCTCACCCCATCGTGGGGATTCGAACTGCCGACCTTCTGATCGGCAAGTCCTAGGCTTAACCCACAGTGCCACCCGCATCCCTTTTAGAAAGTACACTTTTCTGTTAAATTATTATTTTGCCTTGGGAGCCTCCAGCTGAGTCAGGATGGCTTGCTCATAATCACAGACAACCAAAAAGTGCAGTACTGTGTCACTTGACATCTCTGAATGTCTTTCACTCCTGTTTGGTACCAGAGCTTCTGCACTGGTGACTCTTGAGTGTGGAAACTGCTGTAGATTAAATGCAGATGTGTATTTATCTTACAGTAGCTAATGAAATAGCTGCTCTGTGTTTTGAGAGAGTAATGAGAGAGAATGTGGCAGGAGGCAGGGGCTAAGGAGGGGAAACGCAACTGAAATATCCACCCATTCATTTTTTTAAATTTTATTTCAGATGTCACAGCATCAAGTGCATGCAGTCCAGCAGTTAGCCAAAGTTATGGGATGGCATGTGCTCAGTTTTGGTAATCACGTGGGTCTAGGCCCAGTGGAGAGCATTGGCAATGCGTCAGCCATAACTGTGGCGTCACCAAATGGAGACTATTCTATTTCAGGTACTGCACTGGGAATTAAAACTTGCTGAGAACCTATATGCTGCATGCATGTGAGCTAAAAAGAAAGAAATTGCAGGTAAAGGAACCATTACAGTAAATACAGCATTGTTACACTGCAGTTTTTTAAAAAAACAAAAAACCGCAACCCACTCAGATTGGAAAGTCAAAAATGGCACAGTATGACTTAATGAGGACTTGTGTGGTTCCTAAGAATTGTTGAAGACACAATCACCAGACTGATATTTTTTATTTGGTTTCATTTTATGTATTATTTGCATATTTTAACAGATGGGTTATGTCACCACGGGAACCTTTGGGTTAAAGGGTGGTTTACAATTTTAGTTTAAAAACTTTACAAAATGTTGCATAGTTAATGCTGTTGTGTTGCTGCGCTTGTTTTCTGCAGTACGCAATGGTCCAGAAAGCGGCAGCAAGATTATGGTTCAGTTCCCACGCTCCCAGTGCAAAGACCTCCCCAAAAGTGACGTGCTTCAAGACAGCAAATGGAACAACCTTCGTGGCCCATTCAAAGAGGTTCAGTGGAACAAAATGGAAGGACGCAACTTTGTGTACAAAATGGAACTCCTCATGGCGGCCCTGACACCCTGCTCCTAGGCTTTGCGATGAAACAAAAAGGACTATTGTTTTGGCACAAAAGGGAATGACTCTCTTACACTCCTGATAGTTGCCAAGTTGCATAACCTGTGAAACGCCATTAATTTCATTTTTCTCCTCCCCCCAGAATAATATCAAAAGTCTTCCTTTCTGGAAGCAACTTCTCCTGCCATTTCTGAATATTGAATTAAACTGTGCCGTTGTCTTGCCCGAGTCCCAAGTTCTTGATGTTTGTAAAATGGAACTCAGCTTTGCTCCCATCTTTACAAAGGGGTTACCTGGACTGCTTCCGTAGAAAATGTGGTTATGCCCAGCTTAGCAAGGGCAGCCCAGAACGGGCTGAAACATTTCTATACATTTAGAGGAGGTCTTTGCCATAGTAGTAGTTACTTCTGCAGTGCTCATATCTGCATCTGTGACTCTTGATAACTGCTGAATATAGACTTAGATTTGATTTTTACACACCACCTGTGAAGGCAAAAGAATGCAAAGTGGAAGAAAACCTTTACAAGCTCTTATTGATCCCACCTTGAATTCAGGAGCAAGTGCCACTAAATTCCGAGGGGATCTGAGGAGGTGGGGGTTAGATCGGATGGGCTCTGTGTGATGTCTCGGTCCTAAAACCAATGAAAATGTATGTTCAGGTAATAACTCTTTATTAATGATGATCAAAACACTTAACAAGGCAACTTATTTGTCAGTTTTATTCCTGAAACATTCACCAACAGCCACAGCTAAAGACAGTTGTAAGCGCCACTGAGTTTAACCATTCTATTGGAATGCTATTGTCATTCCAAAGACATACAAGCACAGGGAATTAAATGTAAAATATCAATGCAAGCTTGTGGCATAGTGTCTGCAGTACTGTATTTAGAAGTTAGAAAGCCATATTAAAATCCCCACTGAGCCATATCACTCTTAGCCTGACCTACCTCACTAGGTGGTTGTGAGGACAAAATGAGATGATCCTCATCTACACCATCTTGAGTGCCAGAGAAAAGAGGAGGGATAGAAATAGGTAAATGGGATGCTCATCTTGTCATCTAACATCAAAAAGTCAATGAGAGAACTTGAACTTCAGCATACTTATAATGTTGGTTTAGTCTTTAAATTAATCACCCAATCATTGGTAACCGTTTTTGATGTGAGTTGCCCACTACTACTTTAATATGTTTTTAAAATGTAATAAGTTAATAAACAGTTGCACCTTCTTTAAAAGGCTGCATTTTCCCCCTACCTATTCACGTTCAAGATTGTCCACCATCGTGGGTGCAGATTTTAGCACATGAAGTCCTCAGTCACATCGTCATGATATTTGCTAATGCAAAGTTTAAGTGTTTGTTCTTGATACAGTTTGAAACAACAGAAGTATTCTGTCCTCTTTACATGTTCTGTCCATTGTAAATTATACTGTGAAACCACAGTATCTCTCACAGTGTCTCTGGATCGGCTTCCAATTAATCTTTGCTTTTCTGGTTCAGGAAATATCTTACAACAGAAGAAACGTACACCTTGTGTCTTCTGGATGCCTGTCTCCTCTCTTACTAGTTTCTTTTTGAGGTAGAAAATTGTCTCGTGCATTTAAACCGTTCCACATTTAACACCCCATCATTTGCAGCTCAGTCTCTTCAGTTGCGCTTGCTGTAAATGAAAGGAGAATGTAGCTTGAGAACGGATCGACTGGAAAGGAGCAGTTCCAAAATAAAAATATAGCTAAGAGATAATGGCGTACAACTCGTGAGCATAGTGGAAACCTGCTGCAAACAGGGCATTAGTGTTACATAATCTCCCCTAAACAGGGCCTATGTTTATACTACACCACCTCTCTGAAATCTGTACCAATTAAACCAAGACTTGTAATGGTGAGCCACTCATTCAGTACCAAAGATGCAAGTGTCAAGTGTGTGCATTACATCTGCAGCAGCTTTGCAGATGCTGTTTCTCTTGATATCCCTACTTCCTTTTCCAGATCTGCTTTGGTGTCAGTTGTATGGAGAAAAGCCAGTCATGGAACATGGAAAGGCAATGGAGTTGCCGGGAGGGGGAATGTAGGAGTCAGGCCAGCTCAGTATCGTTTATGCTAAGTGGCAATGGCTCTCCAGGCACTGCCCTTTCCCCAGCCCTATGGGCAGATGCTAGGGTTCACTGAAAAATAATTGCCAAACTTTGGCTCCAGTTTGAAGCAATTCAGAAAAGGTTGCATTTTCGGTTAACTAAAAACCCCAGTTTGATGTATCAATTACTCAGGTTGGGGGGGGGCACTGCAAAACACAGGATTTTTGCTGTAAAATGGCTGCAAAACTTTGGCACAGGTTTGAATGGGATCCTAAATTTTGGAGTTATTGAAGCTAAACCAGGGAGACCTTCTGTATGCGAAGGAGAGGCTCTTTTCACTCAGCAAGGAAGTTGGTTCCCATCAGCCTCAGCCAAGATGGGCAGTAGTCAAGGATGGTGGAAATTGTGGTTGTCCCATTCACAAAATCTGATAGGTCATAATGTTTTATAAAACTGGGCAGCGGGAGGGTTTGTGGTCTTGCCTTGCAACAAGAGGCAAAGGAAGCAGGACTGCAACATGTCAAAAGAGGAAGGGACTGTGGCTTTAAATGGACTGGGCGTGCCTCAGTAGCGGTGTACTTTGTTTTAGCAAGCAGAAGGTCCCAGCATCTCTTGTTTTTTTTAAAAAAAATCTGTAGGTGATGTGGAAGATCTCTAGCTGAGACACTGGAGAGCTGCTACCACCAGTTGGAAAAGAATTGTCTCCTGTCTAAGGCAACTTCTGACATTCCATGGAAAGGGATATGACAAGTCTGCTTGTTTGCTCTAGCACAATGGGGCCTTTCTTCTCCGCAGGTGTTCTCAGCTGCCACTGCCATAGTTGCAAAGCAAACAGCCTGCTGTGTTTGTCTATGTCTTTGCATGCTTGAAATCACCTGAAGATCTTTCAAGCCAAATAGATAATGCAGTTTGCAAACAAGGTGCAGAGGAACTGAAGAAGGGTGGGAGGAGATTAAGTCTGAATACAGTGGTATCTCGGGTTAAGTACTTAATTCGTTCTGGAGGTCCGTTCTTAACCTGAAACGGTTCTTAACCTGAAGCACCACTTTAGCTAATGGGGCCTCCTGCTGCTGCCATGCCACCGGAGCACGATTTCTATTCTCATCCTGAAGCAAAGTTCTTAACCGGAGGTACTATTTCTGGATTAGCGTAGTCTGTAACCTGAAGCGTATATAACCTGAAGCGTATGTAACCCGAGGTACCACTGTACTACAGCACTGTTGCTGGTACAATCAAACCTCGGACCCCAAACACCTCCGTTTTGGAATGTTTCGGCTTCCAGGCGACGAAAACCTGAAAGTAAAGGCTCCAGTTTTCAAACGTTTTTCGGAAGCCGAACATCCGACACAGCTTCTGCTTGAGTGCAGGAAGCTCCTGCAACCAATTGGAAGCCGTGCCTCAGTTGTCGAACATTTCAGGATTATGTTCAGCAACCAAGGTTTGACTGTACAGTGGTACCTCGCAAGACGAATGCCTCGCAAGACGAAAGAGTTTTCCGTTTTTTGAGTCGTTCCGCAAGACGAATTTCCCTATGGGCTTGCTTCGCAAGACGAAACGTCTTGCGAGTTCTTGCGAGTTTGTTTCCTTTTTCTTAAAGCCGCTAAGCCGTTAATAGCCGCTAAGCCGCTAATAGCCGTGCTTTGCAAGACGAAAAAACCGCAAGACGAAGAGACTCGCGGAACGGATTAATTTCGTCTTGCGAGGCACCACTGTACCATATACCTAGATTTACACTCAGGGCAGATTTTTTTAAAATCTACTTTCAGGGCACTCTTTCCACATTGATTTGCCTGCTAAGGAATTCCTGCCTCCTGAAGAGGTGGGGAAGAATGTCACAGCTGTTTAATATACTGTTGCAGCTGTCCCGTGTGTAACTGCCTTGGCATTCAACTTGAGATCTAGGTGTAGATGAGCATCCCTGGGTCCCGATGTCCCTTAGACACATTCCCAGGGTGGTGCATTGTAAAAGATATGCATCTTTTGCAAGTGTGTTTTAAGGGTCGAAGTATGCATACATGCAAGTTTCCTGGCATGCATTCAGCATTGTCTCTGAGTAGGATCAGAGTTCAAATTATGATGCTGCTGCAGTGTGTAAAATGCCAGTGGCACTAGCTGCTTTAGCGCTCATGCGCATGTATTTTTAAAGTTACAGATGTGCATTAAAGAAATATGCATGTGCTTCCCAGATTAATGTCCATGGAGCTAAACTCTTCTTAGGAGGAATGGAGAACTACAACTCTTGTAATTCCTGATCACTGCTGTAATAATAACATTCAAGGTTTTATATATATAATAAATGTTCATAAATATACCAACCAAGCACCTACATAGATCAGCACAGGAAGACCGACCTGAAACCATTTTGACTCCCAAACTGACCAAATGTTTTCTCTGCAAGGAGGGAGGGGGTCAGGGAGCCTTCCCATTGTCTCAGGAATTGGGAAATCACCATCTCAAAGGGTGACAGACTACCAGGAAAGGCAATCAGATTAGACCTGGCAGACAGGAAAAACAACAACATTCAAATTTCTGCTGTAGATCACATTTTATGTGATGTATGTATGATGTTTGTGGGGGGGGTGTGTTGGGTTACACCCCTTCTGTGATGTATGTATGATGTATGGAGGGGTGGTCTTGAGCTCCAGGGCAGGGAATTTAAAATGTCTATATAAGGCCTTGCATGCCATTGTTCGAGGTCTTCCTCCTTTCCTGCGTGTGAGGGGAGCATCCTGTTGCAACAGATCAATAAAGATCAGGCTTGCTAGCTGCTTTGCTTCTCAATATTCTCTGGTTGGCCTCTGTTATTTTCTCCTATCAATAGGGAACCCACGTAAGGACTCTATACAGGCTCTTGGCATAAGGGGAAAAGGGCAGATTTTGTTTACAACACTGCTATGTTTGTTGGGGCTGATGGGAGCTGGACTCCAACTGCAGGGTCGCTGGTTTCTGATTCCGGCTGAAGAACAATGTTTGCAACTCGCAATAACAGCAATTCAACAAAGCATCCTCCAAAGAGACAACAGTTTCCCGGGAATGGATAGCAACTCCCCACCCCCCCCCCAAAAAAATCAGGAGCTGTCTCTGGCAAACAGGGTCAGCTGGAGCAAGTGAAAGATTATTTGGTTCCTTTATGTGCTGCTGCAAAGGTTACCTTTGATCCGGTGCCTCTCCTTCTGAAACAGCTGCATCAATTTATTGCACAGCCACATGAGGCAGACTAGAATGGCAGACACACCTGTGAGGAAGGCAAAAATGACGGCTACGAAATGCAGGTCTTCATAGATAATCTCTGAAGGAGAAGGGGAGACAGACAACACAGTGGAAGTTGACTTAGGACGTTTGGAAAAGAAATCACGAGTCACTGAGGGGTGCCTCCAGATTATCGCTATGCTGTGGGATAGATTCAGGTGCATACCCTTTATTTAGGTTTAGGTAAAGGGACCCCTGACCATTAGGTCCAGTTGTGGCCGACTCTGGGGTGGCGGTGCTCATCTCGCTTTATTGGCCGAGGGAGCCGGGGTACAGCTTCCAGGTCATGTGGCCAGCATGACTAGACAAGATGGTTGGACAGTGTTGTTGAAGCTACCAGCATGAGGTTGACCAAACTGCAGGAGGCAGTGGAAGACAGGAGTGCCTGGCGTGCTCTGGTCCATGGGGTCACGAAGACTCGGACACGACTAAACAACAACAAGAAGCTTTGTGCAATCAAATCAGGATGAATGCTGAATAAACAGGTTGTCTGGCAGGATCCCAGCTTGTTTTCTGCCAAGCCCTCGTTGCTTTTTGACCTCTCTGTTTCCAAATTTCCCCACTGCCGCTGCCATCAATCACCCTTGTGACTTATCTGGAGCCTGCTCTACCTATGCAATAGTTGTCCAACAGGTAGATTGTGATCTACCGGTAGATCACTGGATGTCTGTGGTAGTAGATCTCTGGCAGATCACTGGCTCACCCCAAAAAAGCTCAACAACTTTGGCTCCCCTAAAAAAAAAAAAGCTCCTGCTCCTTAAAAAAAGCTTAACAACTTTCCCCCAAGTAGATCGCAGTCTCTTGGGAGTTGGCCACCCCTAGAGTAGAGCAATGATATAGAAATGAGCTGTATCTGTTTTGGGTTTTTGGTGGAGGTGGGCAGTCAAAGCAATTGCATTTTGAAATGTTTCCCTATGCAAATAGAAAGCGTTCGCCATCCCATGCTCATTGTTTACTTTCAGGGAGGAGTTGGGGATTGATATGTGGGAAGCATTCAGAAACGGGGCCACAAACCTGGCACAGGTTACTCTCCCCCAGGACTTTATCTTCTGTTGCCATGGTCTGACAAGTCTCCCTCAGCAACGAGAAAGGCAAAGGCAGACAGCACAAAAACACAGAGAGGAGAAGCCACTGACCACCATCCTCTATCTGTTGAAAACCTGATCTTTATCAGGTTTTTAATTATCTATTTCCCATTACATGTTTGTCCTGCTGTAATGCTTTAGGGCTCCAAGATCAGGATAACAAGAGGTAGAATGGCAATCCCCTTGAATCAAAGAATATACATCTATTCATCCAATAAACCTTTAAAACAACAACAACACGCGTTTAGCAAATAATCCATGAGGGCACTTGACCCTGAACCACTGCTGGTAATTTGGTGGCAATGAATTTGCTAGATAAATAAATATCCGTTCATTTATTAGTCAGATGGCAGCTTCTTGGCACATTCTCGGACATTTACCTGAACAGGTGAATGATCTATCTATGGGCATTGTGTTCCTGAGCTCCCCTACATTGAGCAGGGAAGGTCTGCAAGAGGCTTCTAATTCATATTCACCTGGATGTGTGAAAAAACACCTTGTGGCGACCAGGGACCTACCTGCTTTTGGGTGGCAAGGCAGGAGGTAAAATAAAGAAAGAAGGGAAACCTTTGCCACAGTCTTAAAAGTTTGCCTGCCCCCTGAAAACTCTCCAACAATCACCTTTCCCATTTCTGTGTGAGCCAAGCATTCCTATGAAATTGTGGGATGGGGATATTCAGCCCAGCTTTAGCTCCCAACTCCTGCCGAAGAGCGGGTTGCGAGCAGTCGGCCCTAGAGAAAATATTAAATCCTCTGATTTCATACCATAAACATTCAACAGGATGGTGCCATAGATGGTGATCCCAAACTCTTCCCTCACCGTGACTAAGTAATAACCAGTATCTCTGATATCGACGTTCAGCAGCTGAAGAGAACCGTTGTCATAAATCTTCACTCTGTCTATGTAGCCGCTGGATATGTTGGCGTAGCTTCGCGGTTTCCACTCGGCAATTTTGGACGTGCCCCTGGGAGACGTGTGGGTCCACTTGATGATGGGGGAGCCCCCGAAGGTGTGCGCGACGGACAGCAAAACGTTCTGCGCCACCGTGGTGTTCACGTTGGGTTGTGAGACCAGCAACGATGCTTCTCCTCCTTGGGCTGGGAAAAGAAAGCAAAGGGGGAAGTCGTCCTTTTTTTTAGGTGCTGGATTGGCCTTGTCTGTGTTGAGCTAAAAGGTAAAGGGGCCCCTGACCATTAGGTCCAGTCATGGCCGACTCTGGGGTTGCGGCGCTCATCTCGCTTTATTGGCCGAGGGAGCCGGCGTACAGCTTCTGGGTCATGTGGCCAGCATGACTAAGCCGCTTCTGGCGAACCAGAGCAGCGCACGGAAACGCCATTTACCTTCCCGCTGGAGTGGTACCTATTTATCTACTTGCACTTTGATGTGCTTTCGAACTGCTAGGTTGGCAGGAGCAGGGACCGAGCAACGGGAGCTGACCCCATTGCAGGGATTCAAACCACCAACCTTCTGATCAGCAAGTCCTAGGCTCTGTGGTTTAACCCACAGCGCCACCAGCGTCCCGTGTTGAGCTAGTGTGGCATATAAACAATGCTTAGAGTATCGTCTCCCAAACTTGGGTCTCCAGCTGATTTTGGATTACAGTTCCCATCATCCCTGACCACTGGTCCTGCTAGCTAGGGATGATGGGAGTTGTAGTTCAAAAAAAAAGCTGACAACCCAGGTTTGGGAAACCCTGGCTTACAGCATTCATCTAGGACCAGGGAGTCCAGGATTCGAATCCCCATTCAACCACAAAGCTCTCTGGGTGATTTTGGGCTGGTCACTACCTCTCAGCCTAACCTCTTGGGGTTGTTGTGGGGATTGAATGAGGAGGGGGAGACACATGTGTGCTGCCTGGAGTGAAAGGTGGGATATAAATGCAATAAATAAAAATAAATTTGGTTGTGAGGAGGCCAGCTATTCAGTGTCACTCGGGATGGACAAATCCGTTACATTTGGTTTCTCTCTAGGTCTATTTTTGCTACACCTTAAGTTCTCGCAAGTCCACATCAGTTTGCTTTTTATTATTTTAAAGAGATCCTTATGAAACTCATTGGCATTTTAGTGCAACTTCTCCCAACGCACACATTTCTGTATGCAATTTTGCATTATATAATGCGTTTTCGTACATTATTTTCTCCAATACATACATTTTTGTACACATTGCTTGGCTGGAAAATTGCATTGCAAAGGTCAGAGATGTTTGTAGCCCTGTTTCAGTTTGGGTATTGCGTCAGAAAGTTAGAACTTGAGAAGATTCTGCTGGATCAAGCCAATGGCCCATCTTGTCCAGCATCCTGTTCTCACATCAGATACCACAGAGGGAAATCTGCAAGCAGGGCATGAGCACAAAAACATTCTGCCCACCTGGGAATCCCAGCAACCAGCGTTCAGAAACATGACTGCCATTAAGAGCAGGCAGCGGGCTTGATCAGTCTTCCCCAACCAGATACCTTCCAGATAATTTTGGACTACAAATCCCATCGTCCCTGACTATCTTTTTTTTCTTAACAATTTTTTTTATTAACAATTTCAACATAACAAATCATCAATACAAATCATCTTCATTATTCCCCCCTTTTTCCCTCCCACCTCCCCAACAAACCCTCCCTCCCCCCCCCCGAGACTTCCCTCAGCTCCTCTCTCTGATTTCTCAACTCATATTGTTCTCTGCATATTGTAAAATTGTATACATCCTTATATTATCTATCCACTATCTTAACCCAATAAATTTGTGTATGTTTATTCAAAACCTGCCAAGGAATCCAGTTCATTTTGTTGTCTTTCTAAATAGTTTGTAAAAGGTTCCCATTCTTCTTTAAAGTCACAGTTGTCCTCATCTCGCAATTTACATGTCAGTTTTGCCAGTTCTGCATAGTTCATCAATTTCTCTTGCCACTGTTCTTTTGCCATCCTTTCTTCCATCCTTGTGCTATCAAGACTCTTGCCGCCATTGTAGCATACATAAATAAATTCTTTATTTTTCTTGGCAGGTCTTGTCCTACAATCCCTAACAAAAATGCTTCTGTTTTTTTTTACAAATGTCATTTTGAACATTTTCTTCAACTCATTGTATATCATTTCCCAATTTTTAAAAATTTCTCTGCATTCCCACCACATATGGTAAAAGGTCCCTTCCTTTTCTTTATATTTCCAACATAGATTTGACCCCCATCGTCCCTGACTATCAACCATGCTGGCTGGGGCTGTCAGGAGGGCATCAGATCAGAGAAGGCTGAGATAGATGAACACAGATGGCCCCAGTATAAGGCAGCTCCCTATGTTTCTAAGTGATGACTACACCTGTGTGCTTCAGCCTCAAACAGGGCATTTTGCTGCTTGAGGTGGGGATTTACATACAGATGTTGACCAGACTGGCAGTGGGATTTCACATCAAAACTGGCAATGGGACAGCACCCTCCACCAACTTAGAATCCTATAATTGTGAAGTTGGAAGGGACCACACGGGTCATCTAGTCCAACCCCCTGCAATGCAGGATATTTTTTTTACCAGGGTGGGACTTGAACCCACAACCCTGTGATTAAGAGTCTCATGCTCTACCAACTTGAACAAAATATTGGGGTGGGGGAGATAAGCCCCGCCCTGTATATGTTATCATATGAGGCACACCATTTGAATGGAAATGCTCATCTGCTTGGGGGGGGGCAGCTTGCTCAAATATTTTAGGGGGGGGAGGGACCTCAGACCCTAGAAGTGGTCTCCTATGTCCAACCACACCTGAGGACAGCAAGCTAGCCGGTCCATAGGACAGGCCATGCGGCACAAATTGATCTGTTCTCCAGCGCATCGCCCCTGCTGCCTGCCTTCAGCATCTGCCGCCTGAAGCACTTGCCTCACTCTGTCCAATAGTAGGGGCAACCAGAGCCTCAAATGACTGGTTGGGTACTGTGGTTGGGTACACATACAACCATGTATACCTACATACAGTGGTACCTCGGGTTACAGACACTTTAGGTTACAGACCCCGCTAACCCAGAAATAGTACCTCGCGTTAAGAACTTTGCTTCAGGATGAAAACAGAAATTGTGCAGTGGTGGCGGGAGGCCCCATTAGCTAAAGTGGTACCTCAGGTTAAGAACAGTTTCAGGTTAAGAACGGGCCTCCAGAACGAATTAAGTTCTTAACCCGAGGTACCACTGTACACGGTTTGGAAAATATGTAATATATGGACTCCCGATGCCCAAAGGAATAACTCTAGTGTGCAGAGAGATTGTGTGTGTGTGTGTGTGTGTGAGAGAGAGAGAGAGAGAGAGAGAGAGAGAGAGAACACACCAGGCCTTGTTCCTTTTCAGGCCAAGCCCAAATACCTCAAGTGAAAAAAACCCCAGAGAATAGCTCAGTCAATAGAGCGTGAGACTCTTAATCTCAGGGTTATGGATTCAAGCCTCACACTGGGCAAAAGATTTCTGGGGGTTGGGCTAGATGATCCTCGTGGTCCCTTCCAACTCTGCAATTCTGTGATTCTATTATTCTAAACCTAAACGACCTGCCATGCCTGCTTTGGCCCACAGCCCAGCAAACGCCTACACCTCGCCACAAAGGAAGAAGGGAGCCAAAGGCAAAGAAGATGGAGGAAGACAATTTATTAGGCTAAAGTTCCCCCCTCTAGCAGTGCTGGGCTTTAGGAGCTGCATGCTTAGTTGGGGATTATTAGCAAAAGGCACTAATCTGTTTAATTTATACGCGGCCCTTCTTTCCCGCAAACAACAGAAGCAACTTTGAAAGGTCTTAAAAAAACAATTCCATACAGATGCATCTCGAACCACACAAACACACACCACACAGGGAGGCAGCAGGGATGGAAGTGATGAGACTGTTTAGGAAAGGAACACACAAGGAACATGCTGGAAACCAGGAGGAGAGCAGAGGGCTCTTATGCTCAGATCCTGCTCACAGGTTTCCCACAAGCGTCTGTCTGGCCACTGTGGGACCAGGATGTTCATGGGCTCTTCTGGATCAGAGCAATGACCCTATCTAGCCCAGTACGCCATTCTCACAGCAGCCAAGAAGATGACGCCTGTGGCAAACCTGCACGCAAGACCAACGTTTTCCTTTTTTTGAGGGAAATTCCCTTATGCCGAATAGGATTCCTCGCAAGAAAAGGGAAAAGTTGACACCTATGCGCAGGACCCAAGCTCAACAATGCACCTGGCACCACAACCTGGTCTGGCGGCGGAAAGAAGTGTGGGGACTGCGAGGAGCCCAAAGCACTTACTCGGCAGAGCCCAGCCAGCCGTCAGGCAGAGGATGGCGACTGCTAGCCGTACGTCTTGTCTGCCGCTCTGCAGACAGCCGAGAGGCCTCATCAGAAGAAGGGAAACGTTTGCCGGCCTTCATTTAATCCAGTGTCGGCAGACCCGCATGTCAGAATCCAGATTGGGGTGTGTGTGTGTGTCTTGTCCGTCCCACACCCTGTTCTTCTCTTCCATCCCCTGTTCCAAACAATCGGATACCGGAGGGGCTGTGTGGTGTCAGTCTCTGCAGGTTCCCTCAGGTTTCACTGCGTTCCCTCAGACGCAGAGCCTTCCCTCGGAAAACCCACACCGAACTGCGAGGTGAAGGCTGGCTCTTTGCCTTGGCTCTCACGCCCTTAAAATAAATAAATATCTAACCCTCCCTCCGATATTGATTTAGGATGCAATTGGCGGAGAACAGCAGCAGCAAAGCAGTGTAATGTTCCTTTCAGGAAATGAGCCACTCAGCCGGCTCTGCCGCATGACAAGCGGATGAATAATTCCTCTGGTTTCTGTTTTGCCTGTTACACTGCACTGAGCCGGGCTTACTTCGGAGGGAAACCCTAAACTGAGCTGGACTTCGTTCTGGTTCTGAGTAAACAGCCATAGGGTCGTATGCAGCTCAGAGTAGACCCATTGGAATGAAAGAGCACAACTAAGTTAGGCCCATTAATTTCAGTAGGTCTAATTATAGGGAGTAGGAGTGTTTGGTTGTTGATATTTCTTAAAAAGCAGAGACATCACCTTGCCAACAAAGGTCCATATAGTTAAAGCTATGTATGGAAGTGAGAGCTGGACCATAAAGAAGGCTGATCGCCGAAGAATTGATGCTTTTGAATTATGGTGCTGGAGGAGACTCTTGAGAGTCCCATGGACTGCAAGAAGATCAAACCTCTCCATTCTTAAGGAAATCAGCCCCGAGTGCTCACTGGAAGGACAGATCCTGAAGCTGAGGCTCCAATACTTTGGCCACCTCATGAGAAGAGAAGACTCCCTGGAAAAGACCCTCATGCTGGGGAAGATGGAGGGCACAAGGAGAAGGGGACGACAAAGGACGAGATGGTTGGACTATTTCTGGGTTAGCAGAGTCTGTAACCTGAAGTGTCTGTAACCTGAAGCGTCTGTAACCTGAGGTACCACTGTACTTCTTCATGCAGCGCATAGTTAAACTATGGAGCTTGCTTCCATGGGATGCAGTGATGGTCACCACACTGGATGGATTAAAAAGAGGATTAGACAAATTCATGGTGGACAAGGCCATCCATGGCTACCGGCCATGACGGCTATGTTCTACCTCTACTTTCAGAGGCATAAATGCGTCTGAATAGCAGTTGCTAGAAACTGCAGGAGGGGAGATGGTTCATGCGCTGAGGTCCTGCTTGTGAGCTTCCCACAGGCAACTGGTCAGCCACTGTGAGAACAGGATGCTGGACTGGGGTGGGCCATTGGCCTGATCCAGCTGCCTCTGCTACCATGCACCTCCTAACACATTGCCCCCAAGGGAATGTGATGCTCAAGTTTCAACAGACAAAATGTTGCCCATCTCTGCTGTGAAATCTGAACTTAGATTGCTGATTAAGAGCCATAGTTTTCAAAGGGCCCTTTTCCTTTGCATGTCTGCCTTTGGAAACAGAGATCCATCTTTCAAGATCGCTCTGAGTGCAGTTTTCCTGCAGTCTCTTGTGGTTTTTCAAGTTCCTATAAAGAGTGGGACCTAAAGTCATTAATAATGGAACAAAAAGGCATTTACAAAAAGGCTTAGCAGGAGCTGCAACACTCCTTATCTGCCATATGTTGCATTAGGGTTTTCAGAAATTTTGCACAAAGGTTACAATTCTGTTTCTTTTCGTCTCTCTTCAAATGGTGTGGTGGGTTTTGGCAATTTTAGGATGCTTTAGGTTAGAAGTATCTACCTGTGGGAGATTTGAAATCAAACCTAACAATGCTATTTAGTATGCGAAAGGGTTACGGATCACAGAGTTCTAAATTGTTAGAGAAGGTTCAGTGGTGTTGCCTCTCCTCTCCTCCTGAGAAGAAGTAAGGCTCATTTCCTCTTCCATCTCTCCCTCTCTCTCTCTCTCTCTCTCTCTCTCTCTCTCTTTCTTGCTGCAAGTGACAGAGGCAGACATGCCTAGGGTTGCTATACATCTGCATCTTTGCAGACATTACTGGGATTTCAAAGGCAAGTCAATTGAAAAATAACATTTTTTGTCATTTTTGTTAAAAAAAAAGCTCAACAACATTGGTTTTTTTCTTTTAAAAAAAGTTGAACAATTTCAGTAGTTGCCTCAACATTCTTTGATGTATTTTTTCCACTAAGAACATTTACCTGCATTTTCTTATTACTGATAAGAACAATGCACAACTGTAAGTAAAGTATATTTTAAACTTACTTCATTGTGTAGTCTGTTTCTCGGCAGGAGGGGTAAAGGGAGCCAGTTGCCTGAAGTAGTTGGAATGCATTAAAAGAAGGTTTAAAAGCATCTTCTTATGTTTCACTAAACCTGCCTAACAGTGGGATTTAAAGTACGCTACTGGGGCTCTTTATGCGCAATACCTACATTTGTTAAAACAGGCACCAGCCATTTTTCTTTTGTTTGCTAACCCACATATGTGGGTGTGTAGAGGATTAGATATAACTGATCTATCCTCTTCCCTATACCCAGCATATTATTTACCTTAAGGGAATCCCTTTCCGTGTTAACTTGTTTTCTGAAGAGCCTCTTGCATTTCAGCAAAAGATTGTGGGGAACATTTTAGGGTATACAGTTAGTTAACTACAGACTTATAACACTGATATACACTGCCTAGCTTCCAGGCTGAGTTAGAATTTTCATTTGAAGCTTGAGTTAATGTAGACATTGAAGTAAAGCATGAGGGGATGAGAGAGGCTGGTCAAACCATAGGGCAGGCTTCCTCAATCTTGGGCCTTCAGATGTTTTGAGACTACAATTCCCATCATCCCTGACCCCTGGTCCTGCTAGCTAGGGATCATGGGAGTTGTAGGCCAAAAAACATCTGGAGGGCCGAAGCTGAGGAAGCCTGCCACAGGGCTTTAAAAGTAGACCGTGAAAATAATTTCTTATATTTGCTTTCAGAGTCTTCAGATCCAACAGATTTTTCAGATGGACAAGCCTCCACAACTTGTGAACGGAAATATGTACCTTCTGAAATTAACATTGCAAAATTTTAATTTCAGTGGGTACAGAATGATGGCTGACTGTTGCATGTTGGGGGCTTATTAGTCACTTTACACAAGTGCCTCAGAGTGGCTTACAAATAACAGTTAAATACACGGCAAAATATATGAAAGACAACATAATTAGAGGCGCAATATGAGGTGATCAAGCCATCAAAGCAGGTCTTGTTTTAGATCATGCGTTTTATTAATACAAAAAGAAAATCAAGTTTTTGAAGGAAGATCCATCAAGTCCAGTATCTGGAAATCACAAACAGAAGGCACTGAGGCAACTGATCTCTCTTATTATTTGTGCTGAGCAACTGCTATTTAGAAACTGGAGTCACTTTCACACCATTCATTTAAATATGGCTTCCTGCAAAGAATCCTGGGAGCTGTAGTTTGTTAAGGGTGCTGAGAGTTGTTAGGAGATTCCTGTTCCTTTTCTCAGAGCTACAAATCTCAGAGTTCCCTGTGAAGAGGCATTGACTGTTAAGCCACTCTGGGAATTGTAGCTTTGTGGAGCTCCTCCTGCTGTCCCTCCTTGGGAATCTTTAAAATGTCAACCCTTCAGGCAACACCTTCAAATAGAGGACCATCCTCTGTAAATTAGGACACATGCTCCATTCCTACCGTTGATGGTACTGTTGATAAAGGATGCATTTCAGAATTGGAATTCCAAACCCCCCCCCATTACACAGAGGGCTACAAATTTGGCAAAAGTAACCAATCAATTAAGACACTCTATACAACTAAATGATATAATAATAATAATAATAATAATAATAATAATAATAATTTATTTATGTCCCGCCCTCCCCAGCCGAAGCTGGGCTCAGAGCGGCTAACAGCAATAAAAGTAACACAGCATTCTAAAATCAGTATTCTAAAATCAATTCAAAGTCAAATGGCAACCACTGGGCCAGAGTTCTACGAGGATCAGCAAAGGAGAGGGTCAGACTGTGCCTTGCGGAAGATGTCAAGTCCCGCAGGGCCCTAGTCTCTTGTGACAGAGCGTTCCACCAGATCAGGGCCACAGCCAAAAAAGCCCTGGCTCTGGTTGAGGCCAGCCTAACCTCTCTGTGGCTTGGGACCTCTAAAATGTTTTTATTTGAAGACTGTAAAGTCCTCCGTGGGACATACCAGGAGAGGCGGTCCTGTAGGTACGAGGGTCCTAGGCTGTATAGGGCTTTAAAGGTTAAAACCAGCACCTTAAACCTGATCCTGTACTCCACCGGGAGCCAGCGCAGCTGGTATAGCACCGGGTGAATGTGATCCCGCGGCAAGGACCCCGTAAGGAGTCTCGCCGCAGCATTCTGCACCCACTGAATTTCTGTAGCTGCAGCACCAATTAAAGGGCTTCAAAGGCTTCATGTTTTTCAGAAAGACCCAGACATTGGATTAACAGGACTAGGAAAAGAGAAAGGTGTTGGAGGTTGTGCCACAATGGGAGAGGGCCCTTTGCTGTGACTATGGACTTCAATAACAACAACAACAACAACAATAAATCACAACATGGAAGATGACCTCATTCAAAGAGCTAAGGATCCTTCAAGAAGGATCATGGGTAAAATACCAATGCAATTTGTCTCCCCTTTACTCAAAACTCTGTTCTGGCACAGGCATCTCTTTTACGCCTCTGGGGTAAGGAAATGACCACCCTATCAGCTCGTACGATCTTACAGACGTCCCATCTGCGGGGAAGGATGTTGGCCTTAAATAGAAAGGCGGACAGATGTGAGACAGAGATGATGGTCAGCAGAGATACCAGCATGGTGAACAGCTTAAATGGGAACAGCTGGACATAGGCCCCGTCAACCAGAGAGCATCCTGGGTAATGGATGACCGGGGGGATGTTCAGGGCGGGCTCCCCCGCCAAGAGGCGCAGGAGAAGGCCCAAGAAGAACCCGGCGGCGGAGCCGTAAGTGTTGGTGTTGCGAATGAAGAGGACGCAGCAGAGCTGGGGGAAGAGGAGAGCGTAGACGAGTTCTCCACTCAGGAACCAGAGGTCATAAATGGAATGGGCGTAAAAAGCTAGACCTGCGGACATCATCCCAAAGATCACCATGGACATTCTCATCGCCCATAGCACTTCTTCCTCTGACGCCTGGAAATAAAGAAATAGGTGTTTTATTATTTGTTTAGGTGCTATTACATTTCTATGCCGCTGTGGAGGTAACGCTCCGCTTGTGCTGAGGCACACCTTGCACCTGGCAGGCAACAGCGTGCCCAGGAGCCTTGCGCCCACGCTCCCTGAACTTGTGCCTCTTGGCTAGCAAACAGGGGGTTTCCCCTGACCGTTTGTCTTCTCACAGATTTGGTCACTCGACATAACGCTTGGCTGGAGCATGACCAGGGACGCAGTTGTAATCAAGTACAGTGCTACCTCAGGTTAAGTACTTACCGTATTTTTTGCACCATAACACTCACTTTTTTCCTCCTAGAAAGTAAGGGGAAATGTCTGTGCGTGTTATGGAGGGAATGCCTACGGGTGGCATGCCTACGGATTTTCCTCCTCTAAAAACTACGTGCGTGTTATGGTCGGGTGCGTGTTATAGAGCGAAAAATACAGTAATTCGTTCCGGAGGTCCGTACATAACCGGAAACTGTTCTTAACCTGAAGCACCACTTTAGCTAATGGGGCCTCCTGCTGCCGCCGGAGCATGATTTTTGTTCTCATCCTGAAGCAAAGTTCTTAATCTGAAGCACTATTTCTGGGTTAGCGGAGTCTGTAACCTGAAGTGTATGTAACCTGAGGTACCACTGTATCGGGGAACATTTTAGGGAAACACCTGCTAACACGTGTATTTGATAACGCTGGAAATGTGCTTAGATGGAAATACGTCATGTTCAGAGTGGTTTCACTACTGATTCCAATTGTTGACTTCTGCTAATAAAAAGAGGCTCTGCGAAGCTTGCTCTTCAGCTTGCTCACACACAGCTCCCTGTATCCAACCTCCTGCCATCCTCCGTTATTCTTACAGCCGCCTTTCCTCCAACGAATTCAAGGTGGTGTGCATGATTCTCCTCTCCATTTTACCCGTACAGCAACCCTTTGAGGTAGGCTGGGGGCCGAGACGTGGCGACTGGCCCACCCAGGGAGCTTCATAGCTGAGTTCAGGTGGGCTGCTAGGGCCTAAACACAACTACACTAAGCTGGGTAACTTTTACCAATATCACTTATTATTACAGTGGTACCTCGAGTTACAAACGCCTCAGCTTACAAACACTTCAGGTTACAAACTCCGCTAACCTGGAAGAGTTACCTCGAGTTGAGAACTTTGCGAATGGAAATCGTGTGCCGGCGGCACAGCGGCAGCAAGAGGCTTCATTAGCGAAAGCACGCCTCTCGTTAAGAACAGTTTCAGGTTAAGAACGGACCTCCGGTAGCAAATTAAGTTCGTAACTAGAGGTACCACTGTATTATTATTTAAATTGTCTTTCTGGGATTTGGGGTGGCTTTGAACCCTGTTGTTACTGGTTCCTGGAAATTCCCAGAAACCCCTTAAATTAAGAATTTTATTTCATTTTAAAAGAAAGGTCTCTGCGATATTCTTTCTGGTAAAGTCAACTGCTTACTGCAAACCCCAAGAGCCATTTTAGCTAATGAGATAATGAGATGAGGAGCCTCGCAATATATTTTACGAAATGTTACGAATCTATTTCCTATGATCATTCTGAGTGGCGTAATTCTGTGTAACTACTGGCTTCCTCTCTTTAAATTTTATTATGTTCCAGTGCATATTTCTGTTGTGGCCTTTCAAGTTTCTCTCTTCTTATAGAGAGAACCTAGATTTGGCCTTGCATTTAACATTCAGTTTTTTAATACAAATATCATGGGGTGAGGGGAGGGACAATTGACAGCATCAGAGCAGACATGGAGAAAGGATTTAACCTTTTCCTCCCCAGGTGCAGGAAAATCATGCTTCTGTTTTGCATTGGGAGGAAATTCCTGCTTAATTTTCTTTAATTTTATTTCATAAAAATGTATGCACTGCTTGATTGTATATATATAAAAAAACCCCTCAAAGCAATTTATGAAAGGAATAAAACAATAAAACTATTCGTAAAAACAGTAGCAAGCAACAATTAAATCAGCGTAGAGATTTTAAACAAAGTGTAAGGTAGTCTCTATGTGAGTATATTGTATTCAATTATGGGGTATCAGAGTTTTTAGGGGCTAACCCGGTTGGGATAGTTGGGATAGCAGGCTTGTTGGTTTTTGAATGTCTGGTGTAGATTTTTTTCAATTTCGTTGTTCTGTATGGGACAATGACAATAAAGATTATCGAATCGTAAAATCCATGATAAACTAAAAACAGATTAAAATACAAATCAACATTCTACATATCTGGGTGGGCTTGTCAAAACAAAACAATTTTTTTAGCAGGCACCAAAAATAATATAGTGAAGACACTTGGATCCCCCACAGACCTCCCTCCACCCGCTGGTGTCGATATTATTTGCAACAACTCACATGTTTCCTGAAGACTTTCCTGTATATGTTGTGAGCAAACAAGGTACCAGCCGAGAGCAAGGCAGAATCGCCCGAAGACATCACGGCAGCAGCCAGGGCGCCCAAGCCACCAAGGGCGACATATGTTGGGCACAGATGGTAGAGAACCAGTGGGAGAATAAGGGCAGACTCTCCTCTGTCGTTGGGACTGGGGAGGCCATAGGCAGTCTGATTCCAGTCTTAGAAAGGAAACAGAGAAGCGTCATGTATGTTAAAAGGTTTGATCATATTTCAGGATGAGGGTTAACTCATGCAAAGGAACAGGAAGTCTTCCCTATCACTTTTTCCAACGGGTAGAGTAGGCTAGGTTAGGAACAGCGTATCGTTGAACAAAATTGGCTGTCCCTAAAATTCATCACACCCAAGGTGGCAACTTCTTTCTCCCCAGAAGAGTCAGGGAGGATTCGCGATCCTCCGGGTGGTGTTATGAAGCGTGCTAATCTTACCTGTGGAAGCAGCGACAGCCCCAATGACAACAGAAGGGATGGCCATGATGAAGCACCCCAGTCCAGAAAGGTAGGAGATGAGCCTTCCTTCGTTTGGAGAAGAAGCTGAGAGAACGCGCTGGAAATAGATTTGCCACGGGATACTCCCAAGAACCTGGAAGAGAAGCAGAAGGTTATGAACATATCGGTCAGCCTCCCATCACATACAGGCAGCCCCAAAGTCACTTCAGGCAATGCAATCCAAGTGCTGTTAGGCCTTGTGGCCTTCCGTTCCAACTGAGTCTTGTTCGAGCGACGAAGGGCTCACTCCCAATTCTGCTGTGGTTCCAAGTGGTTTCCCTCTTGCCTTGTTTCTTCCCAAGGGAAAACCCTTAGGAATCTATTCAGCAATAGATCAGACCAAATGGCAATCTCATACCCTCCAACATTCCTGAGGTGAAAGTAGGGACATTTCTGACTCCCCAACAACTGACCCTTCCTGACCCCCCCCCATTTTTGGGTCTGTTCCCCCTGCAAAGCATTTCCTATCAGAAGAAGGGCAAGTGCTACCACCACTTCACAAACACAAACAACCATCCACCGTCCTGAGGGGGGAAAACCCTTAATCCCGACTTTATTTACAAAAAGAAAACCACAGAAATAAATGTTAGAAAGGGGCAATACTAGCCCGAGGGCCAAATCTTTAATTCCCCCACTCACTGTGGACCAAACTTGAGCAGAGAGCAGGGCAGTTCAAAGTTATCAGCGTAGCCAGTAATGGGGGCATTACAGGAAGCCGCTTGGAAATCCGTTCTCAGATGTGACTCAGATTCAAATTGTGAAGGGGTGTTTTTCCTCTGCAGGCATGGTATACATTTCCCCAGCTCATCCAATACAACTATTTCTACAGTCTGGCCAGAATGAAATAAAACAGCAAGCGCCACCAGCTTGCCCTCCATCTGCCTTGGGAGCAGTTCTTACCAAATATAAGAAGTCATCGAGCCACCTTCCAAGATACTGCACTTCCATTTTTCCAATCCAAGATGCTTGGAAGACGTCGTGCGCAGCAGTGTAGGAAATGCTTTTCGTTGCAGGGTTCATGAGGGCAAAGGGGATACAAACCCACTTGCGGTAAAAAGAGAAACATCAGTATTATTTCCCCATCAGGTTCCCTCAAGGACACCAGCCTTGAGCTCTGGTTTGCAAAATATGCTACCCACAAGTGAAAAGAGGAAAGTAAAATAAAATATCCACTCCTGCTCACCAAAATCCATCAAACAGAGGACAAAGGTGACTGATGGGTCGATAGCTGCTCACCCACAGACAATATTTGATCTTACAAGCAGCTGGTTGCTGATGATTACTATAGAGAACTGGCTCCAGTGTGCTTATAGAAGCTCCTGCTCACACCTGAAGCTCCAGCAACACACATATAGAGAGAGCGCTCATTCACTTTGATGGTGCTCAGATTCACTGCAGGCAAAGATTATCCCCAGACTCATAATTTTGTCCTAGCATTTTGTACCCATCACAGCCTCGCAGAGACCGCGACCAAGCCCCATGTGTGTAGAATATGGTTATGGTTTTTTTTTTAAAAAGCACACCAACATTTCAAGTGAGTAGTAAAATAACAATATTGAGACTTACCAGGCTGACTGTTATAAAGATCAGCTGTATTACATCTGTATATGCAACTGAGTACAGGCCGCCTAATAAAGTATAGATTATAACCGTGCATGCAGAGATAATAATGACTAAAATACCATGGATATCCAAAATGACCTGCATGGTTGCACCTGTGGAAAAAAGGACAATGTTAAGCTACAGCATGAAATTTAATGCGACACCATTTCCCTTACATTGTTATATTAGTGTGTAACACAAGTGACAGAATTACTCCTTAAGAGATACAAGCATTAACATTGGGAGAGATGTTCTTCTAGACTAGATGTTTCCCGCCCCCAACCAGATGCCCTCCAGTTGTTACTAGTCTACAGTTCCAATCACTGGACTGTGATCATTGGCCACACCATCTGGGGCTGATGGCCTTTGAACCCCAAAACATCTGGAGTGCCAGAGGTTGGGAAAGGCTGCTCTAGGCATTATGAACATTCCCAGATGTGGAGTTCAGTTCTCTTTATTCCTCAGGGCGGGTATGAAGTAAGGTTGTTGCAGGACATGGCTGAGGAGGGGTTGTGGCCTGGGGAGAGTGCTAAGGGCCACAGAGAGAGAGATCTAGAGGGCCACATTGGACTGCCTGGTCTGAGGTTCCTCATCCGACTTAGGGCAAATCACTCCATCTATCTTTCCCCAGCCGTAGACATTTGAATTGCATGAAGTGGAAATGTGGGCTGCACGGACTCATGGGCCGTAATTAAAGCAGTTCCTACTTTACTGAAACAAGCCTTCGGTCCTTAAGACAAGCAAGAGATGTTTAGTTACCTAAGGAAGCAAGAATAGCTGCAAACCAGAATATGTCCCCTATCAACGATGGAATAAACATGAGGCTTGCCATCACATTCCCATATGTTTCTTGGAGTGGATCCATCATTGTCACGTACTTCTTCGATCTCATTGGATTGACAAAGAAGAGCCCACCTGTTAAAAAGCAGTTGTATTGCAATTATTATTGTCATCTGGGCAGAAGCAATGTTTTTAGATACCCAAAATTTCCCCCGAGGAGCTAAGAGTGGCACACGTGGTTCCTCTTTCCCATTTTTTCCTTAACAACAATCCTGTAGCCTGAGAGAAGGTGACTGGTCTGAGATCACCTAGCAAGTTCCATAGCTGAGTGGAGGTTTGAACCGGGGTCTCCTCACACCTGGACCAGCACTCTGACCTGGGAATAGTCATCACAGTGACCTTCAGAGATGGCTGGATGGCAAACTGCTGGGTTGCTAGGTCATGTGACTGAGCTGAAAGGAGTTTGAAATAGGGGGTGTCTCCTCCTCTGCCCTGCCTCTGCCACACTCTTGGAGCACCCCTTTTTGGGTATTTTCCTGGCTTCGGCTTCACAGGATCAGAGATGGAGGGTTTGCACTGAAGTATTTATGGCTGACCCAAGATAGGGAAATTTAGTCCAGATTCAGCCCAAGATCCACCTATCCAGAAACCCCCTCATCCCAGCGGATCTTGTGTTTGGATTACTCCTTGAGAGACTTTTCGTATGTGCGACAAGGGCAATTTGTGAGGAAACAATGTGAACCAAAGTCAAACTTCAGCATTCCCCTTGGACGAGGCTCTCATCATTTCCAGTACTGATTTTTATTGGATGGAATGCAGTGGTACCTTGGGATACAGACGCTTCAGGTTACATACGCTTCAGGTTACAGACTCCGCTAACCCAGAAATAGTACCTCAGGTTAAGAACTTTACCTCAGAATGAGAACAGAAATCGCGTGGCAGCAGCGGGAGGCCCCATTAGTTAAAGTGGTACCTCAGGTTAAGAACAGTTTCAGGTTAAGAACGGACCTCTGGAACGAATTAAGTACTTAACCCGAGGTACCACCGTAGTTACATATTTAAGCTTTTTTGAAAACTTTACCAATAAGGAGAGAGAGAGCAAATCCTGCTGGGGCTTGGACCCACACGAGTCCTCTTGAAGGCAGGTAGACAATTTCAGCAGTGCCATTGATATATGCTCCTCCAACCCACGTGGCTGAAAGAAAGCAGGAAGAACACACTTAAACTTGGACATTCTCTCAAAATGGACATCCCAGCTAAAAATAAATTCTGTGTTGTGCTGCCTTTAGCTCCAATTTCTATAAGGCCTTGAATAAGGGAAGGACCATGTCTCAGTGATAGAATATTTACATTGCACTTAGGACATCTCAGGCCTCAATCCCTGGCAATGAAAGCCTCTTTTGTAATATTTTCTCTTTCAGACTGACGAGAGGTTTTGTTTATTGATTGATTTTGGAAAAGAAGTGGCTACATGAGATTATGCATACACAGCACCTTTGGTTGGTTGGACGATATTAGGATCAAAATATTTTAAAATTAAGGAAACTCTTGACACAATTAAGTCATTTAGAAAGATATGGAATATAATGCCAAATAAAAAACAGATTTGATCCACGCTAAATTGACTTTGTGGGGGAATCCCATTTTTAAAGTTGGGGAAAAGATGGCATGTATGAAAAAATTGGATGGAAGCGGCATAATGACATTGGATCAACTGATAGATGAGGAAGACGAATTTTATAGGTTAAGTGTTTTAAGTGATAATTATCACCCGTCAGATGCATTCCAATAGCAATATCTGCAGCTACAATGTCTTGTAACAAAGAACAACACCCCTCATATCTCCCCCCTTCTATTTTCCCCCAAAAGCAAGAGATCCATGACAAAAACGTCTCTCGCTACATGTAAACAAACTGCAAAAAAGACTCTATGAATTGAAAGTGCAGACAAAAGATGTACCATACTTTTCCGTCTATAAGACACCCCCATGTATTTTGGAGGACTCAGATTTAAGAAAATGGGAGGAGATGGCCCCATGCATAAGACGCCCCCTAATTTTTGACATTATTTTTTAGGGGGGGAAACTAGTCTTATACATGGTAAAATACTGTACTTTCCCCTGCTGGTTTGTTTCGTAGCACAATAAAATATTTAATAAAAACTAATTAAAAATTTAAAAAACAGTGTTTGCATTGGCTGCTTTTTCAGCCTCTGAGACACCAGAGGTATTGGAACAGTTGTCCAAATCTTTCAAAACAAAAAAACCCAGCAATTACTTTTTATAGATATTTGTTATTAATAAATAAGTTTGATATGCAGACTGTAAGAAACAACTGGAAAAAAAGATTTGGTTGTTCCTATAGACCAGGTAGACAGTGTGACAGTGTTTTAGTTTCCATAGCAAAGGCACCGATGGATCTTAAACTAAAGCTTACACAACAGAAAATAATATTTAGAATCTATTGGACTCCATTAGTTTTGCATAGAAAAGGACTGTCGATTGCAGCTTCTTGTTGGAGGATAATGCCTCTTGGAAATATGGTGTTCTTACAGTGTCCTATTCCCACTAAGTTTTGGGCGAAAGTGTTGAACTGTGTACAACTGTATGGAAGAACTTGAAATATTCAGAAGGAAATATTCTTTCGAATTATACACTTATTATATGGAAGTTGACAAGTGGACAGACAACGAAAATGGATTCTCTGTGTTCTAAGTATGCCCAAAAGACTGATATTGATGAATTGGAAAAACAAAAATCTGGTCCTCTTTAATCAATGGATTGAAGACATGACAGCACTCACAACATATGAACGGATTGCTTATAGATGCAGGTTTTGTTTGGATAAATATATTGATTTTTGGAACAAGTGTATACAGAATATAGCAGGTTATTAATAATCATATGTGCATATAAGATATATATATATATTAAATTTTGTATATGAAAAATTTTAATATATTAATTAATAAATAAAAAACTTTGGAAAAAAGTGCTTTAAAATAAAATAAGAACTGCTATATTAGTCTATATTGCACCTTCTTCTTTCTTTCCCCCCACTTTATTTTGTATAACTGGAAGAAAAAACTTTGAAATATAAATAAATAACCTTGGGAAACAAGTGCTTTAAAATAAATCTGCTGCAAAAAAACTTCTAGACCTAAGACTCAGATGCAGTAGTTCAGTGGTAGAATACTCCCTTTGCATTCAAAAGTTCTCATGTATCATCTCCAGCATCTCCCCGTTAACGCTGGGAAAGACCACGGACACAAAAACGCACACACAAACATGAAAACTCTGACTTTCCCCCTCTGAATTTTGGCATTTTCCCGGGCCACTTAATCACCCAGCCACATTTCTGGACCCTGCCTAGATATCAGGTTAGTTCCTTTTAAAAATTGGCAATCCTGTGTTATGACAAAGCCCATCTATAACATCATGATGCCTCACACCATGAGTCATTAGAATTGTAAGTTGGAAGGGACCGCAGGGATCATATAATCCAACCCCTTGCAATGCAGGAATCTCAACTAAAGCAGCCATGACAGATGGCCACCCAACCTCTGCTTAGAAACCTCCAAGGAAGGAGAATCCACAACCTCCTTGGTTTTGGGGAAATTGGTACTTACCGGTAGCGGTGAACAGTCCAAGGCAAAAACCCATTTTCCTGTTTCCCACCATGGCCACTTCACTGGGCTTCCTGCTTTTCAGCTTCTTGGCTTTCCAGGAAGCCCATATTCCAGTTGCTAAAGTAACAACATAAAAGGCAACCAGGGCCACCAAGCCGCTTGTGCTCAAAGGCATCTTCTCCAGCTATCAGGAGATGTGAGTTTCTGGCAGTGGAGCCAAGTTCAAGCAGCAAAACGCCTGTGTCTTGTCAGACGAACCTTCTGCAGGCTCTTCCACTGGCGAACTGTTGCTATCTGAAGGACTAACTTGGGGTGTGCGCAAAGTGGGAGCAGAGCAGTTTATGACGTTGGAGTAGGACCCCGCCTATCTCTCTCTCAACAGACTAAACAATCTCTGCGTGTGTGTCCTTAAATACCAGGAAAAAATGAGAGATTAATGGAACAAACAAAAAATATCCAGCATAGGCATTGTGGATACCAAGTGAGGTCTTGGAGCAATGATTCTTAAAGGGTGTTGCGCATCACACTGGATGGCAAGCGTGGCAGGAAGATTCAAGGACAATCGAAGAAACTTTTAAACATGTCAGTGTACAGCACAGAATACTATCAAGTTCAGAAAAGAGAAATGCTTCTTTGAGTTGATGAGATGTGAGTGTCTCAGAATAGAGCTAACATACCATATTTTCCCGTGTATAAGACACCCCCATGTATAAGACGTCCCCTCTTTTTAGGGACTCCAAATTGAGAAAATGGGGGGAGATTGCCCAGAGTTGTTGAGCTTTTTGGACCACCACAGCCAATTGCACGCACATCAACAAAGCCACCAATCTTCGGCATGCAAGCAGAAAGCAAGCGCCAATCGCCCTATTGCCACAACAGCCAATAGCCTGCAGAACTTGCCGCACCAGCCAATCACCCGCAAATACGCCGCTGACAATCTCCTGCTTGCGGCAGCCACCAAACGCCCGTCCCACCTCTCCACTACCCATGTATAAGACGACCCAGAAATTTTAGCATAATTTTAAAATAAAATAACCTCGTCTTATACACGGAAAAATTCGGTAAATGAGATTACCCAGCAAAAGCAAGCTCGTTGAGTTTGTAGGCATACTTAAGGTACGTTTTATGCAAGAGGCTGGTTTGCAATTATATTTTGGGAGTGATTTATGTTCTTGTGCAGCTGCATTTTGCTATACTTTCTGGATGCCCCATGATCATATTATAAAGTAGTTGTGTTCTGTGTTAGTTGTGGTGGCAAGGTGGTAGCGCAGGGGCAACAGCAGGGGCAGGGAGGGGGCCTGGATCTGTGGGGAGCACCAGGGAGGGGGGATGTTTTGCTTACAGTAGCAAAACATCCTGGGCCGCCCCTTATGCAGAAGGTCCCAGGTTCAGCTCCTGTCTGAAGCCCTGGAGATCCACTGCCAATGATTGTGGGAAATACTGAGATATGGTGATCTAACTTGGTGTATGGCAGCGTCCTATATACCATTTTGGAGCACATTTCTCCTTGTGTACACATTGTTGCAAACCATTTCTCCGATATGATGCATGTGACTTTCAACATTATGTTTTGATGCATGCTTTCTAATTTTTGTTGTTGTTTAGTCGTTTAGTCGTGTCCGACTCTTTGTGACCCCATGGACCAGAGCCCGCCAGGCACTCCTGTCTTCCACTGCCTCCCGCAGTTTGGTCAAACTCATGCTGGTAGCTTCAAGAACACTGTCCAACCATCTCATCCTCTCTCGCCCCCTTCTCCTTGTGTCCTCCATCTTTCCCAACATCAGGGTCTTTTCCAGGGAGTCTTCTCTTCTCATGAGGTGGCCAAAGTACTGGAGCCTCAGCTTCAGGACCTGTCCTTCCAGTGAGCACTCAGGGCTGATTTCCTTCAGAATGGATAGGTTTGATCTTCTTGCAGTCCATGGGACTCTCAAGAGTCTCCTCCAGCACCATATGTTCCTTTTAATATAACTCTGTTTCTGTGTCTTTTTACTGGAGAGCTGCACTGCAGAATTCAGAGACATGTGGATTTTGTTGCACTCCTGTTTGTATCTTGTTTTGGGAAGTACAAATCAGGTAGGTTCGTGAACTGAACTGAATTTCTTCCTTGTTGCTAGGAAGAGTGTATACAAATTAATAAAGAACATTTAAACTTAGAAGGAACGTGCTTTGGAATGGGGGAGGGAGCATAGAAGAGAAAGAAAGGGAGAGGGAGAGCGAAGAGCGAAGAGCTCAAGCATTAGGGTGGCCTTGTGCAAGTCAATGTCTTTCAGCTAGGGAACTGGAATTTGATCTAGTTCACATTTAAATGTGAACTTATGTAATTCACACTTGCCTAATTCACAAAACAAGATGCAAACCAAAACATGCCCATCCTTTGCAGTTAGCACTTTTCCGAATTTTGCAATGCAGTTCTCCAACCAAGGAATGTGTATGCAAATGTATGTACTAGGGCAAAGTGTATATTAGAGAAAACAAGGTACAAAAATGCATTGCAAAAAATGTGTATATTGGGCAAAACTGCATAGAAATGTCCCAATTCACACTAAAACGATGACGAATCTTCCCAAAGACTTTAAAAAGGAAGAATTTGCAAACTGATGTGGAAACATGAAGAAGTGAATTAGAGATTGGAAAAATGAAATCGCCAATCTCTACTCTTAGCCTAACCTACTTTGCCACTGTTTAGGAATTTAAAATTCGAGGTGTTCATCTCCTTTGAGGAAGAATGTAATTGTCCTGCAGCAAATGGATATGAAGCAAAATGTGGTTTTCAAGATTGGATACGTGTGCAAGCCTGCCTGAACAGATTCTGCCACGCAGCCTCCTTTAGCCAGTTGTTCTTCCAACTAATAAAAGAAGCATGCCTCAAATAATAATACAACAACATTTAATATTTACAGGCAAGACATGATACAGACAGAAGCCCCGATGAGAAACAAGACTGGTTTAAATGTGCAAGTCTCTAAAACAAGGTAAATTGTAAGGTTTCAGAATATACATCATTTGTTTGTCCATTCTAGACAACATAAACATCTATCTCTGGCTCTCTCTTTCTTGGGATTTAATCTCAGGCAGCTAAGAACATTAGAACCTCTACTGTCAAGTGAAGCATCCTGATTCTGACTGTGATGTAAAACACCGTGTGTGTGTGTGTGTGTGTGTGTGAGAGAGAGAGAGAGAGAGAGAGAGAGAGAGAGAGAGGAAGAGGAGGGGGAGGAGGAGGAGGAGGAGGAACAGGGCAAGATTTTTGTTTGCATGGTTAGGACACAAAAACTAGCTCATTTATAATAATAGCTGTAGAATCTGCATGTGGGACAGAAGATTAAATATTGCTGGGGTACTTTGGCCTCTCTTTGTATTGCACCCAGCAGTGTAAGGGGCCTTTTATTCATGTTGCTATTCCACATGGCATGGGAGTATGTCTGAATCGAACAGCATAATTTATTTGCTAAAAGCCAATGGGTGTAACCAGGATTTATATTGGGGGGGGGGCAGGACACCCAACTGTCCTTTGCTTGCTCTCAAAAGGGAGATGGAATAAATGAAACACAAGAACATAAGGATAGGCTAGGGTTACCAGACGTCCTCGGTTCCCGGGGACAGTCCCCGGATTTGCAAATCTGTCCCCGGACAAATTCCATCCCTGGAATGTCCCCAGATTTGCAAATCTATCCCCGGGAAATGTGGCAGCGGCAGCCTCAGCAGCCTGGAGCCAGCCTGGTAGCGCAGTTGGCTCTGGCTGGCTCCGAGCTGCTGACTGCTGCTGCCACTGCCGAAGGGGAACCAGGGATGTCTGGCGGTACAGATCTCTTGCCCCCTTCCCCCTTTGTTTTGACTGATGGGGGAGGCTCGGGCGTTGCGAGTGGGCAGCCGTTGCCCAGGAGGGGTGCAAGGCGTGTGGTTTCTCTGCCGGGCAAGGTGCAAAGCCCTTCTTTCGCACCCTGTGAAACATAAATGCGCAGTTTTTTAAAAACTGGGCAATGGCGCGCCGCTTGGCCATGACTCCTGAGTCTCCCTCGAACTCCTGCCCCCTTTGTTTTGACAGATCAGGGGAGCCTCGGGAGCCGTGGACAGGCAGCCATTACCCAGTTTTTTAAAAACTCTACGCATTTATGTTTCACAGGGTGCAAAAGAAGGGCTTTGCACCTTTATACAATATGCATGTGTGCTTGGGCCCAGGGTCTTTTGCCTCACCATCCCAACTACTGACTCTCTGTTGCTACTCAGCTTCAAAAAAAAGTGTCCCCAGATTCATTGAAAAAAATCTGGTAACCATAGGATAGGCTACAGGATCAGGCCAATGGTCCATCTAGTATAATCTCAGAAAAGTCCTAAATAAATTACACACAACCTTTCCCCCTACCTATATAGTGTTTAACTTTATATATAAAAAAGAAAGTTTTGGGATTCTTTCTGTGGTTATAAGAATCCGCTGTGTTTCTGGTTCCTATAAATCTGAGGTGGGGAACCTGTGACTCTCCAGATATTCCCAGGTTACATGCAGCTCGCATGATTCCTGACCATTGGCCATGCTGGCTGGAGCTGATGGGAGTTGGGAGTCCAGCAATATCTGGAGGGCCCCAGGCTCCCCACCACGGCTATAAATATACAACACACACTATCCTGACTTTACACATGTTGGCTGTTGGTTATTTGTCTTTCGTCTTCTTCGTAGGCTGGTCACATTCCTGCAATATCCGTCTGCAAGCAAGCGAAAGGATGAGTTCTCTTAACAAAATAAGTCAAGATCGCAATCAGATAGCATAGTTCCATTTTACTTTTTCAGAATTTAGTTTAAATAATAATAACAATAAAAGTCTTCACTTGGCCCCAGATGTTCAATAGGGAGGAGACATGTCTGACCTTAACTGGAAAGGAGTTCCATGAACTTGGGTCTGCAATACAGAACACACGGTTCTGGTGGATACAGGTTGTGCCCCCAAGCTATGGGGAACCACCATATTAGGGTTGCCATACGTCCGGAAATTCCTGGACATAGCTAGGATTTGGCTGTTGGAAGCAGGGTCTGGACAGAAAGCACTGAAATGTCCTGGAAAATCTGGAAGTATGGCAACACATGTTGGAAGCTTTGGGCGAATTTCCTTTTAAAAACTATTTCAAAATTCACTTTTTGAAATATGGCAACCCCACGCTATATAACAGCAGGCCAGATCAGGCCAATGGTCCATCTAAATCTATCATCCTGTTCTTATAGTGGTCAGTGGGAAGCATGCAAGCAGGATTCGAGTACAACTCCTGGCAGATAAACATCTATATATTACACCCCAGGTAGCCAAATTTGTGCTGGCAGCAAGTTTTCCTTTTATTCCCTGTCGTCCATTGTAAAGGCCTTTGGCTGGATACAATAAAAGTGACTGGATTCGAGCCCAATAGCACAATCTTCTCCTGTGGTTTTCAGCAACTGGTATTCAGAAGCATTGCTGCCTCCCACCATGTCAATTTTATCATTGTACAGTAGGCCATTTTCCACACACACACACACACACACACACTCACACACCTGTCTTCCAGCCAGTCAGCCAAGAGGGATTATCACTGTTCAAAGACACATTCCAGTCAGGAGGGCCTAGAGCATGGATGAGGAGGGACAGGCCTGGAGAGAGGTTGGGAAGAGTCCTAGGGGCCTAAGAGAGAGGTCTGAGGGCCACAGTTGACCTAGTGGCCTGAGATTCCCCCAAATAGGAACACAGTCATACCTCATGTTATGTTTGCTTCAGGTTGCATGTTTTCAAATTGCGTCCCGCGGTGATCCGGAAGTACCGGAAAGGGTTACTTCCAGGTTTCGCCACTCGCGCATGCGCAGACATGCAAAATGACATCATGCGCATGTGCAGAAGAGGCGAATCACGACCCGCGCGTGCGCAGACACAGGTTTCATGTTGCAAACGGGCCTCCGGAACAGATCCTGTTCGCAACCAGAGGTACCACTGTACAACCTACCATGACACATTGAATACAAATGGGCAACTGTAGCGGTAGCCATGCAAAGGTGGGCCAAAGGTTCCCGATATCTGATCTGAATGGAAAGCAAACGTTTCACAACTAAAACCCAAATACAAAATGGCCGACCAGTTTCATTCCTTTATAAACCAAGGATAAACCAGTTCATTCTCTCAAATGCAACTCATGGTTTTCTAGACCTCATTCGCACAGCTGTTTTTATAAGGAATATATTCTATGCCCCGTAATGCTTGCGTTGCCTTTTCTTCTATCTTCCCCCGTTCTGCTACACTTTATTGGAGGCGGGAAGATCTGAAGTGCGCATCCCAATTTTCTCTCATGCACTCACCTTTCTTTCCCTCAAGCCACGTATGAACCCGATGAGACTGTTGACCACTTGGATGAGGCAGAGGATGGCTTCAGCCATGCCGATTGCCAGCAGGAGGGAAAACAACACAATGTTCCAAAGGATTATATTTTCGGGTTTTTTGCAGATGCTCCAGGTTGTCTGGTTAAACAAATAATTGTCCCTACAAAGGGAGAGGTCAAAACTAAGTTTTGCTAGAAACTTTCAGCTGAGAAATACTTCCTTCATCAGACTTAAAGGCTGCATTCAGGAATCATAGTAAACAATGGTTTATCATAACAGGAATAAGTCTAGCCTCCACCGGGTCCACACACTCCTTCCTCTTCCCCGGTGCAGCTGGGGAGAGGAGTCCAGAAACTTTTCCTTCCCTTTTTAATTAACCACACCTTGCAACATCCTCTGAACCCAACAAACCATAATTGATCTTAACTATGACTTGTCTGAAATGAACCAAATTCCTAGTGTAGCTTTAATTTCCCAACATTCTTAGTTCATTTTAAGGCATCGGTCATGGGGAACTCGGTATAAAGTGTTACAGTATTTTAATCTATATAGAAAACAATTGTTTATTGATGTGTTGTGACTATGATCACTTTGTGAGGCAATTGGCCTAAAAGGTGGTATAGGTAAAGGGACCCCTGACCGTTAGGTCCAGTCACGGACGACTCTGGGGTTGAGGCGCTCACCTCGCTTTATTGGCCGAGGGAGCCGGAGTACAGCTTCCGGGTCATGTGGCCAGCATGCCTAAGCTGCTTCTGGCGAACCAGAGCAGCGCACGGAAATGCCGTTTACCTTCCCACCATAGCTGTACCTATTTATCTACTTGCACTTTGACATGCTTTTGAACTGCTAGGTTGGCAGGAGCAGGGATCGAGCAACGGGAGCTCACCCCGTCGCGGGGATTCAAACTGCCGACCTTCTGATCGGCAAGCCCTAGGCTCTGTGGTTTAAGCCACAGCGCCACCCGCATCCCAAAGGCTTAGGCTCTCATATTCCATGGCTTAGGCTCTCATATTCCCCTTCACTCCTGAAGCACACTAGTTTTATCTCTTCCTGGTTTCCAAGAAACCTCCACAGTTTCTTGTTGCATCCGAAGACAGCAAACTATAGTGACCGTAAGATTGCCTCCAAGTTGAAAACGCACTTCCAAACCATGGTTTCCAGCTCTTACTTTGAGGCCCATTATAATCATCTGCAGCTTACATGGTTGTCATCATATCGGGGGGAAGGGAGGGCAGGTTGTGGTTGCTGGCTCTGCCCTCTCCATCAAGTGTGTCGTCATCGTCCTCCACCGGCCCCCTTGCTACAGCAAATGGGAAAGTGGACAGAAGAATGGGAGAGGGGGAAACTGGGCAACCGGCAGCTATGTCCTTGCTGCTGTGGTATATACCATTTCTTTGCACAAACTTTGCAGTGGTGATGTTGATGGTAGAGGGGCTCCATTATACTCACGCTAAGCTGTCATTCCTGAAAGGGTAGATGTATACTTCGTCACCGATATCACAGAGAGGACCACTAATTAACCCCAAGGATGAGATGATCACACAGTACAGTCCACCGACAGCTCCGAGCACAGCAAAGACGAGAGAGAGGACCATCTGGAAGGCAATAGACATGTTAGCATCATAGCCGTTTGGAACTCCAAAAGGTATATGCAATTTCGACCTGACTAGCAGTGGGGTTGATCCCCCGCCTGTTCACCTGAACCTAGATAGGCCCGTGGAACCAGCAACTACAGGTACTTCCAGACTGTTGCTATTTTCAGGTGGGATTCCACCACACATTTGCAAATTCAGTTTCGCACAATTATACTTGACCGGGAGACCTTGCTCAACGAAGCAGCTTCCCCAAAAGTTGGGTGGGCAATAAGGAAAGTGACAGTCATTTAACCTGTCTGCAAGCGAATAACGAAAGCAAACGCTTGTTAAGTAACCAACGTCGTCCCATCTCACTGCAAACAAATCAGGACAGACGCTTCATAAACAGGTTTTCTGGAGGAACCCTCCTGGCAACTTCAAGGCACACAGCAAAGAAGCCATGATGGATCAAAGATAGATTAAATATGCAACTCTGAATCATCTCTGAGTGAACTGTTTGCAGTTTTGTGCTAGGCAGCAGCCTCCTACGTGAGACCTTGGCATTCTGAAAGATGAGATTAGAAGGAAGCATCGTGCTATTACCAGAACGAGACGTCTCCAACATGAAGAACAGCGAGGAAGCAAAACAAAAGCGAAACCATAACACGTTTAGAAAAACAGGCCTTGGAGAGAGTCAAACGATCAACAGTGCCTGCACGAAGAACCACTGGTGAAGGAAGGCCCTTGCGTATACTATCCCTCCTCCCAGACTGTGGTAAATCAGACTATGATCCTGCCAACATAAGTAATGAAATTTATGCAAAATATAGAAAAGTCCAAACCCTGGCCCAGTTCCAGATCAATATGAAAAAGCGTACACTTTTTCTGATCACACCAATAGTCTTTTCTTTGACTTTATTTTAACCCACAGGCAAATGTACTCATTCTGTGTGCCCATCTTACAGTTTTGTTTTTATCTTTTAATTTTTGTCTGCTCTTATAATAAGTGTTCTCTGTTTCATATGCGGTACAAACCGAAATTTAAAAACCATATATGTACAGTTGCTTCAGGTTGAGCGTTTTCGGGTTGCGCTCCGCAGCAACCGGGAAGTAACGGAATGCGTTACTTCTGGGTCTCGCCGCTCGCGCATGCACAGACGGTCAAAATGATGGCATGCGCATGCGCAGAAGTGGCAAATCGCGACCCATGCACGTGCAGATGCGGGGTGCATTCTGCTCTGGATGCAAATGGGGCTCCGGAATGGATCCTGTTCATATCCAGAGGTACCACTGTATATGGTGTTCGTGTGTGTCTAATTTTTGTACAGATGATCCGCAGGTAACTTTTCTTCTTTTTGTTGCCTGCTGCTTATATATCTTCATTCTGTACTCTCGCGGACCCTCCAAGTGTCCCGATTTTCCAGGGACAGTCCTAGAATTACAAAAGCCATTCCAGATTCAGATTGGATCCTGGAATGCCCCTATTTCCCTTGCCAGCGCTGCTGCCGTCGCCAGGCTCAAGGAGGAAAACGAGCTGGCCCTTGTCCCAAGCAGCAGCAGCGGCAAGGAAGCATCCCATAACCTCTCCGTGGCTGCTGCTGGCCTCCTGCCTTGGGCAGCTCAAAGCAGCTGCTGGAGAGCAGGCAAGGAGGAGAAGAAGCTGCTGGCATGTAGCAGCTCCGAGGGGCAAACACAGGAAATGGTCATAGCTAAGGGGGGGCTGGGGGGGCAGCTGCCCCCTTAGATCAAGTTAAACAATAGAAATACTTAACTAACTGACCAATCACGTTGGCTGTGCCCCCCCCATAACAGAAGTCCCGTCCGCCCCCCTTAACAAAAATTCTGGCTACACCCCTGGGCAGAGGGCAGGGCTGCTCTGGGGGGGGGAGGGGAGCAGAGTGCAAGGATTATTATTTTTTAATAAAAAGAATTGTGTGCCCAGGTCTAATCTTCTCCCTTTCTAAAACTTATTTATTGGTGTGTGTTTTTATTTTTGTAAATACAGTGGATACAGTAAATGCAGGAAGCACGTTTGCAACCCATAGCGTCCACAACCTGCAGCGCCGCGTATGCGCACGCGCGTGTTGCGATTCGGCGCTTCTGTGCATGCACAAAGTGCATTTTAGTACTTCTGCGCATGTGCAAGCGCCGAAACCCGGAAGTAACCTGTTCCTGTACTTCCGGGTTCGGCGCAGTGCGCAACCCGAAATCACACAACCCGAAGCGTCTGTAACCCAAGGTATGACTGTATACCAAAGAATTTAAAAGGGGGGGTTAAGGGGTTCTCTCGGGATGGTGGGGGGCATGTACTGGTGGTGGGGGCACTCGTCCTTCTCCTGATAGGAAAATCTCTGCAGGAGGGGATACTAAAAATGGGGGCCTGAGGAGGGTCAGCGGGGGTGGGGGGGTTAGTGATAAATGTCCCGATTTTCATCTGAGGAATGTTGACATGTCTGCTTCAACAGTTCCAGCTGAGGGAACTTTGCATACTGCCCTGGAATGGTAATAATCAACTTTATTCCAAGCTTTTAGGGAACCAGAAAAGGGAACTTAGAACTTCTGTTTTACAACTAAATTGGCTGGCTGGAGGAAGTTAGGAGGAGACTATACTAACTGTGCGACTTACTGCAATTGATCGATTCGTCAATACAGTATAGCCGTTAGTTTGTGCCATTATAAATATTGCTTTGCTTTAAGTTCCTCGGTTTTCTTTAAATTTCATAGGTAATTTCTTTAAATTGCACTATTCTCTCTAGATTCTGTATTATTCATTCAGAGTTTGAAGAAGTAGAGAAGAATATTAAGGGGTAAAAGGTAAAGGTAAAGGGACCCCTGACCATTAGGTCCAGTCATGACCGACTCGGGTTGCGCGCTCATCTCGCTCTATAGGCCGGACAAGAGCAGCGCACAGAAACACCGTTTACCTTCCTGCCAGAGTGGTACCTATTTATCTACTTGCACTTTGATGTGCTTTCGAACTGCTAGGTGGGCAGGAGTAGGGACCGAGCAACGGGAGCTCACCCCGTCACAGGGATTTGAACCGCCGACCTTCGGCAAGTCCTAGGCTCTGTGGTTTAACCCACAGTGCCACCCACATCCTTATATTAAGGGGAAGGGAATTCAAAACAACCCAGCGAGGACTGACTGTTCTCATTGACCATGGAATGCTGACTAAGAGATGATGTGGAGAAACTGGGGCGAAGGGGAAACAGAAAGGAGCTTTTCTCTCCCCCCAATTTACAAGGCTTTGCTTACCCCACATCTGTTAGCACAGCATTTGGCTTCACCCGCACCCAATATCATAAACGCTGGCAAGAAAACCTGGAGGAAAAGGAAAGCACACATTAAATGGTGGTGGAAGAAAGCAGTAGTTGTTATTACACAAGCAAACAAAGGCTTTTGCCAAGACAAAATTGTGTTCAGGGTTGAGGGCAGCTGACATGCATGAGGAATGAGACATCAAGCTGAAGGCAAGCGGTCGAATTCTAAACAGGAGTGCCGGATGGGGTCTGATAGTTATTCTTCTTGTCTGCAAATAAACAGACATTTTTGTAGTGGTAAGGATGGGACAGAAGGCTGATCGCCGAAGAATTGATGCTTTTGAATTATGGTGCTGGAGGAGACTCTTGAGAGTCCCATGGACTGCAAGATCAAACCTATCCATTCTGAAGGAAATCAGCCCTGAGTGCTCACTGAAAGGACAGACCCTGAAGCTGAGGCTCCAATACTTTGGCCACCTCATGAGAAGAGAAGACTCCCTGGAAAAGGCCCTGATGTTGGGAAAGATGGGGGGCACAAGGAGAAGGGGATGACAGAGGACAAGATGGTTGGACAGTGTTCTCTAAGCTACCAGCATGAGTTTGACCAAACTGTGAGAGGCAGTGGAAGACAGGAGTGCCTGGCGTGCTCTGGTCCATGGGGTCACAAAGAGTTGGACATGACTAAACAACTAAACAACAACAACAACAAAGGATGGGACAAGAACAGTTCTGAAGGATTTCAGAGTGGTTCCGCTTGAATGCGGGAAAGTCATCTGTGGAAGGTGTCTATTGGGTAGTGCCTATAACGTCATAACTACACTTCCCTGCCCCAATTTCCAGAGCGGATTTGTAACCACTTATCATAGGACACTTCCACATATGCAGCAGTTTATTGTAGCTGTGGTGCTGTTTATGTATGCAAGTTCACATAAAAATGGTGCCACCCCTTAATTCGGATTTACTACTGTATTTACGTGAATTCTAATGAGCCATCGAATCTAACGCACACCTCAGATTTTCAAAACCTTGAAACCAAAAAGTATTCGCTGGCGGATGTAAATGCGCCATCAAATCTAGTGCACATCCTGATTTTTGCGATGTCATTTGGCCAAAAAAGGTGTGCATTACTTTCAAGTAAAAATGGTATTTTGTTGGTTGGTTCTTTCTCCTTACCAGAACTTCTGCAGCTGTAAATCTGGATTAAATAGGGAAATGATATCATTTCGCTGAGGGTGACGTCCTGTAGACATGGCAAAAAACTTGTAGGCATAAACAGCACAGAGTCTAATAAACTGTCATTTGGGGGGGGTGAGGAGGGTTAACTGGAAACTGAATACATCAATGAGTAGAGTTATGTGCACCACGTTGATTTGTTAATACACACACACACACACACACACCACCTTTTCTTCCAAGGAGCTCAAGGTGGTGCTGATGGTTCTCCATCTCCCCATTTCATCCACACAACAACCTTGTGAGGTAGGTTAGGCTAAGAGTTAGTGACTGGCCCAAGGTCGCCCAATGAGCTTTTATAAGGCTGAGTGAGGATTTAAACCCTGGTCTCCCAGGTCACAGTCCAACACTCTAACCATAACACCACATCAAGTCTAGACCAGACACTCCATTTCCGAACACCTGAGACTTTAAGGATATTGCTGAAGTTTCTTATCTCGGTTGCAGAAGGGAATTGGTGGCGGAAAATGGAAGTTCAGCAACCCATTGGTGCACCCCCTCTCATTTCTTGCGACACCCAAAGCCAACTAATTCCTGGAGGCCCTTCTGGACAATCTGCACATTTGCTTTTTATTTTATCTAGCCTCATTCCAAGGACAATTGTGTGCCATAGAGGACATGGTGTATTTGTTCTCTCATTCTCTCTCTCTATCTTTTGCAGCTAAAGTGGAACTTTGCCAGAAGGCTGGCATAATGGAGAGATGTTCTCGGTGGTTCAGTTAGCACAGCCCAGAATGGTGGCCTCTGGTTCAACTTCCTAATTGACCCAGGAATTCTAAGCACTTCTTAATATTGATTATGTGAGTCACTTTTCCTCACGCAACCCTCCCCCCGCAAAAAAACCTTCCATCTGCTTAAGGGACATTTTTATAGCCTCCAACAACAACTATTTGTGTGCCTTCCTATCAGATTTCAATGAGATAAAGAACTACAGAACTTTTATAAGACATCTGAAGGCAGCCCTGTACAGTATTGGTAGGTTTTTAATGTTTGATGTTATCTTATGTTTTTATGTGTGTTGAAAGCCGCCCAGAGTGGCTGGGGTAACCCAGTCAGATGGGCAGTGTATATATAATAAAATTATTATTATTATTATTATTATTATTATTATTATTCCCTCCAACTAACAGTTGCTGCCATTTTAAGAGTTTAAATCCACTAACCAGTTGCTTTTGAGCCATTCGTTGAGGGATTTGTTTAAATCAATATGTGCTTTGCCCCAAATAATAAGTTAACCTCACATTAAGTTTTCAAAAAGGCTATCGTACAATGCAAGATGGGGAAGCAATCTTCAATATTTTGGCTTTCATTACAGTAAGACACCAGCACCGAAAGAGCTATAAACATAACACACCGAGGGGAAAGTAGCCCTGAAAAATAAGCAATGGTGCCTTAACAGATATTCTTCTGGATTTGAATCAAGCTTTTCTGGATGTAGCGTGTTCAGTGACCATTTCCCATTCATTCTAGTGATGAATGGAGAGTAAAGCCCTTGTGTCTGGAATCATGGGGAAGGTAAACGTTTTAAAAGGCTCCCCGGGGAAACAGCAGTAAAACACCAGCCGTTATTTAACAACAAACCGATGGCATCCCAAATGCAAACTGTACAACGGTGGTTGCAGGAATAAACAACCTGCCAACGGTCAGCGCATATGTCATTTCACGGGGAAACATACACTTTAATTGCAGCAGTCTGCATTAAGGGTCAATATCTACTCTCAAAGTGCTGTTGTCGGTATTCGGAAGATCGATGGGAGCGCCTCCCCCTTTGCTGTTCTTCATGCGCATGTCTGACGCCAACCAATCTGACCTTAGGCCATTTCTATTTAAATGTTTCCCAAGAAGTGAGATTCTGACTGAGAACAGAAACCACACTGCCTCTCTGCTCATCCCTTTCCTTGATGATGACGTTTGGGTGCTTCTTTTAAAAAGCAACGCAACATAAATAAGCTGTTTTCCCTGAAGGGGGCTGATTGTGGCCTCCCATATGTCTCTTATCTCATAGCCTGCAACAGTCCTCACATGAAAATAGGGGCATTTCTCTCTTCTCACCCCAATTGCCCCTCCTCAACCCCCCATTTTTGTCACACCGCCCACACCCAGAACATTTCCTATTGGAAATAGGATGATTGGCACACAAGCCCTCCACTGTCCTGAGAGAACCTCTTATTCCCAGTTTTATTTTAATTTTCGGTAGATTTACCAAAAGAAAAACACAAACCGATAAATAAATTTTAGAAAGGGGCAAGATTAGATGCAAATGCACAAAGCTTCTTCTTCTTTTAATGAAGATTCCTTATTGTGCCGCACTGCTCCATCTTTCTTCCCATCCAGGGCATAGCTGTCAACGTTTCCCTTTTTTTAAGGGAAATTCCCTTATTCCAAATAGGATTCCTCGCAAGAAAAGGGAAAAGTTGACAGCTATGGTCCAGGGTGGCCCTGCCCTCTGCCTGCCCCTTAGAGCAGGCGTCAGCAAACATTTTCAGCAGGGGGCCGGTCCACTGTCCCTCAGACCTTGTAGGGGGCCGGACTATATTTTTTTGGGGGGGTGGGATGAACAAATTCCTATGCCCCACAAATAACCCAGAGATGCGTTTTAAATAAAAGCACACATTCTACTCATGTAAAAACACGCTGATTCCCGGACTGTCCGTGGGCCAGATTTAGAAGGCGATTGGGCCAGATCCGGCCCCCGGGCCTTAGTTTGCCTACCCATGCTTTAGAGCCAGTTCATCACACGGGGCTGGGTCTCGGCAGACTGTCCTCCTCCTCCCTGCTTCTCTCATAGCCTCAGCCTTGGTTTCACAGGCTTCTGCCTGCGCCCTGCTTCTAACTCAGCTCACAAACCCACAACTCTGGCCTGTGTCCTTCTAAAGGCCCAACCTTCCCTTTTTTTGCTCTGCTTTCCTTCACCCCCGGAGGCACACTCCATTGTCTCTCAAGACTGACAGATGCCAACAACTTACCCTGACCATTAGGTCCAGTCGTGGCCGACTCTGGGGTTGCGGCGCTCATCTCGCTTTATTGGCCGAGGGAGCTGGCGTACAGCTTCCGGGTCATGTGGCCAGCATGACTAAGCCACTTCTGGTGGACCAGAGCAGCGCACGGAAATGCTGTTTACCTTCCTGCCAGAGCGGTACCTATTTATCTACTTGCACTTTGACGTGTTTTCGAACTGCTAGGTGGGCAGGAGCTAGGACCGAGCAACAGGAGCTCACCCCGTCGTGGGGATTCAAACCGCCGACCTTCTGATCGGCAAGCCCTAGGCCCTGTGGTTTAACCCACAGCGCCACCCGCATCCGGTCATCATTACATCTTGCATAAAGTATAAAATCAATATTGATTTCTGGAACAATAACATCCACGCAGCCGTGGTCACATACATAAACAGTTTTTTCTGCTCCCTTGGGATTTCAGCACCTAGAATTCCTAAAAGGAAGGCTTTGGGTTTGTTTGTTTTTAGAAAAGCTTATTTTAAACATTTTTTTCAACTCATTTTATATCATTTCCCAAAATTCTTTTACCACCTTACATTTCCATCACATATGATAAAAGGTGCCTTCTGTTTCCTTACATTTCCAGTATTCATTTGACTCCGTTTTATGTTATCGGCCCAGAGATGGAAAGAAGATAAAGTCCCTACCAGAGAAGAATGGCGGATCAAGTTGATGGATTATGCCGAAAAGGCTAAAATGACCAAAGGAATCAGAAATCAGGAAGACCAAAATTTTAATATGGAATAGGGAAAATTTGTAACTTATTGTAAAGACCATTGTAAACATGGTCTTGTAAACATTGTAAACATGGCCATTAATAGGATTGGAATATCACTTGTAGTTTAATGGTGAATTTTGGACACAATGGAGAGGTAAAAGATTTGGATTATCATAAAAGATGCAGGAGGAAATGATTAACAATAACGTGACAAAGGGGAGGAGATTCTTTGGAATCTTATTTTTATGTTGTATGTTGGATATGTGACTGTAAAAATTTAATCTGAATAAATAAATGTTATCTATCATATCTATCATCTCTCTCTCTCTCTCGTCTCTCTCGTCTCTCTCTCTCTCTCTTTATATATATAAATCAATATTGTTTTCTAGTTCAGATCTGCCCTGCGTTAGGTTCCCTTTAGCTTCGTTTCACATAAAGCTGAAAAATTGAATAAGAGAAACAGTGCCAGCTTTTTCCTTACCAATATTCCAGCTCCAAGAATACCGTGGAAGAACCAGACCAGGTCCGTGATCCTGCGTGGTTCCAACACTTCTCCATTAGGGAAGTAGAGGAGGAGATTGGAGACGATAGCGCAGACAGCCAGAGGCAGGAGGGCTATCCCAATGCATTTGGAGCATTTTCCAGTGCACATCCTGTATCTCTTCTTAGGAAGGACATGGGGAACGAAAAGAAAAGGCTGAGTAGATGTATTGCATAAAAGTGGATCCCTATAAAATGAAGAATGGGGCTTCCGCTACCTTTGATCCAGAAGCTGCAGTTGCTGACAGGAGTGAGGCGCTGTCAACATAGAACACCTCTGCTCAGAGATCTGCCAATTTGCTGCCAGGTCATTTTCAAGGTGTTAGTACAGGCATCCCCAACCTTTGGCCCTCTATATGTTTTGGACTACAATTCCCATCATCCCTGACCACTGGTCCTGTTAGCTAGGGATTATGGGAGTTGTAGGCCAAAACATCTGGAGGGCTGCAGGTTGGGGATGCCTGTGTTAGTATATAACAGCTTGGGAACAGTTTACTTGCTAGACTGTCTTTAACTATATATGCCAGCTCAGCTGCTTTGCTCTGCAGAACTGGAAGTTGCAAATCCATCTTTTAGTGTGGCGGCACACAAACTTTGGAACTCCCTGCCTATTGACCTCAGGCAGGCAGCTTTGCTAAAAAATCTTCTAAGCCCACCCAGCACTGGCGGAGGAAGAGGAGTGCGGGGGAAGTGCAGCGCCCCCGGCAGTGTGATCCCCAGGGTGCCATCACAGCTGCCCCCCCCCACGCTGGGGGCCCCACCCCTGCAGGCAGTGTGCCCCGCCCCCAGGATGCGCGCCAGCCCTGCCTCCACCTGCTCTCAGCCCCCAGTGCCGGAGCATGAAGCTCCACTGCTGCTACTCAGACATGCAGAATGTTGACGTGCGTTTTAATCTGGCATTTAGCTTACTGATGGTTTTATGTGGTTTTATGTTTTCAATGTTTTCAATGTTTTAAGTCGTTCTTAACTTCTTCTTTTACTGACAATCTTACTGCTTTATCCTTTTTTGTAAACTGCTTTTTACAATCAAGCAGTATATAAGTCATGTGGAAATCAGGAAATAAAACAGGGTGCCTTTTGATTGTGGGAGAGGACCATTTGTGGCATTTAAGTGAGACGCTTTCTGATAAACAGCTGTCTTATTCTGAATCAGACCATTGATCCATCTAGCTCAATAATATACAGGCCAGTTATGGGTGCTTATGGTAAAGGTAAAAAAAGTAAAGGAGCCCTGGATGGTTAAGTCCAGTCAAAGGCGACTATGGGGTTCTGGTGCTCATTTTGCTTTCAGGCTGAGGGAGCCGGCGTTTGTCCACAGACAGCTTTCCGGGTCATGTGGCCAGCATGCCTGAACTGGCTTCTGGCACAACGGAACACCGTGATGGAAGCCAGAGCGCATGGAAACGCCATTTAGCTTCCCGCCCCAGCAGTACCTATTTATCTACTTGCACTGGTGTGCTTTCGAACTGCTAGGTTGGCAAGAGCTGGGACAGAGCAACGGGAGCTCACCCCGTCGTGGGGATTCGAACCGCCAACCTTCTGATCGGCAAGCCCAAGACGCTCAGTGGTTTAGACCTCAGTGCCACCCGCATCCCTTGGTGCTTATGGACCTCTAGAAGTCGCTGTCCAACTCCCAAATGCTCCATAATTCCCATCATTCCTTTGACTCCTGTGGGAGGAAGGGTGAGATGGAAATTGAATAGATCATCATCCCTGTCCATTGGTCATGCTGGCTGGTACTGGTGGGAGCTGATGGAAGCTGGAGCGCCAACACCTTCTGGGAGGGATGCCAGTTCCCCATTCCTGGTCTCTGCTGAGTGGAAGCTGACCATTAACATTGCCAGCCCCATCTGCAGAGACTGGGGATTGAACCTGAGACATTCTGGATGCAAAGCAAGGGCTCTACCACTGAGCTCCAGCCACCCCCATCTTATGCCTATTGTCTGATTATTCATTCCATAGGGAAACTGCTGCTTAAAAGTCAAGAGAGAGACAGCGAAGGGACAGCAGACACAACAGTGAGCTGCGATTTGGCTGGAAGGTTGATGGCATCAGGCTTCTCTCTGGGAGTAGCCCAGACACTGTTTCCGACGGCCGAATCCCAGCTATGTCCTGGAAATTCCGGATGTATGGCAACACTAGCATATCTGCTGCCATGTAAGAGTGTCTGCTGTTCACCTCTGTTTATGTTATGTACTGAAGTTCTCACCCTGGGCCAGCAGGGGGATACTGTAGATAGTTCAGGTCCACATATGCAAATAAGGGATCGAAAGTGACGTTCAGTGATTGGATAGTTACAGAAAGTTGTTACAGTTACGTTGTACTGGAGCTCTATATAAGCAGGCTGGCTGAACCCTTCAGTTCAGTTCTGTTCTGGCCTGTGAATAAACAAGAGCTGTCTGAAGAATCACTGTGTCATCTGATATGTTCACCCACAACTTAACAGTTTAGACTCCACTTGTATATTTGGGAAGAAATCTATCTTTGCAAATGTGTTTTTACAAATATTGCAAAGATACACTAAGTCTCCAGTATATTTATTTATTTATTTATTTATTTATTTATTTATTTTTATTAAAGATTTTGTTGATTTGCAAAAGTGTGCAATGTCTCTCTCTCTCATGTTTTTCCCCCCCTCCATGTAACATTTTTACAAATCAATTTCATTTGTTGAGACATTAGGAAGAAAAGGGGGAAAGAGGTGGAGGGGGGAAAGATGGGTGGGGGTGGTGATGTTTCTATTTTACTTACTATATGTAGGGTTTGGTGTCAGCGTTACTTGTGCAGGTTCTTTGCTGTACGCTTGTGTTCCTTTGGTGGTGAGAGAGGTGGGGGTTGGCCTAGGGTGTGGTTATTCATTTGTGGTTGGCTGTGATGGTCTTTGTTTTCATGTGTGAGTGGGGTGGGTGAGTGTTTTGGATCAGGTTAGCCATATTGATTTCTATGCTGTTGGTGGATTTTTGTCGTCGTCTTGCTGGGCTGTGTATGTGATAAAGGGGAGCCATACCGGGGTGATGGTGTCGTCTTCTATTTGTCCCTGTGTCAGTTTCAGTTTATTGGTTAATTTTTCTAGTAGGGCTGTTTCCCATACTATTTGGTACCATTGGTCCATGCTTACTCCTGACAGGTCTCTCCAGTATGTTCTGAGCCAAAAGAAGCCAAGCCCAGTTGGTACTGTCATGGAACTTCTCCCCATTAGGGGAGGATGGGAAACATAGCAATATGTACATAATCTTATATTTCAGAAAGAAGTTGGGGGGGGCAGTAGCAGCAAGAAAATCCTATAGCACCATCTCTTGGCAGAGGTATTCCTCACATCATTGCAATATGTTCTAACATGCAGGAGACTTAAAAGCAAGCAAGCAAGCAAACAAGCAAACAAGAAAACAAGCAAACAAACAAACAAACAAACAAACAAACAAACAAACAAACAGGAAAGGCTGCAGAAAATAGGCATTATGGAGTTTACATGTACACCACTAAAAACAGCAGCCTGTGTTTTCGCCTCCCCTTCCTCATCATTTCTAAATTGGGATGGAAGAGAAATCAGATACTGTTTGCATTTAAACCTAGCCAATTGGCTCTAGAAATGGAGACAGTGAGAGATTTTACTTTCTTGGGCTCCATGATCACTGCAGATGGTGACAGCAGTCATGAAATTAAAAGACGCCTGCTTCCTGGGAGAAAAGCAATGACTAACCTAGACAGCATCTTAAAAAGCAGAGACATCACCTTGCCGGCAAAGGTCTGTATACTTAAAGCTATGGTTTTCCCAGTAGTGATGTATGGAAGTGAGAGCTGGACCATAAAGAAGGCTGATTGCCGAAGAATGGATGCTTTTGAATTATGGTGCTGGAGGAGACTCTTGAGAGTCCCATGGACTGCAAGAAGATCAAACCTAGCCATTCTGAAGGAAATCAGCCCTGAGTGCTCACTGGAAGGACAGATCGTGAAGCTGAGGCTCCAATACTTTGGCCACCTCATGAGAAGAGCAGACTCCCTGGGAAAGACCCTGATGTTGGGAAAGATGGAGGGCACAAGGAGAAGGGGACGACAGAGGACGAGATGGTTGGACAGTGTTCTCACAGCTACCAGCATGAGTTTGACCAAACTGTGGGAGGCAGTGGAAGACAGGAGTGTCTGGCGTGCTCTGGTCCATGGGTCACGAAGAGTCGGACACGACTAATTGACTAAACAGCAACAACAATTGGCTCTTTCTGAAACAACATGTGAATCGAAATTCCGCTCTCCTTTGAAATTTGCACTTTTCCAAATTCTGCAATGCAGTTCTCCAGCCAAGTATATATGCCTAAAAAATCACATGTTATTGAAAACAGCATGCAAAAATGTATTATAGTAGGGAAAATCACCTTGCAAAAATGTGTATGTTAGGCAAACATACACATGGAAAGTGGGTATATTAGGAGAAATTTGCACCCAAAAGCTGATGAATTTCCTTGAAGATTTTTTTTTAATGCAAACTGATATGCAAATGTGGAGAACTGAATTTAAGATTGAAGAAATGAGAGACTGAGAAACCAAACTTGACATAGAATCCAACAACCATAGAATCATCAAATTGTAGATTACAATATTACTATGCTCAACCTGCTTCTCTTAGCTTCTCTGAGCAGTGTGAAATTCTGGGGATGCAGTATTCGCTCTAGCTTAATAACCTTTGGGAGGAAGATATGGAAGGTTAAGGTGTTATATGTAATATCTGAGTTAATTTACAGATATACAGGTGAAGGCATAGCTTATTCAGGTTTCCTGAGCTGGCTGGGGCTGATGGCAGTAGTAATTCATCAGGGTTGGGGGACAGACTCACAATGCTGTTGTTAGCTCAATCTCAGCTCTCTGTCTCTTGGTTCTAGCCTTTTTTCTGTGTTCCACTCCAAACAAATTAAATAAGACATTTCCACATCCTTAGCTGGGTTAGGGAAGGGAAGAGATCTGCTTTTGCTCTGATTAGAAGACATAAGGAGGGTGTCTAACAATCAGCTCCATTTATTTATTTTTTTAATTGCCTGTGTCACATAGATAGATGATGGAGTTTGACCTTTGGAGCAATAAGAAACAAACCAATGTTTTCTTCAGATTGCAAGAAAAAAAGGATTCGGACTTCAACCAAAAATGCAAAGATATTGTCCAAACAATAACAAGTTTGCCCATCTTCTTAATAAAAACCAGACTGATAACAGATGGACAAGTTGGGAACTCCACCAATCCTAGCTAGCCTCATTAGGAATCTGGCAAGCCCAAATCCTGACCCACCTGTAAGCCAAAATTGACATTAGGCAGATCTTCTCCTTAAGGAGATCTTTTGGATTCCTCCTGAAATATGACGGTGAGGACAGCATCAATCCTTACCTTATTTATCGTACAGGCAGGCAAATGTATCCCAAACTGTAAAATCTCCAGCTGGGAATGGGGTGAGGAATCTAATCTTTCTGATGGCTTCAGATTTTATACTTCCCCCTTGTTCTCCATAGCAGCCTTAGGAAGACAAATAAACCCTCTGGAGGTAGAACTTCCATTAAACAAATACGTGAAACCCACACCAAAGAAGGAGGAAATACCCCAAACAGCTTCCATTTGGCAGGCACCGAGGCCATGTGTCACTCTGCATTATGGATTTTTTTTCCAGGGACTGTTCCATTGGTCAATGGGCACCTTGAAGTCACATTGACTTTCTGCAGCTCTTTGAAAGCCTCAACCCGTCACCATCATTATGTTTGAAATGCTTTACAACATCACAGTTTAGGGAAACAAAACAAGAGGAAGTCATCTATCAAATAACAGGGTGAGACCCACAATAAACACTGTGGGAGGCTGTGTCAGTATTTTGCAGGGGGCGGGAATCTAATGCATACCGTAATTTTAAAGGTAAAGGTAAAGGGGCCCCTGACCATTAGGTCCAGTCGTGACTGACTCTGGGGTTGCGGCGCTCATCTCGCTTTACTGGCTGAGGGAGCCAGCATACAGCTTCTGGGTCATGTGGCCAGCATGACTAAGCTGCTTCTGGCAAACCAGAGCAAGGCACGGAAACACTGATTACCTTCCCGCCGGAGGGGTACCTATTTATTTACTTGCACTTTGATGTGCTTTCAAACTGCTAGGTTGGCAGGAGCAGGGACTGAGCAACAGGAGCTCACCTCGTCGCGGGGATTCGAACCGCCAACCTTCTGATCGGCAAGTCCTAGGCTCTGTGGTTTAACCCACAGCGCCACCCGCATCCCACCATAACTTTAGGTTTGTGCATTTAAAGTTGATAAAGACTCTGTTGCCCTTATCCAACAAATCTACTCGCCCCGAATGGACTTTTTGTGGTTTGGAAAGTGATGGGTTAAAGGCATTGAAAAATATGGGACGAACATATGATGAATGCAAAGACACAGGAAGACACAGGAAGCAAATCAGCATAAATGCTCGATAAAGACCAGATGCAATCTAACTAACTACGTGTAAGTGTTGTGCAAGCAAATCAGAATGAATACTCAATGGATGTCTGGATGAATCTTGCACAGTAAAGTCCTTGAGTGCTTGGAAGCTATGGCCGTTGGAGATGGAACCAAAACAGTGCTGGCCACACTCCCAACGTCTGCATGTTCAGTGTTAGTATAAACAGGACCTGTGATGCGCACACTGTTATAGCTACATGGGGCTCTACCGCATGATCAGCAATCCTGAGCTTCTGATCATGTGGAGGAGACGCTTCTTTCATTCTTCCACTGAATTCGTGGCTGTTGGGAGGCATGGCCACTAGGCATGGTCCCATTTCTTTCTCCGCACCTCCCCTCTGGGCCCATTTCAGGGACCTGTTGTTGTGTGTAGCCTCTTCTTCCAGTTGGGGGCAACATGCTGGTGGTGGGTGGAGCCAGAGGCAAAAGTGGGTGGAGCAATGTTTGTAAGCTTTACAGTAGGGTAGTTTCTACTTTCTTGGGCTCCATGATCACTACGGATGGTAACAGCAGCCAAGAAATTAAAAGACGTCTGCTTCTTGGGAGAAAAGCGATGACAAACCTAGACAGCATCTTAAAAAGTAGAGACATCACCACGCCAACAAAGGTCCGTATAGTTAAAGCTATGGTTTTCCCAGTAGTGATGTATGGAAGTGAGAGCTGGACCATAAAGAAGGCTGATCGCCAAAGAATTGATGCTTTTGAATTATGGTGCTGGAGGAGACTCTTGAGAGTCCCATGGACTGCAAGAAGATCAAACCTATCCATTCTGAAAGAAATCAGCCCTGAGTGCTCACTGGAAGGACAGATCGTGAAGCTGAGGCTCCAGTATTCTGGCCACCTCATGAGAAGAGCAGACTCCCTGGAAAAGACCCTGATGCTGGGAAAGATGGAGGGCACAAGGAGAAGGGGACGACAGAGGACAAGATGGCTGGACAGTGTTCTCGAAACTACCAGCATGAGTTTGACTAAACTGTGGGAGGCAGTGGAAGACAGAAGTGCCTGGCATGCTCTGGTCCATGGGGTCACGAAGAGTCAGACACAACTAAACGACTAAACAACAACAAATTTCTACACATTTCCAATGAATGAACACAGCAGATAGCTAACTATTGTCAAAAACAACACTGTCGCTTCTATAATGTTGCAGGAATTTATGTATAGCTTGGGGAGGGGGTTGCCTCTCCAGCAGATATCATGCACGTGTAGCCCACTACCAAAATCAGCACAATCGCTTTTGTGACTTTTGTGATTTGTCCACACAAACACTACATCACAGTTTCTTCCTATCTATTCAAAGGGCCTTTGTTGCACGATACCAAATGTAAGAATTCACTGATAAATGTATCTATGTACTGACTCACAGGGAAAACGTCAGGAATTCATATAGACATGTGAGCTCAGCTACTCAGCAGCCCCTCTGCCTGAGTGATAATCCCTGGCATCCTGATACCTGAGTGCCAGACAGGTAGCCATTCCAGAAATAACAAACCCAGATGAAGACAAAAGGGTGTGATTAACTTGGCTGGGAAACAGGGAAATGTAAATATCCTTTTTGTTACACTTGATGGGTGTTTGGTGGAGGGCAAGGAGAACCATGGGGCAGGGTCCAGGATGCTCAGATTACTGCCACCAGACCTCCCCTTTCATGATGTAACCGTGATGTATGAGTGATGTAGTTTGGGGGGGTGTAACATGGGGATTAGCAGCTAATAAAAGTTTGGGGGCTCTTTTGTTCAGGGCTTCCATCTTGTTCCACCTTGTGGCAGGTGGGAGTCCTGTCACGACAGTCTTCAATAAAGACCAAGCCTACTGGCTGCTGTTTTGCTCTGGTATTCCTGGCTGGTGTCCTTGTTTTTGTTTTTTGTCCAAGGAAGCCCTCAAATTTCTCCATTAACAATATGTCTGGTTGCTTATGCATACCCATCTAGCTTCTAGGCAGCTATTTCAAGGTTCGCACTCTATGGAGCAATTGCAGCGGCAGGAGACCACCGCTCCCTCCACCAGTTTATATACATTTCCCTGACAGGCTACACACACACAGCCAGAGACTATGCCTGCGTAGAAGCTTCCTCTGCTCTGCCCTTTTCAAACCCCTCCTGGTTCTGGGAGGCAGGGGGGCAGGAAAGGATGGGGAAGCACCTGGTCCTTTACTTGCCTGCCTCTTCCTCCTCTTCTTCCGACACATCCTGGGCTCCACCCTCCAGCTCTGAAGCTTCCCCTGCCTCCGACTCATGCCTCCTGGCCAGTACGGTTCCCTACAAATCGCTGCCCCCCTCTCCCGCGTCAGACTCCATCCAGCTAAGCAAGAGTCTTTATCTCACAGTTCAAGGGCACATTCTTGCCAGGCAGAAACACTCCATTGCAGAGGGTGAAGCAATGCCAGGAGAGGTTGTGTGGCCTGGGGAGAGTCCCAAGCATGAGATGGAGAGGTCTGGAGGGCTGCGTTTGGCCCCCAAGTCTGAGCTTTCCCACCCTTGCCCTATATAAACCTGACACCTCCTGCCTCCGGGTCCTCCACACACTTTAAGAGGGGGGGAAAGGAGGTGACTTGGATGTGTTAATAAGTAATCGCAGCTCAAACTTTGGTTCAGAAAAGGTTATCACCTCAACTCTGTGTCCTGCTATTCCGGAACCAACACATCTAATAAAAGCCAGCTTTCCATTTCAGAGCAGTGCAAGTTTGTTCCTCTGCCATCAGCGCCAAAGTCTGGGAGCCCAGATACGCATTGATTGTCCGATTTGTGTAATCGCAGCAGAAAACGCATGTGGGGCACCATCTAATGAGATGGTCCTTTGTGCAAACCGAATTGAAAAGATCTGGATTGCTGCCGGAACCCGATGCTCATGCATTGAACCCATTCTTTTCAGTGCTGTTTTTAATGTTTGGTGTTTTACAGCATTCTGTTTTTAATTTGTTGAGAGCCACCCAGAGTGGTTGGAAAAACCCAGCCGGATGGGCGGGATATAAATAAATTATTATTATTATTATTATTACTACACAGAAGGAATGTTTCAATGGCTTGTACCTTAGGAATCTGATATGATGTACAACTTCATTGCAGGTTCTTAGAAGTTAGTCTACCATTACACATTCATTTTTATCTATGGTGCCTAAAGGCTGCCTAAAAGATCAGCTTCGGCAGACATTCACTTACCTTAATGTGCCAATCAAACTTACCATGAACTTCGTTATGAGGCTGAACTTCGAAACAATACACCCTTGAGAAGACCTTGTGCAAATCCTAGCCCGTTGTCAAATCTCTTCAAACTTTCTGGAGTTAGAGCGTTGTTGCTGTAGCCGAGCAAGCAAGCAAATGGTTCCTTCTATCACACTATTTGGGAACAAAAAAAAAAACCCTAAAATTTGGCTGCGAGATATCCGGTACTCTGTGTTTATGTTTGCGTGTGTCACTGTGCATGATTGATTTTTAAGGCAATGAAAGCATTGCTCTGTTCCACTGATCAATGGCTCCTGTTTATATTGATCAACACTGCCTTACTTCTGTGCATTTGTCTTTCGTTAAAAAACAACAACATCGGAGCTCTCTTGTTGTTGCACAGCTCAAATCATGGGAAAGGGAATGTAAACAGGCACAACTGTGCTGCTTTTTATTGTTATGATCATTTCCATTGATTTATTAATCAGCTTCTAAACCGCTGTCTCAAGGCAGTTGACACATTTGGGAATTAAAAACAATGTAGACCAGACTCCGTGTGTGTGTGTGTGTGTGTGTGTGTGTGTGTGTGTGTACACACATACATCTAAGCTGTAAGGTCACAGACTTCTATGTGTAATCAGGGACTCTACTGTTTGCAGTAGAGTCAAAGATCATATAAATATAAGCCTATGCACATAGCTGTTACATGCAGACAGAAAATATTTCACAAGCTCTCTTGAATGCACATAGGTTGTGAGCAGATGCGCATTCCTCCCTCTCTTATTATCCCTGCCTCAGAACAGAAGAAGTACCTCTGCTTCAGAAATGGTGATATTGCCTCTGTCACTCACATTTCTCTCTGTGCCATTGGGTTTTGATTTCCGCAGACATAATCTGCCACCCCAACAGCCTTATTTTTTGTTTGATACCCAGCTGTTTAGCCCTTGCTGGTTACAGAACCCCAACAGCTGGAAGGGACTCAGGGCACCATCAGACCCTCCCAGTGCCCCTATATTCCAGGGACGTCCCTGATTTAGAGAAGCCATCCTGGTCTCTGATTTGATCCCAGAATGTCCCGCTTTTCCTTAGGACGTCCCTGTTTTCATTGGAGAAATGTTGGAGGGTATGGAGTTATCCGACCCCCGAGCCGTCTGAAGGCAATCCTGTATAGGGAAGTTGTTTAATGTTTTATTATGTTTTTATATATGCTGGAAGCCACCCAGAGTGGCTGGGGCAACCCAGTAAGATGTGCAGGTTATAAATAGTAAAATTATCATTGTGGAATGGTACACCCCTATTTTCATTGGATAAAAGTTGGAGGGTATGTATCCAGCAGGCTGACCTCTTATACCTGCAAATAATATAATAGATTAAATTCAAAATGTACAGTAAATATGAATGATACAATAAACAAACTTAAAGGTGTGGCAGTACCTGATGGGCATATATAATTATTTTATAAAGGTAAGGGGACCCCTGACCATTAGGTCCAGTCGCGGATGACTCTGGGGTTGCAGTGCTCATCTCGCTTTATTGGCCGAGGGAGCCGGCGTACAGCTTCCGGGTTATGTGACCAGCATGACTAAGCCGCTTCTGGCAAACCAGAGCAGCGCACGGAAATGCCATTTACCTTCCTGCCGGAGCGGTACCTATTTATCTACTTGCACTTTGATGTGCTTTCACACTGCTAGGTTGGCAGGAGCAGGGACTGAGCAACGGGAGCTCACCCCATCGCGGGGATTTGAACCACCGACCATCTGATCAGCAAGCCCTAGGCTCTGTGGTTCAACCCACAGCGCCACCCGTGTCCCTAATTATTTTATAGATGAACTCAAATCTTGGATTGGGGTAAGTACAGAAGGCATAGTGCTTAATGAGTCTAATCACTGTCTTGTTTTCGTTACAGGGCCAGTGGGAGCACAAAGTTCTGTTTTGACACCTGGAAGCCTATTCAGGTCTGTGCAATGCCCTCCTCCTGAGTCCCAGAGAGCCAGATATCTTATGACTGTTTTTACTGTTTACAAATTCCAAATAGCTATACCTCCCGGTCTTAATCGCTACGTTCGGCTTTTGCCAGTAACAATTAACTGTGCAATTACAGACGTTTACCAGCGTTCATGAGATCAGAGCAGGCAGCTGTCTGCTTCTCTTGGCTACCTGCAATAGACGCCGTCGCAAAATCGAACAAAGTAAAACGGATGCCTCTAAAGCCATGGATTTTGTTACCTGTTGCAAAGTCGGTCACGGATATAGTGCAGGGGAAAAGCTAAAAAAAAATACTGATGGCAAAGTGCTTAGGAACATTAGAAGATACCTTATGCTGAGACAAGGGACGCGGGTGGCGCTGTGGGTAAAACCTCAGTGCCTAAGGCTTGCCGGTCGCATGGTCAGCGGTTCGAATCCCCGCGGCGGGGTGAGCTCCCATCCTTCGGTCCCAGCTCTTGCCCACCTAGCAGTTCAAAAGCACCCCTAAGTGCAAGTAGATAAATAGGTACCGCTTTATAGCGGGAAGGTAAACGGCGTTTCCGTGTGCTGCGCTGGTGCTGGCTCGCCAGAGAGCTTCGTCACGCTGGCCACGTGACCCGGAAGTGTCTCCGGACAGCGCTGGCCCCGGCCTCTTAAGTGAGATGGGCGCACAACCCTAGAGTCGGACACGACTGGCCCGTACGGGCAGGGGTACCTTTACCTTTACCTTTTATGCTGAGACAAACCATTGAACATAAGAGCAGGCGGAAATGACTGGCAGAATCCGTGACCAGGGAGAAGAGTCGATGGAGGAAGATTGGAAGAAATTTAAAGACTATCTTCAGAAACACTGCAAAATTAAGGAATGTTAGAGTGATGTTGGACTGAAAATAAGCGGTTTCCAGCTGTACAGGTTAAAGCTAATGATAGATCGAGATTAAAGATTAAGATTAAAGATGCTTAAAGAAATGGAAATTTGATATTAAGAGGGAAAATTTTAACGTCATATGATACTAAGACCAAAGATCAGGTTTAAAGAAGTTGAAGATATATATTTTAATATCTTATTAAAGCTAAAGATTGGGATTAAAAAAGTGGAAAAGAAACTGCTGGACAAACAATTTGGATTGGAATACAAAAGAGGGAGGTATGAGGAAGTCCAGAAAATAAGTAACTTAAAAATGGAAATGGAAAAGAGATATTGTTTTTAATTGTTATGTTTTTTGTTTTTTGTTTCTTTTATTGTTGAATTTTGTTTTGTTTTTTGTGTGTGTTGTTGTTATATGTATTGTGTATGTTTTTTTTTCTTTCTTTGTTGTTTAAAACTTTAATAAAAATTATTTTTTTTAAAAAAAAAGAGCAGCCTGCGGAATCAGGCCAGTTGTCTGGCCTGTTTTCCCAGTGGCCAAGCAGACACTGTGTGAAACTCAAACTCACTCTTTCTCTTGGGAAAAAAGGGACAGAACTATAGTGGTACCTCAGGTTACAGATGCTTCATGTTACATACGCTTCATGTTACATACGCTTCAGGTTACAGACTCCGCTAACCCAGAAATAGTACCTCAGGTTAAGAACTTTGCTTCAGGATGAGAACAGAAATCGTGCGGCGGCAGCGGGAGGCCCCATTAGCTAAAGTGGTACCTCAGGTTCAGAACAGTTTCAGGTTAAGAACGGACCTCCGGAACAAATTAAGTTCTTAACCTGAGGTACCACTGTACCTAAATTGTATAGAAACCTATTCATGGATGCGACCACAGCGGCAAGAATGTTACTTGCCCCGAAATGGAAAGAAGACGAAGTCTCAGCAAGGGAAGAATGGATACAAAAACTTGTGGAATATGCAGAAATGGCGAGACAATATACCATTATCTATATTTAGAGCCTGATTTCCTTCTTTTTCAGAAAGTTTTTTTTTATTAAAGCTTGAAAAACAAAGAAAAAATATGCAAAAGTTAACATCAAGTGGCAAGCATTTTTAAAACATAAAAACTGAAGGAGATAAAATAAAGGAAAAAGAAGAAAAGGAAAAGGAAATACTTCTGATTCTATCAGCCATACACACCATATATGCAAAACACTTAGCGTCATAGAATTATAGTGTTGGAAAGGACAACAAGGGTCATCTAGTTCAACCCCCACAATGCAGGAATCTTTTGCCCAAAGTGGGGCTTGAACTCACAACCATGAGATTAAGAATCTCATGCTCAACTGTCTCAGCTATTTGTATTTGTTTAAAAAGCAATAAAATTGTTTTTGGTTTTTTTAAGAAACTGGCTCACAGCAAAAACAAAGGGCTAGAACACCAAAACGCATATTTTTAAAAAATATAACCAAAATATAATGTTATGGCCTCAAGACAACAATCTGAAAAGGAATCCTATTTATTTAGTTATTTATTTTTACAGCATTGCTCCAGAACAGGCATAGGCAAACTCAGCCCTCCAGATGTTTTGGGACTACAATTCCCATCATCCCTGACCTCTGGTCCTGTTAGCTAGGGATCATGGGAGTTGTAGTTCCAAAACATCTGGAGGGCCGAGTTTGCCTATGCCTGCTCCAGAATAGCCTTCAACTCTTCTACTATTCATAAACCAACCTTCTTTTCAGTCTTCAAATACAGATAATTTCCAAAATGAGTCTTTAAGTTGGTTGCATTAATATTTGACAAGGAGGCCTAGATCACTCTTATTCCCACTAAAACCTGTAAATTCCACATTGCCAATTAGTGGTCAAATTCTACCCTTCCTTTCTGTGCATCCTTAGCAAAGTTAAGGGTAATAACCTGTTACTGCCCCATCTTTAGGGAGAGCCGATTGACTGGTTTGTGTTTGTTAAACCAACTCGCAAGACTGGTATAATTACTAGAGGTACGAAGTGTCTCAGAATCCTTTAATGAAAGGGCTTGATAATATTGGAGAGAGACCATTAACCATTATGTCAATCTTGTTGAGGTTGCCGGGCACTTAAAAAGAACAGTTCGTGCACTTCCAATATTAACAGCCATTAATGTGCTGTTATTATTAAAAAGTTGCATCACATCAAACTCCCATAAATTGCTTCTCCCAAACCTACCAATGCATGGTGTACTGGCTAGGAACCAGTTCAGAGTTAGATGTGCACGGGTACATTGGTTTTAATTAGGTTTAAATATCCTTAAGTCTGAGCTGGATTTATTTATTGCAGATTAGTAGTTGTTTCCTTCATCAAATAAGCCTTGGGCCGTACTCATGGCTCTTCCCCATGCTTGTATCCTCACCAGAACCCTTTGAGGTAGGTTAAGGAGAGAGAAAGTGAGTAGCCCAACACAATCCAATGACCATCATGGCTGAATTAGAGTTTGAACCTGGTTCTTGCTGCTCTAACCCGGGTTTGGGGTCCTTTTTGGCTCAACAGGCCAGATCTCAGAGACCAGGCTGAGGAGTACTGCTCTGATGAGGAATGGTGGGAGCCTCGTGTGGCGATCACACAGGGCCCGCGGACGTTTCACCATCTATTGATCCCTGTGCCACCACTTTATTTCTTGCTGCCACCACCCAGGCCCTACCTGGTACAATACTGAGTCCAGTCAGGGTTAAATTGGAACATAAACTTCTGTTTATTTACTGCAGTTTAACAAGCGTGTAGTTTCATAAACGGTATCGGTCAATTACAATCATGGTGTGCCTATCCAGACCTACCTGCTCCCACTCACTAAACCACCTCTCAGATATATACTTGTCTTCCTAGCCCCTAACTGTTCCTGACTCCGCTTATTTCACTACACTCACCCAACCTACCCACAGACTCTATCCCAATTCACTCCCACTCCAACCAACCACCCAATTCCCAACAAACTCCTCCCTTTGCCCCTCCCAGAGCTGGTTTTATAGTCCCTCTGACTCCACCCCCCGGGTTCTGATTGGGTAACCTGTTTAACTATTTCACCTCCAGCACTCTCATATGTTAACATCACACCTTGCCCTCCCCCTGCTCCTGACCAGGATCCTGAAGCTGCCCCGAAGCAGAAGAAGCAGTATAGATTTGGAACAGTGGTTTGCAGAGGGGCATAGTTCTGAAGACAAAAGCTGGGAAGAACTGGGATGTGAACAGCAAAGTGAAGAAGAACAGGAAGAGAAAGAGCTAACAGAATCTCGCGAGAAAGGTGGCAGCACAAAAAGCAAGGTGGTTATGTGATCAGGTTGCAAGACGGAAGTGACTAGGGGGGAAGTGGGTAGAATCCTTAATTGGGAACACCTTCAATTCCGATAATGGATGCTTTGTTCTTTTGCTGTGATCATTAAAGACTCTTTAAATGGTAACGGACTCTTTTTGCTTTGTCCTGCTTATCTACGGCCTGGGGGGGCGATGGGGAGCCGAGTCCCCGGATCCTGACACCAGATCTTTAACTCTCCCACCCCCAATGAGCCAACTTAGGCAGGTGGACATGAAGAATAGCCACCAGTGGATCATAACGACATCAGGTGGTTGACGCCTGTCAAAGTGTAGTGAATAGTCCTGTGCTTCCCAAATGCTCAGCAGCCAGGTGGTTGTTGGGTGCTTGGTCAAGCCTGGCTTTACTTGCCCCACACCTGACATCATATATAGTGCAGGGCCAGTCAGCATGGCTCAGCCAAAATCTTCAGCATCAGGTATAAGAGATTAGAAAGACTGATGGGAAAGCGATGAGGAAGCCTGAGAGCCTGGATAATTGCTGCCCGCCCGAGCTGACAATACTGCTCTCGATGGACAAATGTATGAACAGCTATAAGGCAGCTAGCTACCAGGATACCAGAGGACATTGTGCACAAGGAGGCAGCTAAAGAAACAGGTAGCAAAGCCACTGATCTTGCATTAAGTTCCCCAGAAGAGTGTTTGTATCTAACAATGCCTCAAGAACAAGAAATAGGATTTAAAGCATCCTTGAAGCCCCATTACCTACCCGATTTGCCTAAGTCTTTCCCTGCACCTTTTAAGTGCAAGCGTTAGAATGCTCTCTTTGCTCAAGCACAGTTTGGAAACCACTAGCAAGTGACAACTGAGGCCATTTCTGTCCATCAGAGGGAGCCTTAACTCTAGCAGAGTCAACAAAATGTAATAGGATTAGAAAATGGGTTTGTACGTGCAGGTTAGCTCATTCCCGTTTTTATATGTAGTTTTCTGATGCCTTATTTGCTCAGAAAGCAATGACAAGCACAGTTCAGCTGTGGGGTAGGAGTGTGTGAAAGAACAGGGAAGAGTAAGACTGAATGCAACCCTTTGCTCCCACTTCTGAACAGCTGATTGGAAGGTGTCCCGTCCCCCCACAAATAAGCGAGTATGTATTGTAGCCCCACCAGCCAAGGAATCACACACTTCGTTTTTTTTATGTGATTTCATGACCAGCTAGGGATACACGCATGGCGTTGTGGTCTAAACCACTGAGCCTCTTGTGTTTGTGTGATCAGAAGGTCAGCGGTTCGAATCTCTGCGACGGGGTGAGCTCCTGTTACTCTGTCCCAGCTCCTGCCAACCTAGCAGTTCGAAAGCGTGTCAGCGCAAGTAGATAAATAGGTACCACTGTGGCGGGAAGGTAAACGACATTTCCATGCACTCTCGTTTCCGTCACGGTGTTCTGTTGTTCCAGAAGCTGTTTAGTCATGCTGGCCACATGACCCAGAAAGCTGTCTGTGGACAAACACCGGCTCCCTCGGCCTGAAAGTGAGATGAGCACCACAACCCCATAGTCACCTTTAACTGGACAAAACCGTCCAGGAGTCTTTTACCTTTATCTTTTACCCCTGTGGAAGCCTGCTCCCTCTGCTTAGAGATGCTATCCGGATCAATATATATAACAAAATCTGTGGTTCTATGATTCAATAAAGACTGGATATAATCTAACCACCACATAAGCAAATCAGGACGAATGCTCAATGACCGGGTCATCTGCTGGGCTCGATTGTGTTAGGCGGATAAAGGCTGACTTGCATCCGCTCAGCCTAAGAAGCCTAATTTCATTTTATTTTTTGTTTGTTTGTTTTCATTTGTATGCCTTTTTATCAGATATGTCACTTGGAGACCATTTTGGAGTCAAGGGACTCACAAATGAAATAAACAAATAACCACAATGTGTTCGTTTTTAATGAGAGAATTGCTCCTGTTTTCTCACTCCAAACTTCCACAGGATGGTAGCTCTGCAGAGCCTTTAATTTAGCATCCCCAGTTCTTCCACTTCACACTGCTGCTCCAGACAGTGTACATTGTGACTTCAGAGTCATTTGTTTAGCCCTGACTGAACAAGCTACGAGTGGGGAAAAGTTGTAGTCATTCAGTGGAACAAGGTAAGCCAAAACACTGGAACTTATGAAGATGACTTTCAGGAAGTCAAACTTGTGTGGGGTTTTTTTCTCCCCTTGGTGGAAAATTACTTAGTCTGGCACTTGCCTATAAATAAACTTGGCTAAAGGAATTCGTGTTGCTATTTGACAACTGGAATTCATTTAATTTGAAAATATTATTTACAATTATGGTTACTATTCTACTTACTCTATTTGTATTTTTGGTTTTTTATTTACATTTGTTTTCTATATCTTATTGTATTATGAAAAACTTTAATAAAAACCTTACCAGAAATTACAGTTAAAGGCAAAGATAAAGGGACTCCTGACCATTAGGTCCAGTCGTGGCTGACTCTGGGGTTGCGGCACTCATCTCGCTCTATTGGCCGAGGGAGCCGGCGTACAGCTTCCAGGTCATGTGGCCAGAATGACTTGTGGCGAACCAGAGCAGCGCACGGAAACGTCGTTTACCTTCCTGCTGGAGCGGTACCTATTTATCTACTTGCACTGGCTTGCTTTCGAACTGCTAGGTTGGCAGGAGCAGGGACCAAACAACGGGAGCTCACCCCGTCGCGGGGATTCGAACTGCCGACCTTCTGATCGGCAAGTCCTAGGCTCTGTGGTTTAACCCACAGCGCTACCCGTGTCCCTGAAATTACAGTTACTAATTGTTAATTATTGTCACTGCACCACCAGGGGAGTCCAGAGCCGTGGTTGCCATGCAATGTGCATGGCCCTGGCGCTGGAATTTGTGGGTGCCTGGCCCCCGCATGGGGAATTTTGTTGGTGCTTGAGCACCCAGGGCCCTAGTGAGCCGGCACCCATGTAAGCAAGCAAGCAAAACAAAACAAAACGGAAACCACAAGCAAGAGAAACAAAATGACTCCAAGCTAAACGCGTCTCTGCTCGCAAGCCGCGTACAAGTTTCATCTTCGCAGTAATGGAGTCAATAAAAGGGAGGGAAGGAGAAGACAGCAACATTTGAATATCAGCAAATGCTGTCACATATTTATTTCAATTTCGAGAGGAGGCCTGAGGGATGAAGTCAAAGGCTTAACGAACGGGAGTAGTCATAGATATGCAGAAGGTTGTGGGTTCAATCCTCGGCGTGCACGGGAAGGATTGGGAATGGTCTGCATCTGGAACCCTGGAGAGTTGTTGCCGATCAGAGTAGGCTGTACTGAGCTGTAAAGGTAAAGGAACCCCTGACCATTAGGTCCAGTCGTGGCCGACTCTGGGGTTGTGGCGCTCATCTCGCTTTATTGGCCGAGGGAGCCGGCGGAGTTCCCCCAAATGTGCTGATACCTGCCTGGAGTGCTGCAATAAGCATTATTTGAGTTTTGCCTCTGGATAATTGACATTAATGAATATATGCAAAGGCCTTGTGAGGCACTAAGTACCAATTAGGGAAAAGAAAATATAAGACTGGGGAAACGGGCTGAATTAGCAGGAGGTTTTTTGCTAGCATAGCACTGATGCTACTCACAAAGAGTATAATGTGAGGTAGGAGATCGTATTAGCATTCATTTTCACCATCAGCAAATTATTTGATAGGGGACCTTCGCTGGAGTCAAATGAAATTATTATACATACATCATGTAGTATAATTTATATTAGAGTAGATTGTTGCATATGGGACGCAGGTGCTGCTGTGTGTTAAACCACTGTGCTGCTTGGGCTTGCCGATCGAAAGGTCAGCGGTTTGAATCCCTGCGATGGGGTGAGCTCCCGTTGCTCGGTCCCTTCTCCTGCCAACCTAGCAGTTTGAAAGCATGCTAGCGCAAGTAGATAAATAGGTACCACTCCGGCGGGAAGGTAAACGGCGTTTCCGTGCGCTGCTCTGGTTCGCCAGAAGCGGTTTCGTCATGCTGGCCACATGACCCGGAAAAGCTGTCTGCGGACAAACGCCGGCTCCTCGGCCTGTAGAGCGAGATGAGCGCCGCAACCCCAGAGTCGTCCGCGACTGGACCTAACGGTCAGGGGTACCTTTACCTTTACTAGATTGTTGCATACAAGCCTACTCTAGTAATGCATGCTGCCTTGAGGTTCTTTTTGGAAGGGTAGGATAAAAATGAAATAAATAGGTAAAATACTTGAAACGTACATACAGACTCATGTATGAAGGCAATCATAGAATCGCAGAGTTGGAAGGGACACTGAGGATAATCTAGTCCAGGCATGTCCAACCGGTCGATCACAATCTACCGGCTGATTGTGGGGCAACCCTGGTTGATCCTGGTTGATCGTGTGTTCCTGATTGATCGTGTCCCCCCCCAAAAAAGCTGAACAACTTTGGGTCTTCCCCCAAAAAAGCTGATCAACTTTTGTTATGTACTGAAGTTCTCACCCTGGCCACCAGGTGTATTGTGTACAGTGGTACTTCAAGTTAAGAACTTAATTCGTTCTGCAGGTCTGTTCTTAACCTGAAACTGTTCTTAACCTGAGGTACCACTTTAGCTAATGGGGCCTCCCGCTGCCATGCAATTTCTGTTCTTATCCTGAAGCAAAGTTCTTAACCCTTTCTGGGTTAGTGGAGTCTGTAACCTGAAGCGTCTGTAACCCGAGGTACCACTGTATATAGTTTTTACTCAGGTCCACGTAAGTTAATTTAGGTGGGAAACCCTGGGTTGATGTTGTTAATAACTTTGGTCAATCCAATGGGCAGATCACTGCCATTTTTTTTTTATAGTGGGAGTAGATCACAGTCTCTTGGGAGTTGGACATGCCTGACTAGTCCAACCCTCTGCAATGCAGGAACATGCAGCTGGCTGAACCTGCAACCTTGGTGTTATGAAGCACCACGCTCTAACCGACCGAGCTATCCAACCGACTGATTAACAGCAACTAGTTGCAATGACTACGTTATGCAGATGTTGCTAGACTACAACTCCCATCAGCCCCAGGCAGCGCATATAGTCCAACAACATCTGGAAGACACAAGGTCCATGAAGCCTGGCCTAATACAACTGGGTCAGACTGCCTAGTTCAAGAGTAGCCAACTGATTCTGTTGGACTACAGCTCCCATCAACCCCGACCATTGGCCATGCTGGCTAGGGCTGATGGGAAGCAGAGTCCCACAATGCCTGGAAAGCACATGACTGGTTACCCATGGCTTACGTCACAATAAACCTGTTTCTCTTTATAAAGTGCCGTGATATTATTTGCTGCTTTTGTTGCAAGAGATTTGCATTGGTACCCCTCTGGAAGATATACTGATGCGTGCATCGAGGAGCAGTTATGTGTGAATGAACTTCCATGTTTGCTTCCATGTATGAAATCACATTAAGAACATAAGGATGTAATACAGTGGTGCCCCGCAATGCCTCGCAAGACGGAAAACCCGCTAGACGAAAGGGTTTTCCGTTTTTCAATGCGCTTCGCAGGACGAATTTCCCTATGGGCTTGCTTCGCAAGACAAAAATGTCTTGCGAGTCTTGAGATTTTTTTTCGCTCCCCCCCCTTTTTCTAAGCCGCTAAGCCGCTAATAGCCTTTTAGCAGCTAACAGCTAAGCCGCTAAGCCTTTAATAGCCGCTAAACCGCTAATAGCGCTAATCCGCTAATCCGCTAATAGGTTTGCTTCGCAAGACGAAAAAACCGCTAGACGAAGACACTCGCGGAACGGATTAATTTCGTCTTGCGAGGCACCACTGTATGAGCCTGCGGAATCAGACCAATGGCCCATCGAGGACGTCAATTTATATGCAGTCTGTCACAGCACAATATGAGTTTGGGAGAGGGGAAGATTTGCCATAAACTCACAAATTCATGAAATAAGCTAAGTTTCGCCAATTAACACTAAGCCAAGCACTGTTTTGTTCAGTTTAGGATCACAGTTTAGTGGAAAACAGAGCAAGGAGAGGCTTGTCAGAGCATGTCAGTGTACCATCCTGCAGACAGAAATAGGAGTCGAAGAAGAAAAAAAGTCCCCATTGTAACACTTTTGCACCGTCCTTTTCATACAGTACGGACGGCTGGGGGGGGAATCGCCCAAATTTACAAATAAAGCGCTCTCTTCATTTAGCTCGAGGGACAAACAACACTAAGTCACAGTTTCACACACGCGGGCCTTCAAAGCCTGGCAAGAGGCTCGTCGCCATGGCAACCCCACACCACAGGCCCTTTTTCGGCCAGCTGGCTCAGGTTTTCTGGCCTGTGCCCTCATCAGCCCCAAATTGCTGCCTGGGAGGGGCACGGCTTTGTCCATTGCCTCCTGGCTGACTAGTTGGAATGTGAGTGGGCAGGGCTGAGGTGAGCGCACTTTGGCTGCCTCCCGCTTGAGTTGCACACACACAAAAACACACAAATGTCTTTCATGAAGCGAGCTGCCTGCATTCTAACCAGCCTAATCTTCTGGCATTTGTTTTTAGCAGAAGCGGCTACCAGGACGTACTACCTTGGAATTGTGGAGGAGAACTGGGACTATGCACCGAGCGGCGAGAATCTGATCACAGGACAAAATCTCACAGAGGATGAGTAAGTCAAAGCAGGAGTCCTTGCTGGCATCTTCTGAGTTTCTACTGTCGCTTTTAAAGTAGTTAATTCACACTTGCCCACATGATGCATATTGGGCTCAGTGCTTTCCAAGTTGTTTGCTTGTTTGTTTGTTTCCTCCAAAGAAGCATGTCTGGGCAATGAAACACGTTTTTGAAGCGACCTTAAAACGCATCGGAAAGCAGCATAGGCTGGTTAAAACGGCAATGCGAGGAGTTTTTTTAGGCTGCCTATCGTTTCACATTTGCAATGTGCATTTAAGGCGCACTGCTACAGGTCTGCACACTTAGCAATTAAATTAAATTAAATTCCAAGGGATTTGGAGGGGAGTCAAGACCTGTGCTGCGGTCCTTTCGTAATAATGCAAACTTTCCTAAGCTTCAGTACCACAGTGCAACTGCCATTCAACTGCATTTGACTTAAACGCCCCAAGATGATTATGTATTTATGGTTGAGCTATCGTATTTGTATCGGGAGGAGTAAAGATTGCAATCTAAACACGCTTACTAAGAAGTAAGTCCCAATGAACTCAGGGTGGTGCTTTTCAGACTATTTTTGGCCGGGAGCTTCGGTCCTCACAACGGCTGCGCTTTTCTTCAAACCAGCTTCCATTTGATTTGAAGACAGAAGCCAAAATCAAACTGAGGCGCGGAAATTTTAGGCAGTGGATGCGCATGCACACATGATAGCACATGCGCAGACACCAACATCAGTGAGTTGGAGTTTGACGTGGGGAAAGAAATCAGGTAATGTGAAGACATCTCTGCCCCCTCTCTGGTCTGACTTGAAACACAGCGGAAGTGGGGGTTGACTTTGCTGCCTTTCAAGCTGCTAATGTGTTGAACTGGCCCTTGAACTGTGGCCCTGCTGATCCCCACACACATTCACACCCCAAATATAGATTTCTGAGAAGGGTCTTTGGTGTAAGCCAGGCATGTCCAAAGTCCGTTTTAGGGGCGTAATCCGGTGCGCCGGTAGGTTTAATTCGGCCCCTGTGGCAGTTTATTAGTTTATTTCCTGGGGTAAAATCCTAAAAAACCCTCAACTACCTCAATCCTAAAAAAAACCTCAATAACTTCAATCATTAAAGAAAGCTCAGCAACTTTGGTCGGCCCTCACCGCCCTTCACTTCATCAAATCTGGCCCTCTTTGAAAAAAGTTTGGACACCACTGGTGTAAGCAGAGAGAAGGGGGCACTTGCATGGCGATGCACAATTCTTCAGAATTCTCCATGCAGGCATAAAACTCTGGGACAGAAAGAGAACCATTTTTGAGAGATTAAGGTCCCTACCAGACAACCTACAGGTGAAACTCAAAAAATTAGAATATTGTGGAAAAGTTCATTTATTTCAGTAATTCAACTTACTGTATTTTAACTCCATTGACGCACTGACCATAGGACGCACTGATCATAGGAAGCGAGAACAGGGAAAAGATTTTTTCTTGTCTCCTCCAAAACTAGGTGCGTTCAAGGTACATTCACCAGAGCTGGCTGAGCGGTGGGGAAGCGCTGCTTCCACCGCCAGCCTCAAAGATCCCTGAAGCCTTTGGAGCGCAGCGCCCACTGACCTGCACAGGCTTGCAGCGCAGCAGTCCCTAGCTAGAGCAGTGACGGAGCCCTCCATCTCGCTGTTCTGGCTGGAACAGCCTGTAGCTCTGCAGGACAGCGGGTGAAGGCACCCGCTGCCCTGCAGAGGCTTGTGCGCAGCTCTGCTCTAGCTTGGGAGGGCTGCGCGCAACCTCTGCAGGGCAGCGGTGCCTCACCCGCTGTCCTGCAGAAGCTAGCAGGCTGTTCCTAGCCAGAACAGCGAGACGGAGGTCCGTCTCGCTGCTCTAGCTTGGGACGGCTGTGCGCAAGCCTCTGCAGGGCAGCAGGTGCCTTCACCCGCTGTCCTGCAGAAGCTGGCAAGGCTGTTCTCAGCCAGAACAGCGAGGCGGAGGGCTCCATCTCGCTGCTCTAGCTTGGGACGGCTGCGCGCAAACCTCTGCAGGGCAGCGGGTGCCTTCACCCGCTGTCCTGCAGAAGCTAGCAAGGCTGTTCCCAAGCCAGAACAGCAAGACGGAGCGCTCCGCAGTGCTCCGTCTTCCTGTTTTGGCTTTGGGCTTAGCGGCGCAGCCTGCATTCGCTCTATAGGACGCACACACATTTCCCCTTAGTTTTTGGAGGGGGATATGTGCGTCCTATAGAACGAAAAATACGGTAAAAGGTAAAACTAATATATGAGATAGACTCATGACATGCAAAGCGAGATATGTCAAGCCTTTATTTGTTATAATTGTGATGTTTATGACATGGCTCCCCAAATCAACACAGACTGTGGAAACTTCACATTGGACTTCAAGCATCTGGCATTGTGTGCCTCCCCATTCTTCCTCCAGACTCTGGGTCCTTGGTTTCCAAATGAGATGCAAAAGCTGCTCTCATCAGAAAAGAGATTTGGGGAGCCATGTCATCAGCTGGTGTTGGTCCACTGTGCTTCATTAATTCCAGGGTCAACATAGCTGTCTACCAGGAGATTTTGGAGCACTTCATGCTTCCTTCCAAAGACGAGCTTTATGGGGATGCTGATTTCATTTTCCAGCAGGACTTTGGCACCTGCCCACACTGCCCAAAGTACCAAAACCTGGTTCAGTGCCCATGGGATTACTGTGCTTGATTGGCCAGCAAACCCGCCTGACCTGAACCCCATAGAGATTGTATGGGGCATTGCCAAGAGAAAGATGAGAGACATGAGACCAAGCAATGCAGAAGAGCTGAAGGCTGCTATTGAAGCTTCCTGGTCTTCCATAACACCTCAGCAGTGCCACAGGCTGATAGCATCCGTGCCACACCGCATTGAGGCAGTAATTGATGCAAAAGGGGCCCAAACCAACTACTGAGTACATGTGCATTCTTCTACTTCTCAGAGGTCCAATATTGCTCTATTTGCAGTCCTCGTTTTGCTGATTTCATTTAATATTCTAATTTTCTGAGATTGTTAATTTGGGGTTTTCATCAGCTGGATGCCATAAACATCACAATTATAACAAATAAAGGCTTGACATATCTCGCTTTGCATGTCATGAGTCTATCTCATATATTAGTTTTACCTTTTAAGTTGAATTACTGAAATAAATGAACTTTTCCACAATATTCTAATTTTTTGAGTTTCACCTGTATGTATCGATCATTTATCCTAATCTGTTTGCAGAATGTTAGGGAGCTGAGATGATACGAGCTTTTAAAGCATTTATTTTGACAAGCAAGCATCACCCCACTCTCCCCAGTGCCTTTCCTTATCACTTTCCTTATCACAGAAAGTCAGATTTGGGTTTGGGGGCGGTTGTTGCCCAAGAGCACCAAGTCAACTTTAGTTGTGCAACGTGAGTCTAGAAGCACCCAATGCTGGCATTCTACAGACAATCGTCTGGTAAGCTACATTAAAGTAAATGGGACTTGCTTGTGAGTCAGTAAGCATGTATATGCTTGCAAGGGAAAAAAAGAAAAGCTCCTATTATCAATGCATAAAGGAGATGGATGCTTTATGAAACGCTTATTGATTGCCAAGCATCTGATGTTTTCAATGTTTTCAGAGCCTGCTGTGGCCTTCAAACTTTGTGGAGAAATAATGACTTCTACATAGGCTTGTGTGATTGCAAGTAACCTTGTAGACGAAATCATTGTGAGGCACAGGTTTTATAACACTGATGAAATGTGGCTTCATCTGAATGGTTTGAGATGGATAAACAGAACAATTTGTATACGTGATGGTAGAAGCTTTTCTGCAATTATATGGATCTGCACTAAATTTTCGGTGCTTATTTTCTTCAAAAGGCTTCAAAAGTTGAATTTCTGAGTTTATTTTAACTCTTTGTTGCATGTTAAAATGTTGTTGCATAGCGTTTGCTTCTGGTTTTTCATGACCAATAGGGTTTGCAGTGTTGGATGTAGCAAATTCTTAGAATTCCAAAGCACTAACCAGTCCTTTGCAGACATTCCCCAGATCAAATGTAGACCAGACAAGTCTACTCACGCTCCCTTCCAGATTAGTGTTTTATTGTACGTGTATTCTGCAACATGTTTAGGGTTGCCATACGTCCGGAATTTCCCGGACATAGCCAGGATTCGGCTGTCGGAAACAGTGTCCGGGCAGAAATCACTGGAATGTCCATGAAAATCCAGACGTATGGCAACCCATGTCGGAAGTGTAGATTTTGGTGAATTTCCTTTAAAATAGCTCCGAAACTTAATGTGTTGTTGTTTTTTCAGATTTTGCAAAAATAGCTAAACAGCTTGGCCAAAAAAAAAAAGCTGAACAACTTTTGTGTCCAGATTTTCACTTTTTGAAATACAGTGGTACCTCGGGTAACATATGCTTCAGGTTACATACGCTTCAGGTTACAGACTCCGCTAACCCAGAAATAGTACCTCAGGTTAAGAACTTTGCTTCAGGATGAGAACAGAAATCGTGCACTGGTGGTGCGGCAGCAGCAGGAGGCCCCATTAGCTAAAGTGGTACCTCAGGTTAAGAACAGTTTCAGGTTAAGAACGGACCTCGGAATGAATTAAGTACTTAACCCGAGGTACCACTTGTTATGTACTGAAGTTCTCACAGCAGGGGGATACTGTAGATAGTTTTCACTCAGGTCCACATATGCAAATAAGGGATTGAAAGTGACATTCAGTGATGGGATAGTTACAGAAAATGGTTACTGTTGCGTTCTAGTGGAGCTCTATATAAGCAAGCTGGCTGAACCCTTCAGTTCTGTTCTGTTCTGGCCTGTGAATAAACAAGAGCTGTTTGAAGAATCGCTGTGTCGTCTGATATGTTCACCCACAACTTAACACCACTGTATGGCTACCCTAATTGTTGGCACAATGACAGTGTATTACAGGTGGGGTGGGTGGGTTCTGCTTTATTAGCTGTTGTGTGACGCTTCCCCTTATGCTACAACATAATTGCTGTCCAGAGGGCAATTTGCAGAATGAAAAGTTACAAGATTACAGCAGGAAGTTAAAGGAAATGAAGCAGTATGGCTGCCCCAAAACCTTTTCAGGCACAGTGTTGAAAGTAGGATTGTGTCTTGGCAGAATCCAGAGCACAAATCATTGTGAATGTGCAATAAAAAGGACGTACTGTATTGAGGGGCCCTTAATTAAGCAAGCTAAGCTACTGAAGTCAAAATTCCCAGCAAAGTCGCCTCTGCAATTGAATTGTGAACTAATTCATAATGGCCTCTTTTTCTACTCCATTAGCCAGTGTTTGTTCCCTACACCCTATGTATGGTTACAGCCCTGTAGGGCCGGGAGTTGCAAAAGAAATGTATGTGCCATGCAAAGGGCAAGGTACATATTGACGCTTGCCAGGTGTGTGGGGGCTGACAAGACAAACAAGAGATGGCTGCTGCTTCACAAGATCTAGTTTACATTATGGGACAATGAAAGAAAAGTCATCACGAAATGGGGAAAACGGCTCCAAATATTCACTCTCAAGACCTAACTCAATGTTGCCAGCATTTCACATATTTTCTCTGTGCTGCTTATTAATGTTTAGTTGAAGCAGGTGTGTAAAATGGTACAGTGGTACCTCGGGTTACATACGATTCAGGTTACATACACTTCAGGTTACAGACTCCGCTAACCCAGAAATAGTGCTTCAGGTTAAGAACTTTGCTTCAGGATGAGAACAGAAATCGTGCTCCGGCGGCACGGCAGCAGCAGGAGGCCCCATTAGCTAAAGTGGTGCTTCAGGTTAAGAACAGTTTCAGGTTAAGTATGCACCTCCGGAACGAAACAAGTACTTAACCCGAGGTAAAGGTAAAGGGACCCCTGACTATTAGGTCCAGTCATGGCCGACTCTGGAGTTGTGGCGCTCATCTCGTTTTGTTGGCCGAGGGAGCCGGCGTAAAGGTTCCGGGTCATGTGGCCAGCATGACTAAGCCGCTTCTGGCGAACCAGAGCAGCGCACAGAAAAGCCATTTACCTTCCCGCTGGAGCGGTACCTATTTACCTACTTGTACTTTGAGGTGCTTTCGAACTGCTAGGTTGGCAGGAGCAGGGACCGAGCAACGGGAGCTCACCCTGTTGCAGGGATTCGAACCGCCAACCTTCTGATTGGCAAGTCCTAGGCTCTGTAGTTTAACCCACAGCGCCACCCGCGTCCCTTAACTCGAGGTACCACTGTATTATTATTATTATTCCAGTGGTACCTCTGGTTGCAAACGGGATCTGTTCCGGAGGCCTGTTCGCAACATGAAAAGAACGCAACCCACAGCGGCGCGTCTGCACACTCGCGAGTTGTGATTTGCCACTTCTGCGCATGCGCGTGACGTCATTTTGCGTGTCTGCACATGCACGAGCAGCAACACCTGGAAGTAACCCTTTCCAGTACTTCCGGATCACCGCAGGACGTAACCTGAAAGAATGTAACATGAAGCAGACGTAACATGAGGTATGACTGTATTATTATTAGTGAAATGGTATCATGATGTCAGGAGCTGGGCAGAGGAGGAATGGTGGAGACCGCCTCCCCAGCTTGACCCTTCCAGGGAGGAGGAAGATAAAGACAGTTTAGATTTACAACAGGGAGGTCACAGCTCAGAGGGAGATGAAGGGGAAAGTTGGGAAATAATGGGAGAGGAGGAGGAAGCACCGGGGGGGCAACAGCTGACGGACACAGTGTCTTTAGAAAGCATTCCAGACAAACACCCCTCTCCCAAAACCAGGTGAGCCTTGAAAGTAGGAGAGCAAAGAGCTCAAAGGCAGAGGGCACATAGCGGCATCCATAGGAGAGACAATGAGGTTGACGAATGAGGAAGTGGGAGAGACGAGGGGTGGAGATTCATTTGGGACAACACCATTACCCAAGAGGCTGGGTTCTATAGCCTCTCTCTGTAAATACTGAATAAAAAGCAGACAGTAAGAAACATTCCCTTGTCTTTGTACAGTCGTACCTTGGGTTGAAGAAGCTTCGGGATGAATATTTTCGTATTGCGCTCCGCGGTGACCTGGAAGTAACAGAGCGCGTTACTTCTGGGTTTCGCCACTCGTACATGCACAGACACTCAAAATAACGTCACGTGCATGTGCAGAAGCGGCGAATCGCGACCCACGCAGACGCACAGACGTGGGTTGCGTTCACTTCAGGATGTGAACGGGGCTCTGGAACAGATCCTGTTCGCATCCAGAGGTACCACTGTATGTTCCTGGGCAACCAGCCTGACACATGATGACATTCAGTGTTTATCTGTCCCCTACATAAGTTGATTGGTTCCCACACATGGAGTGCTTGTGTTGGTATTTCAAATCTCATCGTCCTCATCTGTTCCATATGATTCATGGATTGAAAATTAACTTAAACTCACCCCTGCCTTTTCTACTGCAGAGAAGCAATTGTCTATGTGAGAAGAGGCCCCAACAGGATAGGTCGGGTTTACAAGAAAGCAATTTTCAAACAATTCACAGACGACACGTACTCCCAGGAGATCCCCAAACCATCTTGGCTGGGTTTTCTAGGTCCAGTTCTGAGAGCCGAAGAAAGAGATACTTTTATTATTCATTTGAAGAACTTTGCTTCCCGGCCTTATTCTGTACATCCCCACGGAGTCTTCTACGAGAAAGATTCTGAAGGTAAAACAAAGATTTGCTTTTCCTCTTCTGCTGTTTCAGAATCTATCTCTTTCCTCTATTACTCCTGGGAGCCAGTATAGTGGTTCAGGTAGCATGTTGGAAACTTGACAGAGGAGACCTCGGTTCAGATCTGGGCTCACATCAATTTGTCTGCAGAGGAATGTAATAGAGGCCTGCTGGGTCAGAGCAAGAGTTCATTTACTCCAGCAGTGTGGAAACTTCATTAGCCTGAGGACCACGTCCCCTCACAGGGAATCTTCGAGGGGGTGGGGTGTCACATGTCAGTGGTGGGCAGGGCCAGAAGTAAAAGTGGGTGGAGTAATAAATGTGACTCTTGCCTTCGTACAGTAGGCTGTGCAAAAGCCAAATATTTATATACCAGTATCAGGTGGTGGGGCAGGGCAATGGTGCCTAACCTCACATCACAGCCACGTTCATTAATTTCTTTTCTTTTTTTAAGAATATTTTTTTATTAACCGACCAATCACATCAAATCAAACCAAATTACATAAATTCCAAATTACACAGCCAAATTTTTCTTGGGGGTACCCATATTTCAAGTTCCGAAGGGATCCAATCAACTTCTTGCTTCTTACTGCTGTTTTAATGTCCACAAATCTAACCTTATGATGTTCACAGTACTATCCAGTCCTTTCTTATTATTTTTCCACATCTCTTGTTGTTATTTTCATATATTTTTCCTTTCTCTTTGTGACCTCTGATAGTCTCCGCAAGCTGGTTAGAACAGTTTGTAATCCTGCGTGGATATTATTTTTTTATCCAGTAGCCATATCCAGACGTTTTCCATATAACATCACTTCCATACATCAAAACAGTCTTAACGTCATTAATCTTCATTGCCTCCTTTCTCAAAACCTCTGAGGAGATTCACTAGGAATGCAGTCTGAAACCAAGTCCGTTCTTCCTCCCGGCTATAAATCCTTTGGCAAGATGGCGACTCCGAATTAATTGCTGCGCCATTCCCAAAAGCTCTTATTGCTTCTCGGTCTCCATAAAGCATACTTTGGTTAAAGTGGAGACACAGACCTTAATCATCCTGCTTGGGTCAGTTCAACCGACGGTTCTAATGAGGAGGGGTTCTTGTAAATCACATAGAAGGAAAGTAAAAAAGGTCCCCCCCCCCGTCAGCCCCGTTGTCAACATACTCTGCCTTTGGTGTATCTTCATCGTAAAATATTCCTGTTTCTCCAGCCCGTCGTCTTCTTTCGCAGAGGTCCCTTATATTAGCAGACTTCACTCCCTTCTTCACTTGAAATATGTGCATTTGCTTCTTTTGTAATTAATTATTCCAAATTGCTGCAACTAGTGCGCGATCAGAGACAGCGTCCAGGAGAGCCAATGACCCCACCGGGCAGTCTGCCTAGGGCCCCCACCCCATTCTTTCAAATTAGGGGTGATTTATGGGCACAGCAGGCAAGGGCAGTGTTCCCCATTTCCTTGGGGCAACAAGGGAGGCTGCCTACTCCCATAACAGCCTCTTAATTACCCCGTGTGGGTCGGAGAGATGGTATTGTTGGCCATCTTCCAATGCGCCCCCTAGTGGCCCCCGCCACGTTCATTAATTTCAGTGGGTTTATTCTGAATAAAACCTACTTGAGTGCTGCCCTATATTTACTTAGCCGCTTTCCCACCTTTTCTCTTTTTGCAAAAGTGATCAAAGCAACTTTAAGAGAGAGAGAGAGAGAGAGCAAACTAAAATGCTCATGTGTAAGATGTCTAAAAGGGCACACAAAGAACTTCAATCTTTTTTTTTTTTACGTTCCTCTTCAGGAGCCCTCTACCGAGATGGAACAGGTGGCAAAAGCAAGGCTGATGATTTTGTTCTCCCTGGTTCCAATTATACATATACATGGCTGGTTACAGATGAGTTTTCACCTACACCGGCAGATCCACGGTGCCTGACTTGGATTTACCATTCGCATATCGACACGCCAAAAGATATCAGCACTGGGTTAATTGGGCCGCTGGTGGTTTGTCGAAAAGGTACGGAACATGTCATGCCAAGTGCCTCTGTGGCAGCAAGATTTGGTTAAAAAATTCAGGTCTGCATCCACAAATTCTGATACGTTCAGCAGTTGTACCTTTGCATGACCTCTGAGTAGCCTAGCCCATTTCTGGTGTCCAATTCACACTGCTGGTTATTATGTTGAAAGCCCTAAACAATTTTGGGTCAAGATACCTAAAAGAACCATTTCCTCCCATCAAGTCCCATTGATAGCTGGGGAGTGGGGAAAAGGAGAGAGTATTCTCAGAAAGCCTGAATCGCAGCCTTACAAAGAGTTTTCTCTTCCAGCAGGTTTTTGACCTGCCAACTTGAAGATATTTTTTAACTGACCGCTCAGAATTCATATCTCTTTTACCTGCTGTGCTCCTGTACTTTAACGGCATTTTTTCATCTCTGCCAAGCTAAGCAGTTGGCTCCTTACCTCTCTCGCCCTGACCTAGCCACTGTGATCCATGCGACAGTCACCTCCAGACTTGATTATTGTAACTCACGCTGCGTGGGGCTGCCCTTGAGACTGACCCAGAAACGCCAGCGGGTGCAGAATGCCGCGGCGAGATTCCTTACAGGGTCCTCGCCACGGGATCACATTCACACAGTGCTATACCAGCTGCACTGACTCCCGGTGGAGTACAGGATCAGGTTTAAGTGGACAAACGCTGGCTCCCTCGGCCAATAAAGTGAGATGAGCGCTGCAAGCCCAGAGTCGGTCACAACTGGACCTATTGGTCAGGGGTCCCTTTACCTTTACCTTTAACCTTTAAAGCCCTATACGGCCTAGGACCCTCGTACCTACGGGACTGCCTCTCCTGGTGTGTCCCATGGAGGACTTTACAGTCTTCAAACAAAAACATCTTGGAGGTCCCAGGCCACAGGGAGTTTAGGCTGGCCTCAACCACAGCCAGGGCTTTTTCGGCTGTGGCCCCGATCTGGTGGAACGCTCTGTCACAAGAGACTAGGGCCCTGCGGGACTTGACATCTTTCCGCAGGGCCTGCAAGACAGAGCTGTTCCACCAGGCCTTTGGCCAAGGCACAGCCTGACCCCCCTCCTTTGGTAATCCACACAGAACTCTAGCCCAATGGTTGCCATTAATTTGATTCTGAATTGATTTTAGAATGCTGTGCTTACTTTTACTGTTGTTAGCCACTCTGAGCCCGGCTTCGGCTGGGGAGGGCGGGATATAAATAAATTATTATTATTATTATTATTATTATTATTATTTATTAATGTGATTTTTCATGGCAACTGCAGCCAGAGCAGGTGAGGTTCCATTGCCCTCCTGCCTTCCAAATGCTTCACTGCTGCTTACTGAGAAGAAGAGGAAAGGGGAAAAGCAGTGGGAAGTTAGGCAGTGTGGAAGCAGCAGCAGGACCAACATATTGACTCTGCCACCGCACCCACACCATGCCAAGCTCCCCACTGCCTTGTCCCTCTTGGGAAGCTGCAATGAAGTCTGGTGCTAGGAAGGCAGGAGAGCAATGCATTCCCATCCATCCCATTAGTTGGTTCTATCTATAGCAGATACACACAAGTGCAATTATTGCAAATGATGTTGATAGGAGTTGGGTATGTTCAGCCTGGGGAAGAGAAGACTGAGAGGTGATAGGGTAGACATCTTCAAATATCTGAAGGGCTGTTTTCTGCTGCTCCAGAAAGTAGAATGGATTCAAACTACAAGAAAAGGAGATTCTGACTAAACATCAGGGAGAACTTTCTGGCAGTAAGAGCTGTTCGACAGGGGAATGGACTGCTTCGGAAGGTGGTGGACTCTTCTAAACAGAGGTTGGATGACCACCTGTCAGGGATTCTATAATAGTGACAACAACAACAACTTTATTATTTATACCCCCCCCCCATCTTGCCAGGTTTCCCCAGCCACTCTGGGCGGCTTACATATAAAATGGCAAAACATTAGACATTTAAAAAATTCCCGATACAGGGCTGCCTTCAGATGTCTTCTAAAAGTCAGAAAGTTGTTTATTTCCTTGACATCTTATGGGAGGGCATTCCACAGGGTGGGTGCCATTACCAAGAAGGCCCTCTGCCTGATTCCCTGTAACCTCACTTCTCGCAGGGAGGGAACCACCAGAAGGCCCTCGGTGCTGGACCTCAGTGTCTGGGCTGAACGATGGGGGTGGAGATGCTCCTTCAGGTATACTGGGCCGAGGCCTTAAAAGGCTTTAAAGGTCAGCACCAACACTTTGAATTGTGTTTGGAAATGTACTGGGAGCCAATGTAGGTCTTTCAAGACCGGTGTTATGTGGTCTCGGCAGCCACTCACAGTCACCAGTCTAGCTGCCACATTCTGGATTAGTTGTAGTTCTTTAGCTGTGATGCCAGCACTGCAGGATGACTGGATGACCTTTGTGGGATCCCTTCCAACTGTACATTTCTATGAATCTGTAAATGCTGAAAGCAGCATAGAGCTTTTCCAAAAAGAAATCTGGAGTATAAATACAGCAGCAGGTGATGCATTCCTTGGAGGTGGGTTTGCTGCCCCTGTAGATTCTGCTACCCGAGGCAGGTACCTCACCTTACTTCATGGATGGGCCGGCCCTGGCCCTTCCCCATGTACTGTTGTGCTGCTCACAAGTAAGGCCTATCCCATGTTCTTGGTCTGTAATTTTAAAGAATCCCCCTGTGCAATTGCTAACAACATCATTCACGTACATAATATGTACCTAGGCCTTGAGTCTGCACACTGATTTCCTACTGGGGATTGATTTCAAGGCAAGAATTTTTAGAACATGTGCAGTGGCTCCAAATAAATTAACTTAAAGGGTTTACAAAAAAACAAACTTTTACGTGTTTGCTTTCTTAGGAACATTAGATGATGCTTCAGCGCCAGCGGCCAATGCTGCAAAGAGCTTCGCTCTGATGTTCAGCGTCGTAGATGAAAATCTCAGCTGGTACCTGGATGAAAATATAAATACCTTCTGCTTGGAACCCAGCACTGTGGATAAAGAGGACGAAGATTTCCAACTGAGCAATAAGATGCACGGTGAGCTGTGCTGCAGGACAAGAAGAACAACACTTGTTTTGCAATTGCTGCCAGATTTGGTTGCAACTTCTAATTGCTGCTGCTCCTCTTCCTTTCCTTGTGAGAGGAAATAGTCTGGGGTTGTGTCAGGATATTAATGCCGCCTCTTTCGTCTACTACCCGCAGCTTGAAACACAGGCCAAGCCGGATTAGGTGCCTTCAGTTCGACCCTGAGGCAGGTTCCCCAGCTTTGAGTCACCTCAGCAGCTCCTACAGGAAAAAGCAGAGGTTAGGCAAGCAACCCATTGTGAAATGCCTTTCATCATGGGTAGGCAAAGTAAGGGCCGGATCCGGCCCAATCGCCTTCTAAATCTGGCCCATGGACGGTCTGGGAATTAGTGTGTTTTTACATGAGTAGAACGTGTGCTTTTATTTAAAATGCATCTCTGGGTTATTTGTGGGGCAGAGGAATTTGTTCATTTTTTTCCCTTCCAAAATATAGTCCGGCCCCCCCACAAGGTCTGAGGGACAGTGGACCGGCCCCCTGCTGGAAAAGTTTGCTGACCCCTTCCTTTCGCCATGAGTCCCTAGGACTTGAATGGAGGGCCTCTGGGTTTGTGTGTAGCTTCTCCTTGTGGTGAAACCCTGAACTGCAAGTTGCAGCATCATTCTAAGCACTTTAGCATCCTCAGCCCCTGGACTGACCCCATCAGGCAGGCTGTCCATAGGATCCCCCTGGGCAGGAAAGAGTTTGAAGGTCTTCCTGTTCCAGTTGTCCCTGAGCTCTGGTGTCTTCCTGTATTCTTGGGTTCTGACAGCTGGCTTGTTCCTAAATGCTGCCTCCTGCCTTTCACCATGTCCTGTCTTTAGAATCGTAGGTCAAGATGCAAATAAGTTGTTGAATGCATGGTGTCAGGTGGTCCACAAGAAAAGGTGCAGCAGAGGGAGAAAAGCTGGGAAAGTCTTGTTGCATGAGCAGATCTCCTTCTCCACCTGGACGCCCCGCTTAGTGCAATGTTGAATTCCATTCATAGAATTGGAAGGGACCTCAAAGATCATCTAGTACAACCCCCTGTGAATGCAGGAAACACACTACTACAGCAGCCCCACAAGAGTGGCCATTCAGCTTCTGCTTTTAAAACCTTTTTAATGATAGAGAGTCCACTACTTCTGAGGCAATCTTGCTCTTTGGTGCTGACTTCTGGACTCATAACTGTGCTCACCTCAGACATCTACTCCTGGCCCACAGCTGTCAGTGTCTAGACCCCAGAATCCATCTCTAACCCCATCTTGAAGCATGGGGACCTCTTCCAACTCCCCAACATTCCCCTTCTCTGTTTTTCTTCCTTTTATCTCACGTCCCCTTGGTTTTCTTTTTTTCTTTTTCTTATTCTCTTCTTCTTTTCACCTTTAAATTTCATATCTTTCTTGTTATAATAATAATAATAATAATAATAATTTTTTATTTATACCCCGTCCTTCTGGCTGGGTTTCCCCAGCCACTCTTTATCTTTAAACAAAGGAGAAAAGGGTGATGATGACTTCGTTTGAAGCCATTTTGCTTCCATTACGTTAGTGAAATAGAGAACAAGAAGGAAAATCTTAAATGTGGCACACATTAGCTATTTTAAAATGAATGTCCCTGTCATTCATATCCCTGTAACTCATGGATTATCTTTTCTTATATTGTGTTATATGTTTCCAGCAATTAACGGTTATGTTTTTGGAAACCTCCCTGGCCTGGAGATGTGCACTGGTGAATTGGTGTCCTGGCATTTGTTTGGGATGGGGACCGAGATCGACGTTCACTCTGCACAGTTCTTCGGCCATACTTTGCTTAACAGAGGCCACAGGATGGATGTCATCAGCCTCTTTCCGGCCACTTTTGTGACAGCAGAAATGATGGCAGAGAATGCTGGGAAGTGGCTTTTGACCTGTCAAGTCGATCATCACATACAAGGTATCTATGCACCATTCGAGAAAGGTCAATAGACGTTGCAGTTGGGCCAGAACAACTACTATTGCTAGTAATATTTTATATATCAGCATTGGCATGGATAGTGCTGTACAGAGCAGAGCACAGGTCTCTGCCCCAAGGATCTTACAGATTCAACACCAAGGAAACACACAAAAAAGAAGGGGAATGAATAAACATGGAACTGATATGCATTTGTTTCAGTTGTATTGTGTGCATAGGCTGAGGGTACAGGATGAGTGACAGTAGGACATGGGAACAAAACGAAATAAATGCACAAAAGGTGACATATCAGCAAAGGTTTCTAATATAAGAAGTTGATACAGTGGTACCTCGGGTTAAGTACTTAATTTGTTCCGGAGGTCCGTTCTTAACCTGAAACTTTTCTTAACCTGAAGCACCACTTTAGCTTATGGGGCCACCTGCTGCCGCCGCACCACCGGAGCACAATTTCTGTTCTCATCCTGAAGCAAAGTTCTTAACCTGAAGCACTATTTCTGGGTTAGCAGAGTCTGTAACCTGAAGCATATGTAACCTGAATCATATGTAACCTGAGCTACCACTGTTTTCTACACAGTGCATCAAGCTTGAAATGATTCCAGAAATGTATTGTGTAAGCTTTTTTTAAAAAAGCCACATAGCAATAACAGGCTCTGTTCCACTGATAATAATTGCTGCTTCTGGCGGCTGTATAGGCTGCATCTAAATTTAAAAGTGCTCAAAATGCCAAGCAATAATAATCAGGCAGCCACAGCAGGTCCTTCAAACAGCACATTTTTAAAAAAGTATTATGAACAGCCATAAATCCCCATATGAACAAACCCAGAGCCTGCAATCATCAGTCTGAGGCCTTTTGTGTTCCCATCCTTCACAAGACCTCCAGAGGGTGGCAATATGAGAATGGACCTTTTCTGCAGTGGCTCCCCGTTTGCGGAATGTTCTCCCCAGGGAGGCTTGCCTGGTGCCTTTGTTACATATCTTAAGGCACCAAGCAAAAACATTCCTGTTCTCCCAGGCCTTTGGCTAATTAAATGATCCATGGCTTTTTAAATTGGGGGGTATTTGGTTGGTTGGTTTGCTACTATGTTATGTATTATTATTATTTTTGTTTTTATACAGCAAACTCCACTGTGAGCCTCAGATGAAGGGCAGTATAGAAATTTAATAAAATTTAATGAAAACAAACAAATAAGTAAAAGGACAAGTTAAACAGTAGAGGGAAACAACCAATAAAACCAGCATTTAACCAACCTGACTTGGCACTCATACCGTGTTCTGGTTCCCAGGAGGAGCCCGTGGAGCAAGGCATTCCAGACAGCAAGGCAGGTCCATTGTTTCAGCACCTAGGAGAGCTCCCAGTGGAGCCACTTGTCCAGACAAAAGATGGCAGTGAACTGATACTTTCTGCGCCTCTGTCTCCAGCCCAGCTCTCCTAGACTTCACCCCGTTTTAGATAATTAGGTCGCATTCACACCATTTAAAGCACTCTTGTGCCATTTTAACAGCCCTGGCTTGCCCCAAAGATTTACTGAAGCCTGTTAAGGGTGCTGAGAGTTTCTATACAACCTCTCACAGGGCTACTATTCCTAGCTCCAGCGTCTTTTAAAGCCATCCAAGTTGACAGCCATCAGTATTTGCTGTGGCAGCAAATTCCATAGTTTAACTATGTGCTTTGTAAAGGACCTTCTTTTCTGGGTCCTGAATCTTCCAACATTCAATTTCATTGGATGCCCCCAAGCTCTAACATTATGAGAGGAGAAAAACTTTCCCTATCCACTTTCTTCACACCACACATCATTTTAGACTCCAACACGTCCTTCTCTTACTCATGTTTTCTCTAAACGAAAGGGGCCCCAATACTTCAACCTTTCATCAATAGGGGCGTTGCTCCATTGCAGCCTTGATCATTCTAGCTGACCACTTTCTGAACCTTTTTGAGGTTAGGCCACCAGAGCTGTGCACAGTGTTCCAAATGCAGTCACACCGCAGATTTCTATAACCGTTATTTACTGAAGTTGTCACCCTGGGCCAGCAGGGGGATACTGTAGATAGTTTTCACTCAGGTCCACATATGCAAACAAGGAATTGAAAATGACGTTCAGTGATTGGATAGTTACAGAAAGTTGTTACTGTTGCGTTGTAGTGGAACTCTATGTAAGCAGGCTGGCTGAACCGTTCAGTTCTGTTCTGGGTCTGTGAATAAACAAAAGCTTTTTGAAGAATCTCTGTGTCGTCTGATATGTTCAGCCACAACTTAACAATAACAGCATTACGATATTGGCAGTTTTCAGCTCCTTTCCTAATAATCCCTAGCATGGAATTTTCCCTTTGCACAGTATTGTAACCTTTGCTCATAGGGGAAATTGTTCCATCCCCTTGACAATTTTGGCTCCGTTTGTTTGTTTGCTTTTTTGCTTGTTGTTTTTCTACCTCACCTTTGTCCCAACTTGTGATTCATGATGTTGGTACTCTTTTGGCACACTACTGTGCCCCCTGACAACCCAGTTTGGAAATTACAGCATTAGAATAATTGATTGCATGTTGAGACCAGATCAAATTAAAGACTTATTGTGTGTGCTTTCCTACACTGTAGCTGGTATGATGGGATTCTACAACATCAAGGCTTGCGGTCAAAACATTACCGGGCCTTCACAGAGTGGTCAGGAAAGAAGTTACTTCATTGCCGCTGAAAGAATTTTGTGGGATTATGGACCTGGTGGTTTTAATAAACTCACAGGCCAGCCTTTAAATGCTACTGGCAGGTATGTGTTGTGATATTATTTATTTCTTCTTTTCCCCTTTTAGCTGAAAGCTGACATTTTTACTGATGTTTTAGTTACTGTTATGTACTGAAGTTCTCACCTTGGGCCAGCAGGGGGATAATGTAGATAGTTTTCACTCAGGTCCACATATGCAAATAAGGGATTGAAAGTGGCGTTCAGTGATTGGATAGTTACAGAAAGTGGTTTCTGTTGTGTTGTAATGGAGCTCTATATAAGCGGGCTGGCTGAACCCTTCAGTTCAGCTCTGTTCTGGCCTGTGAATAAACAAGAGCTGTTTGAAGAATCGCTGTGTCATCTGATATGTTCACCCACAACTTAGCAGTTACCTTGTTGTGATTTTGTATGCTGTATGCCATCTTTTTCTAAATGAAATTGCAGTCTATAAATAGTTTAATAAATAGGTTACTGAGTTAACTTATGCAGATATATGCACCAGGTTTTTGCTGTTGTTTTTAAAGCCCATGTAGAATAGCAGATTGAGTGTTTGACTTAAATATTAGAAACCTAAGTTTGAAATCAGTGGGGTAGAATTCGATATTATTATTATTATTAAAAATTTGTATACTGCCCTATATCTGTAGATCTCAAGGCGGTTCACAACATAATTTATTACAATCTGAAAAACACAAAATACATAATAAAAATAAGAATGAAAACAAACCAATAAATGGGTGCAGTTGAAAAAAGAAGCCTTGAGACTCCTCCTTGTCTCTTCCCTGATAACTTGTAGAGAAATAAAATGATGTTGTTATATTCTGAACTGGAACTCGGCATTGTCACGTGGTGCAATTAATTTCTCTGCACGTTACCTTAGGAGAGAAAAGAAAGTGATGCAGGACTTCTGCTTTAGGCAGGAATCCCATGTCTCTCATATCATCTTTATCTTTATCTCCCCCTTCGGCTAATTAGCCTTGGGATAATGGCTACCTATCAGTCTAACGTTCCTCACAGGGTTGCTGTGAGACTAAAACGGCAGCTGTGAGCTCCCAGGAAGAAAGGTGGTTCTCCAAAAAAACAAATTAATAAATCTATTTTGTGCATAATCTTACCTGTTTGCTTTAAACTGAGCATTTCAAATCTGTGGTCAGCTGTACAACCGGTATCAATACTTTGTTCTCTCACAGCGACTCAGCACCTTTCTTCATACAAGGGGATGACCGAATCGGAGGGCAGTATTGGAAAGTTCATTATGTGTCCTACACCGATGAAAAATTTACTCGCAAAAAGAAGCAAACAGAAGGCGCCACTCACCTTGGCATACTTGGTACGCCTTGTGGTTTTGAGTCTTCTTTTTTTTTGGCACTGGTTTCAGTCCCGCTACAGTCTCTCACATTGGAAGTTGCAGCCAGGCACCCTGAGAACATTTCTCCCATCTGAGCAATGCCCCTAACCAAGGGTATGGGGGCAAGCAGGGAGAGGTTTTAAAGCTCAGCGTCCCCTTCCCCAAACCAGCTCATTTCTCTTCCCTGCTCTCCCCCAGGCCCAGTTATCAAAGCTGAAGTTGGAGACACAATTTTGGTTACTTTTGCCAATAAAGCTGACAAAAACTACAGCATGATGCCTCATGGCGTAGCTTTCAGCAAATCATCAGAAGGAGCCCCTTATGAAGATGGTAACTTTATTTATTTATTTATATTGTTATGATTTGGGGGGGGTCATTCTGGATGATGACCCGAGTTCCTTCCATTTCTTGGGATCCTGTATCTGTAAGGGGTAGAATGTATAAGAGCAAGCTTGCCCAACCTGTCCCTTTGCCTAGGTAATGGCTTGGGGCTGACTAGTTGCTCTGTGCTATAGAACAAATGGGGGAGCCTTCCCCAGCCCTCAGCTAGCTGCTAGGTCAGAGAACAATCACCAGAGTGGTGTGTGACAGCTGAGCAGAAAAGGACTGGAGGCTGAAAGCTGCAGAGAGGAAGGTGTATTGCTCTGTGCTGGGTCCAAATCCGTGACGAATGGAGGAGCAAGATCTTTTGGGGGTGTCCATGCTGTGAGCCTCCCCCATCCTTTGCTCAGGCTGTGCATATCTTAACATAAAATATTATATCCCAAAGACACCGCAGTCTCCATCCACTTTCGTTCCAAGGAAACCAGATGAGAGCAGGAAGCCCTAGAGTCCCTCATGGCTTGGAGATTAGAGTGGCATGAAACAATACAGTGGTACCTCGGGTTAAGTACTTAATTCATTCCGGAAGTCCGTTCTTAACCTGAAGCACCACTTTAGCTAATGGGGCCTCCTGCTGCCGCCGTGCCGCCGGAGCCCGATTTCTGTTCTTATCCTGAAGCAAAGTTCTTAACCTGAATCACTATTTCTGGGTTAGCAGAGCGTGTAACCTGAAGCGTATGTAACCCGAGATACCACTGTAATTATTTATACATTTTTACACTGCTTTTTCATGGAAAAAAAGCATGCCTAAAGCAGTGTACAAATTTCTTAGGTAACACAGCTGCGTGAAGAACAGCCTAAACAATCTAACAGTCAAAATAGAGGAAGAGAAAGATACTGGCTTGTCATCCAAAAAGGGGGAGGGGAGTCACATGGAAAAATTAGTCTGACCCAACTACAGTTACTCAGTTAAATCCCATTTCTTTCTATGAAGATATTTACTTGAATGATCTTCTTTTATTATTCTGTGTGTGTTACCACGAGTTTCTTCTGGGAGGGTGCTTTTTCACCTCCTTTTATTTTTAGGGCACCAGAAGCCGGGGGCTTATGTTAAACCCGGCGAGACCTTTAAATACAAATGGAGAGTTCCTGAAAGTGTCGGCCCAACGGGCGATGATCCACCGTGTCTCACCTACCTGTATTATTCAGCAAACGATCCTGTCATGGACACCCAGTCTGGTCTTGTGGGGCCTCTAATAATCTGCAAGAAGAATGCTTTGGAACCAGACGGAACACAGGTACTAATTCTGATTGATCCATGCATTTTGAATGGTTGAGAGCGTTTGCTGAGCCCAAAGGGTAGCATGTTAAGCAAATCCAGATCTGAACTGAATTATATTGATTAGGTCTACTTACAACATAAGAACGTATGATCAGAAAAATCATTTTCTAGTTCCGCTTTGGGCCTCCAAGGGTCGCTAATCAAATGCCCCTTGGAAGCTCACAACAAGAAAATGAGATAACAAGGGATTCTGCTGCCCCTATGGATCCTTCCACCTGAGGCAGTCGCCTCGCCTTGTCTCATGCATGGGTTGGCCCTGGGTTTAGACAAAATTCATGGAGGATGCTGAAGATTCTGTTTATACACTGAATGCTGCAGAAATGGTTTGATATTGCAGTGGAGTCTTTATTTCTCACTTGTTGATGTGAACCTGACTAGGTTGCATCTCAGGCATAGAAACACAAATAGAAAGTTGCAAGGATCAACCACTGCCTTGCAAGGATTAAGTTCCTATGTAAAATGCTTGTCGAACATAAAATAAAACTACTCTTGAACATGGTGCCTGGAAAGCAATGCTTTGGAGTATATAGATTTCTCCCATTCTTTTTTATCCTTGGAGGTGCTATAGAATGGTTTGTGATCAGAGTCCAAATTGGGAAAGAGACTTTTTGTGACGTTTACCGTAGAAAAAGGTCTGAGAGACGTCATGAGCCAAATTTGGAAGGAAGATGACTTTGACGCTGAATAATTTAGATGAAGTGAAATCTGAACCTTTCACATCTAAATTAAGAAAATTACAAGTGTTCAGACTGAACGATGACTGTTTCGAGTCCCATGAAGTTTTTGCTACCCAGGTTGCCGGAAGAAGATGCTGTAGTTGTCTTATTGTAGTCACAGCTACCCAGGAACTGAACAATTAAGACCGGTTACAATACTTATATTTATTTCAGAAGCTGTAATTAATTGTACATCTGAAACATTTCATCATTGGTTTATTGATTAATCATCTGTTTTTATAAACCCTTCCACAAATGATCTCTTTGTAGGGGTGGGGAACTGTGCTCCTCCAGATGTTGTTGACTCACATCCTCCCTGAGCATTGGCCCTGTAGACTGGGGCTGGAAGAAGGTTGAGTCCAGCAACACCTGGGAGGGGGTCACAGATATCCCTACCCTGCAGCATGGCCAATGGTCAGAGATGGTGCAGGTTTTGCCAATCAACATCTGGAGGGCTATGTGTTCCTCACCCGTAACAGGTGCTTTAGGAAGCGGTCTGTAGCCTTGTCTTGTTACCAGTAAAAGGGAATTGCTTCAACCATCATAAACTCATAGAATTGTAGAGTTGGAAGGGATGCTGAGGGTCATCTGGTCCAACCCCCTGAAATGCAGGAATCTCTGCTAAAGCATCCAAGGCAGATGACCATCCAACTCTGCTTGAAAACCCCCAAGGAAAGAGAGTCCATTACTTTCCAAGGGAGTCCTTTCCACGGTCGAACTTGTCTTACTGTCAGAAACTTCTTCCTGATGTTTAGTCGGAATCTCCTTTCTTGTAACCTGAATCCATTGGTTGGAGTCCTACTCTCCAGAGCAGGAGAAAGCAAGTTTACTCCATCTTCCATGTGGAAGCCCTTTAGATATTTGAAGATGACTATCATATCTCTTCTCAGTCTCCTCTTTTCTAGGCTAAACATACCCAGCTCCTTCAACCGTTCCTCATAAGGCTTGGTTTCCAGACCCTCGATCATCTTGGTTGCCCTCATCTGCACACACCTGTTTGGTGGCAGCAAACCTGTAGAATAGAATTTTATTATTACGGTCACAGACCAGTTCCGGCTCACTTACAATATCAGGAAAATCATAAAACACAACAGGAATACATTGAATTGCTATTGGGTATGACAAAGACAATTCAGATATAGCAGCAGTTAAAAATATGTATTAAATCTTGATCACTAAAATATAACCTAAAATTGTCATTTAAAACCTTAGTCATTTTGGTAGTGCAGCTTGTTCTCTAGGTTTTATGGCAGTCACACAGAATTTGGCCACCCGTAGTGTGATCTCTACATCCTTGTCCTCTACCAGGAGTTTTAGACATTGAAGTTCGAACCCATTTGGAGATTTTTGTATAACAGGAGTGATAAATACCGAGCGTATACCCCCGTAGAAACGACAGTGTAACAAGACATGAGAGGCAGTTTCTACCTCCATCAAGCCGCAGGGGCAGACTCGTTCCATGTATGGAACCAAACCTGTGTACACTACCTTGTACAGTACAGAAGGTAAAGGGTAAAGGAACCCCTGACCATTAGGTCCAGTCGTGGCCGACTCTGGGGTTGCGGCGCTCATCTCGCTTTATTGGCTGAGGGAGCCGGCGTACAGCTTCCGGGTCATATGGCCAGCATGACTAAACCACTTCTGGCAAACCAGAGCAGCGCACAGAAACGCCGTTTACCTTCCCGCCGGAGCAGTACCCATTTATCTACTTGCACTTTGACGTGCTTTCGAACTGCTAGGTTGGCAGGAGCAGGGACCGAGCAACGGGAGCTCACCCCGTCGCAGGGATTCGAACCGCCAACCTTCTGATCGGCAAGCCCTAGGCTCTGTGGTTTAACCCACAGCGCCACCCGCGTCCCTTTCGTTGAATGTTACGTGTCAATAAATGTATGACTTTGTGTACACAGATTTCACACTTGTTGAATGTGAACACCCACATATCAGAAAATCGTTGAGGTGGAAGGGATTCAAACCAAGTGTGGAATGGCCACATAGGTGCATAATCAGATGAGGAAATACTGCAGCTTAGAGGGAGTGCGCAAAGCTAAAAGCTTCAATCTCTAGGATCTTCAGTTAGGCTGGGAAAGACGCCTCCCTGAAACCTTGGAAAAATGCTACCAATCAATGTAGACGCGTTTATTTCTAACCAAAACCAAAACCTCTTGGACTAGTTTTATAATCCTGTCAAAGAGATTTTTTCTCCTTCAATTTGGTTAATCCTTTTAATTCAGTATGCACAATTAGGAGCTGTTTTAAGAACGTCATTTTCTAGGTGGTTAAACCTGTGAAACAGCAGTTAGTCCAGGGACATGTTCTAGTTTTGGTTTTAAATAGCACAGTACGTTTTCTGTATAATATATAGCACAGGTTATCCATGATGGGAAAAGCTTGCTCTTTAAGAGCAGAGTGTTGGTGCTGACCTTTAAAATCCTAAATGGCCTCGGCCCAGTATACCTGAAGAAGCATCTCCACCCCCCATTGTTCAGCCTGGACACTGAGGTCCAGCTCTGAGGGCCTTCAGGCAGTTCCCTCATTTCGAGAAGTGAGGTTACAGGGAACCAGGCAGAGGGCCTTCTTGGTAGTTGCACCCACCCTGTGGAACACCCACCCACCAAATGTCAAGGAAATAAACAACTATTTGACTTTTAGAAGACATCTGAAAGGCAGCCCTGTTAAGGGAAGCTTTTAATATTTAATACTGTGTGGGGGAAACTCAGCCAGATGGGTGGGGTATAAATAATAAATTATTATTATTATTATTATTATTATTATTATTATTATTATTAACTTTTAAAACAGTTAGTCACCAAAGAAAGCAGCAAAACTCGCCGCAGAAATTCCCGGATGTTTTCTGCCTTCAGACGCCCCCATGTATAAGACATCCCCTATTTTGGGGGACTCCAATTTAAGAAAATTGGGAGCTATATCCATGTATAAGATGCCTCTAAAATTTTGACATTATATTTTTTGGGGGAAACCTAGTCTTATATACGGGAAAATATGGTAAATATTAAATTGTTGTAATTGTTGTTGTTGTTGTTGTTGTTGTTGTTGTTGTAAACCAAAAGATCCAGATCTTAGAATCATGAGTGCATTCCAGGCTAAAAGGGCCATGCAAACTTTCTTTAATGTTGAGTGGGAGAGATTCCTGAAGCTATTGTAGAGTATTTTATAGCTCTGTATTTAATACTAGAGCAAGTTCAAAATTTAGCACTGGAATGTTATTTCATTGATGAAAGATTCTAGCGTAATGATTCTGATCTCCTGCTTAAAGAAAAAAGTGGAAATGTTTCCCCCCCCCCCCAAACGCATATTTGTTTTTTGACTGCAGAAAGGAATGGACAAAGAATTCTACCTACTGTTTACAGTATTCGATGAGAACTTGAGTTTCTATCTTGACAAAAACATCAATTCCTTCACTGGTGATCCATCCAAAGTTAATAAGGAAGATGAGGATTTCCAGGAATCCAACAGAATGCATGGTATGGTAAAAAAAAAAAAAATCACCATTGGGTATTGGTTTGTAGCAGAGGTATCCATTATGAAAGAGAAATGAGGGCAGAATTAGGTCCTAGGGGAAGAGCATAGGGCTTCTCCAAACAACCTGTTTATTGAGCTTCCGTCCTGATTTGCTTTCACAAAGCTTACACAGTACTTAGACGATGTCTGGCCTTTATTGAGCATTCATTATGATTTTTTTGTGGGAGATTAAACGACAATGAGCATCCAGCCTGATTTGCTTTTGTTTATATGCCTTTTCATAAGTCATTTCTTCATTCCACACTATTTGTTCATCCCAACGCACTTCCCCATGACTTTTCTAATTGGAGTCAGTTTCTTTTTTAAGTGGATTTGTTGCATTAGGGTGACAGAGCACTTTAATCAATTTTCCCGGTATTCACTTGAACCCCTCCCACAAAATACTGACCATGGCGGTGCCATTGAGGTACCATGTCTGTTGCTGAAATTTGCAGAATGAGCTGCAGTGTCTGACTGCCAACTTTCTTCAGTCGTATTGCATCTTTATGAAATGCATACAAACTTTGTTGTTGTTGTTGTTGTTTAGTCGTGTCCGACTCTTCGTGACCCCATGGACCAGAGCACGCCAGTCACTCCTGTCTTCCACTGCCTCCCGCAGTTTGGTCAAACTCATGCTGGTAGCTTCGAGAACACTGTCCAACCACTCTCATCCTCTGTCGCCCCCGGCTCCTTGTGCCCTCCATCTTTCCCAACATCAGGGTCTTTTCCAGGGAGTCTTCTCTTCTCATGAGGTGGCCAAAGTATTGGAGCCTCAGCTTCAGGATTTGTCCTTCCAGTGAGCACTCAGGGCTGATTTCCTTCAGAATGGATAGGTTTGATCTTCTTGCACTCCATGGGAGTCTCAAGAGTCTCCTCCAGCACCATAATTCAAAAGCATCAATTCTTCAGCGATCAGCCTTCTTTATGGTCCAGCTCTCATTTCCATACATCACTACTGGGAAAACCATAGCTTTAACTATGTGGACCTTTGTTGGCAAGGTGATGTCTCTGCTTTTTAAGATGCTGTCTAGGTTTCTTATTGCTTTTCTCCCAAGAAGCAGGCGTCTTTTAATTTCGTGACTGCTGTCACCATCTGCAGTGATCATGGAGGCCAAGAAAGTAAAATCTCTCACTGCCTCCATTTCTTCCCCTTCTGTTTGACAGGAGGTGATGGGACCAGTGGCCATGATCTTAGTTTTTTTGATGTTAAGCTTCAGACCATATTTTGCGCTCTCCACTTTTAAGAGGTTCTTTACCATCAAAGTTGCGTCATCTGCATATCTGTGGTTGTTGATATTTCTTCTGGCAATCTTAATTCCAGCTTGGGATTCATCCAGTCCAGCCTTTTGCATGATGAATTCTGCATATAAGTTAAATAAGCAGGGAGACAATATGCAGCCTTGTCGTGGATCACTGCCTTGTTGTGGAGAAGGGGTTTGAATAACTCAGAGAAGCTATGAGCTATGCCATGCGGGGCCACCCAAGACGTACAGGTCATAGTGGAGAGTTTTGACTAAACGTGATCCACCTGGAGCAGGAAGTGGCAAGCCACTCCAGTATCCCTGCCAAGAAAACTCCATGAACATACAAACTTAGCTTGAAGTCAAAGAAGTGTTAAATCAAGCTTACTTGCCTAGGACCAGCAAAAGGCACTTCTAGGGAAACTTTGCAAAAGTTTGGTATTTTTTTCAAGGAGGCCGCAAAGGACTGACCTGCGTGTCAGGACAGCAAGCCAGGAAGAAATGTAAACCATTGTCTTCTGCGAACTTAATTGTAGGGTTGTGTTAAATGCTACAACGCAGTCTGGATGAAGACTCAAGCCACTGCTGCCTATTAGTATCCTATCTGCAAGATCTGAATTATTTGGAGGACAAGTTGAGAGATGACTTGGTCCTGTTAATAATAAAGCAGGCAAGCATTAATGAAGTTCTCTAGACAGCTTCTTTGCCTCCGGCAGATAGGTGCCGAGTTCATAGGACATGAACTAAACTGAATGAGTTCATTATACATTGAGTTTGTGAGCATTCCTGTGAACCGAAATGGCACATAAATGATTGTGCATTACCCTAATGATGCACCCAGAGTTACTTACACATGTAAGTGAACTCATGTTTATTGTGCCCAGAGGATGTGGTGTCATCTTGAAAATGACAGCTGTATCTTTGATGTCAATCAAAGGTGGATTGAATCCACCTAGTAGCCTCACCGAGGCAACCAAAATCTAGAGCCCAATCACTGCTCTCCTCACAGAACCTCCCAAGACATGATCAGTTCTGGCAGAGGTGAATGTTCATCCCTTGTTAGCCGGGTCAACTATTCCTTAAGGCAGGGGAAGCCTTTCTGGCCACTGGAACAGATCTTAATCACCCTTTTCCTTGGTGCGCCCGGGGCACATTTCATGCACATTTGTGTATAATGTGTAAGGTAAAGGTAAAGGGACCCCTGACCATTAGGTCCAGTCGTGGCCGACTCTGGGGTTGCAGCGCTAATCTCACTTTATTGGCCGAGGGAGTCAGGGTACAGCTTCCAGGTCATGTGGCCAGCAAACCAGAGCAGCGCATGGAAACGCTGTTTACCTTCCCGCCAAAGTGGTACCTATTTATCTACTTGCACTTTGACGTGCTTTTGAACTGCTAGGTTGGCAGGAGCAGGGACCGAGCAACGGGAGCTCACCCCGTCGCGGGGATTCGAACCAGAAAGGCTTAAAAGAACTGGCAGATGTGATCTCAGAACCACTGGCAGACATCTTTGAGAATTCCTGGAGAACAGGCGAAGTCCCGGCAGACTGGAGGAGGGCAAATGTTGTCCCTATTTTCAAAAAGGGGAAAAGAGAGGACCCAAATAATTACCGCCCAGTCAGTCTGACATCAATACCAGGGAAGATTCTGGAGCAGATCATTAAGCAAACAGTCTGTGAGCACCTAGAAAGGAATGCTGTGATCACCAATAGTCAGCATGGATTTCTGAAAAATAAGTCAGGTCAGACTAACCTGATCTCGTTTTTTGACAGAATTACAAGCCTGGTAGATGAAGGGAACGCAGTGGATGTAGCCTACCTTGATTACAGCAAGGCATTTGACAAGGTGCCTCATGATATTCTTGTAAAGAAGCTGGTAAAATGTGGTCTTGACTATGCTACCACTCAGTGGATTTGTAACTGGCTGACTGACCGAACCCAAAGGGTGCTCATCAATGTTTCCTCTTCATCCTGGAGAAGAGTGACTAGTGGGGTGCCACAGGGTTCTGTCTTGGGCCCGGTCTTATTCAACATCTTTATCAACGACTTGGATGATGGACTCAAGGGCATCCTGATCAAATTTGCAGATGACACCAAATTGGGAGGGGTGGCTAACACCCTAGAGGACAGGATCACACTTCAAAACGACCTTGACAGATTAGAGAACTGGGCCAAAACAAACAAGATGAATTTTAACAGGGAGAAATGTAAAGTATTGCACTTGGGCAAAAATGAGAGGCACAAATACAAGATGGGGGACACCTGGCTTGAGAGCAGTACATGTGAAAAGGATCTAGGAGTCTTGGTTGACCACAAACTTGACATGAGCCAACAGTGTGACGCGGCAGCTAAAAAAGCCAATGCAATTCCGGGCTGCATCAATAGGAGTATAGCATCTAGATCAAGGGAAGTAATAGTGCCACTGTATTCTGCTCTGGTCAGACCTCACCTGGAGTACTGTGTCCAGTTCTGGGCACCACAGTTCAAGAAGGACATTGACAAACTGGAACGTGTCCAGAGGAGGGCAACCAAAATGGTCAAAGGCCTGGAAACGATGCCTTATGAGGAACGGCTAAGGGAGCTGGGCATGTTTAGCCTGGAGAAGAGGAGGTTAAGGGGTGATATGATAGCCATGTTCAAATATATAAAAGGATGTCACATAGAGGAGGGAGAAAGGTTGTTTTCTGCTGCTCCAGAGAAGCGGACACGGAGCAATGGATCCAAACTACAAGAAAGAAGATTCCACCTAAACATTAGGAAGAACTTCCTGACAGTAAGAGCTGTTTGACAGTGGAATTTGCTGCCAAGGAGTGTGGTGGAGTCTCCTTCTTTGGAGGTCTTTAAGCAGAGGCTTGACAACCATATGTCAGGAGTGCTCTGATGGTGTTTCCTGCTTGGCAGGGGGTTGGACTCGATGGCCCTTGTGGTCTCTTCCAACTCTATGATTCTATGATTCTATGATTCTATGAACCACCAACCTTCTGATCGGCAAGTCCTAGGCTCTGTGGTTTAACCCACAGCTCCACCCACGTCCCAGTATAATGTGTAGTTGAGCCCTAAAATCTGCCAGTAGGTGAGAACAGACGAGCAGAGAGGCAAGGGTAACAAGCAGGTGAATATGAGCAAATTCAGTTGTGGGTTTGCAAAAGCACAGTATTCTGAGATGTCGAGTGTTTTTTCTACTTTCAGCTGTCAACGGCTATCTGTTTGGGAACCTGCCTGGACTCACCATGTGCAAGGATGACAAGGTTTCTTGGCATAGTATTGGACTAGGCACGGAAACAGACATGCATGGTGTTCATTTCGAAGGGAACACCATTCACTTGGGTGGCACAACCAGGGATACCCTTGCCTTGTTCCCTCACACGTCGGCAACAGCCCTGATGCAGCCAGACCGAGTAGGTAGGTTTTTGGGAGTGGGACCTGAGCATCCTTTCTCCATGCGACTACAAAGCTGTCACCATGTGCATTGATAAATCAAATCATTGTGATGCTCACTGGATTATGAATGTTTAGAACACTGTAAATGTTGCTGTAGCATCCATACGTTCATGAGCCTCTACTTTGAAGTATCAGTGTATCAACTGATTTATAAACTGCTTGAGCCAGAGGACATAGCATTGATGCAATGCAAGACACTGCTGTGTTATAATCAACATTGCAATAATACTATTGTCAGTGCTATGTTGTAAGGGAGTGCCTTCCGCATGTGTGCATCTCCATCCATCAAGTTATACAAGGGCAAAACACAGCTGAAAGAGGCCGCTGCAGAATCTGCAGCAAAGTCTTCCTTCTATATCCATATGTATAGGGAAAGGTAAAAAGGTAAAGGACCCCTGGACAATTAAGTCCAGTCAAAGACAACTATGGGGTTGCGGCGCTCATCTTGCTTTTCAGGCCGAGGGAGCTGGCATTTGTCCACAGACAGCTTTCCAGGTCATGTGGCCAGCATGACTAAAACCACTACTGGTGCACGGAAGACCGTGATGAGTGCCAGAGTGCATGGAAATGTCGTTTACTGGCGTGCTTTCAAACTGCTAGGTTGGCAGAAGTTGGGACAGAGCAACGGGAGCTCACTACCGTTGAGCAGATTCGAACCGCTGACCTTCCAATCCGCAAGCCCAGGAGGTTCAGTGGTTTAGACCACAGCGCCACCTGTGTCCCCATCCATATGTATATATGTGTGTAAAGCATTTTTATACCCTCCTTTGATCACATTCCGTGGGCAATTCGCAACGGGAGTAAAACATTTAAAATGTAAACGTACCACCACAGTCTGTTAGAGCATGGTGCTGATAACGTCATGGTCACAGGTTTGATCTGCCTGCATATTCCTGCATTGCGGGGGGGTTGGGATAGATGACCCTCGGGTCCCGCCCAGCTTTACAATTCTGTGATTCTGTGTGAAATAATCCAATCTTCCGCTACAAACTCCTCCCTGGATCCTTCACTCTACTGGTTCAAATCTTCTTGTCAAATCTTTGCTCGCCTTCTCTATTCCCCACCTGCACCCTTTTGCTTTTCTAGCTTTCTACAGTCGCATGCCTCCTGACAGCTTATGCTCTCTGTTCACCTTGGCTTCACCTCCAGCTGAAGAGCCTTCCCTTTTATTTCATTCCCCACAATAATATATATTGTCTCTTCACTTTAGATTGTAGCCAGCAGGCAGAGGGGTGCTGTATTTCTGCTTTTGGTGCAGTGATTTGGAGTGCAATAACACCAACAACCATCTCCTCGAGCAGCTAGCATGGTGATTAATGTCACAATTTCCTTTCAGGGACTTTCCAGTTGGTTTGCAGGACGTTCGATCACTTTACAGGAGGGATGAAGGAGCTTTATGAAGTTAAGCCCTGTGGCAAAACACCTCATGATGGGAGGCACTATGGAACCATGAGAACATATTATATTGCTGCCGAAGAAATGGAGTGGGACTATGCCCCCGATAAGAACAGAGCAGAGCAGAGGGCGAAGGCAGCGAGCAAAGAGGAAAGGTACAGATAAGGGACAAATTTGATTTTGATAGGATAAACTGCCAAATTCTCACTTCTGGATCTAATTTGTGAACCAAAGCCCAGCTGTCCTTTGAGATTCACAGTCCTCTGAATTTCATGATACAGTTCTTCAACTCAACAATGTGTTTTAAAATATATATATAAATGCATTATGTTAAGGGAAAGCACAGAAAAATGCATATGTTAGTGAAGATAGCATGCAGAAATGTGTTGCACTGGGGTAAATTGCTTGCAGAAATGTGCATATTGGTCAAAACTGCATATTTATTAAAATAAACTCACACTAAAATGCTAACAAGTATTCATAAGGATTTATTTTTCTAAAATAAAAAGAAAATAGCAAACTGATGTTGAAAGGTGGAGGTGGATTAAAATGTGGAAAAAAGACAACCCGATAGAACCAAAATTCACAGCATCATCCTTTGTTTCCGGGTCACAGGTCATGGCTTCCTGACAGATTTGCGCTTCTGTCTTTAGAAATTAGGCACTTGCAGCCTGAGCTTATGTATATTTACTAAGAAGTATGCTCTGCTATTCAATGGAGCTTAATTCCAAGTAGGTTTTGCAGAGAATTGCAACCCAAGGTACCTTTGTCTTGAAGTAAACCCTATTGAACACAATGGGACTTGCAGCTGAGGTAAATGTGCATAGGATTGCACTGTGCATCGCTTCAGCTATTTCTGTTTCGGCCCTCTCACATCCTGAGGTAAACAAGGCCTACAAATTTCACTGTCCAGATATTCAGAACACAGTTTGCCTCTTCAAGTGTCACCCTCTTTCTATCATTGCCTCACTTTTTATTATTCTGCTTAAGAATGGTAAATATTTTGGGGAACTTCTAAACTGTTTTCTCGCCTTGTAAAATGTTTTCAAGTTACGGACATGTCTTTGTGAGCCAAGGTGAAGGCCTCATTGGTTCAAAGTACAAGAAGGCAGTTTATAGAGAATACAAAAGTGGAGATTTCGTGGAGCGCAAAAGGAGGGGCGCAAAGGAGCGACACCTACAAATTCTAGGTGAGAAATTTGGGGCTACATAATTCATTTGAAACTCTTGAAAGCACCTTGCAAATATTAAGCACTGGTGTTTGGTTCAGCTTGTGAGGAAAAGGCAAGGACGCAACATGGGATGAAAGCTAGCCCCTTTCAAAGCTGCCATCTGAATGCATCCACTCTGCAAGGGTTTGTTTGTTTTTAACCGCAGTCAAAGAGAGGCTAATCAAGCTTCTCACCAGGAGATGGAGCTACATCATTAGAGTTCCCCTGAACTGTCCCAATTAGTGGTCCGAGTTAAGTTTGGAAGAAACGTGTGTGCAAGCTTCTTCTTCAATGATTTATTTTAAAATATTTCATTAGTAATAAGTTGAGTGGCTTCACTTCAGCAACGCATGCAGAGTAAACAAGATGCTTTGTGCAGCCTTTGTTTAAAGCAGGGATGGGAAACTTGTGGCCCTTCTGGTGTTGATTACAGGGCTGGCCCAACCATGAGGCAGACTGAGGCAGCTGTCTCAGGCGGCAGAAGCCCTTGGGGCAGCACCCCCATGCAGGGCCATCTTACCCATAGGCACTAGGGGTACGGGGCACTCGGGTGCCGGGCTCTCAGGGGCGCCAGGCCCAAGAGCTGAGTCCGAGGAAGAGCCCGCCCATTGGCCGGAGCGCTGCGGCAGGCTCTTCTGCTTCGGGCGGCTCTGCGCCACGAGTTTGGGGGTGACCAAGCAAGCAAGACGCTGAGGTGGCCAGCCGGCTCTGCCCTCCTGCGTGCCTGGGACTGGGCAACGGGGGGGGGGGCGCCAGGCGGATCTTTGCATCCCGGCGCCACATATGCTTAAGACAGCCCTGCAACCATGGGTACCGCACCCGCCCCTGCTATTGCCACAGGAGAAGCGAGGAGAAGCAGCAGTGGTGGATTCCGGGGAAATCTTGTGAGACCTCATAGAATTCACCAGAAACTGCTGCTGCCACACATCCAGCAAGCAAGGCTGTAGTGGCAGTGGTTGGGAGACGACACCTTCCTGTTTTACCTCAGGTGCAAAATGGGACAGGCACCATCCTTCCTCTCTCCATTTGGCCATACTGGCTGGGACTAGGGGGAGCTGGAAGTTCAACAGCACCTGGGGGCCGCAGGTTCCTTTAATGGCTGCTAGAGAAAATATGAATAACCTTCTAGCACATTCTTTGTTGAAAACTAAATGGCACTGAACACAGTGGGATTTACTTCCAAGTTGGCATGCCTACAGTTGCATTGCTACTCAATTAATCTTTTTTTCTCTCCAATCAAGTAGCAGGACTGGTTATTATCCATTTCCAATCTTGTCTAGCGTTAGAATGAGAAGATGTTTCACTGTTCTTATTAACTGCTTTTCATCACAAGCGACCTCAAAGTATTTACATAACACATAAACAAACCATATAATTACAAATAGCAGAATGAAAATAAAATAAGAACCAGCAACAGTGCCGATAACATTAATAATAAAACCGCAAAATCAGTGCTATAAAAAGCAAGACAGATTCAAAAATTGTCTAACCATAGTCATCGAAAGCTAGAGAGAAAAAACAAATACATTTCCACTGAGCGGTGAACGCCCAACAATAACATGGAACAGGATTTCCCAAACTTGGGTCTCCAGCTGTGTTTGGACTACAATTCCCATTATCCCCCAGCTCACAGGACCAGTCCAAAAACAGCTGCAGGCCCAAGTCTGGGAAACCCTGATATGGAAGGTTATGGTGCTCAGCATTTTGTGCGTGTGTTTTGTGTTTTCATTTCTTATATTTTAACTTTGCATCATGCCTCTCTGTTACTTTTTGGCTTTTTCAAAAAAAACAACCAACCACCTTAGGGCCCTTGATCCATGCAGAAGTCGGCGACTCAATACTAATTGTGTTTAAGAACAAAGCTAGTCGTCCATATTCCGTATCGGCACATGGCGTGGAAGCAACAGCGGCTGGGAATAAAGCACGCACCACAATGCCAGGTGAATTACACTGCATGTTTCCAAGTCTTTAGGTTCTGTTAACAATGTGTTCTGTTTAGTATTTTAATGCACACTAAACTAGAATTAATCACAGTAGGGAAATATGGAGATGTCTTGATGTTGGCAAACCTATAGGTGTGGCTACATTTTTTAAAAATATCAAGTTAAGGTGGTTGTATAATTAGTACAATCAACAGATTTTGGCCAGGGATTGCTTGCATTGCCCAAGACCTTCACATTGCTGCTATGGTGTTTTAGTGTGTTTAATTTTATTGTGAGTCTGAACTGTTTGTTGTAAGCTGCCTTAAGTAGCAGAAAGGTGGGAAATAAATATTTCATTTTTTAAAAAAATGATGTTTTCATTAAGGACTGGAAATCCTTACTTTTGGTAGGGGGTGGTGTTAACACCTTTTGAGTTTTGTGCCATACCAGCTTGAGAACCGTAAGTCCCTACTAAGGAAGACTGGCAACTTAAATTAATGGAATATGCTGAAATGGCTAAATTAACTGGAAGATTAAGAAATCAAAAAGACAACAAATATAAAAAAGAATGGAAAATGTTTATTGCATATTTACAAAAGCATTGTAAGAAAGTTTATACAATAGCAGGTTTTTAAAAAACACTTGTAATATTAAGAAGAATGTTAAATTTGGAAATAATTAAGAATAAGGAAATTACAGACATGTATAATATAAGATGATACAAAAGAACCAGGGGTGGGAATGGAGGGAAGCCGGGGATCTGAGTAATCTCAAAATGTGGATTTAATATGATGTGAAAATGTTTTATTTTTTTTATTTTTTGTGGTTTATATTTACTGTTTTAAATTTATGATGTTTAGTTATGAAAATGAATAAATATTACTATTTTAAAAAGCTACTGTTTTTAATGTTTTGGTTTTAAACCAAAGTACTGAGTTTCGTAAGATATTTGGATTTTGACAAGCTGTTCTTTATTCCTTTTTATATATGTGGACAGGAGAAATAAACACTTACCGATGGAACGTCCCAGAAAGGTCAGGACCTGGAGTCTCTGATCCCAACTGTATCACTTGGGTTTACTACTCAACAGTGCATTTTGTAAAGGTAAATGTAGCGAAGGTGTGCTCCCACCCCCCGCCCTGTGTGTCTTTTATGGGAGAACCCTTGAGAGGGGGGATTATTTGCCTAAAATGTTAAATGAATACTATATTATCAAGCTCCATCTGTACAAAGCCAAATGTAAATCAGGGATGGGGAACAGGATTCAGCCTGGATCCTGATCTCCCCCAAATTCCCCATGGACCGCTGTTCTAACACTTTGCTACATTATTATAGTTGTTATTCTGGCATGGCTCTTTGTTATCACAGTTGCTTTAGCAGTCTTTCATTTAAAAAGTTGGCTTTTTAACAAAATAACTGCATGCATCTATAAATTAATGATGATAATAGTGATAATGATAATGATAGTGATAATTATTATTATTTATTTATTTATTTATTTATTTATTGTTTATACCCCGCCCATCTGGCTGGGCGGCTCCCAATTGAATATTAAAAACACAATACAGTTTTTTTAACACAATGTTATTCTCTGTTTTCCATTTCTCTTTAATTCCAGGATATGTACAGTGGCTTGATCGGGCCGCTTATAATTTGCAGAAAAGGAGTGTTAAATGAAAAGGGTTTAAGAACAGACATTGACCAAGAATTTGCCCTTCTGTTCCTGGTCTTTGATGAAAACAGGTCCTGGTATTTGAATGACAACATTGAGAAATATCTACATGAGGATCTGAAGGCGTTCAACCACACCAATGACTTTGTGGAAGGGAACAATATGCATGGTATGTTGCTGTTGTTGTTGTTGTTTAGTTGTTTAGTCGTGTCCGACTCTTCGTGACCCCATGGACCAGTGCACGCCAGGCCCTCCTGTCTTCCACTGCCTCCCGTAGTTTGGTCAAACTCATGTTTGTAGCTTTGAGAACACTGTCAAACCATCTCGTCCTCTGTGTGGTGTAGTGGTTAAGAGCGGTAGTCTCGTAATCTGGGGAACCGGGTTCACGTCTCCGCTCCTCCACATGCAGCTGCTGGGTGACCTTGGGGCAGTCACACTTCTCTCAGCCCCACTCATAGTGTTTGTTGTGGGGAGGAAGGGAAAGGAGAATGTTAGCCGCTTTGAGACTCCTTAAAGGGAGTGAAAGGCGGGATATCGAATCCAAACTCTTCTTCTTCTTCTTCATCCCCTTCTCCTTGTGCCCTCCATCTTTCCCAACATCACGGTCTTTTCCAGGGAGTCTTCTCTTCCCATGAGGTGGCCAAAGTACTGGAGCCTCAGCTTCACAATCTGTCCTTCCAGTGAGCACTCAGGGCTGATTTCCTTAAGAATCAATAGGTTTGATCTTTTTGCAGTCCATGGGACTCTCAAGAGTCTCCTCCAGCACCATAATTCAAAAGCATCAGTTCTTCGGCAATCAGCCTTCTTTATGGTCCAGCTCTCACTTCCATACATCACTACTGCGAAAACCATGGCTTTAACTATACGGGCAAGGTGATGTCTCTGCTCTTTAAGATGCTGTCTAGGTTTGTCATTGCTTTTCTCCCAAGAAGCAGGCGTCTTTTAATTTCGTGACTGCGGTCACCATCTGCAGTGATCATGGAGCCCAAGAAAGTAAAATCTCTCACTGCCTCCATTTCTTCCCCTTCTATTTTCCTTCTATTTAAAATGTTACTTCGTGAAACATTCAGGTTTGCTACTGAACAGTCGCGCAATGCAACATGCACTAAGCGGGAATAAATGCAGACATTCAAAGTGCTTCTCTGTTATAGTTCTGTTAGGACTGATGGGGCTGGAGGATAGGCAACACAAATGCTCCCTGCACTTAAGAAAGCATTGTGTCAAGAAGAGGGCACCTCCTGAGGTACTTGCTTTCTGAGTGTGACAAGCTTTTCAAGCTGGAAAAACATTCAGACAAGGACGGGCTGGTGAATTGGTAAATAAGAGAGGGGGTTTTCCTTGCAGGGCTTAGAAATGAAAACCTTAATACAAAGAAATGCTTGGGAATAAAAAGCTTTAATCTAAAGCAGGGATATCCAACAGGTTGATTGTGATCTACTCAACAACTTTGGTCATCCAATGGGTAGATCACTGCCAGTTTTTTTATAGTGGGAGTAGATCGCAGTCTCTTGAAAGTTGGACATGCCTGATCTAAATAAATACTTCTTCAACAGTTGTTGCCTGCTTCCTGCTCTAGCGAAAGCTGATCTGGAGGGTTTGGAAATCCCCTGGAATGGCAAAGCATGTGGTTCAGAGAGTTGCCAGTAGGAGGGAGGAGACCAGAGGAAATCCACAAAGGCAAGGGATTCTCTGGATCCAAGCCAATCATTCTAGCAAGAGCAGAAGTTTTGAATAATGTACCGTATTTTTCCATGTATAAGACGACCCCTATTTTTTTTAACCCAAAATTAAGAAATTAAGTTGTTTAGCTTTTTTGGGGGGGGGTCACTTCTGCCAATTGCTCACCCACCTGCCTGCCGCTGCCGATCGCTTGCCACAGCCACTGCTCATTGCACTCCTCACTGCAGCCGCCAATTGTCTGCCCACTCGCCGCCACCAACAGCCCACCTGCCCACTTGCCACAGCCACCAATCGCCTGCCCAATTGCCGCAGCCACAGCCAATCGCCAGCAGGCCTTGCCTCAGCCACCTGCCCAATCACCACTGCCAATCTCCTGCATGCTGCTGCCATTAATCGCACATCCTCTCTCTGCATTCACTATCCGTGTATAAGATGACACTCAAATTTTGCCTATTTTTTTTAGCAAAAAGCATCGCCTTATACACAGAAAAATACGGTATATACCTGATTTTAATTTGCAGTGGAGCACACTGATAAACCTGCATGCCTCTGCAAACTTTGCAAATCTCTCCCTTCAGCAATCAATGGAAAGATCTATGACAATCTCCATGGGCTAACGATGAACGTAGGGGAAAACACCAACTGGTACCTGATTGGAATGGGAAATGAAATTGACCTCCATACTGTCCATTTCCATGGAGAGAGCTTTCTGTTCAAGGTTGGTATAAGCAAAATAGTACCATTTGCATTGTGATGAATAACTTAAATAGAAAACATTAGCTCTCAGAGAGGGGATGTTATTGCAAACAAACCACATGTGCATGCACATCCTATACCAGCAGGAAATTAGTAGGTCACAATTAGTAAAAAGAGGTAAAGCATTTTGGTCATGCTGCTACAATTAGCTACTTTTCCATAAGCACAATGCACTTGGATTATATCCTATTAATGCCTGAAGAGTGATACATAGGTGGAGGGTGCTTCTATAAGTAAATCCCTTTGGTGAATTAGATTATATATATATATGGCTGTGGGTGTATAACTTCCACATAGATGAGAATTCATATCTCCAACCATTTACTTTGTGCTGCTGGCAAAGCTGCAGACAAAAATATGCTAAAATGCAGCTGATTTTTCACAAGAACTTTAAAAATAAATAAATTGCAGACTGATGTGGAGATGTGGAAAACTGAATTTAAGATTGGAAAAAATAAGATAAACAAAAATGGACATATTTACCCATCCTCAAATGAGGGGGAAGGGGAGCTTCTTACCATATTTTTTGCTCTATAAGATGCACTTTTTCCCTCCTAAAAAGTAAGGGGAAATGTGTCTGCGTCTTATGAAGTGAATGCAGGCTGCACAGCTATCCCAGAAGCCAGAACAGCAAGAGGGAACGTTGCTTTCACTGCACAGCGATCCCTCTTGCCATTCTCGCTTCTGGGATAGCCACGCGAAGCCTCCTCAGGGCAGCGGGAGGAACGTTCCCCCTGCCCTGAAGAGGCTTTGTGTTGCTTTCGCAGAAGCCAGAACAGCGATCGCTGCTTTTGCTGCGCAGCGGTCCCTCTTGCTGTTCTGGCTTCTAGGATTCAGAATATTTTTTTTCTTGTTTTCCTCCTCCAAAAACTAAGTGCGTCTTATGGTCTGGTGCATCTTATAGTGCGAAAAATACGGTAATTTTTTTATCTTCTCAGAGTTTCAAAAAGCAAACAAAACAGAGGGCATGATTCTGCCAAGCTAAGCACTTCAATGCCCCTTTTTTTTAAAGGAAGGGGAGGTGGGGAGAGAAAGAGTGTTAAGCATGTGGTTCTCTTCCCCCACTGAAATAAGAGATTTCATAGTCACATACTGTCAGGGAACTGACATCGGAGCTAGAGGCAGAGGGAAGGCTCTCAAATGATGCTGGAGAAGGGCCCAGCAGGGAGAGAGGCAGCTCAGCAGATGGGGAAGCAAATCAGCGCAACACCAGGAATAAAGGGGGGCCGATGGGGGAATCGGCGAGAGGGCTCCCAGACTCTTCACCGGACACCAGCAGGGAGAGCACGGGTCCTCCGCTACCCACGCCCTCCCTGCGCAGAAGACTTCCGCACAGAGAGAGTAGGAGGAGACTGGGTGTCAAACAACTTTTATGTTGGAAAAGGTTTAAGAAACACCCAGTGACGGATTCTGCTAGCGACTGAGGCAGCCACTAAGTGAAGGGCTGTCCAGACTGAAAGGTTTAACAAGGCAACAAAGCCAGGAGAGGCGGCAACTTACGCACGGGCAACCCATACTCATTACACATACCAAAAAAAAATGTTTGCAATAATCACAGAGGATCCCCATACGGCTATTTCTGCATGGTGACTGGGTGGACAGAATATACCATTTGGGCCACACTGCCCAAAGAGCTGCATAAGAATGCCCTCTGATCAGCACAGTCACCTTTCAGACTAGAATGTTTCTAGTAATTTGGAATTTCTACAGCAGGAAATCCCAAAAGCTCCTAAAAGCAGAGGGTGAGCTACCGTATTTTTCGCTCTATAGGACGCACCGGACCATAGGAGGGGGAGAACAGGGGAAAAAAATTCTCCCCCTCTCTGCTCAGCGCCCCTTCAGCGAAGCGGCAGGAGAAACGGAGCCCCTTCCATTTCTCCTCCCGCTTCGCTGACGGGGCGCTGCGCAGAGAGGGAAAACTGTGCAGCGCCTCTCCAACGAAGCGAAACCTGGAGAGCAAGAGGGATCGGTGTGCACTGACCGCTCTTGCTCTCCAGGCTTCAGGTGGCTATCCGCAAGCCTTCGGAGTGCAGCAGGAACTTCTGCTGCGCTCCAAAGGCTTGCGGATAGCTGCCTAAAGCCCCCGGAGCGCAGTGGGAGTTCGCGCTGCACTCCAGGGGCTTCAGGCGGCTTCAGTGAAAGCAACGCAAAGCCAAGGAGCGCGGGGGGAGCTCTCCCTCTGCGCTTCGGAGGCTTCGCGTTGCTATCGCTGAAGCCAAGGAGCCTGCATTCGCTCCATAAGACGCACACACATTTCCCCTTAATTTTTGAAGGGGAAAAAGTGTGTCTTATAGAGCGAAAAATACGGTACTTTTACCACCTAGGGATAAGCTTTGAATTTACTCGATGCTCTGCTGCCTTTGACACAGAAGGATCACAATCACAGAGGAGATGTATATGACCTCTTTCCTGGGACGTTTCAGACTGTTGAACTTGTAGCGTTCAATCCTGGGACATGGCTTCTGCACTGCCACGTTCACGATCACATCCATGCTGGGATGGAGACAACTTACACTATTGTTGAATCAGGTAAGGTTGCTTTGCAACATGGGTTTGGGCAGCTTATGCACCCAGGTAGTCATAGAACATGAGAAAAGCTTTGTTGAAAAGCCCACTTAGTCCAGCACCCTGATCTCACAGTGGCCAACCAGCTGTTCTTATTGTTGTTAACCCACACACGTGGGTCTCTAGAGTATTAAACCTAATTAATATATCCTCTTACCAATTCCCGTCAGTAATCTCAGGCTCCTGGTTTGGATAAAGGAAGAAACTGTGGTTAATTGAGGACTCCAACATTGCTTTTATTTCCTTCGCTCAAATTAATATATCCTCTTACCAATTCCCGTCAGTAATCGTAGACTCCTGGTTTGGATAAAGGAAGAAACTGTGGTTAATTGAGGACTCCAACATTGCTTTTATTTCCTTCGCTCAAATGAATATATCCTCTTACCAATTCCCGTCAGTAATCGTAGACTCCTGGTTTGGATAAAGGAACAAACTGTGGTTAATTGAGGACTCCAACATTGCTTTTATTTCCTTCGCTCAGATGGTGTGGGACGTGGAGTCACAACCACGAAATATGACACATTTACAGTCAATGGCAAGAAGACTGGAGAAGGTATGACTTTGGGCCGCTTCACATTTCATGGAGCAAACCCAGGTTTGCCGCAAAAAGGACATTCAAGAGGCCAGACCGGGTTCCATAATGAGTGCGTGTGTACGGGGCTCATGTTTAGAAGCACACATTTGCCCCCACTTCTTGATCATGCTTTCCATATTCATTTATACATTTAGGATGGGCGCACAGGACCCTGCTTTATACTGAGAGCTCATCCACACTTTGGTTTGCTCCACTGCTTTCCTACAGGAAAGTATGTGGTTGAGCACTGATTTGGAATAAGGCAACCAGGATTTTCACGGATTGCCGTTTGTTCCGATTTAGCGATAAAGAGTGGGTTTTCCGTGGGAAAGCAGTGGGTCAAAGGCAAAACTGCTCAGACCATGCTCTCTAGGCACAGGACAAGTGGAAGTGTGGGCTATCCCCAGGTCCAACCATTGCTCTATGTAGCTCAGTATTGGCGACATCAGGGTTTCCCAAACTTGGGTCGCCAACGGGTTTTTTTGGACTACAACTCCCATCATCCCTGGCCACTAGTTCTGGTAGCTAAGGATGATGGCAATCGTAGTCCAACAACAGCTGGAGATCCAAGTTTGAGAAACCCTGATCTACACTAAGGTTGCCCATTCAAACTTTTAATTGTCCCATAATTTCAAGTCATGGGTCCAGGCGGTAAACAGTGGGTTTTCCCAGGGAAACCAAAGGGGCCAAAAAAAACCTTCTGGGACCCGTGACTTGATATCACAGGACAAACAAAATTGTGGATGGGCCCAGACTGACAGCATCCTTTCAGGTTTTCAGGAAGGACCTACCTGCTGAGCTTTGAACCCGGGACCTTCTACATGCAAGATCGACCCCTGAGCTATAGCCCTTCCCCAACTAAAAGGGGAAGATGTACAACTAAAAGCAAAATGTGTCTATCAGCCCACAGTGGGGTTTGTTTGTTTTTTATTTAGTTGACATTTCCCTTCCAGGGGAAGGAATACATTTCTCACAAATGCCTTTCTCTTTCAGCAGGTAAAGGTAGAGCAGGAATAGAATTCTTGGGGAAAACTCTGGGCCCAGGAGAAGCCAGCTCGGTGCTCAAAGCTCTTTTTATCACTGGACTTGTTCTGTTGGTAGCTCTCTTGATCCTTATTCTCGTTGTTGCTTGCCAGAAGAAAAAGGCCCGTTATAGAGCCATAGGTCACAAATTTGATCTTCCAATGGAGTCCTTCTGATCTGACTGAACATGGCTTCACTGACTTTGTCAGAAATGTTGCTGCTGCCTTTTGAGGTGGGAGGAAACGCCGACACATATGGCCGCTTCAAGACGACCACTTTATTTATCATTCATCCCGATGTGTTCCCACAAAGTTCGCGGGGAGGTTAGCCCGTGTTAGCTAACCCTCCCATATCCCTGGTTTTCAGGGAGGTTGTGCACACTTGCATGAAGCAAGTGTTATCCCACATTTTACAGTGCGTTTCCCCACCACTTTCCTAACTGCAAAAAGTCTAATTTGGGTGGTGTAATAAATGTAGGGGTTGCTCGTGTGCAAGTTGGTGCCACTCCTGGCTAGGTTGCCTTGTTAAACCTTTTCTGTCTGGACAGCCCTGCACTTCGTGGCTGTTCAGTCGCTAGCAGAATCCGTCAGTGGGCGTTTCTTAAACCTTTTCCAGCATAAAAGTTGTTTGACTCCAAGTCTCCTCCTACTCTCCCTGCGCGGAAGCCTTCTGCGCAGGGAGGGCGTGGGTAGCGGAGGACCCATGCTCTCCTCGCTGATCTCCGGCGAGGAGTCCTGGAGCCCCCCTCGCCGATTCCCCCATCTGCCCCCCTTTATCCCTGGTGTTACGCTGATTTCTTTCCCCAGCTGGTGAGCCGCCTCTCCCCCTGCTGGGCCCTTCTCCAGCATCGCTTGAGAGCCTAGCCTCCGCCTCTGGCTCCGATGTCAGTTCCCTGACATCCACCTCCCCCCCCAGGACCCCCTTCACCCCCGGCTCGACCTTTTGATCCAACTTCGTCCCTTTCCTCAGCCGACGATGCGGGGAAACCACCGAACGAGCAGTCGCCATCCTCAGACGATTCAAAACCCGCATCCCACCCGCTCCGATCTCTCCCGCGGGGTGGGCCTCCCAGTCTGATTCTTCTTCCTCCGAAGCCTCTCCTCCCTCCTCTTCGGAGGCAGAAAAACCCACAAAATCCTCTTCATCGTCTGTGGTTCCAAATTGCTCCTCCCAGAATCTCGCTAGTAGCTTGGGTTTGTCCGGGAACAGGCTGTGGAATTCCTCCACAAGATACCCGTCATTGATTGCCTCCGCGGGAACCCACGTGTTTTCCGACCCGGGTTCTCCCTCCCAAGCTACTCGCCACCTTGAATCGAGTATTTCCGTGGCCCGGTTGTGGTGTTCCCTCTCCTCTATCTGCGGGTGTGTGGTGACTTCGCCTTCCCGCCCCGGGACTCCCCGCCCCTCCCTGTACGGTGAGAGTAGGGACCTATGGAACACCGGGTGTATCTTCATGCTGTCCGGCAACTTGAGCTTGAATGCCACGGGGTTCACCTGCTGTGTTACCTCAAACGGCCCCAGCCGCCTTGGCTGCAACTTCTTGCACCCCCCCTTAAAGGGTAACCCTTGGGTTGACAGCCACACCCGGTCCCCCACCCGTATGGTCTCCCCTTCCCTACGGTGCTTGTCTGCCTGCCTCTTGTAAATTTCCTTGGCCCGTTCTAAGTTCATCTTAAGTTGCTGGTGCAGAGCCTCCATTTCTTCCACAAACTGCTCTGCCGCAGGTACGCTCCACCCTTCCTCCCCACTCCCCGGGAAGGCCCTGGGGTGACACCCATAATTGGCCATGAACGGGCTCATTCCCGTGGACACATGTTCAGCGTTATTGTACGCAAATTCAGCCAGCGCTAGTTTCTCTACCCAATCGTTCTGCCTCTCGCTGACGTAGCAGCGTAGGTATTGCTGGAGTACACTGTTCGCTCTTTCTGCTTGCCCGTTGGTTTCCGGATGTCTCGCCGTCGAGAAGCTCACCTCTACCTGCAGCAAGCTCATGAGCTTCCTCCAGAACCGGGAAGTAAATTGTTTCCCACGATCCGAAATTACTCTCGAGGGAGCTCCATGCAACCTGAAGATGTGATCCAAAAACAACTTGGCTGTCTCCTCTGCGGTCACCGCATGTGAACAAGCTATGAAATGGCACATCTTTGTCAATAGATCGACTACTACCATGACTGCTGTCTTCCCCCGGGACTTGGGCAAATCGGTCATAAAATCAATGGACACCACCTCCCAGGGTCTTCCCGGCGTGGGTAAGGGTTCCAGTAACCCTGCGGGGGCAGCCATTTCCCACTCTGCCCTTTGGCAGCGGTCGCACCCCCGTACATATTCCCGTACATCCTCCCTCACCCTTGGCCACCAGAACTGCCTGGTGACGAGCATCATGGTTTTGTGCTGTCCAAAGTGCCCAGCTGTGGGGCTGTCGTGGAGTTGTTTGAGTACCTTTCCCCTCAGGGTCTCCCCCGGTACATACAGCGCCCCCTTATAGTACAGCACCCCTTCCTTTTCCTCAACCCCCCCTTGGTTTTCTCTTCCATCTCGGAGTTCCCGGATTTTAGTTTGAGCGAACACGTCGTTTCTAGTAAGCCCAGCCAGTTCTTGTTTCCCAACCAAGGCTCCCCCCCCCCACACCCATCGGTCCTCGGGGATCACGTGTCATATCTCCGGCGGTCCCTCTCCTTCCATGTACTCCAGCTTCCGGGAGAGAGCATCTGCTCTTACGTTTTCCTCTCCTGGCACGTACTGGATTTCGAAGGAAAACTTGGAGAACTCCTGTCCTCATCGAATCTGTCTCTGGTTGAGTACTCTTGCGGTCCTCCAGTACTCCAAGTTATTGTGATCAGTACAAACCTGGATCTTGTGCTGTGCCCCTATCAGCAGATGTCGCCATCAGCGAAACGCCGCATAGATCGCAAGCAGTTCGCGGTCGTACACCGTATAATTTTGCTCCGACTTGCTCAGCTTCCTCGAGAAAAAGGCACACGGCTTCCATTCCTGCTTGCTCCTCCCTGGCTGCAAAAGAACCGCCCCAATGGCTCTGTCGGACGCGTCGGTCTCTAGCCTCATGGGTTTCTCCAGATCAACGTGCAGGAGCTGCTCTTCCGAAGCGAACGCCTTCTTCAGTCTTTCAAAGGATTGCTGGGCACTTTCTGTCCAGACAAACTTCTTTTTGCTACTGAGACAATCTGTGATGGGCGCTGTGATGGTCAAGTGGGCGAAGTTCTTGATGAACTTCCTGTAGAAGTTGCTGAACCCTAGGAACCTCTGCACGTCCTTCCGGGTTTTGGGGGCCTTCCATTCCAGCACCGCCTGCACCTTGCTTGGGTCCATAGCTAGGCCTTTGTCTGACAACTTGTACCCCAGAAACTCGACTTCTCTGGTGTGAAACTGACATTTTTCCAGCTTGACCCACAACTGGTGCTTCTGCAGTCTCTTTAGCACTTCCCTGATGTCTCTGACATGTTGCTTCTCATTGTCCGAATAGATTAAGACGTCGTCCAAGAAGGCTACGCAGTTCTTGTACAGCAGGGACCCCAACACGTGGTGCATGAAAGCTTGAAAACAGGCGGAGCCCGACTGTAATCCAAATGGCATAACTAAGTACTCAAAGGCCCCCAGGGGGGTGAACATTGTGGTCTTCCATTTGTCCCCCTCCCTCATCCTAATCAAATTGTAGGCTCCCCTGAGGTCCACCTTGGTAAAAAAAATTCCCTGCCTCACCCGTGTTAAAATGTCATCAATCCTGGGCATTGGGAAGGTCACGGGTTCTGATACCAAATTTAACGCCCTAAAATCTACGACCAATCTGGGCTGGTTAGTCCCTTTTTTGTCCACAAAGAACACCGGACTGCCCCCCACCGCCTTTGATTCCCTTATGAACCCTTCAGGTTCTTGTCAATAAACTCCCGCAACTCCTTCATCTCCTGGTCCGACATGGCATACAGTTTACCCACTGGCAGCTGAGCCCCTGGGAGCAAGTTGATTTGGCAGTCAAAGGGTCTATGGGGGTAGTCTATCCGCCTCCTTCTCGCTGAAGACCTCCTGCAGGTCAGCATATTGTGGTGGCACCTCCCCTTTCGGCTCCACCGCTAACCCAGCCACCCTGGCCACGGTCATCCTTGGGGTTTCCCCCCCTAGACAGTGTTCCAAGCAGTAAGCTGACCCAAAGGTGACCGTCCGCTGATGCCATGCCACTACTGGATCATGTAGTGCCAGCCAGCTCATCCCTAATATTATTGGGGGTCCTGCCAGTGTGGCTACGTGAAAGGCAATGGTCTCCGTGTGCCTGGAAACCCTCATTCTCATTGGTGGGGTCTGGTGCGTCACTTCCCCTCCCAGAAGCTCCCTGCCATCAATGGTGGTCACTTGCAAGGGAAAATCCAGGGGCAGCAGGTGGAGCTGGTGCTCTAGGGCGAAGTCCTTGCTGAAGAAATTGCAGGAACTGCCTGAATCCAACAGCCCCTTCACCTTGACTGGGTGCCCATTCGGGAGTTCTAGCACCACTTCTATGGCTATGGCCGCTCTGGGGGTCTGGCTGGGGCACTTCTATTGGTTGCTGGCCTGGCTGCTGTGCCCGCTGAGTGGCAGCCAAGCGTTGGCGTTTCCCTGCTCCTGCTCCTTTTCCCCCTCCTCCTCACCTCCAGCAGCTCCCACCATTCCTTGCCAGGCCTTTCTTTGAGGGCAGACCCTGGCAAAATGTCCTGGCCACTGGCAGAGGAAACACTTCTTATTAGTTTTCCAATCCTTTCCCTCCCTTTTGCAACCTTCACTGGAGTTTGAAACCTCCTGCGCGCGCGCGCCATCAATTTCCATTGGCTCCACCGGCGGGGAAGGCTGCCTCGGTATTTCAGGAATGCGGTAGTCATGGCAACGTTCCCCTCTCCCTTCCTGCTTCTCCTGAGCCCGTGCTTCCTGTCTTACGCCAATCGCAAGCACAGCCTTGGTCAGCTGATCCATCGACTGCGGGCGGGGCACGCAGGAAAGCTCGTCCTTCACCGTTGGGGACAACCCCTCCTCAAACAACATCTGAATGGGTTCCGAGTCCAATTCCCACCCGAGCCGGTGGACTAACATGGCAAAGCGCGACCAGTAGTCTCTAACTGACTGGTTCCCCTGTTTACAACCCATCAGTTCCCGCCGAGTCACACTTTGCTGCACATCACTGGAATACATCGCATCCATCGCCTGGAAGAATTTCCTCAGGTCTTTCAAGGCGGCATTTTGCGTTGCCATTAGGGGCCTGATCCATTCCCTGGCCCCATCCTGCAGATGCCCGACAATGTATGCCACCCTCTCCCCATC